ATAGTTTAAAGAAAACAGTACACATTTTGGAGCCTTTAAAAAATTCCGAATCGAAAATTAGATTTGATACACAAAGAATTTGAAAATAAATTTCAATGAGAATATAGGATAAACCACGGGATCAGAAAGCCGTTTGAACTAATTTATGATTTTTACTTCCTTAAAGACAATGATTTTATAAGAATATTATTAATCCATCAATAAGCAAACTAATTAGAAATAATGATTAAGTCATTTTCAAATCGATAATAATTTTGATGATGTTTTTTTTGTGCATCCAAATAAGACATAATATGGATAATTAATTTATTACTGGTCTGATTTACTTAATGTATTTTTCTTCAAACAAAGTGAGTTATTCCTCGTCACTTTGCTTGGAGAATAAAGAAATCAGACCCATATTACATTTAAGATTTTAAAAAATTAAACTTCCTATTAAAAATTGATAAAATCGAAATACTAATTTTAAATTAAGTCACAATTATCTATTATGGTAAATTCAAATATTAGAAGAAATTCTAAATTAGAATTTGATTATACAATGAGAAAAGGTGTTACCTTAATTTCAAAAAAATACAATTATATATGAAAACTGCAAGAGATAGTAAGGCATGGATAAATGATGTTGCGAAAATAGTTATTGGCATCATTATTGTAAATCAAATCAAACACATAATTTTTTAGTTTATTACAAATCTAAACTGTTCAACCTATACTAATTATTTGGGTTCTTTTTAAGAATTAATAATAGAATAAGCCATATTTGTAACTGATATTAGTAGCAAATTCAAATTATATATAATGTAGATCTTACAATCAAACATATTGTTCATATGAGAAAATAATACCAATTTATACTTAATAAATATCCTTATATATTTCTATTGCATGATTATAAACTAGGTATTAATTAAATATTGAAAATTGTAGTTTACACTCAGAAAGATGTGGTTAAGCAAATTGTATTCTATTTTTGAATTTAAATAACTTATATGAAATTAGAATTTAGTATTTATAGAAATTTAGATTTAAGTTTTGCGTTGTTTTTGAGTTTGATTTTTAGATTGCATAATAAATTGTTATTATCATAATCTAAAAATGATATTGATTTATTTATTTTTAAAATTTGTAGACTTAATTGCCCAATTTAAATATAAAATGATATAAAAATTAAGTAAAATGACGAATGGTGAACAATGGAGATATAAAGTTCACAAGATGTAGTTATCCTAATAGAATCAATTAATGATTATTGCGATATCAACGTTTTCAGATGAGGTAGGATTTTCAGATTACGAAATCTGGTTTGCAGAATTAATTTTGGAAAAGATTGATAAAAAAATTATAGATTGACAAGCGTTAAAAGTAGATGTCTAGTGCTTCACCAGAATATTGGTTAGCTTGTTTTTATTAAATAATACCTAAATTACAATCTTAATTTAATATATTTAAACCATTTTTAAAGAAAATTAATAATTAAAAAGTAATTCTTATGTTATTAAATACTGAAGGTAACATTTGTGAGATTTATTATTAAAAGATCAAGAAATTCAAATTTACTATACATCACAGTTAAACATCAAGTTTTAAAAGTCTAAAATTATTCTATTTATTCTCCTAATTAAGATTTGGTAATAATTAAAAGGAATTAGCGGAACAATTTGGTGTTTTATCTCAACTGGTACAAATAAAGATTTTACATTGTTAATATTTAAGAATGCCAATAAATCAGAAACTGAGAAATTACTTTAAATCCACTTAAAATATTAAGATAACATTAGATCAATATATTAACAATTGAGTCTATTTTGATTTCTTATGTTAAAGTGTATTGCGCGTAATCTAAAAAAAACTAATATTTGGTGATAATGTATAATTCTTCTTTTAACACATTTAACTAATATATGATAATAGCTATGAAAGAATTCATTTAATTCAAAATATTAAGCAATTTACAATATATATATATAATAATGAACTTATTACATTTTAATAGAAATAGGAAAAGATTTAATATTGATTTTAATTATGTCAGAAAACAATATCGACAATATTAAATGCCCAATTTCAGAACATGCCTATGATATCAAATTAGTATGTTTCAACGAGTCTTGTAAGGCAAATAGATTATATTGTATTTAATGTATCAGAGATGGTATTCATGTCTCTCATCCTTAAAATTAATAAGAGGTTCCATTATTATTTGAATTTATTGGGAAAATTGGAGAAGAATGTGATGATTGGATTACCAATTTAAATCAACAAATGAATGTTGCGTCTTAATAATTCTAATTATTGATTGAAGGAATTAGATCTAAATATCAGAAATCTAAATAATAATTCCTGAATTTAAATCCAAAATAGATGAATTCCTTTTTTGACGAAACTATCCAATTCTAATCCTTCTAATACAAAACCTAAGACAAAATCTAATAATCAATCAAAGAATTTTAAGATTAAATGGACAACTTAATATCTGGTTTAAAACTATCCGAATTAAATTATTACATATCTAATTCAGATCTTAAAAAGACAGAAGAATTATATTAAAAAGGTAATAAACCAATTAAGTTAGGCCATAAATTATATTGGATGGACGATAACTATGAAGAGGCGATAAAACTTTTTGATTAAGCATTAATTGTTAATTCAACACATAAATTATCTTTATGGTGTAAAGGTATAAATATTATTCAATTTGTTAGCCAACTGTTTAAGGATGCTTGGTTAGTTTAAAGAAGCAATAAACTGGGCAGATAAAGCGTTGGAAGTAGATCCAAAGCATTGTAATTCATTATAATGCAAAGGTATGAATATTGTTGATAAGAAGGTAGCGCATTAACATAATTGAAAATGTTTAAAGATGCTAATTAAGTGATTGATTTATCTTTATCAATCAATCCAAATCATTTTGATTCATTATGGTCGAAAGGTTGATGTATTTTATATCGAATAGGTTGTTGTTTACAACAATAAAATTTATTTTAAGAAGCCTTAATATTTTATGAAAAAGCTTTAAAGATTATTCCGAATGATAAATGGACAATTAACAGAAGAGGTAACATATTTATAACAACTTAGATGATTGTTTAAAAGCATTAAATCAAAAATGAAAATAGCACTATAATGAAAATTACAAAATATATAAAAAATGATAATCTTTTCTAAAACAAATCTCGATTATGATTCTCATTGAAATACCAGCTCCAAAACAACCCACTTTTGTATGATAAATACCTTAGTTAAAGTATTTACTATCTCCAAAGAAATAAATTCCAGATAAAACTTGATATTTCTTTATACCTCCTTTCACTTTATCAAAAATAATCCGTTCATATGGCTTCTGAATTCTTAAATATGAGAAATGTAACATGAAAAAAGAAACCATTTTATTTGAAAGAGATTTATTATAATCTATTTGAAGGCCAGTTTGTGGTTTTGAATTAAATTAATTCAGGTTTCATAAACCACCTCTATAAATTTCAAATATAAATTATCAAGGTTAGTTTCCTACCTTTATATAAGCAAGAAGGATGAAGCCGCAAATTTAATTCAAATATTTACATTATTTATGATATTTGTGTTTCATTCTAATTTTGTTAGCAAAGAAAATTTGAAGATGATTCTCGTAATTATCTTTATAATTAAAGTCAAATTAATTACACATTAACCAGATAGTTTGTTTAATAAGCTCTTCAGAGTTGGTTATTAATTTTCAAACAAATCTGTGATCAGTTCAAGATACTAATTGAGTCTTTCTTTTTTTCTTGAAAAAATATTAGTTTAGATAGTATCATGTATTTAACAAATAGATTTTCTTTATTGAAGGTAAAGATCTCTACATAGTAATTATTTTTGATTTAAAGGTAATTAGAATATCAAATATTTTGTAAATTTTATGATTGTACTCTTTTTAATTCTAGATAGTGTGTTTTGATGTAAATTTGCTTCTTTGCTTCAGATTTATAATGTAAGAATAGAAAAACTTCTTATGAGAATTTACAAGGTTAATTTTCTCTGTAATAATTCCAAATTAAGAATGGACACCTATTACCGTCTCCTGAGTGAACGTACTATCCTAATTTGTCTGTTAAATAATATCCTGTCTTTTTTATTTGGTCCTGTAAACAATAATTAGAAAAACATTTGATTCTGTACAAAAGTAAGTTGATATTTTCATTTACCTTAATGATCTAAATGACATTCGGTTGATTCAACTAAAATATAGAAATTATTGGGAATAAATACAATTTGGGTTTTGAATTGAAGAAAATTTTGGGGAACTCTACTTAATGATATATTTCTAGAAAACCTTATTTTTGTTTTTAAATTGTTTTATGATCAAGTTGTTTTTTAAAATGCTCGAATTATTAGCGACCTTGATCAAAAAGTATATGATCAATAATTCAAATTACATTTAAAAAGTGGGGATTTTATACATTATTGAATAACTAAGCAGCAAAAATTAAAGATATATATACTCATTTCTTAAAATTATTGGGTATATGTATGGATCTGTTTTTTGATATAAGGGCACTAAATTCTGATATTGAATTTCTACATAATTTAATAACTCCATTGTACATATATTTTTTCAAATTAAAGATTGATATTTCGAGAAAAAGTCAATAAAAGTCAAAATCTAAACTCTCATAGAGGAACATTCATATTGAAAAATGCCAATGCTGTTGAAATTACTTAAGAATTAATCTGAGAAAAATTAAAGTAATTGCAAGTATATGATAGCATTATCAAATTCTAAAGCGTTTAGTTGAAACCCTTATACAACATCACAATAAATGACTCAGGATTATTAAACATTAAAATATAAAGGATCATTTAATTCAATAAATATGGAGGTAATTAAAGCTGTTTAAAGGATGAGAATAAAGATGTATAATTAGAAGATACTAATTTTGTTTATTATAAATACCTTGGTTTACATTTGGCTTTCCAATTTCCTTTAAGAGGGTTAGGAATTATAAGAAAATGATGACAAAATTAAGAACGAATGAGTACTGGTATATCGGATTTATACATCAAATTAACATAAGTGATATGTTTTACAAGAATTATGGAAAAAATAACTTTTTCATAACTAAGTATATATGTTTACTCAAAATTATGTAAATTAAAAAGGAAACTGCTATTTGTAATTTTTTACTCTGGCCAATGTGGCCGTTATAACAACAAGTTTAGAAGGTTTGAGAGCTACATTAGCCTTAAAGTGAGAAAATTTTTCAGTTATAGATGCAAAATTGATGGGATTTAAGTGATAATTAGAAAAGCAATAAATTTATAGATGTACAATAAATAATAAACGACCAGAAATTTACTATGTATTTTCGAGTTCTAATTAAAATTTTCATCAAATTTAATTTTTTAATTATTTAGCAATCCTAGTTATTCGAAAAAAAATTTTCAAATTTGATTTTCTTGCCATTGAAAAATTTAATTCCTTTGTTTGCAACATTTATGAAATGGATACTTGTATTATTCTTTAGTAAATAGTTTCATCCATGCCTTGATATATATTTATTTTATAAGGACAAATGGTTCTGTTTCAAAGTATATAAATCCAAACTATTAAGATGTTCTTTCTCTCCGAAAATAGGAATTTTGAGAATTGGTTAATTTGCATTTTATAATTATGGAGCTAAAATATGAGTATTATCTTATAATTTCTATATGAGACTGAGCCAAAATTTCTATGTTCATTCGCTTTACACTAACAATGCTTTCAGCTGATATTTTAATAATACTTAAATCTAAATATCATCTTAGTAATTCAAATTTCAAATTACATTTCGTTTGGTTTCGAATCATCTTTCATATGTACTCCTCTTTTAATATGAAAGTTTCGCATAGTTTATCAATTTCATGTAATTTTAAGTCCACTTTGAAATTGTTCTTAATTTCAAATGTTAAATAACTTATAAAGTATTAATGATTCAAACAATGATTAATGCATAATTGTCAAGGTGAAGAAAATTGAATTGAATGATTCCATTGAAAAAATAATTAGCTTTACCAAGTTTCAATCAGTTAATTCTTAAATTTAAACTTTTATTATCCTTTTAATATATTCAGTAATAATTATCTCAAATTTTTAATCTCCTCCACCTTTAAAAATATTGTTAAATTGTATAATAAAGAATGACTTGATTTCTTATTTCAATAATTTACTTGATTTCTTCATATTTATTTAAGTTATTTTTTAAACCTTTTTGCGTGTACATATGTACCTTATCGAATAATTAATTTTATTAGGAAAGAAAATCATGTAATTTATTCAATGTGTGGGCTAAAATATAAGGAATGATATTGTGGGGACAATTCGTGGAATAAACGCAGATTTAACGAAAAGTAACACTTAAATTTGTTCTGTGAAAAAAAATCATCTACAATTTAATTAATTCAAGATCACAAATAGATAAACAGTAAGGGAACATAATTGAATCTGAAAGTATTTTTAATGGAGTTATATCAATATAATGGTATTTATTGGAGATCTAGTTTCTTGATACAATATAGATTTTATTTAATTGATTGAATAATTATAGNCCAAACTATTAAGATGTTCTTTCTCTCCGAAAATAGGAATTTTGAGAATTGGTTAATTTGCATTTTATAATTATGGAGCTAAAATATGAGTATTATCTTATAATTTCTATATGAGACTGAGCCAAAATTTCTATGTTCATTCGCTTTACACTAACAATGCTTTCAGCTGATATTTTAATAATACTTAAATCTAAATATCATCTTAGTAATTCAAATTTCAAATTACATTTCGTTTGGTTTCGAATCATCTTTCATATGTACTCCTCTTTTAATATGAAAGTTTCGCATAGTTTATCAATTTCATGTAATTTTAAGTCCACTTTGAAATTGTTCTTAATTTCAAATGTTAAATAACTTATAAAGTATTAATGATTCAAACAATGATTAATGCATAATTGTCAAGGTGAAGAAAATTGAATTGAATGATTCCATTGAAAAAATAATTAGCTTTACCAAGTTTCAATCAGTTAATTCTTAAATTTAAACTTTTATTATCCTTTTAATATATTCAGTAATAATTATCTCAAATTTTTAATCTCCTCCACCTTTAAAAATATTGTTAAATTGTATAATAAAGAATGACTTGATTTCTTATTTCAATAATTTACTTGATTTCTTCATATTTATTTAAGTTATTTTTTAAACCTTTTTGCGTGTACATATGTACCTTATCGAATAATTAATTTTATTAGGAAAGAAAATCATGTAATTTATTCAATGTGTGGGCTAAAATATAAGGAATGATATTGTGGGGACAATTCGTGGAATAAACGCAGATTTAACGAAAAGTAACACTTAAATTTGTTCTGTGAAAAAAAATCATCTACAATTTAATTAATTCAAGATCACAAATAGATAAACAGTAAGGGAACATAATTGAATCTGAAAGTATTTTTAATGGAGTTATATCAATATAATGGTATTTATTGGAGATCTAGTTTCTTGATACAATATAGATTTTATTTAATTGATTGAATAATTATAGTATAAATATCATAATAATAATAATAATTTTGATGTTGAATAATATGTCATTGTGGACGGCCTCTTCTAATCGCAAGGTCCACCCTTGATGTAATGATCAAGCAGTTCATTGTAGATATTAACCAGAGCTTTGATTTCACTTTTATCCTATACCATCTTAAAGTATCTGATTGTCATTCCATTCAGCAAGCTTAACTTAATTTCAATAAATTTAACTTAATCCTGAGGGTTAAGAAAGAATAGTGTATAGGAGCCAATATATATGGCATATAAATATCATAAATCGATATTTGAAACTCTTTAAAAGGAAAGTGATTAGTTGAAAAAAAATTACAATTATACCATAAATTATTTTAATTAATTATCAAAAAAAATCAGTTTGGACTTTAATAAAGAGAATGAATGCCACGTATTAATTATTAATTTAAGAAAATTTAAATTCATTTATTCGAGTTTTCTATTATTAAAATTCATTATTAATGCAATTGCCAAACTTAATTCAATATTCAAACGAAAATTAGATAAACGGTAAATTATCCTCTCAAAAGTAGCAGAAGGATCATTCAAATGGGAATAAGGAATCGTAGATCATCAAGTAGTTAATTTCAATCATAGTAATAACAGATATAATAACATTATAATTTAACTTAAGTTCACCTAGGAGGGAGAAATCTTATATATTTATGATGGATCCATTTTAAGAAAGTAAAAATATACAACAAATAAAAGGGAGAAAGTTATTGAAATCTCATAAAAACCTCAATTATTAAATAATATAGAATAGATAAAATTTTTAGAATGGATGGGAAATTATGGAACTAATAACTAAAAGATTGGAAGATGGACAATTTTATGGAAAGGAACAAAATTGAAAGATATTGGAGGAGAGTATTCGTAAGAAGGAAAAAAATAAGGCTTATGGAGAGAGATAACAAAAAATTACAGAAAGTAATGTAAATATTAATATCAAAGGAATGCAGAAGTACTCGAAATTGGAGTATACGAAAATGATTATAGAAAAGGTTATTGGAAATACATATATTAATAGAATGATATGTAGAACATAATAATAAATTAATAGCGGTGGAGGTTAATACTGTAAATTAGGTATAAAAAATGGTACATGGACAGAAATATGTGATGGATTTGAGTTGTCATCTTAAATAATCTATATTGGAGAATATTTAGATGGAAAAAAAATTGGGAAATGGAATATTTTGTTTCGGCAATCCAATCAATATGAGTTTAAATAGATGTAAATTATTTGATACTAAAACTTATTAAAACTTATAGTGGTGGGGGATTATATATTTAGGAAGGAGATGGCACCAAAATTGGAAATTGGATTGAACTGGATGATGAATTTAATAATAAAAAGCAAGTTACTTATTAGGGTGAATATTTAATTGGTAAAAAAGTGGGAAGATGGAGTGTGAATTTTAGGCACATTAATGAAAAGTAGTTTAATCAGATGTAAAAATCATTTATATGGTCCCTAATTTTAGTGGAGGTGGATCATATGAATAAGAGAATAGTATAAAATTTGGTAAGTGGACAGAAATCAGCGAAGGATTTAATTGCGATTCTTAAGTCATATAAAATGGAGAATATAAAAATGGAAAAAAAGTAGGTCTTTGGGATTATTAATTTCACTTTAGAGGACATAAATTAATGTAATCCATTTGTTAACTTCCTTAGTGGTGGTGGTCTATATGATCAAAATGGTAAGGGCGATAAGTTTGGAAAATGGATAGATTTGGATAGGATGTATAAGTGGAATTCGTAGGTAACTTATTCTGGGCAATATCAAATTGGTAAGAAAGTTGGTAAATGGGATACTTGGTACAAGGATTATGAAAATAGTTTATTAATGTAAGTTTATTATAAGATTCTTTTTTAAGTGGAGGTGGGTTTTACGATGATAGATGTGCTGGCAATAAGGTTGGTAAATGGATTGAGTTGGATAATGAATTTATGGGTTAAAAATTAGTAACATATACCGGCCAATATATTAATGATAAAAAGGTCGGTAGGTGGGATATTTGGCACAAGCATCATAGTGGCAATCACTATAAATAAATGTAAGAAAAGTGTTTAACTTATTAAATAGTGGTGGGGGATCATATGATAGCCGAGAAGAACACATGAAGATTGGAAAGTGGATTATATTGTGTGATGAATTTTCTGATTCACAATAAGTGGTGTTCAATGGTGAATATTTTCATGGTAAAAAAGTCGGTTTATGGGATATTTTGTATTGGTGTTTTGATTAAGATTAATATAAATTGATGTAAAATTCTGGTTTACTATTTCTTATTTATTTAAAAGAGGTGGAGGAATATATAATAAAAAAGATTGCCAAAAAATAGGGAACTGGATAGAATTGGATGATTTATTTGTTTAATAAAGAAAAGTTCTTTTTAAAGGTGAGTATTTAGATGGTAAAAAAGTTGGAAAGTGGGATATTTGGTATAAGCACTATAATTCGAACGAATTTAAGTTGATGTAAAAGTTTAATTATATTTTTTTTTAGAGGTGGTGGATCGTACGATATAATAGGCAGTGCCATAAAGCTTGGAAAATGGATCGAATTGGATGAAGGATTTTATGATAGAAAATAAGTAACTTACGCTGGCTAATACAAAGCAGGGGTAAAGAATGGTAGATGGGACACTTGGTATTAATAGGAATAGTAAAACGAAAAAATGTAATATAGTGGCATATCTCATCAAGTGGTGGTGGACTTTTTAAAGAAGGGGTTGACAATATGAAAATTGGGTAGTGGATAGAGTTGGATGATGAATTTAGCGAATCAAAATAAATAACTTATTAAGGTGTGTATGTTAAAGGTTACAAGGTCGGATATTGGGATATTAACTTTAAAAAGTAGTAAGGCGATTATAAAATTGAAAAAATGTAAACAAGTTTATTATGAATATAAGTGGTGGAGGTTCATTTACAGAAATTGGTGATTGCATTAAAATTGGAAAATGGGTTGAAATAAGTAATAGATTCTGGATAGGAAAATAAGTTATCTATGTTGGCGAATATAAAAAGGGAAGAAAAATTGGACTTTGGTTTAAAATGAAGAGATCATTTAATTAGGCAGAATTCAAAATATCAAGGCACATTGTAATTTGATTGAATAATTTTAAATTCATAAATTCCAATTTATTTTAAGAATATAATTTCTTTATATTATTTTTTGATTCTTATGAACATAATTTTTAATTTTATTTCAGAATAAACAAAGAATGAATTAGTGACTTTGGCACTTCGCCTAATTGTCCTTCTTAAATAAATTAAAAAATTAAATATATTTGAATATACATGACAAACTAAGCTAATGAGAAAATTATGTGAAAGTAAAACTTAATACTTAGCATTATAAATAGAAATATATATTATTGAATTTAAGCATTAACACAATTAAAATGTAAAAATTTGATTTTTAAATAGTCATCTGGTTTCATTTACAATTTTCTGAACAATAATTAACAAGATATTTAATAATGTTTTCCATTCTTGAAAAGGCAAAAAAGGTATTAAAATGGAGTTACTTTTGAAATGATGAATTTGATAAGGTAAAATAGACCTAAATATTAAAGATGTTTTTAAGAGTTGTGAATAATAAAATGATAGGATGATAGAGAGATATTATCAAATCTTTATACTTATAACAAAGGGACTTTAAAGATAATTCAAAATTAACTATCTAAAATAAATTTAGATTTAATGATATGAAAGGAATAAATTAGAAATGGATTGTATTGGTATTAGGGATATAAAGTAAAATATTGAAGCGCTAGAAAAAAACTTTTTCCATCACCAAAAAGTATTTGTAATATAAGTGTTTTTTAAAAAAAAATTTTTATTCTTTTGAATCCAAAATAGTAGGCATATTTCAGAAATACAAAAAGGCTTGAATAAGATTAAATTCATAAGGAACTAGAAAGAATAAAATGAATTCAGAAAAGGTAATTTTCATTGAGATACAATTATTTTACCTAATAGATTTAATAAGTATATTTATTTTCGATATTCTTTCCTATTGGAGATAAAAAGTTAATATCAATTATTAACAATAAACAATAAATTGGCTATTGTGAACTGATCATTTTAGAACTAATAGACTATTCAAATTAAATAGGTAGTTGTGTGGAAAATACAAGCATTAAATTTAAAATATACTGAATCTTCACATTGTAGAACATGTTAAGTATACTTGAGGGATGAGTCTGAGATCTAGAGACGATAATATATTTGAGGGTATTTAGCAATAGCAATACTTTAGACTTAAACTTTCTTTAATGTGATGGGGTATATTCAAAATATGCAATCCAGTTTGTTTGAAATAGATAGTGTATAAAATTCTACTTCTAGTCTCAACCGCAGTTTAAATTTGATAATGAATAAACCTAAAATACTTAAAACTATGGAGAATGAGAATATCAAAAATGGGAATCAAAAACTACAAGATATTCATAATTTTGTAAACTAAGTATAATAAGTGTTATAAGAATTGTTTGGACTATTTATTTTTATTTAAATTACGACATTATCTTTATTTATTCTTATTTAAAGTTAACTATGAATTTTTATAAATTTTAGAATTCAGATAGGTTTTTATTTGGTGAATGAAGATCATCAAATAAAAAGGTTTGATATCGAAAATTAAAAGTTAATCTAATTTGAATTTTGATAATTGAATCCTTTAGAAATCAAAATACAAGCAAATTACATTTTGCAATTTGGAATAATAGTATTGATATAATACTACTAACAGATGGAATGGTGATATTATAAAGCCAAAACTATTATGAATTTTATTTTAGGAATGCACATTCCTTTGTTTTGAAAACTAGTGCAAATTAAAGTAATGACTTTGTTTGATTATTAATCAAAGGAGATAAAAGTGCTTTTTTGTTAAGAATCAGCTTGAATTAAATCTCTAAATAAATACTACCAATAACAAACTTATATTTAAAATAATATATCCTTATAACAAAATATTAGAAATTACAACAAAGAATAGCATGTTGAAACGATTTCTAAATTGGAATAAATTACAGTTGTATGTTGATGGGTGGTTTCAATTAAAAGATTATAGCTTTAACTAAATTTCTCAGTGTATACTGCTGAAAGTGCTCATAGACTATGCTTAGTGGAATTTTTATCTTTTTATTTTTGCTCTTAATTGTAAATTATTATACATTTACTTTAAAAATACAAAAGCAAATTGGACTTAACACATTTGCTTGCCTTCACAGTTTGAAAATTTGGATAACTCTTTGACTAAATCTTTTTCATTTTTACAAAGTAACATTTATATTATTAGTCAAAGCTATTGTACGTTTAATAATTCAATAAAAATTGATATTCGCTTTTCAATTAACTTTACAGATCATTATTTACTTTTAATTAAAGTGGTGTTTCCCTTTGAACATTCTTAAGAGCCTATTGGTTTGCAACAGTTTTACTTTACTACTGAATGAATACAAGAAATATAGAATTTTAAAAATTTGTAAATTAATAAACAATATATTTTATTATGCAATCTTTGTTAGTTATTTAAAATTGGGAACTTTGAGAAAAGATTACAATTATCAACTTATTGCATTCAACTAAATGGTTTATATAAAAAAAAGTGACCGAGAATTAGGACATTTTAAAATGTAATTTCAAATAATTGACTAGCCTATGATAGAAAACCAAAAAGATTCATGTAATCTCAATGATTATCTGTATTATTTTATAACCTAAGAAAAATTTAATTAATTTAAATAATTTAATGTCAAAAATAAAACCAATCCTATTTCTATTATCTTATTATTCTGATCATGCCTCTGATGAATATTACTTCAGAATATTGTTTAGGAGACAAGTAGGCCAGTAATAAATATATTTAAATCAAATGCGTGATAACTATATTTAATCTACTAAAATTTTGATAAGTTCCTTCATTACAATTTGATAAGATCTCCCAATAACTTAATGTTTTTTTAAATTATTACCTATTTTTTTGATTGATTTTCATTTCTTCAAAATACTCTATTATCGGTACTTTTAAAAATAGATTTTCATATTTTATCTGGTTTCTATACATTTAATTTTAATCCTTATTATTCTATCATTATTATCTCTGGTATTTTTATGTTAATTTGTTATCTTCTTGTGTCTCTCACCTATTTTCTATTTTATCCATCTTGCCTCCTCTGCTTTATCAAATAAATGATCCTTAATAGATATGTTTCTTAAAAATATGCCATTTTGCCTTAAATCTTTTTATTATTTTTTCATTATATTCTTCAAAAAAAACTATACTTTACCTAATTTTGCAATATCCATATAAACATCTTCCTAAAGCCCAATTCCAAAATGTCGATTCGAAAATTTTCTACAAAACCAAACGCCATAAAAATTCTTAAGCTCACTAGGGATCTTTACTTTGATGTATTCTTGATAAATGGTATTATTCTTATCATTGTAATACACTAATTTGTCCTTTTGCAACCATTTATATTCTAAATCATAAATTAATTCATAAACTTTTCTCTAATGTATCTTCATACTTTTGCTAAATTAGTAATTATTTCTTGTTCCTAGCATTTAAAAAAGTTTTCTTTAACTCCTGATAAAGAATTGGATAATTAGTGATTCTCCCGATTTCACGCTTGTTCAAATTTGTGCAGGTTTATAGTCAGAATAAGATCACTATTTTCATCATATTCAAATCCCCCAATGTTTGATCATTTATGATATCTTTTGAATCGATAAATATTATTATTCTTAATATTGATGTATAATTTTTTTGTCTCTATGATGTCCTATCATCATTACGATTCTATTTAATTTGTGTATCCATCTATCTTTTCCCTTAGTTTTATATTTATATCAAAATCTATTAGGCAGGAATTAAACGTTTCCAGCAAAACTTTTATACTCGTTTATACTTTTTTTAATGAATCTCCTTACTCAGAATTGATAGGTTATCAACAATTTGTTTCCATATCCTAAAATCTCTATCTTCTCTGATCCTTAGAGTTATTCCCATTATCAAATCTTCCTATTCTCGATCTCTCTTTAATATTGTAAACGTCTCTCTACTCTTCTTCAATTATACAAACAAAAATAGAGAATTACGTTGAAAATCATCTTCCCATGATTACATGTTGGGTGACATCAAAAAATTTAAAATTCATTTTAGTTTTAGGATTTATCAGAATAATCCTATCTTGATGTTTTAATGATAATAAGCAATTACAAAATGTGAAAAATGAATTTTCAAAAAGATCCTTGCAAGATTCCATTTGATACAACATAAAAAAAGAAATCCTTTCTATAGAAAATTGTAATAAATCACAATTTAATTTTTCTTTCAAAGAATTATACAAAAAGTAGGTATTAATTTATTATAAATTAAAACAACCAATCATTTAACAAGATTGCAAATTCAATTTGATTATTATCTTTTTTTTTCAAATGCGGTTAAATATTGTATATGTATATTAGTTTGAACAGAAAATTATATAGTAAGTTAATGCTTCCGAATTTATCAAATCAAATATTTATAAGCAAATTAAAAATCAAATCATTTAGAAATATATTTATTCAATCTCTATGAAATCAAAGCAGATTCAATTAAATTAAAGACCCCTAAAGCAACTTCAGATGTAAAAACAACAAATTTAACAATAAAATTTATTTTATGATGAGGACAAATCTTTAAATGTTCAATTTTTAAGAACCTTAAAATAGCCTACACATTCGATTCGTCCGAATAATATAGACATCAACTTACATTCAAATTAATTTAAAACAAACCCTTATCATTATAGTAATCAACAAAAAATGAATCATAATTAAATAGGTCATCGAGTAATAAAATAAACATAATTATCAACCTCCTCAGCAAGAAAGGACAAGAATAATAACAGTAAGAGTAATCAAATTATTGAGTAAATTAGGAATCAATACTATTCTCCTTAATAATAAAATGTTCAAGTTCTACCCTATTAATTGATTTAATAATCTCGCAAAAATTAAGTGAACGAATTTTTCAGAAATACAAATAACAATATCTAATTGGATCAATTTAATCTTCAAAATATAGAGTTATTTAATTAGCCTTCACTAGGTTTTAAATAATTTATTTCTCGACCACTTTAGAGTAATTTTAAATACACTGAGTTTAGAAGAAGGAATGAAGAAAAACAGAGCACATAAGTATAAAGGGAAACAACTTTCGATGACGATGAGTTTATCGCACCGAAAGAAAACTAATTCAATAGAAATCAATCTAATATCGATTTGTCATAGAAAGTATCTTTCGACATTAAATCCCTATAAAAAGTTTGCAAATTCAAATCTGAAGAATCATAATAATTACCTGCTATGATCAGTATTAAGACTCAAGATATAGATTCCGTAGAAACTGAAAGGAGAGTAGGAGTAGATTTGGTATTTATATTTCATTATTAATAGATATGCGTTATAGATCGAAGTGGAAGTATGGCAAGAGGAAAAATAAAGATGGTATAATAAACTTTAATAGTTTTGCTTGACTTTTTAGGAGATCAAGATAGACTTCAATTAATCTTATTTCATTAAAGAGCAGAATAGTTGACTTCATTAAAATGCGTAACTGAAGAAAATAAAGAATACTTTAAAGAAGTTATTAATTAAATCACATCCAGAGGAGGAACAAGAATATCAGAAGGTACAAATCTAGCATTTCAATAATTAAACAAGAGGAGGTATAGGAATAATGTGAGTTCAATTTTCCTATTATCTGATGGCCATGATCCTTAAGGAGCAATTGAAGTGGAATAATAAATTGGTATTGCATCGGATCCTTTTACTTTGCATACCTTTGGATTTGGCGATACTCATGATGCATAGTTAATGACAACTATTTGTAACTTAAAAAATGGAAGCTTTTATTTTGTTTAAGATATTACATTGTTGGATGAGTTTTTCGTTGATGCTTTAGGAGGTCTGATCTCCGTAATTGGAGAAGAAGTACAAATATAGATCACATCCAATCCAGATTAACAATATAAAGATATAAGCATATCAAAGACCTTTGGTAATATGTGGAGAGAAAATAATCAATCCTATGAGATTAAATTTCCGTAATTGATTTCAGGAACAAGAAAGGATTTTGTATTTGAAATTAAAATTCCCCAATTTATTCAGAAGAATATCAATAATAAAAAAATCTAAATTCTTGAGGCTAAAATGAAATTAAAAAATCCAATAAATGGAGAAATTGTTGAAAAAATAGCCTTTCTTTCCCTAACATTTATCAACCCAGATTAAGAAGGCATTTCCATTGATGAAGATCCTGAAGTTTAGACTTAATATTATAGAGTTAAAGGAACGGAGGCAATTGATGAAGCTAGAAAAGCATGTGAACTGAACAAATTCGAAGATGCTTAGTCTCGTATAAATCATATTATGATACAAATATAATAAAATCAACTTATGAGATCTTTATGCTCTGGAATAATTTAAGATCTTGATCAAGCCAAACAAGCATCTTTGATGACCACTTACAAGACATTTGGTTAAAAGTAAATGTATTAAATGGTTACTAACAATTATCTACAGGGTGGAATCAACTCAATTTTCACTGTTAACGGAAAATAATTATAATAAAAACAGCCCGCTCAATTTTAAAATCGAATTTAATAGATAATGATGAATAAAGTCTAAAATCAAAAATTCAGATAGAATTATTGAAACTATTATTTATCTTTCAAAAAATAAAAATAAAATAAGCTTCCACTGTTTTCAATACAATTTTCTTTAATCCACTCAGAAACTACATTTAAATTCTCTTAATTAACTAAATTATAATTTCAAAACTATCTCAATATCTGAGGTTGTATTAGATTTTCACTGACTGGAATTGAATTCTATAATCCTTTGTGTTCTCTGTTTAAGAAAAAAAAAGATTCTTCTAAATTAACTTAAAATAGTTAATAAAACCACAAAAATATTAGACATTGTATAAAATTGTTTTAATTACTACTTTATTGATTGCATATATTAAGTTATTTTATATTATTATCTGAACTTAAGAAATTTTATATGAGTTTGTTTTATAATTTTACATAAAATTAACAACTAATATTTTATCTAGTACTAAAATTCTCTCGTCTGGCAAGCTGCATATGTAAACTAGTGTAAAATATTGTCAATTATTTCAAGATATAAGATGAAAAACCATAAATAATAAGTTAATGACATTATTTAATTATCAAGATTTGAAATAATTAGTATATTTATCTATAAGAATTATAAATAATTAAATAATAACTGAAATTCTTATTAAATCAAAGTTCCATCTCTAAGTAATCTAGCTCTAATTCCTCTTTATATTTCCTTGTCTTATCATAATAAATCATAAAAGCAGTGATGATAGTAATTAGTATTATGGAAGCTAAAGCGTAGAAGGATCCTTTCGAAATGTTTTCTTCTTTTAAGAAAATTAAAATCGTGGCTTCAGCTGATTAATTATAATTTAGAGCCTTTAATTATAAGGTGAGATTTTATTTTTTTAAATTTGGAGGTAAAACAACTATTAAAGAAAACAAATTAACATCTAAATGCAGAGTTGTTTAATTATCAAATAGAATTAAAATTTTTCCCTATTAGTTATTTGAAGTTTAGAAGGAAGTTGACGAGATATTAACCATATTTAAAGTAAAATTATATCCACCTTCATAAAGTAGAGGAATTTACTTATGAACATTTTTAAATCCAGAAATATTGTACAAAGTTATTAAATAGCTTTTGTTTGATAAATTTTAGGTATTTGAATACATAAAGAGTAATAAATCAGAGCTATTTTAAGGTTGTTATGTTAAATTAAACTACGTTCTTGGTTAAGGAGGTGAAGTTTAGATAATATCTTAAAATACCATCGTGCTTTCTAGAATATCTAGACTGTTAGGTATCCACAGAATTGAAATGATACAATTAAAACCTTAATTAGATATCATAAGAAATATTTCTTTAAATTTAAAATCTAGAACAAGTATGCTATCAAATTAAATTAATTAATAAGGCTACAGATCTAATTGGATGTTATTTTCTTCCCCCTACAGAATAATATAATTATTAATGATCTACACTATTTTATAAGTCAATTAATATTGAGAATATGTTTTGAAATAGAAATAAGCTATTAATTATTTATCTTATTATTTTTGCAAAGTAACGGCTTAGAAACTATTTTATGTAGATTCACAGATTTGAGTTTCACTTTAATTCTAATTTTGATTAAGATTATACAATTTAGTTTTATTTCTATTCCAAATATAAAGCAAGTCATCTTAAATTCTCATCCAAGTGTTGCTTGTATAATTAAATTTTATAGAATCTATTACTAAATTTTCTTCTAAATTAGATTCATTTAACACTTTTAGACTTATGACTTTATATAAATCTTCCTTTTGACAAAGTATATAAATGATATCTTTATATGTAGTAGTAGCAACACAAATCTTATATGGACCAAAAGAGTAAGATAGATTAAAGTGATAAATTAATAAATTCTAATTATTTAAAAGTATAAACTGATTCCGTAATAAAGTGCTTAAATGAAATTAATCTGTGTATACATCTAATATCTGATTATCGATGATATTAGTCAAAATTATGCTATCATTATTTTCAACTTAAAAATATTCAATTTATCCCTATGCTAGTAAATCATCTCTATTTATTTCTAAAGAGTATTGATTGTGATCAACGGCAATACTCTCACTCTATAAACTAATATCAATATAATTGTTGATGATTATTAAAGAATTATTCGATGAGTTAATTTATGATTTAGGATTTAGTTAGGAAGATATAGTGAAATTAAAGGTTAGATCAGAAAAATATTTATTTTAAACATTCTAGGTGGAGAATGACTATATTAATATTGTTGTTAAGGAAAATAAGGATTGATTGAAGCTGAGAAATGCAATATTTTGGTATGCCAAACTGCTAAAATATTAACCATCAAACATAATTTACTTAAATAAGCTTGAGTGCTCAGATTATTCAGGATTATAAACATTAATAATATTATCTGTTTAAACATAAAAAAATAGATTATCTGAGTAGAATTAATATCGCTAGCTAATTTAAATGGATGTTAGATTTTTATGAAATTTAGGGTGATAAAAATCCTTCACATTCCACACTTAGAAGCAAAAATTTTACAGATCTTCACAAAAATAGGATAATACTAAGAAATATTTAATGACTGACAGATTTATTATTTGAATATTTACTGCCTTTAGAGAAAATAATTCAAAAATAAATTCATCCGTTATGGTTCCGATTATAAAGCTATCATTATTGTTAACGTATAATACTTTTGATTGATATTATTAATCCATAAATATGTTAATCGGATTTAATGATATTGTTCTTCCAAATAAATTTGTTAAGATTGTTGAATTGAGTAAAATTATTTACTTATTGTCAAATGTGCAAATTGCTAATTAATTTGAATCCAATATTAGCACTATTGCATTGTAGAGAAGTAGAAATTACTTATACGGGTCTATTTAGAGAACAATATTTTCGCTAATAACCATTTTTGTAACTGTATTCAAAAAACAATATATTTAGATATATGTTGAATTTATCCCTAATCCAACTTAATAAAAAAACAGCCCACTATCTGCATAGTAGTTAATCTCTAATTAACTATTATTAACTCTATAGTCATCTAAATTTATGGTTTAAGAAGTCAATTTTATCTCTTGTTAATAAAAGTCAATGGTTAAGTTTGATACTGCCACTACAAAAAAGCAACCTACGGGATTTGATTTACATCCTTCTATTAAATCGACGGCAAAGATTTTTATCATTTGATAATCTTATTCTAGGTCTGATCTGATTAATTGCAAGGTATCATCAAAAAAATTGCCCAATTATTCGTTACTCACATGACTTATTGGCTATATGAGTGGTCCTGAGACAGCCAAAATTGGGTAATGAAATGTGTAGTATAAAAAATTGTAATAGGCTGATTGTTTATTAAGATAAACTGAATAAATATTTCTATCCTAATAAGTAATTTAATTAAAATAGATTTAAATCTAACATTTCGATAGTATATTAGAATTCAATATTTTTTGGGCTTAAATCATAAATTTGCCATACCCAAGATTTGACTAGAAACTTAAATTTGGAAAAGAAAGTTAATATATTTGGATGGTTTTTCCAAAAATATAAAGTTCCGAACTTATTGAATTAAAATAAACAATAGGGTTTTAAGATTTTGTTAAAATTTTATGTTAGGCTAAGGTAGTAAGGTTTTCTCTTTAATTTTTTAGGATGGTTAATATGTTGTTATTGTAGATAATAATAAATTAACTATTTGCAAAAAGTTAAATTTCTTAAGTAATATTGATCTTAGGAACTTTGAAATCAAATTTCTACAGGAAATTATTGCCATATAATATTTCTTAGAGACTTATTGTTTCATCCTTTTTTGTTATCATAACAAATCTATCAAATTGGTAATAAGTATCAATAGAATAATAATAAGCCACACTTAGAATTGAACTATGGTAGGGGGAAAAATATATCTTCATTAATTGCTCTTAAGGTGACAAAATGTACACCGAAATTATATTACCAAATTATACAAATAATTAATTTTTTGTGAAGCCCCTTAATGATGCCATAAAGTTTAATATGTTGCCATTTAATTAAGTTATATTGGAAAATATATTATTTTTTCTTTCCTCAAAAATTGTCAAGACTCCTTAACCTTTATAAAATTATCCATATATTGTATAAATTTTGGTTTAATTGGCAAAAGATACTACTTTTGTACTTTTAGGAATCAAACTGTGGGACGTATATATTTATATCAAATCATATGTTTCAAGATAATAAAGAATCAATTGTTCTTCTAAATAACAATCCAAAAGGATCTTATTTTCCAATGTGTAAATGACATTAAAGCATGTTAATTCCTAACTAATACTTATTACCTTCTCCAATTCAATGGTATTCATATATTTAGTATAAATATTTAATGTGTGATTTGTAGTTAAAGCTGCAATTTCACCATTAAAAAATGAAACAGAAACAAATGTGTAATCTAAAATATTATGAATTTATACTGTTTTTATTCTCTCCTGTTTAACTAATTGCATTTGAGACACTCACATTTTCAGGGCAATTAGGGCAGTTAAATTTTAAGTCTTGATTTCTAAAAAATACTTCCAAAGGCATTTCTATTGTCTCCCCTTGAATAGGGTATATATTATATTCATCATGATATTATTAACAAGCCTTTATGATTATAAGTTGTAGAAAAATTAGCATATATAAATAAATTTGCTATTTTGGATATATAAAGATATAATCTCATGATTAAGCACATATTTTAAGGAAATTTTTATTATTCTCTTTAATTATCTAATTTCTAAGTATTGATGTCAAACTTTATTGTGAAAATACAGATAACCATTCAAAAAAAATATTAATAAATATTGTTAATATAGATGATAACTAAACAATGATTATCTTGATTTAGAGTTTTATTATACTTCCTTTTATGTTCTATTCTATGGCATTCAGGTTCATCTTCACCTTATATATATCTATAATATATTTGAAAAAATAGGAACAATGAAAATATTAAATATCAACTTCTCTCTAATTTTCAAATAACTAAAAATGCTACTAAATTTGAAGATATATTTTTAAGATTTAATATTTGTATTAATATTTTATTATTAGAATTAATTTATGCTATTTAATTTAGATTCTGGCAAATTGGTATAGGATTGACCTAAAATATATTTAATCTTAAATATTTCTTATCCATACTAATTTTCCAATATATGACTTACTCATTCTAAAGTCAAATAACATATAGAGTAATTTTATAATTCAAATTCGTTTGAGAACTTTCCTGTTAAAATAATTCCTTTAGCTTTAATATCAATTACCTACAAACCTTCAACCTTCAAGGTCAGTAAGTTATCACTTTTTAACTTTCATTAAAATATAACATGAATCTAGATTTGAAGTTCTTTGTTACTGAAACTATTTTCTTTTTTATACCTAAATTACCTTCAAAAAAGTACATAGATTTTTGAATGATTCTTCATTTAATTGATCTTAGCTTCTATTTCCAATACGAGAAGCATTAATTCACTAATATCCCTCTTTATCTGTCTAGACATTTTTAATAACATTTTATAGTTCCATCCTTAGAATTTATATTGATACAGCCACTTTGAGTTATTATACCATCAATTTAATACCTTGATTAAATTTTCGAGGCTTTCATTTACTTGATTTATTTCTGAATTTTACTGCATTCGATATCAAATGTTGTACCAAAGAAGAAATATTGATAAGTTTTAATATTTTAATCCTTTTTTTGTTGATTTTTTGTTATAAATATCTTTTAATTAATTTTTTGAAAGTCTAATACAAAAAAGAATATAATAATTCAAGAAATTATTATTCAACTTAATGGATATGGATATGGAATTCCCTCATAGAAATTTACTGTCAAAATATTCATTAATTTTTTGTTAAATTAATAATTTTTGAAATCATCAAATAGGAAAAGTTCTAAGCATGTGATTTAATACAATAAACTTATTCTTTATTTCAAAATTATTCTGAATTTTGTATTTTAATAAAAGATTCATTTAATTATTCTGATAAAACAGCACTCGATTGTAAATTGTATAAAAAAGTTTAAAATAATATTCCAGCGTTTTTTGTTTGATTATTAATAAATCTTTCTTAAAAGTTTTAATTCTCATAGCATTTATACTTGAAGTTTCTGAATTTTTCTAGAAGTTAGCTTATAATTTTTCAAGGGTAATCAGACATCCTTGTTAATTACTACAACAGAATGAAATTTAATATATAATGTAAAATACCTATTACTTTGACATTTGACTTTGATTAATATTCCAAAACTGAATATAGCTTATCTTGGCTTCTAGAGCACACTAATATTTTTGATCTTTAAAACAATTCTAAGTGCAGAAATCTTTAAAAACCTGTAATTAAATAAATAATTTATTTATATTAAAATATAGATCAAAATGGCTTTATAGATTATTACTACAAATTAAATTGGTAATTTTTTTTTGCGGAAATGTGATACAACAAAGAAAGACTGAAAAAAAATTTTTAAAGAAATTTTCAGAAAAATTTCATCAATTTTTTGATTTGAGAATTATCGTTGTTTTCAAATTTTTTGTAAGGTTAGAAGACACAAACCTTAATTTTAAAGATTTTAATAATATTGATCACTTTGATTTGCAAACTTAAAAATATGTTATAAATCTCATTATTTTTGTAACATAATTATATTTAATACAAAATTCACTTTTGGGTTAGTTCAAAATTAAAAGATGTGTTCTTTTAGACTCTATTTAATTTAAAGCAACATCTAGGCGCAAGTAAAACAATAAATAAAAAAACAATCATAAAGCAATAAAGTATAATTATTGTTATATGTTGCGAAGTTTTGTCCTTGTCTGAGTTTGTTGAATTTTGATCATCAGGTGTATCAGGTGTATCATTTGTATTATTATTTATATTTGTATCATTATTATGATTATTATAATTTAGATTCTAAATAAATATAGATTGTGTGACTGAATTTTATATGTTCTAACCTGTGATTTCAATGGATGCATTTTAAATGCCAATTAAATCAATAGAGAGGGTTAGATAATTTTAAACATAATATAATTATGAAGTATTTTTCATTTTAAAGGCATAATAATTGCCAGATAATTTAGATTACTTTTTGGAAGGTTTAGCATTTATAATTTCGAATCCTATCATTCGGTTTATTTGTTTGTTATTTTATTTCAATTCTAATTTTTATTTATCATACGTGTAAATTTAAGGAGTAAATATTTCATCTTCTTAAAAGCTTTCGATCATTAATAATCCATTTGATCCCTATCTTACTGAATATATTGATACAGTTTTGTTATAATCTAAGAAGAAACTTTGATCTAAGACAAAACTAAGTAGTGTTCCAGTCTCTTCATTAAATAAAAGAGAATACAATTCAACAACGTAGAAATATGTTACCAAAAACTCTGCTTTAAGTATGTTGTCAGAAATTTACTGTGAGGAGGATCCAAATTAATTAGTAATATAGTAAAATGAATACCTCACAGCATCTGATTCAACTAAACGCCAAGTAGATTGTTAAAAATAAATATTCCCAGATGGAGTAGTGTCGTTGGGCGCAAACCCAAAATTTTCACTTATTGATGAAGGGATGCAATTTTTTAATAGAAAAATTTCATTATCGCCTTAACCATTACTTTATGTTGTTATAAGTCCAAATATTTAGCAAGGTTGAGTAGTAAAGTTTTCAGACATGCTCAAGTAAAGAGGGTTTGCAAAGCAATAATGGCATACTCCTGCCTCTTTGAAAGCTTAATTAAGATGAATTTTGTTCTCCGAAATCCAAAAATAAAATGCAAAGAAATCGAAGCCTTGGAAGCTTCCAAAATTAAATATTGTTAGGATGCCATTTTTATAACTTGACTCTGCATAGCAACACACTTCATTCAAAATATGCGATATCAATTAATTTGAAGTTGTGTTATAAGCATATATAGTAATTATTGAACTCTAACTACAAATTTGCACGGGAAATGAAGTTATCATCTCAATAAAAAGGGCTGAGCAATATATCTAGACGTGTTATGAAAAATCGTATATCATAGTTAATTCGTTGGTTTCAGGATAAAATAGATATAAACTGTATTAATCATCTGTTAAATAAATTAAACCATCCTAATTCAAGACATTTTCGACAGAAATGTTAAGAGAATAAGAATTACTAAAATCGATTGGTTAAGTAATTTTAATAGAATTACATACATCACAATCAACTTTATAATTTTAAATGTTTCCATAAAAAAGGGTTCTGGGATTTATATTTACATTCCCTTAATCTTAAATGAAGTAAGCCTACTTATTATTGGAATTTTTAGGTAATAATAAATAGTTTTCATAAATTATTGAAACCTTCTGATGGTAGTATGAAGTGAAATTTTAATTATGAGCCTTATATTTTAAATCACATTGTCCAATATAATCAGCTTCATTATAACGAGTTGTTAACATAAAATCATATGATAAATATGGATGATTATATGATTATGCTGAATTTGTGAATAAATATACTATTTGAACTTCATAATTTCTTTCTTACTAAAATATAGCGCTCATTTAGGTGAAGTGCAGATTAGGTACCCTTATTTGTTTAGAAGTCCTCAATGCTGTATAGGATGTTCCAGTTCCAGAAAATTAAGCTAATTAGGTATATTAGCCTTTCTAAAATATCAAGTAGAAGTTATTTGTAGTGTATGTACTCAGGATTTTAGGATTTTTTTATATTTTAAATTGTTCAATGTAGACATCAAAATAATTTTGATTATTCGTTTAAAGCCATATATTTATTTTTTAATAGAAATAGATGAAACTCTTATCGTCATTACTAAAGGCAAGGTAGATTCCATTATTTAAAATACCAATTGCATTACTGGTGTAATTTTAAATTGGGTATGGGATGTAATTAATGAATTCATAAGACTATTTTCCATTGTAAGCTATAATTGTTAGTTCAACTACATTATTAACAAATAAAAAATGAGGGAAATCAATTGAATTTACATAAATCTCATTGAAATTGTTATTTGGAATCGTAAATAATACTTATTATTCTGAAATATCTGTGGCTGTTAGTATACCATCTATAGTAGTTGTAAACAACACATCTTTTAAAATAGCAGCATCAACAACCTTAATTAAAAACGGAATGGTCAACAATTCTTTTGGGTGTAGTGAATAGTTAAACTATTGTATAATTATAGATTAATCAAATTGCATAAGAACATTCAAATTTGATACAGTTTTCATACAAGAACATTTCACCAACTTTTCTGTAGCTCTAATAGGGTACTTTGCTAACGAAATAGCTGCGTTATCAATCGTAAGAATTATTGTATCATTCTTATATTATGTACAATAAAGTTATTCCTAACTTGAAAATGAACATGCTATTGAATAAATTGCGGTATATATGTTATATTCTCCAAACATAGTTCCTTCAACACTTGCCAAAAGATAATCAGAATTGTTCGACAAAATAGATAATGTTAAATTTGGACCTAAAAATGTTTAGCTCCTATCTTTAATCATTACTTCTGGAAATTTGAGTACCATTTCGTCAATATATTGATGAAATTAGATAGGCATTTAATTTTCTATGACATCTAATTATATCAATTAGATTTAAAAAGCATATTGAATTAGTTTTTAATTTACCTGAGAAACTACCAATATATCCAGTTTTACAGGCATAACCAATGCATCTATTTATTATGTTAATTTTTAGGAAATAAATATCTAAGGGTCATTAATTAAATAAGTAGAAATTACGATTTAATTATCAACTGAGTCTTAGACAACTATAATATTCCTCAATAAGTAAAAAAATGCAAATGTCCCTTCATTCAGCTATTAGTAACATGTAGCCTTAATGGAGTCTTTTAACTGCAAGCCTATTATGAAGGAGTCAGTAATAATGAAAATATTATCCAGAGTTAATTTCAAATTAATAATTTAAGTATACTCATTTATAAAATATGAAATTGATTAGACTTATTGGTTTATGTAGTTAACATCAATAAAAAAGGATGTAAGTTTTTATTATTGTAGAAATACAATGTGAAACAAGTTATTGCTTATTTGGTAATTTGTAAAATATGAAATCGCTTAGAGATCATCTTGACTTTAAATATTTATATTTATAATTTCTTGAATGCCTGTATTATTATTTAAATCGACCAAATCTACACGCTCTTTGCTTATTAGAAAAAGGAAATTGGAATTACTAGATAAGACAGCATTTTAATAGTTGCCTTAAAATATTTACTCAGATAATAATTCTATATCATTTTAGTTATAAGTAAAGTAAACTATATGAGCATCCTTTTCTGTTGTATATGTCAAACAAAAAGTAAAATTTTCAGGGTTTACTGTTAAGATCTAAACAATAGGATTATATATTTCGGATTTTATTGGATAATTTAAGACAATATCTGTGCATTCAAGGCTTGTGGAATTTAACAATGAGAAGAAAAGCTCACCTTCCTAAAAGCTACTAAGCATTCCAAACTCATTTGTGATTAAATTAATTTAGAAAAAATCTACAAACTATACAAAAATATATATTACATTTTTAAATCGTGATATCTAAAAAAGTCATTTGTATTTCTCCATTACTTTTTACAAGTCCCTAGTAAAGCTTTTCATCATAAGTTAAAACCCAAAAATTATTTGAATTATCTCCGAAAAGAGCAACATAATTACTCCCAATTCGTATAGATGAATCGTTAATAGTACTTGAACTCATTTTACGAATTTGAGAGATTGCTTAATCAATTTTTAGGTTGAATTCGCTTGAACTTAATAATGAGTAAAATGGGGCTTCAACTATCTCTAAAGTATAATCTCTCAAAAATATTGTATTAGAATTTCGAATTTCCAAAGGGTAGTTAAATTTCTGAGTTTAAGAAATTGTAATATTACATAAACATTCTTTTAAGATAGCTATTAAAAGCCAAAAATGTTAAAACTTCATTAAATTAATTATCGAAATGATATCCAGAATTTATTATGTAATATATTAAAGATGATTTAATACAGAAGGATTACTTAATAAATGTAGATGACACTTAGATTACCCACATAACTTATATTTTGAACAAATAATTTAAGTAAAAAGCATGAGATTTTATAAATAATAATATTCGATGCTAATGAATAATCATTTACTATAAAACAAGTTTTAGTTTTAATGTTAGAATCGATTATTTCCTTGAATCTCTGGATCTCAAGACTTTAGAAGTTTCTTTATAACAATTTCTTAGGATATAACTAGAATGTTAAAAGATTAAATTATGAATATTATGTATTATATTAATTAAAACTAAAAACAATTTAATTTATAATTAGTTGATTGATTTCTAATTATTGTAAAATTGTTTTAATTAAATAGAAAAATAATAAATCCTTAATTAAAATTAAAACTATTGAGTTTTGAGGGATTTAATGTCTGATAAGGTTGTAAAATAATAATCCTTAAGTATTGATTATTTGAAACATATTTAAGAGCTATAAATTTTTAAATTAACATTTACAAATTTAATATTAATTTTAATGGGAAACACTAATGTAAATAAAATTATGCTAAGTGCTATAGAAAAACAACGATATGACAAAATTGTTGAAATAATTGAAGTATTTAATGTCTTGAATAGAAATGTCCACAAATTTTGTCGTAAGATTTAAGTTAAGATATTTAATCTACTCCTTTAGCAAGAGCAGTTTGGAGAAATGATATCTATTTAGTTGATATATTGATCAAAGTAATAGATTTTTACAATAATAGAATGGGGCTGACGTTGACAATGGGGGATCTTCAAGTATAACTCCGTTAATGTGGGCCTGTAGAAGAGACAATGCTTATTTGGTTTCAAATTTAGTTGAATATGGAGCAAAAATTGCAATAAAATCAAATGAAGGATATACTGCATTAGATTATGCTATAGTTCACGGTAATTATAGACCAGCCTTGTTTTTATTTGAATTTTTTTAAGAAACTTTAGAATATTTTGATTATTATTAGTTTGCAAAAGACAGGGATTATCGTTATGTTAATTACGAAGTGATGTTATCCAACTTGAGACAAAAAGTTCCCTATTAACAATTGCCAAATATTTTTAAAAAGCCTGAAAAAAAAAGGTTAATCGATCCAGTTGTTGATCCAAGAGAAAGTTGGAAATAATTAATAGTTAGACAAATTGATTTCAAGGAACCACCTTTGGTTGAAAGAAATGAATTGCCAGATAATTTACAACCATAAAATCGTTTCTGGGGAAAAGTGAGATAATAATTGAATGGATTGTCTGTTTAGCCTTCATAGAGAATGAATTAGGGAGATGAAGGATAGAATTTATAATAAAATATTCCGTAAGAAATCAAATCATCAAAAAGTTAGGACTAAGAGCATTCCAATATTCATATTGACTAAGTATCTGTAGGTTGAAACTAGAAAATAATTGATTTAATATTTTAAATATTATTATTATTTACATGGATTCTCCATAATTATTATGCAAAGTAGTGTTAATTGGAGATTCTGGAGTAGGCAAGACATCAATATTGAACAAAAGAATTTATGAAAAGTTCTCATTTCATACTACTCATACATAGATGGGATAAATGAATACTTTGAAACTAAAAATTCATGATAAAGAAATAACCCTCAAATTATGGGATACTGTAACTAAATTGTTAATAACTTTAGGCAGGACAAGAAAAATATAGAACTATTACACTATAATTCTACAGAGAAACCAAAGGAGCATTTCTTGTTTTTGATATGACGGTACAATAAACATTTGACAATATCAAATTTTGGGCAAAATAATTGAGAAATCACGGAGGAGATGATGTTAAGAAAGTTATTTTAGCAAATAAATGTGATTTAACTGATAAATTGGTAGTCAAAGAAGAAGAAATATCAGAATTAGCCAAGTAAATTAATGCTAATTACTTTATTGTATCTGCATATACTAATGAAAATATTATTAAATGCTTTGATTATATGGCACTTGAATTAATGAAAAATTGCTGTAATTAACCAGACAAGGGTCTCTAAAGTAAATAATTATCTGCAAATACAGAAAGTGTTTTGGATTAAAAATAGAAAAACAAGTCATCTACAGGATGCTGCTGATAGCTGATAAATAATATATTAGAGTATTCATTAATATTATTCCTAATACTTTTTGTAGTCAATTTTTATATTTATTAATGATTCAATTACCCATCATTTGCAGACTGTACTTTGTAAACTCAATTGCGTTGGATCCACTTTACTCAATTTAAAGATTGTGCGAATTCTTGATTAGTATAAAAAATTCCTAATTTTATTCTTTATATTATATAATTTGTAATTTCTAAAAAAAGAAGCCCATATAATAAGATGATAGACCAATTTAAATAATAAGTGCTCTTAACTATTCGAGATTATATTTGGATGTAAAATGACTACTACAATAATTCTTCCTTGTAATTAAAAACAAAAAAACTTTAGAAACTACATAAAAATAAGATTCTTATTAGAATTGTTAGAACAATTCTCATAACAAAAAGTGTATAAAATGTTTTCTATTTTAGATTTCAACTCACTTGTAAATTCCCTGAAAAACAAAATAGTTTGACCATTATGTTAAATATCAATGTCTTTGAGATCTCCTAATTATTGAAGTAATTTATTGTTTAGGAACAAAGGACAAACCTTTAATAATAAGTCTTCGAATGGTTTAGGATAATTAATTGGAATAGTAACATAATTTTCATTGGAAAATTCGATTATTATTGATTTGGATACAGAATATCGAAGAGAAAAAGATAATCAAAATTTTTCAAGATTCTTTATATTTTGTTGATATTTATATATTATTTTGTTGATTAAAGAAATAATATTTTTAATGAATATCCAAAATATATTCTTATGATTCTCCAATTGAATCGATATGAGTTCATCTGTTATTTTTTAATTTTGATATACATTCAATCTTCAAATATTTAATCTTATGATTTAGCAATTCTAATACATGGATATAATGGAATATTTGTTTGGATTTATAATTTCTAAATCTACATATCAATAAGATACAAAAGATTTTTTAGTTCGATTATTTGTCCATCTAATAGTTTTTTCTATCATATCAACTCATATTTCAATAATATCTCCTTATTCTGATGAAATCCTTTTAATTAACCGTTTATTTCTTTATCATGATGTGAATACTAATTTATCTATTATTTGGTACGGCTTACTCACATAAAAATACTTAACAAACATCCTCTTTTGCAAAAGCCACCTTTCCATCCAAAGAAACTTAAATTTTTGATTGCTTATAAATGTTTGAAAATTTTAAATCTCTTTTATAATTTTTTGGATCCTAATTCTAATCCACCGGCTTTTACATTAATAGAGAAGCCATATTATCCTTGAGTATCTACAGTTTATCTTTCAAAATTTGGTATTATGGTAAAATAGTTGGCTTATCAAATTTTGGAATCAGGCACTATTTCAATTTCTCTTGATTAAAAGAATTTTAATTTTTATTAATCTCTTAGAATAGATATTTGATATTGTCTTCAATTTAAATGATGGCATCATCAGTAATGCATTATTAACTATCTATACCTTAAATATCTCTTTAAATTATTAATAAAATGATACCTAGATAATAGTAATAAAATATAACCTTCTCTAAATCATTTCTTAGATTTTCTTTTTTCTAGATGACATCAATAATGATTTTCTTATATCTATCAACTAAATTGCTCAACTAATTTAAATATCCTATATATATGTTTCGATAGAGATAATTAGTTATTATAATTTTGAAACATGCACATTTTCTATTTTTACAATTAACTATCTGTTTTCTTTACTCAAATTAAACTCTCCGAAAAATAATCAGGCTCCTTTAAAGCTTTTCTTATGGATAACTACTTTAAAGTATGTTTATTTTCTTATTTTTTTTAATTTTCAAAATATTGTTCACAAGCAAATTATAAAATAGAATCATTCCAAAGCTAAAATATAGCCTGGTTATCCGGATGATATTTGCACATCACATAATATTCATTAAAATAATAGTATTTTGTTCTAATAATTAATAATTTTGTTATTAATAAATAACTATAAATTTTTAGTTGATCAATTCTTATTAAATATACACAGTCAATTAGAAAGGTGAAAATTACAAGTAGGTAGGACGACATTAGTGTATTTTGATCTAATATTGAAAGAGTAATATTTAAGGTGAGGTGATCAATTCGATTGAATGTTTAGTGTTATTTTATAAATACTCCAATAATCATTAATTTTTATGGGTAATAAAATCTTATATAAAAAGAAACAACTAAATCAAATTAGATAATACTAAAATTTTCATTTTTAGATATATATTTTTTTTTTATTAATTAGACTATTTATTAATGGAGATTAAATAATTGATATTAAGATTAATAGAATTATCTGTAATTCTATAATGAATTAAAATTTCACAAAATAATGTTCACTACATAAAGGATAAGAAATTATTGCTTTGAATTAAAGTAAATAGGAAATAGAAAACAAATAGCTATGTTTAAAATGTTTGGCTGAAACTTCGAAACAAAAAGTCATTTTGATCTCTGAGTCATTAGAGTAGATTGGAGAGATAACATCTAATTTGAAGCAAGAAAGACATACTCAATAAGAAAAAAATGTTCAAGTTATAAAGGATTTAATGGATAAAGTATAAAATATAAAGGACTCTTATCTCTAATAATTTGAAAAAATCTCATATACATTAGAAAGGTGGGTATAAATGATTTCAAATTAAGAAGAGGAATTTAATGAAAAGATAGACTCCGTTTCCTGTATTGATATTGGTGAATTTGTTAATTTTGTTTAGGAATTGGGCACTTAAAAATTATCGTATAATGAAGAATTTAAAATAGATTTAAAACAAAAATTGGAAGCATTGATAGAGAATAATATAATTTCAAATTGCATTCAAAGTTTGTAAAATTTGGATGCAATAAAGAATGAGTTTTAAGTTTCTGATGATGACAATGTAAAGAAGTTAATGATTATTAAAGGATTTTAAAATTGAGTGTGAGCAACACTAAAAGGAAAAGATAATATTATTCGATTTGAGTGAAGTGAGAGCTTTAAAGAAACGTATTGCTTGCGTTTAATGTGTTGATGAATTTCCTTCAACAAAATACAAATCGATAAAGTTTGTTTAAGGAAAATGGAAACAGATTCAAACAGAAAAATAAGAAAATATGAATAATAATTGTAAGAATTTAAAATTGAAAGTGGATGAAATTATTGATTGTTTTGATTAAATAGAATTATAAAATAAAATTTTAACGAATATTTAGAGAAAGTAAAGGCTCAAAATTATTTATTGTAATAAAATTGGAGTCACCTTTCTAAAGAAAAAATTTGTGAAATTGCAGAAGATTTAAGTAAACCAAACAAAAGTAAATTAATTTAGGATCCTTTGATTAAATAATTCAAGTAATAAAATAGGTTTATAAATAAAACTGTGTAAGATACTTTAGAACATTTATAAGAGTGCGAAATAATTTTGTTAAAGAAGATTAAGTTTTCATAAAATCCTTTGCGAATAAATGAATTGGAAAAATTACAAAGCACTTTACTTTTCCCTGATGAAATTGATAATGAAAGTTATTAAAATATTATAGAAACAAATAATCCTTCATTAATAATTAATCTCACGTATAATTATTAATAAAATAATTTACCATTTGAATTATAGAGTAATAAATCAATTAAATATTAAAATTGGTGTCATGCGATTACTTTTAATAAAGACTGTTCAATTATGTTGGCAGGTTGCAATGAATAGATTAATGTCTATGTATTTGAAGATTATATTCGAAAACAGGTGTAAGTCTTATATGGACATTCTGGTAATGTGTATCTTGATATGGTCATACAATGTAAATAATTTTTGGTTTTGTTAATAACAGCTCGAAGGTCATACTTATCAAATAAATTGCTTACTAGTAAATCAAGATGAGAACATTATATTCTCAAGTGGAGATGATAAGAAGATAATAATTTGGAAAAATGACCAATAATGGGAAGTCTCTTAGTCTATTTAAGAACACAACTCTTCAGTTTATGGACTAAGTTTAAATGATTCACAAAATAAATTGATTTCTTGTGGATTTGACCTTTACATTTTGGTCTTTCAATGTTCAGAGTAAAACAGCAATTGGAATTTAATCCAAAAGATCTAAACTATTGCTGGTGGATATCGTTTATGTTTCATTAGTAATAACCAGTTTACGTTTCAACCTATCAATTAGGATGTCATGGAAGTTTATTCAAAAGATTAAAAAGGTGAAGAATATTCTAAGAGTTAAGGAATCAAAATTAAGAGAGGGTTTGATTAAAATTGTTTTTTTCCTTAATAATACATTAAATAAAAATAATTACTCATTAATAAAAATGGATCATGCATCAATGTAGTTAAAGTTCTTGAAAGTGGTTAATTGATGGTTGAACAATGTATTGAATTTGAGACAAATTATATTTTTGGTGCTGCAAACGATAACGGTGATTATTTAGTAACATGGGATTATGTCACAAAAGATTTACAATTGAGATAGTATTAAGAATGAGTAATTAAATGCATATTGATATTTCAAAATATTCAATTATTTTATGTTATGTCTGTGGTTGATGATGGATTTAATTGATTTATGAATTTATTATTCATAGAATTTAAGTGAGTTTAAAGCAGATTATTATCTCTACTGTTAAACAACATTCAAAATTGTTTTATTTAGAATAAAAATAGTCATTTATTTATATATTAAATCTCTAATAAAGTAATTATTAATGTATTATTTAAATGCATAATATATATAGAAAAGATATTTGCTTTGAATTTTTCTTCTAATCGAAATAAATTATAAACGCAAAATATCCATTTATTTTTAATAAATGTCAAGTTAAAATTCTTTTGAGGAACTAAACTCATCTGTAAATTTGAGTTTGGACAGTGGGTTAATATAGGTTTTTTAGAATCCAAATGATTCTGAGTTGGATTTCAATTAGTTAGAGTCAGCTATTTTGAGTTCGAAGCAGGAAGGGCTAACAAAACTGATAAAGGGATCTGATTAATATTATTATTAATATTTCCTCAACATCTTAAATACAAGCGGATATAGATTGGATTCAAAATAATTAGAAAACTTTGAATAGTATAAGAAGATGAATACCGAAAACTTTTAAAAAATAAGACTTAGATCGCTATTTATGGAATATGATGAACTAATGAATTTGTAATAGAGCGAAAAAGTGAAATTAAAGGAAAAAGAGATATTGAAAAAGATTAACAAAAGATTATTTGGAATTAGTTTTGAAGAATTATCGTAAAATAATTTAGATGGTGAATAATAAAAATTATTATTATAGAAATAGTAAGTTATTAGTGGAAATACATAATCAAAAGTAGGACTTTCAGAATTGGATAATAGTAAATTATAGGTAGAGGAATACATAAAAAATGCATACTCTGAAAAAGGAATATTGAAATTAAAGATTAATCTTCTTACTAAATTAGATTTGATATAACTATCAAAATCCACTGTTAAAGTGATAGATATTTACTTTAACAAAATTGATTCATTAATAATTGAGTATATAAAGTTGTTTAAATAATAGATTAAATAATATACCAGAGTTTTACAATGAATTGATGAAGAGAGAAGATTATAAAAATAAATTCGATGCAATTCACTTTAAAAAGCTTACTCTAAGTTAAATGAAAAAGATAATGACATTGAATAATAGATTCTTGGAGAATCTATACTTTGTTGGATATCTATACTTTAAAAAGTATAATTTAGGTAAATATGATAAAAATGATGAAAATTTCTAAGATAATAAAGAATACTTTTTATCTACTTTAAGAAAGGCATACTTATGGAGTAAGACTTTGCCTGATAAATTTAAATCATTAAGTGATCAAATATTACTTGAGTTGCTTTAATTAGGTAATTGTATTTGAATAAACTAATAGGCATTGAATTTAAGCATTTTGATTTTGATCTACTTTCAGAATATTTAAAAAACCCAAAAGATTACTATTCTAATTGTACTTAATAACAAAAAGATCATTAAAGCAAAATCAGAAGAGAATATCAATCATTTTGGCATGAATTCCACGATTTTAACTTTTAAAGATGTATTTGATTCGATTATAATGTAGGGATATAACCAGATAAAATGATTGAGAAATATTTAGAGAAATATTTCTAATTGCATGAAAATTATAGCATATTTGAATTGTATTTAGAAGCCAATTATTTAAAGATGTTAAAAGCTGAATGCAATCTCTACAAAGGAGATGAAGTTACTAATCTAACTGAATTCTTTACTAATTCACAAATTAAATAGATGAACAATAATAAAATTCTCAATTTGTGTGATAATAATAAATAATACTTTTTTAAAGGAGACCCAGTCACACTTTATTTAGAATTGAAAAATATATCCAATTTAACAATTAAGATATTTTAGATCAACATGAGAAACTTTTATATGGCCAAAAGTGAATAACTAACATCAAATATATGTTTAGATGGATTCATTCCAACTGAAGAGATAAGCTTTACTTATGATTATCCTCCAATTAAGAAAGTTATCAAAGAATTCTCATTTGAATCGATTTAGAAAAGTGAAAGAGGTACCTTCATTATTGAATTTATTGGTAATGGATTATCTTCAAAAGCGATAATTGAAAAAGGAAGACTATGTTTACATGAAACCGTTGTATCTGCTGGATATAAATATGAAACATTTGATGAAAACTTTGAGAAATTGATTGATGAAAAAATTGGATTATGGATTAATTAAACTTATTACAAATAATCTAATGGTGAAATAATATTACCATTCCCAGAAACTGAAACTAATTATAATGCGATTATTCAGCATGGAGATTTTTATTAGAAAACATAACTTAATTTACAACCTGAGTAATTCTAATTACATTGTGCTTTTATATTAACTGAAGAATAAATTTAATTAGGATAGGAACTTACAACAATCATTATACCAAAATTATTACTCAACAATTAAGATGTTGGATTTGGATTTTTTAAGGAATAACAAATTTTAGTTACATGTGTGAATGATAAAGGTGTTCCATAAACATTTACATTTAAAGATCTCATTTTTCAAAGCAATGTCCCTCTAGAAGTTAAAATTCCAATTACCTAATAATTACGAAATATTGATATTGAAGTCTCAGGTAGAATCAAGAGATTGCGTTTTGATTAAGATATGATCTTAAAAAAGTTTCATCAAATTAAATTCAATCATGGCTAATCGTAACATATATTTTAGAAACAATTATTGAAATTTGATTAAAATGATGGATACTCAATCTATTTGTTAGGGAAAAATGGAGAACCTACCAGCAACGCATAAGTTTAAATCTAATTTGAACATTCAGAAATAGATGATATAATCTAAGAAAAACTGATAACAAATTAATAAGGATAAATAAAATTAGGATTCTTGAAAAACATCACTAAAATATTCTCGTCTGTTCTTATTACAAACGCATAAGTTGAAAAAAGGGAATGGGATATATTCAATCCAAATAAATTTTGTTTAGAAAACTACTAAGAGACTTTTGTGGTTGGACAGAAATTGACTCTTAAGTATCCTTCAGAATATACTGAATAGGATGTTTTATTTTATAAAACCAAAAGTCTTAAATCAGTATTTTTACCTGTTAAGAATTTAATTTAAAAAGTATAAAGGGATAATAATTCGATAATTGTTGAATTTGAGAAGAAAGGAAAGTATATACTTGAATTTTTAAGAGAAAAAGTAATCTATTAATTTAATGTTCTTGAAAACAATGTTAAGCACAAAGATAATCTAATTTATACATCAACAAGAAGAATTTCTCAAAACTTAGCAGATAAAAATTTCTCCTTAGAAAATACCAAAATTAGTTAGCAAGAGTAACACTTTCTTGTAGAAGGAGACTTTGCATCCTCAAATGAGGTTCGGTTTTTAGCTTTAGCAACAACCTTTTTCCCAAAGGAAATATCAATAATAAATAAGCAAATGGGATCAATATTTTATTAAAATGTGTCTGATAATGATCTTAGAATAGAGTTAAGAGATAATATTTATTTATCTAATTTACAATAATCAGAAGAATTGAGATATATCATTGAAAGAAAAAATTAAACAAAATATGTGGGAAATACTCTTGAAAAACCATAGATCCTGTTAAACAGGCTACTTGCTGATCAAACAGTAACTTAAGATGAATAAATATTGAAATAAGACCATAATTTAACAGGAAATGAAAGAAAAAGATGTGCATCATCTAGGTTTTTGAGAAAAGCAGTTAATTAGTTTACAGGAAATTAAGTATGCGATAGTTTTACAGAATTCTTATTATTTCCTGGTAAAGTAATAACTCAGATCAAAAAAGATGAAAATCACTTTTCATTTGAAGTTCCAATTTAATATTCTACTATTTTAATCCTAGCTTACACTAATGAATCATACATCTCTAGAGTATTGCCATTATCTAATAGTGTGATATAAACAAAGAACCTTTGTCATCAGTCATCTTTATCAAAAGAGAAATTTTATTCGACTTTTCGAAGCACAAAATAAATAGCACCTAAAATTCCATATTAAATTTAAGATATATCTTCTACTGAAATTTTTATTTTGGATAACTTAAATGTCTTGTTTAGAATTTAAAAAGAATTAATGAAAATTGGAAATAAGAAATTAATCGCTGAGGATGAAAAGTTCATCAATCAACTTCTGAAATGGAATCAAGAGTCTATTCAATCTCAACATAAATTTTATAATTAACATTAATGTGATGAACTTAATTTATTCTTGTATTTTAAAGACCCAGCATATTTTGAAACCTATATTTCGAAATATATTTCAAACAAAATCGAAAAGTCATTCATTGATTACTTTTTACTAAAAGATAAGAATGCTCTTAGTAAATATGCATAGGTAACTTTATTTAAATAGTTAAACGCCTTAGAATAAGCCTTATTAGTCATTTACTTTTAAGAAATTATAGGCAATAAAGAATAAGCATAAGCCATTGCACTGTATATGAGCAATAATAATAACAGTAAGCTGATTAAATAAGATGACGATAAATTTAAAACACTATTTGATACAATTTTGGGCATTGAGAAAGATAGTTAAAGTGAGAAAGAAGAAATTCCTGAGAAAAAACAATAAGAAATTATTCCCCCTTATTCTCCTCCAAAAGAGAAAATCCTATCAAAAATGTTGCCTAAATTGGAAAAACAATCATCTATAATGAGATTTGATAGTATTGATTACAAACAGAATTAAGATGATGATTCTCTCAGTGTTTCATCAATTTAACAATCTGTTAAAATTAGAACTTCAAATAAAGAAAAAGTCAATAAAATTCCTGAGATGAAATTCCAAAACAAAGACTATAAGCCTTAAGAGCAAGCTTTAAAATATGATAAAATGAGAAATCAATTAATGAAGACTTTTTAAAATGCTGAAACTACCAATGAGTATTGTGAGAAACATTATAGATATGGAATTAATCAATAAGATTTTCAAAAATTGGTTCAGCCTTAAGAGTTCTTTGTAGATCTTGTAAATCACTCGATATAGAAAGGGTTTTTAAAGGAAGATTTCTGTCCTCCATCTTTTATGCTTTGCAATAATAATTTTACAGAAATTCTTAGTGTATTAGCATTGATGAGTTTACCTTTTTAAACTCCTCAATTTAGCCAGACTTAATTTGGAAATAAAGGATTGGAAATTAATTATGATAGTTCTGCCCTTATTTTTACTAGAGAGATCAAAGAGGCAGAAGTCAAAATTAATTCAAATATTATAATAAATTAAACATTTTTTGATATTACTGAAGAAAATTATGTTGATTAAGATGGGAATGAATATGAATAAGATTTGAATGAGTTCTTTATCAAGAAAGTATACTGTTGTAAAATAGTTGTTTCTAATTGTTCAGCAATATCATAAACCTTTTAGTTATTAGTTGAAATTCCAAATGGTTCAATTCCAGTTTTTACAACTTTTTCAACTAAAACATTTACTTTGACTTGTGCTCCTTATTAGACACAAGTTCAAAAGTACTATTTCTATTTCCCAAAATCAGGAAAATTCACAATTTATCCAGCTAACATATCAAACCTTGGTAAAGTCATTTAGATTGCAAAAGAGAAAACACTTTAAGTTTATGATTAAAAACCAAAAGTAAATCTAGAAAATATCAATGAAATATTATCAACAGATAATAATTAAGATATTTTAGATTATATTGAGAATAAGAACATTTTCAATACTAAATTATTTAATCCAAAATTATTGTATCATAAATTTAGTGATCAAAGCTTTTACAATTAAGTAATGGAAATTTATAGAAGGAGAAAGTTTTATGATTTCCATAGTTTTGCTTACTCACTATTACACAACAACATTGAATGTTTGAAAGAGCTGTTTCTGACTGAATAAGGTCAAAATGCTTTAAAATAGAAGTTTAAACATTTTAAGTGTTCTTTGTTTGAAATAAATTCTATCAGGGTTCTTGAGTATTATCCACTCATTATCAAGCGAGTTCATAAACTCAAATAAGGGGAGAATAATATACTAAATGTATAATTTAGAAAGCAATACACAAATTATTTATCTTATCTACTGGAAAAATCGTAATTTTCAACAGTTGATAAAATAATCCTCATTTACTACTTGTTATTATAGGAGAGAGTCAATGAAGCAGTGTAGATTTATGAATAAATAAGTGAGGAAGAGTAAAACGAATAGCAATTATAATTTGATTATTTGTCAGCCTATTTAGACTTTTATACTGGATACCCAAATTTTTAGAAGGCTAGAGAAATATGCCAGAAATACTTGAGTTATCCAGTTATACATTGGAGGAATATGTTTTATGAAATAATCAATTTATTTATTGAATATGATGGAGAAGAAGATAATCAAATTTCAAAATTAGAAATGACATAATAATAGAAATCGAATGATATTATGAAGAAGGAAGAAACATTAGCATGTACAATTGAAGGAGACTCAATCAATATTACATTCTCAAATTTATAAGAAGTGAAGATAGAATACTATAAATTGGATATCGAAATTCTATTTTCCAATAATCCATTTTTGAAGAATGTGATTCAAGATTTTTCAATTGTGTTACCAAATGTATGTGTTACTCAAAAACTTGGTGGTCAAGAAATTCAGAAGAAGTATGTTATTATTTAAATAAATTAAGTTTGTTTTAAGAGAAAATTAAAATTCCTAGTGAAATATCGAAAGAGAATTTGTTTGTAACAATAAAAGGTGAGTAGAAATCAGTCACTTGTAAGTATTAACCAACATCTTTGTTTGTTCGAACAATGGTAGACTCTGGATAAATTAGAGTATTTAATGAGTAGGGTTAATACTTATCTAAAGTCTATGTGAAAGTGTATTCTAAGAACAAAGGTGATTCAGAGACTTTCCACAAGGATGGATACACAGACATAAGAGGAAGATTTGATTATGCTTCACTAAGTTCATCAAATGTGAAAGATATTGCTTAGTTTTCAATGTTAATTTATCATGAAGACTTAGGTAATCGTAACTTAAATATCTTTTAGGATCAATTATATAGTAAGTCTAACCTCCACCAACATTAGCATAATATGAAAAAGAAATACGGTTGATAGGGAACAAATGGAGATAATAAGAAACCTAAGAAATGTTATAATAGCAATAAATATATAATTAAAAATTTACTAAACCATGTAGGGTTGAGAAAAAAAATATAGATGAAATGGATTGAATAGATAATAAAATTTAATAGAAATTACAATATAATAATTAAATAATTCTTAGAGTTATTGTTTTATAAATTCTAATTGAATCACCATTTATTATTCTTCAGATGTTGATTTATAATGTAGATTTTGAAATAATAAATATGTATATATGATTTCTAAAATATTAAATATTTTTTTTTAATAACACATATAAATATACCAAAGTAGGTTAATTATGATTGATTAAATAGTAAGAAATCAACGAATAAAACATATGGGAATTTTATTAATCAGAGATGGATATTTTGTGTATACAAAAAAGAAATCCAGAGCACTGAATAAATATGAATAGAACTCAAAGAAAATAGCAAGAACACCTGAATAGATACTTGATTTGATAGGAGTTGTGAAAAAGAGAATTTTGAATGATAAAAAGTGGGAACTGTACTAATTATAAATTGACCTTAAAAAGTTCATGTTGTAGAGTAGATTGATGCAAATACAAGAATTATATATGAGAAAATCAAAGCACCCATTCCATTTATGAGTGGCAGAGATTTGATTATGGTTCAAAGAGTGTATAAATAAAATGATGGCATTATCACTTTTTGTTGTAAAGTCATTATGTGTAATGCTTATTCTAGCCAAATCTATCATCCAAGAAAACCCTTCTCATTCCTAAAATAGAGAGAACAGAGATGCATTTGAGTGGTTGGATCATCGTTCCATAAAAAAACCAAGTACTATTCACTTATATATTTGCTTAGATGACCAAAATCATAGCAATCTAATTTTTGATCCTAAAGGAGATGTACCTTAATCAGTGACCAATCAAAATGCAAAATTGTAATCAGACAGTCAAATTAATTGCACTTAATTATAAATGAGTATTTATTAACACACATTTAATAATGATAATCATTTGTTAAACATGTATTTCATAAAACTGCTTTCCATTCTTGTTAGAGGCATTTCTATAAACAAACAAAACAATATTGAACATATTAGAGTGATAAACAAATTCCCAATGTAAAGTGTGAATATAGTTTAGAATGAGAAGTTGGGCGTTTAATAGAATTGCCCAAGTAATCCAAAAATTATTATTTGATGTATCAAGTAACCAGAAAAAGAAATCTTGTTAATAAACCTAAAGTAATTGTTCCTCATAAAAGTCATGTTGAATCTAAGATATATAAAGTATCAATTACAAATCTTTCATCCCAAATAGACATGGCAGACATAAGAAACTCATTCCCAAAGCTATTCCTAATCTACAAAATGCAAACCAGATACTCTAAATTGTTTTATTCCAATAATCCTAATGTTCATAATGCAATTAAGCTGGTCTCCATCCAACCCATATTACTCCAATAATTAATATACCTAATATATAGCATAACAACTTAAATTTAAGTTATCTCTATTAAGCAAATGCCTATAATCTACTTAATGCATTCACATTATTTTCTTTCAATTCTCTGTATAAAACTCCAAGTAGGAATCCTAAATAATATGGGGGACCTCTCGTAAATGGTTTCGTGTAGTAATTCTAATGCATATTCGGTTAAGTCAAGGCGAAAGGAGGCAACAAATACTCATTTACTAGTGACATCACTGTTCCAATAGTTTGAGTGATAATTAACAATGATAGTATCATAGTCTTGGCGACTCTTGAATTAACTTTTGCATAAAAGAACACTGGAATCAAACAAGAGATGAACAATTGCATATCTGTTGATAAATACCAACCCCATGGAAAACAATATTAAGTATCATAGAAGAGGTTATCTATAAATATTAGGTTTCTCCATCCTGTTGCACATTCAAAACGATCCAATGCCATAAACCATCTTGGTCCATCTCCTATATATGGTACTAACTATGAACTTATCAAAATGGCTATTGCATAACATGGCCAAATTCTCAATATCCTATGTAATAAGAATCCAAATATCGAGAATCCATTTCTCTTCACTAATTTCACTCTGCTCTTCTCCAATAACATGTAAGCACTAAAAAAACCACCAAGCCAAAAGAACATGTCTACACTATACAACATATTAACTAAGTTTAAACATAACCAAGACTTCAATTACGCTATCATTTCAAATCTGAATGAAGATTTAGCTAAATCTAGAAATTGATGACCAAAAATCACCATTAAGAATCCTATTGATCTATATCCCTCCATAATACTTAGATTTGTATCATGATCTTTAAATGTGAATAGAGTATTGTAACTGGTCTAAATAGAATAATCTAAGAAACATTATTTATTCGTTTCTTCTTGCTTTACTATTGGAATCGAATTGCTTGTCAATCCTTAATGTTCATCATCCTACTTTTCATTATTTTCAATATCTCTTATATTAATAGAAATTTTGACTTGTCTTTTGATATTTATTAATTAACAAAATATTGGATTGAAACAACTTAGGAGCAACAACATTCCAATAAGAAAAAGTGTCAATTTGAACATAATACCTGATTTCTTATTATAATTTAGAGGGTCATAAAAAATGAAATCAACATTGTCTAATGATACCTTGAATAACTTCATTTTTACATTATATTAATCTAATATCCCTGTTGAATTGATTAACTCCTTAAAATCAGACTATAATTATTCATCATTGAAGTCATCCGTTGTACATTCTCTTGAATGGCATAATCCATAATAACTGGGCACAGGCTCCATTTCTATTTTCAGACTTGAATAATAATATCCCTTTCTTAAACAAGTTTCAAACATACCAAATTGATTAAGACTACCTTATGATAACAAATAGTACCTTGTTCCTGATAAACTTGCATATGGCCAAATATCTTCAAAAAGCTTCTTGTATCCTTCAATTTCTGCTTTCACCAAAAGGGATGTCATGTAATGTTGACATGACTCCTAGGATGCAATTACAAATGGTATTAGTATATAATTTAATAACATTAATTAATATTTTAGTATAGTGAAATTAGCAAAATGGAAGTAGAAATTCACTAAGATAAATTAAATGATAACAATCAATGAGTATATCATTTGATTTAATAATGAAATAAGATAGAAATTTTTCAAGGTCCCGAAGAAGCACCTCTCCCTAACTCAAAAACAAAAAGGCACAAAAAAACAAACAAAAGAAAAACCATAACTTACAATCGTCATCTTCCAAAACCAAATCAATATCACAAGAAATTTAACCTGGCTTACCAGAGGAAAAGAATATCCTCAATTTGATCTCGGAACTGGAAACCTAAAACCAGAAGGGGATCGAAAATCAGAAGCTAATCCACTTGTGCCTTTAGGATGCCTAAAATCCAAGTATTGAATTAAGATATATTTAGTGAGAAAAAATAATCAAGAACTTTCAGAAATCTGGAGATAATCACAATATAACCAAAATTATCACTAAGAATTTCAACAATCAATGATGAATGAATACGTCTTTCTTGGGAACAGTCTTTCAAACCACATGATCTCCTAGAAACAAAGAGCCAAGATGGTTAATTGGATGGTCGAAGTCTTAAGTAATTATAATGAAACTACTTCCAACATTACCTTCTTCAGATCTGTTTCCATCATGGATTATTACCTCTAAAAATCCATTTTCCAATTTTCTGATAATAATCTTCACCTGATTGGCATCACTTCCATGTTTATTGCTACCAAACTTGAAGATATTTATCATATCCCCTTGATAGATTTTGTAACTAGAGTTAGTCATAATTAATATTCCTAGTATAAATTATATCTAATTTAGATTCGCAATCAAAGCAATGGAACAATCAATCTTGGAAACCTTAAATTTTGAGGTCACATTCCCAACATCATTGGACTTTTTGCAAAAGATCTTTTACTAATGTTTTAGTTTGAATGACAAGTATTAATTTCTTATTATAAATTTAGTCCTAACTTATAAAATATTTTAGATGCTAGTATCTATAGGTTAAAAATGTGTCTATATGATTACACTATGACATCCTTTAATTTATATACTCTTGCAGCTTCATCCCTGATTTATTCTATAAAAGACTTTGTCAACAAAAACTATCTAAATGATCGAAATATTGTCATCGATCTATTTGTAATTATTTATACTATTAATTTAGTACAATAAAATTATTGAAATCTCTTAAATTGATTTAGCAGAACTTAAATCATGTGAAGCCTATTTATAGGATCTAGTAAGTTCTTTTCAAATTTTATATCCTCTATTCCGCAATTTATAATAATATTCATGACTTAATTGATTTAATCATTAATTTTTTATTAATTTTAATTATGCAATCAAATTAACATGAAATAATGAGGAATTATGATTTTTATCATAATGCAACTTGGAAAGAAGTTAAATCAAAAATTCGAACCTATATTGAATTATTTTAAAAATAATCACAACCACAAATTCAAAATATTGAATAATTTTATTAATATCTAGAGTATGATCATTCTTTTATTTAATGGATGTTCCCTAATTTTTATTAAAGTATGTTTAATTCAAACTCTTATAAATTAACACTCAAAGAAAGAGATTGTATGATTAAATCAGACACAATTCTTAAAAGATATCACTAGAATTATATTTTGATTTTGAGATTTTATGGAATTGAAATAAAATATGTGAAAATTAAGTAAATAGAATAAAATGTAAACAACTAAACCCATACATAAACCTTAAATAATCATTAGAACTAGGAATCAAAAGTCGTTAAAAATACAATTAAATAGATACCTATTAAAGAATCCCAATAAAAGACTAATGATTAAAGTGAAAAACAGCCATAAAAAAACGAAGAATAATAAAATTGCAAAGTTAATAATTCATTATAATAAATATAATAATAATTTTTATCGCCTTCAAATACCTATAATCAAAAAAATACTTAGACATAATGTCACACTCAGAATACAGATCAAATCATTAGTTAGAAATCAGAATTAGTATTGATTGATAGGAATTAATTTGAATTGTGCTGTTTATAGAATATTCATAATCTGCTGAGATTAAAAAGAATACTTGCATCTTTGAGTGTGTTGAAACATAGAAAGGAAGCAATTCAATTATGTTAATTCTTAAAAAAGGAGTTGACAAATATGGGAAAAGGGAATGTTTATTAAGAAAATTTCAGTGGATTTGATATTTATTATGAGGAAACTTCAGAGAGGGATTCCAATAGAGATGTGAATCGAAGATTTAATTCATATAAGTATTGTTATGTAGATAAAGATTTAGTGGAGAAGGTCAATATTTCGATAATTTAATGATTTCAATAAATATAATCATTTTTTAGTTGATAAATTTGTGTTGATTTTAGAGTTGACAGATTTAAATTTCTCTATTTTAAAGGGTTCCTTCTTTTCTACTCCTTAGATCGCAGCCAGTTTTTTGTGGTTGGTATCGTGAAATAATTAGGATGCCTTGTTGCCTTTGACCATGGAAGAAGTCATTTTGGAATCCTTTGATTAGCATATTGTAAATACTTGAGATCCTGCTCTCTATTGATATTTATCCAGAATGGTTGACTCAGCCTCAATACCATAAGAGTTGCCCATGACTAATTTCATAGGAGTTGATGGTCTAAATAGAGAGGTGCAATTTACCTATTTTTACGACCATAGCGAAATTCCTCTTCTGGCAATTCAATGGCTTGAATATTTGTGCCCTTCTTAACTTTAAGTCTAGCATCATGAGTCTGTCTGAATTTGTACATGTCCTGTGGGAGTAATGAATAAATCAGTTACATGAGCTTTGACTGAGCCATTGTGTATTGATTGTTTATTGAGTTCAGCAAAGTCTCGATTGGGTAGTTGATCTTGAGATTCTTGATGAAATTTCCAGGTCATTGTAACTTATGGGAATTGAGATTGTCATAAATACCTTCTTTGGCTCCTTCTTTGTCTCTTGAGAGTGGTTATCCATAAATGAAATCTTGATTAGGGAGGTTGTAGGTAGATGGCTTTGCTTTTCCAACGTCATCCTTCATCAAGAGTGGGTTGGAGTGGTTATTTGAGAAGGGAGGCGCAGTTTACATATATTATTTTATTAAATAATAATGAGTTTTATTTATTATTAAAATAATAATAATAATAATGGAAGTAAACATATTATTATTTATATATTGTACAATAATAACATTATATTTGATATAGAAAATATTTACAAGCAAGACTAATAATAATAACAATTTGGTGAAGGATTTAATGTAGGAAATAGAGAATTTAAAGAATGTTAATAATAATCAGAATAAACAACAGAATAGTCAGATTACTCAAATAAAATAGCACTTCACTGAGTTGACTCAGATTTAGGACGATTTCCAGAAAAGTATGCTATTTCTATGAATTTGAATAGAATTATTGAATACTCAAATAAAATTGATGCAACATGTAAATAAAACTTATTCTCAAAGAACTAATTCACAGCATAATAATTCAGTTTTATCATAAAGAGATTAGTCAATAGAGGAGAAATGAATGATTATTTTAATTAATTAAATAATAAATAATATATATATTAGAAGCAATTATGAGTCAGGAGGAGATGTTGGCTAAATAAGAGGAAATAAATTTATAAGCTGAGGAAGGTGAGTAAAGAAGGAAGAATAAAAAAAGAGTAATTACAAATCCCAATTAATTAACAGGACATTGGAGTGAATAGGAACACAATACATATTTAGAATTCTTGAATATGCATAGAACAGTCATGGAATCATAAGACTAAAAGAAAACTAGCAAGATTTTCAAATTGATGAGTGAAACAATTGGTACTCGAAGTCCTTCTTAATGCCGGTGAGATTGGTTTTTTCTCTATCTTCTAGGTCTCATCACCAGAAGTTCAACCCTTTTGTGCATTCGGTCAAGAAGAGATAGAAGGGAGTGGGTCGGAAGAGAAAGGAGAATGGAAACTAAGATAGAATGGACAAGTATAATGACAACGGACTGCTTTAGTAGCTTATGGTTGGGCCACAATTCTATTAATAGCAACAGGGATTTTAGGATTACTAATTTCAGTTCCCATAGATGCCATATATGTTTCCAATCCCAGATCAGACATCCAAAGATGACGATAAATTAAATATATATGATCAATAATAGTTGTACTTTCAATAATACTTGCTGGCATAATAGTAAATGCAATAATAAATGGATGATAAAAATCTATATTGTTATTTTATGCATCCACAACAACTTCAGTTAAATTTGAATTACTATCCACAATAGGTGATATCAGAAGATATGAATATCAAAGATGATGAATAATGAAATAGTATTTAAATATTATAGTTTGAGATTATTCGTTTTTATTTAATTAATGAAAATACAATTATTATTAGTTCTTCTAATAGCTGCCAATACTCAATCCTTTTTAGAAGAGTCTGCACTCTACTATCAGACTCCCTTCGCTCCCATCATGATCTAAGAGGATGTGTAATAGCAAGATATTGAAACAGCAATAGCTCCTGAATAAGAATATGTGTATAATCCAGAGTCTGTCTTATAATCAGCCAAAGAATAATAAATTTTGATAGCCAGAAATTATGAGTAAAACTTGCCTGCAACAGGTGATTGCATAATATTGTATTCTGAATGCAACTTTAGAGGTTCATCATTCAAGTATTGCAACAAACCAGATGAAGTCTTATCATTTTAACTCCCCATATAATCTGTATATGTTCCCATTGGGTATTGATCATGCTTATAAAGATCCTCATTTTAAATGACTGATGCCTTAGAGGGAAACTAAATCAATATGTTATTGAGCAATGATTGCATTCCATCCGGTTTACATTTACCAGAACCAGAATTATAAGAAGTCTAAGACACTGGCAGCAGTTGGTTTAGTGAATTGAAGGATTCTGAAAAGGCTGTTCTAGATGAAGGTGACTTGTCAACACCAAAAATATAATATTTTGATAATGATGGAAATGTGATTAGTAATTTTTCATTTGATTATTCTATCAGGCAGAGAACAATATTAAAAGATGGTTGAAGAGGATGCCAAGAGATCTTATGAAATCTTAAGTGGATAATAAAGTCTAGCATCTCCAGGAGAAGAATAACCTTAATAAACTGCCACTGCTAATGTTGAAGAAATGCCTGTAGAAAAGGAATAATAATAATAATAATAAGAATGATAGATTATTATAAATTTTAATAAAAAATAGCATGTATATCTTATGTTAATAATAGTATTTATATATCAAATTTTGTAAACTATTCAAAACTATGAATATAAATTTTACTTACATCTTCACTGTTTATATCATCTGGTAAAATCTTGTCATGTTACTGTTGGAGCAACTATTATTGTTTCATATATTCATGTTTCTGACTTTGATTTATTATTAAATAATATTTACGCAGCCTATGCTAATTAGACATCCATCATATTAATTCTTAATTTATCTTTGATATTAGATTTTCCCTTTAATTTTTAGTTCTATTGTTGTTAAAATGGCAATTGGTTTTGTTGCTGTTAAAATTACCTATAAAGAATATTGATCAAATATAATTACTAAGCTTAATTGAAATAACAACTGACTTCCGTTGCCTACTCTTTACCTAAGTATCCGAAGCTACTTTCTTCTGAATCATTCACTCCTTTCTATTAGTAAATATTTTTACTTGAATCATCAGCTAAAAGTGAATCACAGAGATCTAACTGCTTATAACTAATTTCATATTATTAGATTATTTTATCTGGAATTTAGTGTGATTATTATTATTATTATAATTATTATTAATTGTTCTTTGAAACCTAGGTATGTTTCTGTTATGGTAGCATATCAATATTCAAATTTCCTTCAGTATCATCTTGATTAACATTCTCTGCACTCTGGATAAATGATTCAAACATCCTATCAATTTCAAATATTATATTATTTTTACTCTATTATGGAACTATCACCCACTCTTTTTAAAAATACCTTCATTAATTGTTCTCTTTATAATAACTTTTATATGGCTTCAAATTACCCTTATACGAGATATTTCAACTCTTAAGTTTCTAAATCTATATTAATTATACGTACCTGATTCTAATTAAATATTCTCTTGATTGGAATGGTTCTATTATTACAATTCCGAGATTTACTACTTCAATTAAGTTATCTAATCATTCATTTACGTTTTATTTGCTGACAATTAATCATTTTCCTATTGCATGACCTCTTGCTTCTTTTTGATCTACAATAACACATTCTCCAACTTCTTCTTGTCCAATTAGAGCTAATAAGACTGTTGCAAGATCTGAATCTGCCTTTTGAAGAAATGGTCAATTTGAATGGCTTAGAAAGTATCTTGGGTTGAGGATGGCAAATTGAATTGTTGCTGAGATGCTTGTAGATTTGGTTCTTAGAACAACACTACCACCAATTGATTCAGGATTTGGTTGAATTTAGTCATAAATGCTAATTCTTTGGCATCTTGTGGCAGATTTTGATCTCTCTCTTACAACAATAATTTGATTTTCTCTTTGACTTTTTGAATTTGAGATTGATCACTTGATACACTATTACTGTTGATTTTATTTTTAACTGAATGATGGAAGGATGCATTTTTGGTTAGAGCAGGAGATTATTGTTCGATATGTATCATAGATTGGTTCTTGCGTAACTTATGTGAAATCTTCACAGTTTCAATCAATTCGTTGTTAATGGAGTACTTTTATTTGGTGTTTTATTATTATCCACTTATGACATTCAAAATGCTGCTTAATTTCTGCTAAGAAACAGGTTGATTAATAAATGTCTTATTGACTTTCTAAAGATTCTCATAAGATTTTTATCTTCCAACGACAGGACTATTGTTGTTTGAGATGTTTTGCGATTAACTTTCAATCTGATTCTTCGATCCAGTTTTGATTAACTTCTTCTCCAAAATTTTACCTTACAATTTTAGCATCTAACTGGCATATATTTATTGTGCTATTCTCTCATTGTCACATTTCTTCATTATTATTAATAATCTAAACTAATTATGATAAACCAAAAAGAATAATATGAACAACACGAACTATAATCATGAAAGAAGACTGCTCGATCAATATGTGATTTGAATCACTGACTCACTTAAATGAAAAACTAGTATTCATTAGAACTTAGACAATAACATTGATATTGATTCCAAAAAGAATTTGACAGTAACATTAACAAGAAGGATATCTAAATCCAAAAATAATCACTCATCTAAATTATGAATATTCGATCGACAATAATGTTCAAGGCATGATCATTCTCTTTCGAATTATTATAAGATGTTTAAAATACAGAAAATGCTGATCTATTACAAAGAATATGAGAATAAGGTCTATAATATAGAGTTAGATAAAAGAGAAGACATAGAAGATTTATGTAAAGCATAGCAATTTCGACACAAAAATTTTAGATGTAATTGCATTATCAATTTAAAATTATAATAGAGAATAACTCATATTTTCATTATGCCTAAAAACGTCGATTTTCATATTAGCTATCCATTGTCAATAGTTTCAAACTTTCTATAATTTTTTGGACTCTCTTGATTTCTAATTATTATTTGATCAATCAATTTTGCCTCTCAGCAATTTAGTATGATTTATTTAGATAATTTATTTAGCCAATTTATTATTTCAACATTACTATTGGGTTTTTTATCAATCTTTTGTTGAAATGAATAAATGTATTTGTTTTAATTATTAATGAATAATTATTGAATATATTTGAATTTATGATACAATACTATCAATTCTATTTTAATATTTACTAATTATATAATTTAATTGCATTACTAATTAAGAAATTAAGATTGCCCCATTATTGGTATGTCCTTCATTCTAAATAGTATTTTAATTATATTGAAGTAATTTTAGTACTCTATTTTAATTGATTGCTAAACAATTTTTGAAAAATAGTTTATGTCTATAAAGATAAAGTTTGAGAACATCTTAAATTGAATTTTTCAATAGAGAGTGAAATAAATTAAATTATCTTAACATACATAAAATTGATTAAAGCTTAATCATATAATAACACTGTAAACAAAAAGGAGAATAGATAAATTGATTGTTTAAATTAATTTAATATGTTTATTTATAATAATTACATATATTCAATTATTGAAATTCTAAATGCTATTTTGTATATAATGATATACTTCTTTTATCTACGTAAATTTTTTAGTCTGCTTGTTAATTTTATTATACACGGTAAAATTGGTTTGATCATGTATAATTATATTAAATTTAGCATGATCATATTCTTATTCCCCTTTTCTTTCTGCTTTCAATGTGAATCCTTGAGCTCTCAAATAAGATTGAAAATCAGTTGGACCAGGTTGTTTTCGATTTCTTAGGATTTAATACTAATCGAATTCTTTCAAAATCGTACAGACCCATTATTCATTCTCTCTATTATATATGTCTTTAGAGACCAAATCCTTTAACAATTTCTTATAATCTATGCTTTGATTCTGAGTGATTTTCTAAAAAACTATCCGTATTGCTTCTCTTAAATCTTAACTTTCTTTATATTTCTAATAGACTTCAGTAGCTAATTTACTCTGATCAATGTTGGTTCTTGGATCCCATTTTTCAAATAGAATTTTATCCCTCTCACAATACAATTAATAGAATTGAGTGAAAATATCTAAAGATGATGTTATGATTGTAATTTCACGAACAATAATTTAGATTACATTCTTTATAAGGTTGTAAAAGGTTCCTTGCATTTCTGATGAATCAAATAATTACTCAAACATTTTCTAAAAGAAATTGGATTCTGTCAAGAATTCTGTTGAAATTACAATATTTTAATCTAGTCTTTCAATCCTTTTAAGGTAGATGTCAAAGAGGAATTAGTTAACCTTTTATTAATATCGAGAGTCTAATGATTTTATGTATTTGCTACATATCAGCTTACTGATTATCATTCTGAATCTATTCCTGATAACTACTTAAGCCATACCTTTATTCTAAAATACACTAATTTAATACAGATTAAAAATAGGCCTCATAAACTGATAGTAAATCATCAACATAAGTGATCTCAAATGATTTCGGTTCTAGTAAGACTTTCAATATGAATTCCTGGACATCCTTTACCTCTTATTGATGTATCATTGAACATATTTGAGTAATGGATGTTTTATTGACAAATCCAAACCATGTATCCCGTATCAATTATCTGAATTCTGGTTCTCTCTATGCTTTTTGATTAATATGTGATATTTGACTGATAAATGAGTTTTTAAAGCTATCCCCTAATTGCAAATGCTACACCATTTGTTCATAAAACCTATTAATGAAGGTGATAATTACATTTTCTATACTTGCTCAAGATTTTGGGGGAGATAATAATGGTATTAATTCAAGTATTCAAAGACTTTAGCTGTAGGCTTCATTTAATAATAAATTGTAATATTTACAAAAATATTTTTGGAAAGGAAAGAATTGTCTTAAATTGGAAGGAAAAAAAGAAGCAAATCAAAAAATACTAGATAATATGGGATGATATGTTAATCATTGTTCTTATTCTGAAAGAGTAGTTCCTTCAAGAGCTTAGGATTGTTGTTCTTGCTTTGTCTCTTGCTCTAATTGGTCTTCTCTAATGATGTTATCCATGTCAGTTTGCAATTTAATCATGGCTGGACCCTTTTCAATTTCTTGGGTCATTTGCAAATATGCATTATAGAATTACTTTGGTAAATGATCACCTGCATCCTATTCAAGGACATTTCCATTTAAATCAGTAACGGTGTAGGAGTAGACTCCAGCATTATTGGATAAATCAGTTACTTGACCCACAACTCCAGGAACATATTGTTCATTGGTTTGGACTAATGAAGCGTGTTTCTTGGCTTGTTTTTCATGCTTGGTCACTTCTGAGGTTATTTATGCCCAATGTTCTATTTAAATGATGAGATCGTACGAGCTTCTTTTTGGTTGAGGTGATAATCAGAATCTCCCAAGTTGACAAATTCAATGAAGGCACTATTGAAGACTCTGTTCTGATGAACTGCTCCGTGAGACTTTCTAACATGTCCAGCTTGAGTTGCTATAAGCAAAGCACAAATAAGAAGGGACTTATACATTTCGATAATAATAATAATAATAATCGTTTTTGCACTTTTTACATATGGTAAATTATTTTAATTAATAAATAACTCAACTTTATGGATCCTTGGCTGTTAGCACAAACAAACTCATCAAACCAATCATCACGAATTTCAATGAAGGATAGTCATTCAGTAATATAGTGATGTATCCCACATATGGTAACACTCTAAAAATAAGTAACCTATGTAAACCCTTCTATTTTTCCCATGATGTCTGATCGTTCCAGCCACATCTGTTTTCTTGGATATAAGGCTCGGTCATCCACTTGATTATTATCACCTTTGGTCAATATCAATTAATCCATAGGATCGTCACTCCTATTCACTATATTATCTGCTTTCTTACTTCTATTGAATTTGTAATACTCTATGCACAATCGGGATGTCTTAATCTTTGATCTTATACACAATCACATCTCCCACCTCAAATGGCTTGTTGAAGTAGGTCAAGAAGAGTATATCACCTCTGTAATATGCTGGCTCCATTGATCCAGACAAAACAACAACCACTGGAGATTCTGAAAATGACACGACTTATAAACTCTTCCAAATTGACAATGCTGATCCTACAACTATTGCTAATGAAACTATTTGCAATATTATCTGCATGTATATCATTTCTCATTATACCTTTCTGAATTTCATGTGTCGGAATTCATCCACGTAGCCAAGAATGACATCCATTATTTTATTTTTAATTTATTTAATTACATATTTGTATTCCACTTTAATAGAAATATTAAAAATGAGTCTCTAAGTTTATCAAGCACCACAATCCCAATCAATCAATTCCTATCTAGTCACACTTATAGATGGAACTGGCTCCATGAGTGGAGAGTATGAATAAGCAGTCAAAGCATATTAATAAGTCTTCTCTTATCTTGGAGACCAGAAGTTAGAATATCAGTTCCAATCTGAACTCTATCCAATCCTTCCCTTTGTTGGAGTCAATGGATGTGGTGGAAACATCACAAGTACTTTCGAAGACTTATTTTCTATACTCCTAAGCGAACAATATCCAAAAAATATTACAATCCTATTTGTGAGTGATGGTCGAGAATCCTTTTATATTAATTAGCTTCTCACTCAAATCGAAGAAATGAAGAAAAAGTTTATGATTCAATTCATTAGTTTAGCTGTAGGAGACAGATTTCCTAATGAAATCAGTAATATCTTAAGAAACAAAATTCATAATCATGATCCTAACTTTTAATCACTATTTAAAGTTAATAGACATTATGCAAATTCTTAAGATATAATCTATAAAGAATTTCATGCATGCTTTTTAAAAATTAAAGAACTGATAAAAGTTCAAGATGGAATCATTCAAATTAATTAACCTGTCTAGTAAACACTCGTGTCCCCATTGTCAAATTAGGTAATTGCAGGTAGTCTCTTTTGTGCTAAAACAGATGGTTAACAAGATAATGAAATTTGTGCTGGGCCTACCAAATTACAACCCAAAACTACCGATAAAGATATCAATGAATTTATTGTTGGTTCCTTATCCTAGGCCATCAATGATCAGATTGCCAACAAAAAAAGAGACAATAATTCCTTCAAACAGATCTCTGATGCAACCCCTTAACTTTTAAAGTAAATAAAATCAATTAAATCTACCTAAGAAGAACAAAAAAAAAATCAAGAAGTATATTCATTATTAGATGAATTACTATCATCAAATCTATAACTGTAGACCATGAGTGAAAATCAAATCACCTAATTATAACGAGGTTTATTCGATCAATAAGTGTCTTTGAATTAAATTATTAATGTTAATTCCCGTGATATTAAAAAAAAGGGTGTTACACCAGAGATTCTAAATGAAAGGCTAGCAGAATAATATCAAAAATTAATTGCTCCAGAAACCTTTCAAGAACCATTTAACTTAAAAAACTAATAATTAACTTTACTTGATACTACTGAATTGATTATTATTGAAACCCTTAATAATCACATTTCTTATATTCAAGACAATCTAAATGCAGATCATACCAAACTCTTAACAGATTTTCTAACTTCAACATAAGAATCCCTAATCAAAGTATTCACTGCTTCAGATTTTAAAGTTGAATAAGATCAATAAATTGTATCCTTCAAATAAATGAACAATTTGTTCTAATTAATAGATTAGACCATCAAGAAATTAATTAGTATTTCAAACTTTCTGGTTCTTGTTAAGAAATATCAATAGAAAAGTTAAGTTATTGATGGTGTGGATGCATCAAATGCATTATTTTCATCAAATGACGATTATAAATATTTACCAAAGGAACTGTAAATTTTATTAAAAGAAGGAATAGAACTGGAGGAGGCTGAAAAATGTTTAATACTTATTGTGGATATAAATGATTCTATGAGAAATGAATCTTAAGTTGCTATAGATTCATTTTAGACAAAATTTAATGATATACCTGAACAAAAGAAGGTAATTTTAGTTTGGTAAAAAAATAAATTTTCGTAATTGTAATAATAATAATAATAATAATAATAATATGATAGCTTATTAGACTAATTTAAATAACTTGATTAATAATATGATTTATCTAATAAAAGAAATAGAATTTGTTTAGTTACTGATGGATAAACTGATTATTAGCTATTGCATAAATAGTTTAAAGTTTTAAAGTTTCATTATTCCTTTTAAATCATTTATTTGACTGTTGGATCCTAAATACATTCTAAAATTGGAAATGAACTAAAATCAAAATATTAAGATAGAAATATTAAAGGATGTCCTTTATTACTTAATGTGCCAAGATCTATTATCTAATCAACATAAAATACATCTTAAAGAATTAAAGATGTATTCAATAAAAGTTTTGAAGATATTTACAAGCATTTTAAAAAATGAAATATTATTATTGATATAAATAATCAAATGAAATCATAATTAAATTAACCAACTTGTTTTTCCTCTTCTATTTTATTGATTTCAGTCAATAGTTCCTAAAATTAATCTTAGTTTTAGTTTTCATATCCTTCCAAAAAAGGTTTAATTTCTTAAGATTTTTTTTATATCTAGAAATATTAACAAGATTACGTTTCCCTTTTTCAATCCAGCTAACCCTTAAATGAGATTCTTAAATTCATCAACCAGCTCTCCTATTTTATCTTATGCTGTTATATCTTGTAATTCTATTGGTTTTTATTTGCTGCGTTTTCCAGTTGATAAACGAGTAGTATTTTAATTGATATGTTATGCATACTCTGCTAACTTTTTAAGAGGACGTACGATGTAATAAGCGAATATCCATCCAAGTAACAAGATTAATAGGAATGAGCCACTAATCAAATAAATAGTATAGAGCAGATTTTCATTGAATTCAATATCTGAACTTGATAAAATTTCATCAGCTTAATTGTACTCATTTATATTGTCCATATAAAGCTTGATTACTGATGATTAGTTACTACTACGAAAGAATTCGAGGAATTTTAATAATTTCCAGCTAGATAGCAAGTACTATTAACACATTTAGAAAATGTATCATTGCTATTTTATAATTGGGAAGCCTAATAATATGAAGTTAGAAGTACAAAATAAATGGTTTCCATAATGGATTAATTATCGACTATGGGATAAGTTTAAACTAATGCAGAATCGAATGATGATTAATTTTATACTGTAATCTGCAACCACTTGGCTTCGGCTGTATACAAAGTTTTTGTGTAATTTTAGATTGCAGTTTCAGCAAATAGAGTGAAAAAGTGTTTGCTGACATAGAGACCAATGATAACTTGGGAGGTAACAAACAATAAAGTGATGAATGTGAGTAGGAAGAGCGAAATCATAATTTGATTGAGGATACTCCAGTTGGATTTGATTTCGAAGAAGCAAAATTTTCTGGAGATTGGTTTTTTGACAAAATTCCTGGATTCTCTGGGCTTAAATTAATACATGTTTTTTAAAATAATGAATAGAGTAATATATTATAGTATAAACTTCTGTTAATTCATAAAAATTGATTCGTTTTGGTAATAAATATAATATTAATTAATCTATATGAGCTTGTTTAGATCAGAGTAGATGGAATTCTATAATCTGGTTATTCCAAGAGAGTCAGCATGGGATGTAATGAACACATTAGGATATTTTGATAGCGTTCACATTATAGATTATGATCCGACTTTACCCTAAATAAATAGGCCATTTTCAAATTATGTGAAGAGGTATTTCATTTAGAGATTTAAGATGTGATGATGTGTTGTAGAAGATTGAGTAGATAGATAGTGAGATGAGAAATTTCAAGATTGAAAAAAGTTATTGTCCTGATGTGATAGATTTATTGAAGAAGAGAAATGGGACTCATAAACAATTTGAAGAATTGGAATAGGATATATGTAAAGTGGCAGATGATTTGGAACATCAATAATAAACAATGAATAGTTTATAAGAGAAGAAAAACACCATTAGAGAGAATCTCGAAGTGTTGCGAAACGCAGTGGCATTTTAGAATGAAGATTCAGAAGAAGCTAGTTTGTTGGGATTTCAGAAGATGGTAGGAGTTATATTGAAGGAGGATGAATTGAGATTTAAAAGGATAATTTTTAGAATAACAAAGGGTAACATTCACGTTGAGATTATGGACATTCAAGAACAATTTATATAATAGGATAGGAGAATAGTATAGAAGTGTGTGTTTATGCTCTTTTATCCAAATGGAGACTTGACTCAGAAGAAAATCTAGAGAGTGATTGAGTCTTTTTCATGCAATAAATTCGATATCCCAACATCGAGTGACTAACATGCTTAGAGAATTGCAATGTTGGAAAATCAATTGAATGAGGCAGATTAATTGTTGCATTTGACTATTACTCAAATAAACAAAAGGTTGCAGGATTTGGCAGAAATTAAGCATAACTGCTCTTGGATTGAAGAGATGAGGATCTTGGTAACCAAGGAGAAGTATTTATACATGAATTTGAATATGTTGAATATGACAAACTCTGTATTTCATGGTCAGATATGGTTACCACAAGGTTAGGATTAAAAAATTTAATAGGCTCTACGAAGCTTACATGGTAATGATAAATAAATACCTAGTGGTTAAATCTAGGAATGTTAAACTCAATTAACTCCTCCTACATATTATAAATTAAATTCATTTACATATCCCTTTTAGGAAATTGTCAATACTTATGGTATACCCAGATACAAGGAAATCAATCCAGGCTTGTCTACTATCATAACATTCCCCTTTCTGGTAGGTGTGATGTTTGGTGATGTTGGTCATGGGTATAATATATTAAATTATTAAGAGTTTGTTATTGTTTGTTTGTGGATTGTATCTCACAACCGAGGATGCAAGGAAATCAATCTTCTCTGGAATTGTCCCCATGAGATATATGATACTCCTCATTGGATTCTTTGCTTGTTACAATGGACTCATTTATAACGATTTTCTATCCATAGGCTTAAACTTATTTGGAAGTTGCTACAATTTGGTCGATGGTGAATATGAACTGCAAGAGGATTGCGTCTATAAATTTGGAATAGATCCTGCATGGGGAGCTTCAGCCAATCAATTGACTTTCATGAATTCATTCAAAATGAAATTAGCAGTCATCATAGGAGTCACTCACATGACTTTCGGCATCATTTTGAAAGGATTCAACACTCTACACTTCAAAAACTATATGGATTTCTTCTGTGAATTCATTCCTTAATTCCTTTTGCTACTCTGCAGTTTTGGCTATATGGATTTCTTATTGTTTTTGAAATGGTCTACCAAATTCGAAGATACAAAGGATGCTCCTAGTGTTATCACAACTATGATTGACATGGTATTAAGACCTTTTGATGTCCCTGAGAAACCACTTTTCGAATCTGGGGAATAATAGAGATCCATCCAACTATTGTTATTAACCATAATAACCTTCTGCATTCCAATTATGTTGATTACAAAACCCTTTATTTTCAGTCTACATAAGAAGAATCATCATCAATATCAATAAATACCATCTTAAGTACCTGATGAAGATGCCAATCTAGAATAATTATAACATGATATGTAAAAGGAGTAATCACAACCACACAGTAAACTGTCTATTTAATAACATAATGAACATGATGATATAGGTGAATTAATTGTCCATCAATGTATTATTTATATTTATTAAACATAGCCATTGAAACTATCGAATTTGTTCTAGGAAGTGTTAGCAATACAGCATCTTATTTAAGATTGTGGGCATTATCCTTAGCTCATTCATAATTAGCTGAAGTCTTCTTCTCCATGACTATAGCCAGTCACATTGGTGAGGGAGGATTCTTTGGAACCATAGGAGTATTCATCTTCATTTACATTTTAGTCCGTTGTATAATTCCCAGGATTTGCTTTGGCCACTTTTGGCGTCTTGATGTGTATGGATCTAATGGAGTGTTTCTTACATGCTCTTCGATTACAATGGTATGATATCAAATCACCATCTTATTTAGGGTTGAATTCTAAAGCAAATTCTACAAAGCTGATGGGTACCTGTTTAAAGCATATTCATTCACAAATATCAAAACCAATGAAGAAGATGATTGATGTCTTAAATATCATAAAAATATAAACCAAATTATAATTATCATCAATATTATTAAAGGAATTAAGTAAATGGAAATTGGCCATTGCCATTTTTCAAACAGACTAATTCTCTCCTTCTTGTAAGCCATAATGGCTCCATACTCTAGAGCATACTTTATTGGTCCTGTGAAAGTGAACTTTGCAAAATGAGCATGTTCCAACACTTTTTAGTGTTTCTGTATTAAAATTAAAAAGGCAATTGTCATGAAAAAGGTGAACCCATATAGCATTTCATCAAAACCAACATCCAAAGCTGCAGTTTCTGCTGACTTGAAATATTTTGCTACAAACCTAGGCCCAAAATAATGTTAACTCTTTTTTATTTTGTAAACAGGATCATCAAAATAAGTAAGCTTAATCCATTTTGCTAATTATATTTCATTTTCTGACAATTTCATAATATCAGTTTTTTTTAATGGATCATTAATTGCTATAACGAAAGCACTGCAATATAAAGACTTATTATTTCTCAGTTTCTTCATATAAGCATTTTTGGAGAGTCGACATACATAATAACATTCTAAATCATTTAAATTAATTCCTACTTCTTCATGTANTTATTGTTTTTGAAATGGTCTACCAAATTCGAAGATACAAAGGATGCTCCTAGTGTTATCACAACTATGATTGACATGGTATTAAGACCTTTTGATGTCCCTGAGAAACCACTTTTCGAATCTGGGGAATAATAGAGATCCATCCAACTATTGTTATTAACCATAATAACCTTCTGCATTCCAATTATGTTGATTACAAAACCCTTTATTTTCAGTCTACATAAGAAGAATCATCATCAATATCAATAAATACCATCTTAAGTACCTGATGAAGATGCCAATCTAGAATAATTATAACATGATATGTAAAAGGAGTAATCACAACCACACAGTAAACTGTCTATTTAATAACATAATGAACATGATGATATAGGTGAATTAATTGTCCATCAATGTATTATTTATATTTATTAAACATAGCCATTGAAACTATCGAATTTGTTCTAGGAAGTGTTAGCAATACAGCATCTTATTTAAGATTGTGGGCATTATCCTTAGCTCATTCATAATTAGCTGAAGTCTTCTTCTCCATGACTATAGCCAGTCACATTGGTGAGGGAGGATTCTTTGGAACCATAGGAGTATTCATCTTCATTTACATTTTAGTCCGTTGTATAATTCCCAGGATTTGCTTTGGCCACTTTTGGCGTCTTGATGTGTATGGATCTAATGGAGTGTTTCTTACATGCTCTTCGATTACAATGGTATGATATCAAATCACCATCTTATTTAGGGTTGAATTCTAAAGCAAATTCTACAAAGCTGATGGGTACCTGTTTAAAGCATATTCATTCACAAATATCAAAACCAATGAAGAAGATGATTGATGTCTTAAATATCATAAAAATATAAACCAAATTATAATTATCATCAATATTATTAAAGGAATTAAGTAAATGGAAATTGGCCATTGCCATTTTTCAAACAGACTAATTCTCTCCTTCTTGTAAGCCATAATGGCTCCATACTCTAGAGCATACTTTATTGGTCCTGTGAAAGTGAACTTTGCAAAATGAGCATGTTCCAACACTTTTTAGTGTTTCTGTATTAAAATTAAAAAGGCAATTGTCATGAAAAAGGTGAACCCATATAGCATTTCATCAAAACCAACATCCAAAGCTGCAGTTTCTGCTGACTTGAAATATTTTGCTACAAACCTAGGCCCAAAATAATGTTAACTCTTTTTTATTTTGTAAACAGGATCATCAAAATAAGTAAGCTTAATCCATTTTGCTAATTATATTTCATTTTCTGACAATTTCATAATATCAGTTTTTTTTAATGGATCATTAATTGCTATAACGAAAGCACTGCAATATAAAGACTTATTATTTCTCAGTTTCTTCATATAAGCATTTTTGGAGAGTCGACATACATAATAACATTCTAAATCATTTAAATTAATTCCTACTTCTTCATGTACTTCTCTTATTGCAGCTTATAAATCAGTTTCATCATCGTCGCATTTGCCTCCTGGGAAAGCGATTTCACCACTATATTAATCTCTTTTTGAGTTCTATCTTTAAATATAAAGTATTTCAATGTCTTGCTATTCTTGAAATTTGGTGGATTAAGGATTGTTGATATTGAGTTAAGAATAGCCTTGTTATGGTTTAAATTGGCCTCTCAAGAGTATACAAACTGCAGATTGAGCAGCAGTCTGAGTATTGGTATAGGGTTTATATTATTGAGGTGGAATTAAATTTAGCATATGATTATTATTATTATTATTAATATACATTATTTAGCATAATAATATGTTTGGGTCATTAGATTAATATGACATTTTGTATGTGTTCTCCAGGTATGACGACGCTGCCAACATAGTATTTGTCTTTCATAAATTGATCATTGAATGCCTTGGCCTCATCTACCTTTGCTTATAATTCTTATTTTGTTTCTTCAGTGGCTTTATTGTAATTGTTATAGGCTTCTCTAATTGATTCATCATTTGTAAAGTATTTGGCTGGGAATTAGGGAGTGTAGTGAAATTCTATATCTAGATCCAAAGGTGATGGGTGAGTGGCAACAGAGTGTTAGAGTATGATAGAAAAAGGTGAGGAGATGCATGAAAGCACTCCATAGATGACTCTGTTGTCTGAACAAACCACTTTGACACTTTTATTCAAGTATTAAGATTGATCACTCATTTAATTAATTTAATATTTCAAATGTCATTTATCTTCATCTGAAGAGTCGTCATCTTTGCTATTCTTTCTAACCTTGATCATGCCATATCTTAGAAGTCTATAATTTTATTTCTTTTATAAATTACATGTGTGCTAAAGTGCCTGTTTCGAAGGAGTCCTTACCTCCCATTTCTTCGAACCCTACAATTCTGTTTTTTAAGACTCCATTCACAAATAAGCATACAGTTGGTAGAACTTGAATTTGCAGTTTGCCTACAAAAAAGGGTGCCTTTTCTGCATTCAAACAATAGAATTTGGTTTCAGGATGTCTATCAAGATCACACGAATAATTTACTATTAAGAGATTGCCTAAAGATGCTTGTCCATGATTTTGCATCTTTCAAAATCACGATGGAAGAAATGAACAACACTGAATTCAGATTTAGTAACAGATGGTAAGAATTCTTCTTCAACTATTTCTCGATATTCTCCAAATCCCTTATTCTTTTTGAGCATGGCCTCTTGCAATTCTTTGGCTCTTTGTTCTCTCATCTTCTTCAACATCTCTTTCAAATCTTCATCATCACAATCATCCTCGTCCTCTTCTTCGTATTGTCTTCTAGCTGCTCTTCTTCTCTCCTCTTCCTATTGTTTGGCCTACTATTCTTTCATCTTGTCTTTCAAGGCCCTCTCCATTACAGTTTCGACCAACATATTGCCCATCAATGAATTACTCATTTTATTTAAATTTTAAACTAATGTGAATCAAACAAAAATTGTATTATATTTACATAAAAAAATATCTCATTCATTCTTCTTCCTCATCTTTTACTTTGTGTTTTTACATATATAATCTAACCAATTGCTTGGTTTTTAGTAATCTGGTTTATGTAATCTTGATTGTAGGTTTAGATGGATTGAATTTCTAATGATGAGATCTATTGAATTATTTAAAAATCTTACCTGCACTAACTAGGAGTTCTTGTTCCTATTATCTAACTCATCCTTTTGAATAATCTTTGACCCTTGCTATGATTCGCATTCTCTTGCAAAAAACGAAGATATGATTCGTGTTCTTCCTAATTCCAATGGCCAGCTTTCTTTTAAATCTTTTTGGAACTCTCCTGGATATCGCTTTAAGATTTTGTTACTTCTGAATCGTTGGATGGCATAACTTTGATTTTTAAATAAAATATATATTCCAAGATTTTATTAGTATTCTGAATCATTCAATATCATACATCTGTTTATTCAGATTTTCAAATCTACATTTCTTATCTTCTCCCTCTATCTTCAGTATTCTTTTCAATTCTCTGCTCTTTCCCCTTAACTCTTCTTATCAATTCGAATTCCCACATTTCCACAAGTTTAGAATTTCTTATCATACACAATAACTTTATATATAATACAATAAACGTATAATAGTATTTGTTTTCGAATTATTATCTCATCAACAGGAGATAATCGAAGCTAGAATACTATCTATTTTAATCTTAATTTAAGAGTGAACATAATTGACATTATTGCCTCAATTATTTAATTTTTACTCTCAAATTAATTTAATTTATCTTTTTATATTTAATATAATCCACTTTATATATATAGAATTAAGAATCAATATGACTTGAAATTAAAGACAGGAGAATTCTTTTCATAATTATTAACTAAGATCATATATATTGAAAAGAAATAAAAATTGGAATAATCAAAGTTGGAATAAAAAATACAGAAAAAGTACTCAGTATGAAGTAAATTATAAGAATCCTGTAAACAAAAATAACATATATACTCATCACTTCAACAGGTTGTAAGACTATTGATTTATAGTACAATATCATTCTTAAAACTAATTTCTACTCGACTTCTTCTAAATTTCCAAGGATTCTTTATAGCTTTATAATTTTCCTTAACGACCCAAATTAAAAAGAATATCGTAATAACCTCTATTAAAATGAATAAAACGAATAATAGTATTTTGAACTTTTTAAAATCTGCCGTATCCTTGAATTACCCATTATAGTAAAAGCAATCTTAAAAAAATTCAAAGGAAAAAAAATATATTTGCACTCCCAAATGAATGAGACAGAGTAGTAGTGTAGTCGATACAAAACATAAATAGGTATTAAGACTTTTGCAAAATAAAACCCTTAATCTATTTTACTTTTTGTATTTTTTCTTTCTTTTTTTGTTCTAAATTATTATTTCGATGAAGCTAATCACAAAAACACCTATATACATGATGCAATCAATAGTAAAAAATATCCATTTCTCTCCAGTTAATAAACATCTTCCATTTATTGTTAACTCAAAAAATACAAAAACACCCATCATAACTAAAAAGAAGACAATTTTAATTTCCCTTTTGCAATTCTTTCCTAAATTCTTTTATTTATAAATCAATTAGTCAACTTCAGACATTTAATCTTCCATTTTATCTCGAATCAATTGTAGAATAAATGTTGAATAAATTAAAAATTAATTAAAGTGTATTAATCATACGTATATTAATTTTAATGAATGTAATAATTAAAAATTTTTACTTGTCTAAATAGTATTACTAGATATATTAAAATCTAAAGATTATTTTGGGAATATGGTGAATTGAAGTAATACGATAATTTCAATTAAATTATGATAGCATAAAAATATGAGAGGATTAAAATACTATATAAATACTGATTCACATTTGAAAAAATAATTTAGACTTGATTGGATGAAATCCAAGAGGATAGTTGGATGCTTTCAATTTGCTCCTAAATATCATAAGATTCTTTTTCTTAGAACTATCACTCATAGATCATCAAGTTTTATGATTTAAAAATAAAATGATATATTAGTTACACACTTTGATCTTCTTATGCAATCTGAATAATTAAGTTATCTTGCTTTAAAGGAATTGTAAAAGCAAGAGAATCAGGTAATTGATATCTCTTACTTATATTAGTTCTTTACTTTAAAAAAAAAGGAGGATATAATGAAAAATCTAAGGAGAGCTTAAATATAACTCTACATATGTTCTCAAAAGGTTCTATTCAATTATTTTTAGACTTTATGGTTGAAATTTATATGATTATATAATATATCTAGTAATGAATTTTAATAGTTAATATAATTATTAAGATGAAAAACTTTACTGTTTTTGAAAAATTGGGAGAAGGTACTATTAATTCTATAAATACCAATTAATTTAGGGTCTTTCTCAACAGTGTTAAGAGTAAAACGATAATCTGATCAATAAGAATATGCTATGAAAAAAGTGAGAATGGGATAATTGAAGGAGAAGGAGAAAGAGAATTCTCTCAATGAGATTCGCATTCTAGCCAGCATTTCGCATCCTAATATAATTGCTTATAAGGAAGCATTCTATGATGAGCAATCTCAAAGTTTGTGCATAGTGATGGAGTATGCTGATAAAGGTGATTTGTAATAGCTGATCTAGTAACATATTCATTAGAAGTAATTTATCTAGGAAGCTGAGATATGGAAAATGATTTACTAAATGGCAATTGGTATTTATGTGATTCAATTCTTAGCTTTGCGAACGTTACATCAAATGAAAATTTTGCATAGAGATTTGAAATCTGCGAATGTATTTCTACACTAGGGAAATTATAAATTGGGAGACATGAATGTATCAAAGGTGGCTAAAAAGGATTTGGTTTACACTCAAACTGGAACTCCCTATTATGCAAGTCCTGAAGTATGGAGAGACTAGCCATATGATGCTAAAAGTGATATTTGGAGTTTGGGATGTGTTGCATATGAAATGGCAGCCCTTAAGCCACCATTCAGAGCTTAAAACATGGAAGGATTATATAAAAAAGTATAACGAGGTTTATACGAACGAATACCGCCTAAATTTAGTGGTGAGTTGATGACTGTAATCGGATTATGCTTACAGGTACAAAGCAAATAAAGACCAACTTGTGCTTAATTGCTTAACAACCCTATTTTATTGAGAAATGCCAGATAATTTATAATAGAGAGTAGAGTTTCATAACAGACTTAGTCTTCTCACGCAGGCTCAAACATTCTGTTATAAACTATAAAATTACCAAAGAATTTAAAACATTTGAAAGAGAAATTACCAAAATCAAAATACTTAATAGAAAGTGTCAATAAATCCTATGATGAAACACAAGCCAACAGTTCATTCTTGCCAAAGATTAATAACACTAAGGAAATCAGACCTAATTGTTCAGTTCCACCCATCAAGAGTGATAGAAATCAATAATAGTAACTACACCAGAATTCTTTACATGAAGAACGATCTAAGTCTATTGTCAATTCAGTGCAACTGTTGGAGATGGAGAGAGTTAGATAGAAAAAGCTATTAGAAAAGTAGCAGAACTTAAAGATCAGCGTCATTCATTAGAATGCTATTCCATATATAAACAGTTCGTCTTCTTAAATCCAAAATCTGTATGCCAACAAACAGCACAATATAAGAGATGCTCAAAAATAATATGTAGAAGCACCAAAACCCATATGGTGGGGATGATCATTAATGTAATTATTGTGTAGTTTCTCTTTATAATTATATTAAAATATATTTATATATAATGTAAGAAGTAAAGAAGGAGCTTAAATTAATCATCGTTGGTGACGGAGCCATAGGCAAAACTTGTGCTTTGTTCAGCTATGTGAATGATAAATTCCCAACAGAATATGTGCCGACTGTTTTCGATAATACAATTACTTAAGTTGAAATTAATGGAGAATAGTACTAGTTGTCTTTATGGTATTTAATCTATAAAATATTTGCAGGGATACAGCTGGACAAGAAGGCTATGAACACTTGAGATAAGTATGTTATTAAGGAACAGACATCTTCTTGGTTTGCTTTTCCCTAGTGAGTGATGTCAGTTTTGAAAATGCTTTAAAAAAAGTAATAGATCTGTTCACTTTTAGTGGCTACCTGAAATCTCATTATACAACAAAAATGGGTTTATTATGTTTTTAGGGCTGAAAAAGGACTTGAGGGATCCCAAAAATCTCAATCATATATAAACTTAAGTTGCAGAATCAACCATAAAGAAGATGGGCTTCCAATATAGAGAGACAAGTGCTATGACTTAGGATGGTTTAAAGGAGGCCTTTACATTTTCGATCTAAAGCCTCATCAAATCAAGACAAGAACAGTAGAAAACAAAAAAACCCAAGAAATCAAGCTGCTAGTTGATTTGATATTAATTATTAAAAAAAATGAATGAATAATTTAGAAAGTTTCTATTAAACCAAGAGAAAACTGAAGTTTAATAAAAAAAGTCAGAAAATGCACCTCCAATTCGATTGAAAACACAATCCAAAAGAAAGACTAATGTGGATTTGGGTTAAGAAACATTTGTTTAAAAGAAGGTGAAACCAGATGAGAAGGATGATAAAAAAGAGCCTAATCTCATGGAGAAATTATAGATGAATCCCGTTGATTTAGTAAAGTGTACTAAATAATACTCATATGGCAATTATAAAAAATATTACCATCTAAGATTATAGCAAAAGTGGGAAGATCCAAGATTAACTATTTTAGATAGTTGTTATTTTACTGATAAATCAATTCTTGATATTGGTTGCAATGATGGCACGTTGACTTTATTGATTGCACTAAAGTTTAAAATTAATATCATTTTTAAGACATTATCCTAAATTGATTAGAGGAATCGATATTGATTATACTTTGATTAATAAGGCAATTGAGTAAATGGTTCATTTGGACGATTAATAGAAGAAAATACAGAAATAAGAATTCAAGCCAATCATTGAGGATTTGCCTGTGAGTTTTGAGAAATACATGGAACAACCTAGTTAATATTAATTATAACATTAGTGTCTAAAGCAATAGAAGAATAATTTATTCATTAGACCATAGAGGATATGAACAAGGAGAACGAGCAAAACAGTATTTAATTTAATTAGTTAGCAAAGGACAGCACATTTCCACATAATGTTTATTTTCGAGTGCAAAACATTATTGGTAATAAAAAGTTTGATGAAAAATACGATACAATTTTATGCTTATCGGTTACTAAATGGATTCATCTTAATTTCGGAGATGTTGGTATCAAGAGATTATTCAAGACCATCTCTAATTCCTTGATTGAAGGGGGTCACTTTATTCTAGAACCACAAGAATGGAAGAGTTATAAAAAGAAGAAATACTATAGTACTGAATTCAAATAGAATTATAAGGAAATCCAATTAAAACCATAGGATTTCTCTAAGGTTTTGGAGAAAGAATATAATTTCAAATTAATTTAATAGATAAATCCGGATGATGAAAGTGCAATAAAGAAGTCTAAAAGCACTTTTAGAAGACCAATTCTAATATTTGAAAAGTAGAAGGAGATTTGACAGTTATATATGTAAAATTCATAACATATATATAAAATCATCCTCTATTAACAGGTCATTTTCATTTTTCAGAGACTGGTCTAGTTTATCAAAAGCTAGAAAAACTATAAAAGTGAATGAATACCAATAATGGATACGTTTTCTTACAGGATTTCTTCTTGCTTTTCTTCTTAGAGTGGAATTACCTTATCACGTGGTGATTTATCATGATTGGATAGTTATTTTTAAATCAATTTATCTAAATTAATGTCATTTTGTTGTATATTATAATATTATTATTAGATGAGTTCCTCGAGTTTCTATAGTTCATCTATTTCCTGTTCATCATCCTCCAAATATTATTATTACATAAGATTTTCAAAGTAGTTTGGATCTTGGATGTTATTATTATTGATAATCAGTACTTCGGACTTAATATTTTTGGTTTCTTACTAGTATTCCTATTATTCAGATTTTTCAATTAATGAGTCTTCTTCATTTTGATTTGCTTTGAGCACTGAAGATGAGAATTAATCCATCATCATTTTTTCAATGTCAATAAGATTGATTTTAGGTTTAATCTCTTCTTATTTATTGTGATTTATCTGATTCTAATAGAATTGCTAAGCCATTAGTTCTTCTAATTGTTGTGATTCACTCAATTGCTTATTTTAGACAACAACAGGTAATCGTTCAACACTTTGTTCATTGCTTTTCACGAACTCACTGGATCTAATAGTTTGTATGTTATCTAGACCCCCACTTTGCATGATTGATTTATATTGCTGACTTGTTTGATTAATGGGAGGTTTGTGCACTTGATTCTTACATATTTGATCTGGGATACCATTGACAGAGATTTTTGCAATTTAGGTTGGTCCTTCTTTTGGTCTAATCAGTCCATTTTCAACTAAGGCATTCTTGTCTTAGTGGATATGATGAATGCCTATTTCCTTGATTTTAGCTTCGATCTGAATCTTTCTTGTTACAACATTGCATAGATCATTGTGAGAGAGTAGCTGTGTTTCTTACATATTCTCAGTTCTATTGAAGTCTTGATGAATAGACTTCAATTATTACAGAACTTATTGATATTTACTTGAATCAGGGTTGTTGCTCCTTCTTATTGAAACTGATAAGCCACCATGCATACTGGAACTAGACATATTGCTAGTCTATAATTTGAATGATCTTCTGTCATCATGTTTTGTATGATATTGTCTGTAGGTTGAGATTACTACAGATCTCAATGGTTCAGTTTCAAGATCTCAAATTAGAAATATGTTGATACTTCTAAAGGTAGGAAGAGCGAGCAACTAATTAGGTGTAGATCGTTCTTTTGGATTCAATTTAAAAATCTTATTGAGGATCTACAAAATGTCTTCTGATTTAGTTATGCGTTTGAATTGAAATAATTCTAGTTGATTTCAATATAATAATCTTACATCCTTTATTGATAGAGTTTCGTATTTGATCTAGCGTAATGTCAGAAGATAAATGATGCCATGGTGGCATTTTAGTGAGCATTTCGACAAATATGCAACCAGCACTCCATACGTCAGAATACTGAGAGTACTCCTATCCATTGAAACATTCAGGAGCACTGTACATAGATAATTTATATTTGTTTAGAATGTAGATGTCACTCAATTTAGCATTTGCTTCTCCATCCACTAAGACATTTGATGTTTTTAGATTCCTTATTTAAGATCAATGATACCTGTGTAGTATGCCTTAACTATGAAGATATTCTAATCCTTACAATATTTGTTTCATAAACATAATAGCAAGTTAAGGAGAAAAGGAACTGAATTTCTACAACAACCAACTTATTGAACCTCCACTCTCATAAGGCATCAGTATTTTAATTTCATTTTAGATTACTTCATTTTTGAACACTGAGTAATCCCAACCTATTATTTGATGGATATTCTTGAATTCTAACCTTTTGAGAATGTCTACAATACTAATTACATTATCAAAGTCATCTTCTGAACTTAATTTGAACTATCATTATAGAAATTAATACAATTTTTAATGCTAAAAGTTACCCATTTAAAGTATTCAATGCAGAGTATACATTACATCCCTCCTAAATCAACTCACCTTAAATGTAATCATAAACTATGTTCTACAGTTGATTATTACAGATCTTACTTCTTCTTCTTCCTCTTCTTCTTATTCTTCACCCTATTACTCTGGAAAGTCCTCATTGTTAGACTCTCATATTTGAATATGCTATACTTTCATACTCTTATCACTCAAATGTCCCCGATGAGCTACTTTCACTTCCTCGTTTTTCCTTTTGTAACACGGTGCTGTACCCATTATAAATTATAATTATATAATAAACTAATCAAAATATAAATGTTTAAGACGAATTAAGATTTGAATTAGATTATTATTATTTATTCTTAAGATAATTAATTATCTAAATGAATAATCTTGGAATTTCAAACAATAGGTTTCAATAAAAGGCCTAGCAAAAACGACAAAAATCCTATGATTAGCCTCATCCTAATCAGAAGGCTCCAATCAACAACCAAGAACCTGTCAATAATCACGAGTTTGAAATCACCCCTGACATTGTTAAACCAAATGTGCAAGTTCCCATCTTCCAAGATCCTAAATTGATTGAAAATCTATAATAATAAAAAAAATGATAAATATAAATAATTATTATATTAATGGACGAGTCCCAATTCAATTCATTGTAGAAAACTATAATAATCCCTCCAAGAAAACTATATTAAACCATTTTACAAGAGTTTGAAGCTCAGAACCCAAATTTCTCCTAATTTATCAATGAAACACAATCAAATCCCTCCTTTATCAATGGTGAATTGATTCCAATCTTCATTATATATGAATTTGAAGTGGATCTTGTCCATCAATTCCAACTCAAAAAGGATCAACAACTCTTACGATCCTACCCATCATATCATCAAACCAATCTCTATGTGGATAATACCTATACAGAAACTAAAAAATAAACATTAGAAGACAACAAAGTTATCCATTGCAAAATCTTGGAGATCAATGTTAATGAAGAATATATAGATCAAGATGTAGAGTTGCTTGTAATTGGTACTTATGAGTAGAAGTATTGCTATAATGGAATCAAAACTATTTTGAGAAATGAAATTCCTAAAGAATAATACAAACAATTATCATATTAACATTCAATTATGGTCTAAGTACATAATGCATTCGATTTGGAATATAGGTATTTCGGAAATACAGTTAAGATGAATATTGCATTTCAAATTAAATCGCATATCTAATTGGATAATATTGAAATGGACTTTCTTTTGAGTGAAAGCTAAATGATTTGGAAGGATGTTGGAATCAATAGAGTTGTACCTAAATGCATGTTACAGAATATATCCATAAACAAATAATATCTTAATAATGAGGAAGGATACATAGAAGTTCTATTGGATTGGCCAGCAATGTTATAGAACGAATAATTACAACCAGACCTTCCATCAAGAAGACTGAGCATAGTACAAGTTAATCCTGTGTTGGAAATCAGGACACCTCTGTATATTAGATGGGGTTAATAAAAGTACACCAAATGCAACTATCTGCTGTGGAAGATTAAACCGATATAAACAATTGGAGGAGAAATCAAAGAGGTCGTAAGATATAAGGATTCTTAGAACCAAGAGTATTTAGCATTGAAAATAGTTCTTATCAATTATTCAGGCAAGGAACACGAGATTACATTCTGTCCTCCTTCCTAAATATTCGGAAAGAAACTTAATCAGAAAAAAGATCAGCCTTTGGTAGTTTTAGGAATCACATTGTCAACAGAGAAAAATTTGGGAGTTTTGTAGCCGAATTAATTATGTGAGACTATCTTGAGGGTTCAATTAATAAATAATGGGATTTTGAATATGCAACACATCAATCTTAAGATAGACAACTAATTGACTGAGTTGAGTTTGAATTTTTTATATTCTCATTAATGATTTGGGAAAATTTATTATTTTTAGTCATGATAACAAGAGGGGAGGTTTTTCTGGGGTTGATGGAAGTAATGGTTGAATGTTAAAAAAGGAATGAGACAATAGGGGAGTAAATTATATAATAAATTATCTAACTTAATTTCAAAATTAAATGACAGAACTTCTGTTGATTATGAATGTGAGAATAGATGAAGGGAGACAGGGTACAATCAATGTACATTTGGGAGATGATCCTGAGGTGTTGGCTAGAGATTTCTGTATTGAATACAATGTGAACTAGAGGTTGGTTCCCTTGTTGATAGAGAATATAAATAAAAATTTGGAGGTGGCTGAATAACAGAAAGTGAATGTAAGAGAAAGAGATTAATGTATAGTCTGGTTAAGATACCATGCAATATTCGACAGAAACATGCAATTCAAAGTTTATGGAAACTCCATTTAATGAACCATTGCAGCAAATGTCAACGAACAATTACTACCCAACTCATTCATCAGTTCATGATAGACTGTATGAGGATGCGAAGAATAAGAGATTGAAATAGAAATTGAATATATCCGATAGTAGATCCAAAAAAATCAAAATTCAGGAGCCTGAAATAAATTACGGGTTATTTCTGTATTAGAAGGGTTTGAAAAAGAATGAGGAGAAATAATAAAGAGCAGAGAGTGCTAAGAAGGATTTGTAGAATTCACAATTAGTTGAGTGTACTCATCATCCAAGGATAAATCATGTTTCTAGATAATTGGCACAACGCAAAGGAGAGTGTGTGAGTGAACATTTGAATAGGTTGGCTTAGGAGCAGAAAATAAAGAGGGAGAATGCTAGTCAAGAACACTTAAAGACCGAAGTTTAAAGTTGTTCATTCAAGCCTTAGATCAATAGAATGTATTGGAAATAACTAATCTTAATAGATCAAGGTATATAGTGGAGGAAAGAAATGAACGAGGCAACTAGCCATGGTATGAGTCATTGTATTCAGATTATGATTCCAAGAGGTAGAAATTGGAGCAGCTGGAGAAGTAGTACTTCTCATCAAATTACACATTCCATCCTAAGATAGATCTGATATCGGAGAAGATCGTTTAGGGTAGCAGTTTTGAGTAGAGATAGAAGAACAGGTCGACATCAAGACAAAACTTGTCTGTCTGTGATGATGAGAACTAGTTGTTCAAACCTAAAACAGGTAGACCTCCTGAGAAGAGACCAAGAGATTTGTTTCAGAATTTGTATAATCAGGCTAAGATTTACGAGTAGAAAAGACAGAATTAGATTGTCTAATTACATCAATAATAAATAAGTGCATCTTAGATTAGAGCAAGTGAGAGATCGAATCAGATGATACAGTCACAAATGCAGGTTGCATTGATGAAGATCTTTGAATCTTTGGATAGTGATAAGGATGGCTGCATTAATTCTGAGAACTGTGATGTGGGGGATTTGGAGGATAATGTTATCAAGATTTTGTCTCCTTTGCTTTTGGAAATGGAATCTGGAAATCATACTCTCAATAAGAAGGAATTCGTGGAATCTGCAGAAAGATTAGTGGCCACATTGTCTCCAGGGGATAAACATGAACTATTGAAAAAACCAGGCAGGAAGACTGATGTTCCTCAATATAGTTTTAATGTGTGTAATTATTCTTTATATAATAGCCATCTGTCAATAAGAGATCTTAAAAAATTGCGGCAGCTAAAAGGAATTGAAGATTTTAATTAATTTTTATATTAAAAATATAACTTATGTCGGACGAGGAACCTATGAAAGACGATAATCAAGACTAAGGAGACAATCCTGATGATGACAACCCAGATAAAGAAAAAGATGACCAAGATGATCAAGATAATTATGATGACGGAGATCCATTTGAGGATGGAGACGATCCCAAGGATGATGAGGAGTAAAATATTTAAATTTATATGCACCTTTAGTTTAAAGAATAATGAGATATAAAATAATTTAAAACTTACTATTGATGACTAAGGGTTGGATGACAATCAGAAAATACGAAAATGGAAGGACCTGTTGACTGACCATGTTCAATAGGTCTAAAAATTAAGAAGAAGAAATAATCATTTAAGAGGCCAACTCAAAAAACTAGGAGACAAAGCAGAGAAACTAGTCCAATCTAATGTTAGAAAGTAAAAACTATTGGAATAAAAATTGGATCCCAAACACTATAATCTTGCTGAGAAGAAGATTTTATACGAAATCAAGAATGGCAAATCCAAATAGGACTTTGCCAATAAGATTGATCCCAGAATTTGTAACTCATTATAATATTTTAAGTGGATTTGTTGATCGCCATAGACAAAATGGAACAATCCAACAATCAGATGAGAGAATCAATCAAGGCACTGAAGGACAGAAATAAAAATCTAGAATAAACAGAAGATGTTAATAAATTAAGTAATGAAATTGTACTAATCGAAAAATAAATTGCAGATGAAGATAGATTGAGGAGGAAGATGTAAGTAATAATGAAAGAATAAGAAGCAGAACTTAAATAACAATAATTTGATTGTGATTATGAGGGTAGATTAAATAGTCTCAAAGAATAAATTAAAACATTAAGAGACAGTATCAAGGAAGGCTAGAAAGAAGAGTTGCATGAAACAAGAAAGGAATTCGAACTAAATAACTACTTTGCTGAACTTTAAAAAATGTAACCCCCTATTTATATTCTCATAGTTATCGTCAAATGTGCAACTAATTAAATAAGCCTTGCGAAGAGAAACAGCATTTTAAGTAAGACAAATAGAGGGATCAAGATAATATCAATGAAAAATTGAAAAAAGCATAAGAATTTGCACAGAAAAGTCAAGAAGAGAATTTAAAGAGATTCCTATAAATTAAGGAGAACAAAAAGGAACCAGAAGAAAAAGATGAATTGAAGAAGGCTTTGGAAGAATTTAAAAAAGATGAAAACAAATTTAAACAAATTTAAGAGGAGGTCAAAAAATTGCAAGAAGATCTTGAAAAAAAGGAGAAAGAAGCTTATAAAGAAAAGAACAGATAAGTAGAAGAGTATGCTAAATTAAGTGAGGATGTCGGATAGTTAGCCAAATAATTAAAAGAAAAAGAAATCTAAGCCAAATCATAAGTTCTCAAATTAAATGATCTCCAAAGATAAGCATAATTATTGGAGAAAAAATAAATCGCAGAACCAACATAAAGTACACAACAAAAATCAGAAAGCCTCATGTGTGGAATTACTGAATAAACATAGACTTGTTTACCTTTTGATGATTCCAAGAACCTGGATTGGACATCATTTATGCCTATCAATAAAATAGTTGTGTGCAAGAACAGTAACAATAATCTAATTGTTGGTTTGGAACTGACTTATGGAGTTGCAGATAACGAAGAGGAGTAAAAGACCACGAAGAATATTGGATTATAAGAGGGCAGTATCGAAAAGGTTGAGATCAAAATCACTCCTGAAGAAAAATTAAGCTACATTTCTGGGTTTTATAATAAAGAGCAAATTATCTTCTTGAAGTTTGAAACAACTAAGAAAAGAGTCATTCAGGTTGGAAACATGAAATATAAAGATAATTTCACCAAGGACTTCAGAATTGAAATTAAAGATAAGGAAATTCAAGGATTTAGTGGAATATTGGACTTCACAAATGGTAATATATTGCGTATTAATTGATTAGAATCATCGAATCCATCAGAAAGATACTTAGTTGCATTAGGAGTAAATCTCAAATAGAAGGAAGATATTTCAGCAAAAAAGAAATAGAAGAAATAATAAATGCAAGAAGAAAAAGAAAAATAAAGAGTTCCAATTGATTATAGAAAAATAACCTATCCTTTTAGAAAGAATCAACCTAAACATCTTGAACTAGTCAAATCTTAGCCAAAGTTAGAGGTTTCTGTTTATGAAGAAGAGAAATGTATTTCGATTGTAAATTCATTATAGCTAAATTATTCTAAAAGGAGAAGGAAAGATTCTTATTGGCACAAAGAGCATAATTGGGTTTGTTATCAGCCAAACAATTCAGTCCTGCTACTTATAAATAATAGGAGTATTTAACCGAAGACAAGTTGGTAATATTAATATCATTATTAATAATAGAGAAAAGAGAAGAACATGGAGAGAAAACAATGGGTTGAGCAAAAGAGAGAGGAAAATAAAAATTCATTAACCCTGCCTGTGATTGATTTGAAATCACCTGTAGAACAGGATAAAAAAGGAGCCAAAGCACAAAAAACAGCTAGTCCGTAGAAACAATAGAAATAACCTTAGAAGGAGGCTCCAAAAAAAGATGATTCTAAAGCTAAAAAAAAATGAATAATTTACAAATTTCAACACCTATAGCTTAACATCGTTCTTCTATTCTCACCTTCGAGCCTGAATCCGCATATCAATCTCTAATAGAAGTTCATGTTATCGTATAGGATAGCATAATACAACTCATGAATTCTCTGAACAAAGGTCTGAATGTAAGTGATGTATTGAGAAATATGCCATCTTTTACATTTACAAAAACTATGGAATTGATTGAATCTATAGTGAAGGAAATTGAGTATGACAAAATCAAATCAGACTTGGATGAAGAGGGTGAACCTGAAAGACCTACGAATGATTAATGGAGGAGACAAAATGCTCAATTAATGAAGGAATTCATTAGAAAACCTGATAATAAGATTGAGGAATTAGAAGAGGAATAGTTTGAAGAGAAGCCTCCTTCTTGGGAAGAGTTTTAGCCTGAAATTGTATAAACATAATAGGAGCCTGAGAGCGATTTATATGATGATCATTTGAGAAGTCAGTTATCGTATAGAGAGAAGATGAGAAAGGAATTCGAAGAAAATCAAGCTTAAATAGAGAAGGAAAAATAGGAAGAACGAAGAAAAATCAGAGTTTTAGTAGATGGTCAACCAGAAAAAGTAACTTATGATATTGATGGTAAAATAATACTTAAAGCTAAGAGAGTGCAATTGGCTCCTGTAAAAAAGATTGAAGGATAATAAGTTAAGGAATCAGCTCCATCTCAAACTGAAGAATTGGCAGTTATCAAACCAAGAAGACCAGCCTTGCCTAAACCTAAATTAAAATTATTTAAGGTATAACCAACAAATGAAAATGCAGAAGCCCAAAAGATTATAGCCTAATAAGAAAGAAATCATCTACAGGAATTTATGGATGTCTTAGAATTAAAACCAGGAGTTTTTCTTGAAATTGACCATTATGAAAAAGGACAACGCAATAAACATACTCAAGCTTAAGATTTGCCTTATCGAATCTAAAATAAGATGGATCAATATTTAGCATCCGAATAATCATAATCTATTCGTTTATCCAAAGAAGAATATTCAAGTATTACAATCAATAATAGCATTCTAAGAGGATCTTATGAATAATCTTATTTAAAGAAGAAGTCAGGCATACGATAAAACACTACTCAGAAAACCAAACAAAGTGATTACGAAGATACTATGCCTAAAAATGGGATTGTGAAAGTCAATGATATAGGCAAATTCTATGATTTGTTGATCAAAGACTCGGAAATTATAGAGGAAAACACTCATACTGAATTTCCCCCTATTTTAATGGATAAATAAGACAGTCTTAGTATCTAGGAATTCAAGACTCCAATTAAATCAGAACTTCCGTCCATCCCTGCCACCCAATTCTATAAATATCTATCAAAATAATAACCACCTAGTCTATCAAGGATTGACAACAATAGTGTTACTGGATCTGTGACTTCTAAATTAACTAGAGATAGATCCATGCCAGAAGTAATTAGCAATATGAAATTGCATCAATGTTTAGCTGCTCCTAAAATTGGTAAGTATTTAGGATTTGGAATAAATCAAAAATATAAATTCTGAATATAAAATCTTTCAATTTATAATTTATAATTGATTATTATAGAATAGTCACCATTCCTCCTCAGGCTAATCCATTTTCTAAAAAAACATAGCCTATTGACGTAGCTTTTAATTAAAATGTAAATCCCTCTATATTTTCACATAGTTTTGGAAATGCTCCTGCTTTGACAAATATTTAACTTCCTTTTAATCTTCTACAGTAATTTTTATATAAAATATATACTTTTTTAATAACTACTCTTCTTTATCTAATCGACCCTCTGTCTTACTTTCTTCTAATCCTCTTCCTTCAATCCGTGTATATTAACTACATCCAAATCTTGATTTCGATCTCCCTTTATTGAAGTCAGACAAGGCAAGTGATACCACACTTTCCTATCAAACCCTAAACCAGGAGGTCTAGTTAATACATGGCCTATCCTGATGTCGTCTTTAATTATGTTCTAAAGGCAATTCTAACATTTCACTCTATTTGAAAGAGCATACCCTACTTCAATGTACTATTTCATTATAAAAATCAAATGCAAAATTTCTAATTTGAATCTTTTTAATTTGATAAAATCATTTGAATATTTTCCCATTATGATCATATTTGTTCTTAACTTCACTTCATATAAGGATTCTAAAAAAGTCGAAACTAAATCCGTTTCATTTTAATTTACGTCATTAGTTTTGGTTGTTAGTGTTATGTAAAATTAACAAGAAAAAAGTTCTTTAATTTAAACAACTCCTCGTAAGCCAAAAGTGTACTGAGAAGACTTCTACTCCAATAAAAACACTCAAAAATATATATACTAACTAAAAATTAAACAGGTCAGGTCTTCATTAATTAATAGGACTCCTCAAGAATCCTATAGACGCCTTGAGTCTCAAGAGGGGTCTCTATTTAAATCTTTGAGGACTGTCTATCTTAATATTGTCACAAAATCACAGATTTGGGTTTATGGAAGTTTTTAAAAGAAAAAATCTGATTGGTTTAGACAAATATTTGAGTATAAAATTTAAATAGCTATGTTGGTTAAATTATTACTTTATTATAAAATAAAGTAGAGGTTAATGATTCTGAATTATTAAATTAAACTTATATTGCTTATTTTTTTAATTTCAAGACAATATAAAATAAACTCAAGTTTTTCAATTTAAATTAATAATATTAATTGATTTTAAGAATGTAGAAGAAAACTTATCAAGAGGCTAGATCAGCCTTTATTAATCCTGAAATAAAATTAGGTTCAAATTTCTTTTTATATTTTTTATAATATTAAAATATTAAATTTGAGTCGATTCACCGCTTGGCTTTAAGTTCGTCATCAATCTATAAGCTAAAACGAAATGAAGCAATCCGATTCCAGTAGATTTCGAATTTTAGGTGCATTATAAAAAATTTTATCAGTAAAAATATTGAATGCATCTTAATCATGACGCACTAAGGGCTGATTTGCTCGAATTTGGATATTTATAAAGATTTTTAAATATTAATATTGAATTAGATGAATATCATTGATGAGGGTGAATAAAAACTCCCAATAAGTGTTCAATAAAATAAATAAGCTCAAAAAAAAGAACTTAGGCCTCGTTCGAATATAGTCCCTGGGATATTCTAAGAATATAAAAGAACATACATAAAAGTGCCACCTGTTTCGAAGGATTAATTGTCTCGACTTGTACTCAAGGAAGGGTTTAAAATTAAAGAAGTATGATACTGCATAATCAATTTAATAGGCCGCAAAGAAGCTCTAAATCAAGTATGCCACAGCTAAAACTATAATATTCCACCTACGGGAGGAAAAGAAACAAATTATCTAGGTAGGATCGAAGATGTGCTCATACACTGAACTACAATAAGGTATGATTTCGAAGTTAAGAATTATTTCGACAGCCTCTAATGATATAATTTCAAATGTGGAGTATCAATTAGTCCCTGTAAATGAATTACTAATTCAATGAAAAATCTATTTTCATTAGGAATCCTATGTTGAATAAATAATTTGATAATACAATTTAAAATTCAATTATAATTATAAAACATTAAACTAACTTCATTAGGTTTCACTAATTTCCACTTTATCTTGTGTTGAACCAATAAAATTCTCCAAATTTAACTAATCTCCATTAATTCTTATTGAAATTTTTTCGAATCATTTTAATATATTGAATTCAAAGAATATCAAACACTTTAATAATTATTGTAAAACTTTAAGAAATATTCTAATATCCCTATATTATATTTGGTTTATCTATTGCAAAAATAACAATAGCACTGTTAGTTTACCTTATGATTTCAATACTCCCTGCTTTAATTGCCAAAGAAGCAAAATCTTGGGCGTTAAAAAAGATTATAAAAAAAAATCTTTTTTGTAATTCAGTACATTTTATCATAGCTTTAGATTCATGAAAATGCTGCTTATTATTGTATTCTTATTTAGACATATATCCAATAAAGTACAAAAGGGCATTTCTTTTTCTAAATAATATTATGTGATCATTAAATTTTATATAGAATAGCCAAAAAATTATTTGTCTTGTTAAAATTTATTATGCTTTTCTTACCCCTCAAATATTCAAAATTTACCCTTATTTAAATTTCTACAATATTTTAAATATAATTTTGTTGTTCTTCTTGTAATTGTTGACTGAGCGGATAAATCCTAAATTTAGATCAAATCTCACAAACAGAATTCCTATTTTTTTCAATATATTCATTTAAACAAGCTCATAGTGATTATCAACACTATAAATAACAATTTCAATGAGTCTGCTTTTTGTCATAAGTAGATGTTGAGATAAATTAAAATAATTAAGATATATGTCTCATTATTTTTGCTTAAATCACTTTCTCAAATGTTAAGGAGATGCTTAGAAACTATTCTGACATATTCCTTCTTCCTGATTTATAAAAAATTCAAATATAATATAGATATTTATTACAAATATAAATAATCTAATTAACAAGCCAAAGGTTGTTGATTATTAATTATAAACTATTCATTAATTTTTGGCTTCCTCTCTTTGATTCAGCAATATTGTAACAAAATAAGTGAAGAAAATAATTGTTGAGATAAGAAAAGCCCAAAAATGAAATAGATTCTCACCTCCGATGCATTTCCCTGTCCAAGGGCAATGATGATCGAAATTGGTAATACACACTTTACAAAATGGACAATGATCAGATCGAGCCGGTTAGATTTTTTAACATTTTTCACAATACCATACATTTCTTTATTAGGGTCTATTCGACAAAGAGTACAGCTAACCAAGATATTTCTAATTCAACTGTGAGTCATTTGCAATTCCTGGATTAGCCAATCCAACACCTAAATAAAGTATTGATTATGCTAATGTTATAATTATTCCAAAAGTTATATCGTGACCCAAAGCTTTTTATTGTTTCATCATTATGTAGGCAAAGACATTGAATCCAATCAAAGTAGCAGCAAATAAAGGCCCTTTTATATAAAATCCAACATATTTTTACAATGAGGCCCTAAAAATATCGTTTTCGCTATGACCACATATTCCCCAGATGAATTTCTATCACTTAATGGTCTTGGTCTGCACTCAGGGGACATATCCATTGACCCATAGTTTTCAGTGCCTTCAGCCTTTATTATTATATGTTCCATCTTATTTATGAGAATATTCAATAAATAATAATTCAAGTGATAATAAAATTAAATATATTATATTATTATTTTACAATGCAAAAAACTAATTTGAGTTCAATTTCTAAGTTTGAAAATCTTTAACCTGAAATTATCTATTTTATTAGTGAATTTTTAACATTTGATCAATATCTAGAATTGCGATTAATAAATCATTTTATGAATCGGCAAATTTAGTTTGTTTCAATTCTAAAGGTTTAGTCAATCAAGTCAAACATAGAATAATTTGAATTTATATACAAGCTGGTAATAAGCAAAGAAAATTATAAATATTAAGAAGAGTTATGGTTAAGATTTTTAATACAATTGCGTGACCTAATCCACTAATTGGATCAAAATCAAAATTTATTATTAATGAAATAAACTTTTTTTAAGCAATCACCGCCTTTAATTATTTAATAGATACTTGAGTATGCAAACATATTAGGAAACTATAGATCTAAGGATCAACTAACATTTTGTCAAGAAATTGTTTCATTTTTATACACTTTGGATGGATTAAAGATATCTAATATAACATAGTCTTAATTATAAAAACTTACACCTATTTTATAAATACCAATTGAATCGACTGAACACTATGGTCGAGCTTATCGATTCCTCTGCGAGATTATTTAACTAATTGTCAAAGCTCATAGCAGTTGCTAGTTCATAATTCAATTACAAAAATTAGGATAAGAGATACAAAAAAACTAAAACAATCAAGTTCATTTAAATAAAATATTTGGTTTAAATCACAATTGAATTAAATTTTGGTTGTCCAGATAAACAGTAATAAATCATGAATATTTATCGTCATTGGATTCTATTTTAATTGCTAAGAATTCTGTTCTTTATTAATATCTATGGTATTTCAACATTTTTTTTATAATTTTGAGCAGTAAGACTAAAAATTCTACCATACCCATTCCTTAAACATAATCACATGATATTTATTTGAATTATATATTGTAAAGAATCATATACTATTTATTTATTTATTATGTAGGAATAAGATTTAATATGAAATATTTTTCTACAAGATCAACTTATTAGCATTTCTAAAGGTATTTATCTGAAAGAGAAATAAAAACATCTTTCTTCATTTAACAAAAATCATGATTAATTTATATGATACATTAGATTTATTATATTAAAAATTTGAATCTAAATAGCTAAAGTTTGATGTTAAAAAGATTTTCTCGACTAAAAATTTTGGTTTAAGTATACAACAAGTATTGCAATCGTATAAATGTATTAATTTAGAAATCTGTAATTAAATTAATACCACTTTATTTATATAATTCTATATTTCAACTTCTCAATCTTTTTAAGGTATATATAATTTTAGAATTTATTCTTAATGAAATCATTACTTTTGTTTTCATTTCTAGTTGCTGTTAGAAGCTATTGCTGTATGATTATTAATAACTTTTAGACTTTATATAATATGGAACAGAGTATTATTGTGAAGAGTGTTGCTTTTGGTATGAAGGAGATTGGCATTGCGAGACTTATTAATATTGTTATACTTTCTTGGGGATAATTATAGCTATTTGGTGTGCTATAATAGGAATTTATGCAGTCCTTTATTTTTATGCAAAAAATAAAACAGCTAAAAGATTAAGAGCTATCTTTGAATTATCTCAAAATAGTTTGAGAAATAACGTATAAAATTAGATTCCATAGAATAAAGAATAACCAACCTAAATTAGTTTGGTTGAGTTCAAGGAGTAAACTTTATGAGTTTATAATCATATTATTTTATTTCTATAATTTATGTTTTACTTAAAGCATAAGTAATTCTAATTCAAAATTTCACAACCTATTATATAAAATAATAAAAAGAATTGATTTTACTAATAATAAGAATAAGAGAATTTTGGATTTATGTTCTAATTATTTTTCATAGTTAATATTATATTATTTTAGTGAGATATTCATAATAATACCCATAACCAATAAATAACAATGGTTAATCTAATCAATAAAAATATATTTTAATCAGAATACTGATACATTTCGGAAATTTTTATTATGTTTAATCTAATTTTTGATGTAATCAGAATGGAAAATTTTGTGACCAAATTCATTAGTCTAATTATAGATTTGGTTTATTGATGATCTAATAATTATTCTAAAAATTTAACGCTCTCTTCAAAGACCATTGCTAAATGAATTTATTTCTTTAATAATAATCCATTTTTAAGGCATTCTAATTATTTATTGAGTTCCTTCAGCCAAATCATAAAATTTATTCTTTATACTTATTTTACTATGCAATATTAACTATTTAACTAAAATTATAGTATTTTAATATTTTCTTATAGATATTTTTTTTAACAAGATGATTCTCTTAAAAAGAATTAACTTTACAAAATTTAATTTTTTTGAAAAATTTAACAATTTTAATTATAATTCTATCAAATACTTCTCATATTAAGTTGCAGCATTGTTTTATATCTATTATAATCCGATTCATAACGATATTCACATTATACCTCTTAAGTTATTAATTTAATGTTGTTTTTACAAACCAATTTCTGCTAAAATACAATATGTATAAATATGTTAAATTGTATCGCTTTTGAAAATATTTCAATATAGATTTGATAAAATAACGCTCAATGGCTGAATGTTAACCAGTAACAATCAAAATAAATATGTAAAATATTTAATAATAAATAAATTTATGGAAATATGATATAATAGAATATCATTAATGCTACATATTTTGCAATAAATAATCTTCAAATCTGTCTCCTTCTACATTTAGAATATCAATGTATTATTTTGTAGCTATCATGTCGTTTTCATCTTTATGGACAAAGAATAATAACTCCTTAATGTAAATTACACGATCAAAGTAATTAGTATCTAAAAAGATAAACGATAATGATTATATATACTTTCTTCTTCTGAAATCCTCTCGTATTCATCAAACCAAGCTGGAGTGTTAACAAATGTATCCTTGTTTACCAACGGCTAACCCAATTTACTGGAATATTACTAGAGTTCATCTTCCTTGGGAGTAGGAGATGAAAGTAGAATTAAGTATGTACAAATTTATCTGACATTAACATAGCTATAAATTGGATTTAAAAGAATACCCATTTTAATCAAGGATTTGTAATGCTTGCATCCATTGAGAGGGCGAATATTTCAAGACTCCATAGGAGGATCTAGCTAAAAGCAAGGCTAATTATTTTATATCGATTAGTAAGTGAGTGCTTGTGATGGCTCTTAAATCTTCAATCAGATAATAGAGCTGAGAGATGGAATATCTTTCTTTGGATAATGGTTCTCTTGCAGTCAATGGGGGAGGAATGGGAGTTAAAAAGTTTAAGACTTCATGACTAACAATTACATCAACGAATTAGAGTTGAAGTTCCTTTTGGATCCTTTCAACTCTTTCGATGTACCCTCTAAATAAACCAGAAATAGCATCTAAGGCTTTAATTTCTGTTTAATGAGTATAGTAAATCCACTCATCAATTTTGAGGTATAATTGATCACCTGCTTATCTATATGTTCTAACTTATTATGAGGCATATCTTTTGATAGCATCCACTCTATCTTTGAATATTTATTTCTCTAAAGTAATAGCACTAATAGCCTCTGGATTTTGAAGTTCCTTTTTAACAACCTCCTCTTCCTTTCCTTTCTTTCCTTTTTTTTCATCTTTTTTAGCAGGTTGTTTGCCTCCCTTTTTGGTTTTATCTTCTATGATTTCTTCTTCTCCAGCAAATATTCTTAAAGAATCAGCAATCAGTTTGTCTAATCTAACATTAGGATCATCTCCATCTTGCAATTATAATTCTCCAACGCTAGGTTGAATATCTTGTAATTCTATTGCCTCTAATGTTCCATAGTAATCATTGAGTAATTAGATAGAATTTTACGCTCTATCTAATTCAATTGCTAATAATTGTCTCACTTATAACAAAAATAGATCAATTTCGTTTTCAATAAATTAAGAATTCTATATTTACTATTTTTCTACTAGTAAGTCATCTCTCTTTTAATCAATTATATCTATCAATTGGTCATACAAATCATCGACTCTTTAGTGCAACTCTTCTTTACAGACATCCTCTTCACACAAATCGGGATTCTCCTATACAAATTGATTGTATGATTCTTAGAAATTTCTCACATGATAAAACTTCTCATCTGGAGTATTGATTAAATCTATAAACTTTCTTTAGATATCCATTAAATAATTCGTAAGAAATTCTCTTTACTCTCTAAATCCTTTGAAAATATTTTGGAGAGAAATGTATTTGTTTTCTATTTGATTCCAAAATGAATGCAAATATTAGAGAAATTGTTGATTTGGTTGCTTTAATGGCAATGAGTCTAATTGAACCTATTTGAATGAACATATCTTATCTAATTCTGCTTGCTCCTATTATTACTTGATTAATTCCTCTTTTTGCAATAGTTCATTCTACTAATTGTCATATTTCTATTGTATTTTGTTAATTTGAATTTACAGAAAGTTCTAAAATATTTTATCCACATCATAAAACACTCTTTCGTAATTATTCGAGGCATCTACACCTATGAATGCACTTTGAGCATTTGAATTATCAGCAGACTCAAAATTATTATACCAATTTTAAATTCCTTGAATCTATGTCATGAAATAGGCATTTTTATCTGAGATAAGTTATTATAAATTGTCTACTTCATATAATGGTTTAATTCTTTCAACCAAGGGAGCATTATCAACTGGAGGAGTGTTGGATTCCAGATGATATAATGAGTGATTATGATTATCATATCTTCTGCCAATGGCTCTTCTCAAACATAATTCGTTTGACGGCATTTCTAAATATACACAAACTCCTACTCCACTTTCCTATTTCTTTCTCGGGATAACCGAGTAATCAACTGGTTTGACTACTCTCGCAGCCTCTTATAGTCTTGCTTATAATGGAGTGAGTTCATCTTAAGGTTCAATACCAGTTAAATATTTCTCCAAGAGTTTTGCTTGTTCATAATTATGCGGGAATCCAACTAACAGCCATCCCTTACAATATGGTTTGTTATTGATCATATTATTCCTATGAAAATCTTCCCAGTTGATTCCATCATCATTGAATTCATCTATGGTTCTACTTTATCTGGGATTGAATAATGAATATTTAGCTTTGTATTCTTCATAAATCTAATCAAATTCCTATTTATCAAACAGTCTTTTGATTTTCTACACAATTGCCTTGATATAGAGTTCTTCTGGTATTTCCTCTCCTTGACAAAGATACCCTGATATTTATTATCCCAATTCAATTTGTTATTAATCCCATATTTGTGAGTGTTCTTCGCCTTATTCATACTTCTTTATATATTCTAGTAGTTCATTGATTATCACATCAATTGACAACAATTGTATTCCATACTTTTTGGCCAATAATTCACTGATAGTTTTTTTGCCACTAAATGAGAATCCTATTAAACTTCCTCTGAAGGGGACAAAAGGAATATCAGTTTATTGTATTTCTTGTATAGAATTTTTGAATTGACTTTCTATCAGATATCTAACTAGATTTCCTAAGTTATAGTTATTTTGGGCTTAATAGATATCCCAAGCACCTGTTCCCTCTAGATAATCTTGCATTTCCATTTTAGCAAGGAACATCTTTTGTTTGTAGTTAAGACTTTCTTATTTTTTCATCTCTTTGATTGGATCATAAGTTCTAAATCGTTTGTATGGAATGAGTTCCATGCCTTGTTTAAAGAGATGATGATTTTCCCTTGTAAATTATTTATTAAATTCATTAGAATCATTGTTTTACAAATGTTCATAAAGTTGTTCTTCAATTTCAAAGAGGATTTCCACTAATTTTTTGCATTTTTCATAATTGGATTATCTGATTTGTAATTTATATTCAACATTAATTTCTAATTATCTTTTCTATTGTAATTCGATTTCTTCATTAAATTCTGATTATAATGCTCTTAACATTTCTTCTTCTTTGAATTTCTAATTGATAACATTTAGTTCTTATTTATTTCTATAATTTTCATCTCTTAATTATCTGTTTTCACAAATTACCTCTCTGCATTGATAAGCTCTCCAAATTTCATACATAATTTCCTTTTCTTATTTACTTTATTATTTGAGTTTTTCTAAAACTGTATACTCTCTTCTTTGTAATTCATCTGTTTGCTTTTCCTAATCAACAATCATCTTTCTCCTTCTTTTGTCTCTCTCCTTCCTCAAGAATTCACTCATCATTTTATTCCTTAATCCCAAAGAGACTGGTTCTTGAGTAGCTCTATTTTCAAATTATTCAATCTGATCTTCCATCTCACTTCTCATCATCTATTACGTTTAAACCAATCTGTCTTCTGTTGCTTTTTGCATTGTAGACTTGAACTTTTCATCAGCCACCTTATTTTTATGTCTAATCTGTTAATTTTTCTTCCAATTCTCAATTCCTTTTTGATTCCAATCCTCCATAAATGCCATATTTCTTTGTAACTTATTCAACTAAATCTTACGCATTTCTTCCTTTAGATTCCTTTCCTCAGTTTCTTCCTTTATTTTCAACCTACGTTCTTTTTCTGCCTGCTAAATAGCAAAAGACGAAAACTTCCCAAGATGCTTATCCAAATTAACATCCTTCTATGCCTTATTTTTCTCATTGAGCTTAGATACAAAAAACTCTTATTCCATTTTATCAAATTAATCCTTTGGTTATCTGATAACCATCAATGGTTATATCACATTATATTTACCAGTCTTTGCATGCATCATAACATCATGGGGATCATTTACTTTTTGCAATTACTATTATTATGAATACACGACATACCATCTGTAATTGATAAAGCAATTACATAGCAACTCCCTTTTTGCCTTTGATTACTTGATCAGCAATTTGAAAATTGAATGGAATATGCAAAGTTTTAAATGTTGGTTCCAACAAAGTAAAATTCTTCATCTTGGCTTCTCGTACATCTCTAAATATAGAAAACAATAATCACTTATTAGAGAATTCTTCAAAATTGAGTTGTTAATTGAACTTGCTCAATAACTCGCCAAAGAGATACCCATTATTAAAATCTTTTTCGAATGATGTCACCTTCCTACTCAACTGCACCTCATCATTTAACCACACCATAAGAAGTTACGACATTTTATATACAAATATATTATTATAATTACTACAATATATTCACATCTTAACTCTCCTTTCTATATCAAAACCAAATCCAAACAGTCAGTTCCTCATCCCAATCTTCTAATTCAATCAAATGCAAACATCCAAAAAAGCATATCTTGAAATATCTGCCTAACTATAAATTGATAAGCAAAATTGTATCGATCGAATGAATAATTAATAGTAATCATATTATGCACATCATAATGCAATGCACTAATGATATTGGTGAGATTCTTAATTGATATTTTAGTTTTCTTAAAATAAAATCTTTTATCAGATGTTATAATTTACCCTTAGAGTAAATATTTTATAGACAAGAATGATACGAGTATTCTAAAATCGTTTTAAAATCTTCTACTTTTTTGTTAACATTTTCGACTTAATAATTCTGTATCAATTTTCTATAATTTTCCTTGAATCTCATCTGTCTGCTGTTACTGTTAGATCGTGGTACCCTAAATTATAGGCAATTAATATACTATCTAATTTCATTAAGTAACCCATCTTCTATTAGGTGAGATTTAAATATATTTATATCTATAATTGCTCTTTAACAAAAGTCTAATTGTAATTGACATTTTTTAAGATATCATCGAATAATTTTTTCAATTTACTTTACATGTATTCATTATTATAAATATTCCTTCCTCTATGTAAGTATGTATAAAATCAGTAAAATTAATGAATAATTACTTATCTTCTAATATCATCATTTTCCATTGATTTAAATTTATAATTAATTATACTCCTCATCTCGTATCATTAATATTATTATTAATGCAATCAAATCCTTAAAAATATCAATGAAATTGAATAATTCAAAATTATGTATATTAATGGTGACAAGATTAATTGAGTAATTTTTGTATTATAAATAAAAATAAGGCTAATTTAGATTTTGTAAATTAAATTAAAGGTAATCTATTAAAATATATCGAATTGAGTTTTTTATTCATTGATTACTTGGGATTGATGAGCCTAGATATTATTATTGGACATATAAATGTTATATTAAAACTTCATTAAAATTAATTTGATATTAGGTAGTTAGAATAGTATCTGATTTGTAATTGATGAATACAATATTTATTGTAATGATTAGTGTTATTAAATTAAAAAATTATAAAATGGATCAATGTGATTCTTCCAAATTGAAAATAGATTACTTAAGTTAGGAAATCGAAAATCTAAGTCAGAGGCTAGAAGAATAAATTAAAATCAACGCGTAGTATCAAAGTCTAATTAATGGACGAACAGACATGAAATTGCTATTGAGTGTAATGCAATCAGAGTAGTATATTTTGAAATAATAAATATCGAAAATACTTAATGAGAGAAATGAAGCCGTGTCGAAAGTACTATGATATTTAATTCAGGTTCTCATTCTAGAATAAATACTGCTAGCAACACAATAAGAAAATGATTTCATCCTCAAAGAGGCAGAACAAAGAATTAAGTAACTGCAAGAACAAATAAAATACTATGAGTAAACAAGTTTTAACTTAAACCTCTATGAAACTGATCCTCAAAACGAAGGTTATTTGATAAAGTACAAATAAGTATCAATATGATGTATTCCTCAGATAGTGAATTTGAATGAAGCCACTTTGAGATTATAGTAGGAGATCGAGATATACAAGGTTCAATTGGCTTTGGCTCACATGAAAATGAGCAAGTTACAAGAGTCTAAAAATGATTTAATATAGTTAAACTTTGTAAAACAGAAGTATTTAATTTTAGACTCTCTCGAATGAAATATGTCGATTGAAGATGTAACCAAGTCAAGGAGTAAAAAATGTAGATAAGTACATCTCCCAATTGGTTGAAGTCTAAAAGAAATTGGTTTAGATTGACGGCGAAGATTCAGATAAGGATTGCACATCTCCAATGGAAGATAAAATTCAATGCTACTCGAATAAATGTATAAATGAATCAATATTGAGAGACCATTTTACATTAACACAATATGCCAAAATTAGATTTGAAGAGAGCTCAGCAAATCTAAGCATATACTTTATAGTAAATCAATATGAAACAGCAAAAGAACCAAGATCTAACTCTTCAGGATGAACTCCAAAAATGGATAACAGAATATAAGTATTTGAAGAACAACTACGATGCTTCAAAGTTATTGTTTGATCAGTTGAAGATTCAATATGAAGATCTGCAGAGGAATTACAATGAAACGCTATCCATAAATGCCACTTTAATAAGAGCAAACTAAAATTACGAAGAGAAATGGCAGAACATTAACAAACAACATGTCTTTTATAAGCAATTCTATATCTAGTATAAGGATTGTGTCGATATTTTCAATAAAAGTTTGAGCAATAAAAAGTTACAGGAATCTCTATCTGAGAGGAAAGATCTGTTTGAATTTTCAATATAGGATTCAAAGATAAGACCCACAACGTTTTTACGAAGATCAAGTGTCAATGTGGTTGGGATAACATCAGTCGATTCAACACCAAATTGCATCAATTACAAGGATAAAATAATCTAGATGACTAAGGATGTTTTCTAGATATTTAAGAAAAAGCATAGTGAAAATGAAAGTAGTGATGAAGATATTCCACAGGTGAATCAAATGAAGAGAGAATTCACTGTATCCAACAATTTTTATTCTTAATAAAAACAAGCAAAAATATGAAATCTATCCACACATATTTTGCATTTTAATATAAATCATTTCTTGCCTTTTTTTTCTTTTTTTTTTGAAGGAGCAGCCACAGGTTCTTCTTGTTATTGGGGATTAAGTTTTTTGGTTTCAACTGCTTTATCGTCTTCATCATCGACTTCCTCTTCCACTTCTACTTCAACCATCTTCTTCACCTTCTTCTTCTTCTTCTTCTTTTTCTCTGGCTCCTCATAAATAATCTATTTGCGCATAGCTTCTATTATGATTCCCATCATCACTGTCTTGTATCCAACACTTTCAAATATTTAGGATGTATCAATACTGCTATAATGCTTCACTAAGTTCCTGCATTTCCAATTTAAAACATTGTCTGACAATCAATGAGAGATCAGCTACACCTATAAATAGAAATGCCATAAGCAGTTTTTGGTTGTCAATAACAATACATAATCCTAATGCAACTGCGAATAATGCCTAAATAGCATGCTTAGGTAATAGATTTATTTATTATACATTCGGAGTGAATTCAAGCAGATGCTAAAAAGGGTAATATGGCAATTTAGCTTCGATAAACAAGTACCATCCTGTGACTAAAAAATATATGGTAGCAGGAATTAACAAATATTTCATAATTTAATATTATTATGATCAAAAAACGAATTCTCTATCACTCCTGTCTCCTCTCCCTTTTAATCGGATAATTAATAAATATCAACATATTGTGATAATAAGTAATTTTATCAATAATACTTTTATATTATCACACTAAAAGCTAAATTTACATTTGGGTTTCTTTCTTATTTGTTTCACGTAGATAATTGATGGTATAGATTTAATCGATCCTAATTAGAATGCAAATAAAACAATTGATTAAGGATTCAATGAATAGGATTATCAAGGGTGCCAATTTGGTTCTATAATTTTAATTTATTGGCATTTTAAAAATATAGAATAGTATAAAAAGATTATATACAAATTACAAGCCAAAATAGATTATTTCCACTAAATGCAATTTATTCATAAAATTTTTAATGTAATACCTACCTTTATTAATAATTATGAGAGTCATCATAAACAGCATCACAATATTAGAGGGCATTAACCATAACAACACTGTGCAATAATCGCATTGTGACCTAGTCATTCTTTGTTTGTAGATCAATTGATTATCGAAATCATAGCATCTTTCTATAGCGTTGAATGACAATTAACAAGTTTGTAATTTGTTCTCAGCTATATTCAGGAAGTATAGTGTGATGTTCAACATGATCAAGACACATATGAGTAAAATTTCCACTCTTAGGATATTCTTAATTTATTTAGGAATCGAATTCATTAATTAATAAATGAAAATGTCATTTGAATCAAGAGTAAAAATACAAACAGAGAGATGAATAAAATGAATGCATTATTAAATGATAATTAATATTATAAGAACAAAGAATTATGAAGTATCCATATTGAAATCCAACTGTAAGAGGTCTAATTGGAATTGCCACTGACTGTGCTAAAGACAGGCAGTTTCAATTATAATATCCAGATTGATTCATCCAAAATCATCGATGATCTTTCAATATCATTCATATTCTCATTTCTGATTATATGTTATATAATGAGACTTTCTATATATCTATTGATACTTAATAACATTCTAAATATTACTCCCTTTGCAACCTAATTCTGTCGACTTAATGTTTAAAATCAAGTATGTTGGTTAAGTAATGAATTTGCATGAATATATAATATACTCCCTAAACCAACAGGTAAGCATTTAGTGGGACTTGAAGAGACGCAATTAAAGAATAGAGATTCAATTTCCATACATTATCCAACTTATAGATATATAAAATCAGAAATATAATATTCTTGTTCGAATAGTGTCAACTTTAAATAGGGTTTCATAACAATAGTTTTAAACGATAAAGAGATTCGTTGACATAAGTATCGGTACACCACTTTAATGAATAAGTTAGGAGAACAGATTTTAAGAAAAGCTATAATGATAGACATACGAATATGGAGTCAATAAATTTCATTCACTATTGGGTTATGTATATTGGAAGGTAAATGCTGATTTTAATAAGGTTAATCAGATCAGGTCATTCCTTTGAAGATGCAACTGTTCATGAAACACGAAATTTGATTAGAGATAGCTGTGCAGGTATCATATTGTTAGATCAAATATTCTTGCCATTCTCCGAAGACATCGTAAATAGCATAGTTAAGTAGAAATAGTGATTTCTTTGGAAAACGAAAAGCAAAAGAAAATCCAAAAGATACAGTATCGCTTTTAATGGACAATAACTGAAATTTGTGATTGTGTTGGAAGCATCATAGCTTCCTTGTACAACTCATTTAACTTAAGAGATATCCATCAATTGAAGGTGTTTCCCATTTTGAACAATCTTAATAAAGTTTTATACAACCACCATTGAACATTACAGTATTAGAAATATATTTTGACTCTTTAGTCATCTCATAAGACTTTAACTAGATTAGAGAAGTTTCGTAGAGAATTGTTCAGACTACCAACATGTTAGATTGAATGTAAATGAATGTATATATGATTATTTATGGAATCACAAATAGACAGCTGCTGTGACATGTGCTGGTTGATTTGTATGAGGTAATGGTTCAAAGACTTTCACTTAAATTCTCTTGTGATCTTCTGTTTCAAGAATGAATTAATAGTTGGTTCCAGCAACAACTTAATGGCGTACCTCAATGATTTTGAAGGTTTGATGGTGGGATCCCAAATGTTGATTGATACCATGATGAACGACTGCCAAGACTTAGTGGTGACTTTGGTCCACTTCTACTACTGCCCAACCTCCCATCATCTTTGTTTAATTTTATTTTATTATTGAAAAATCCAAATGATCATTCGAAATTTAAACACCTAGATTATTTTATGGAATAAATCCTTGAATACTAAAATTTCCATTTCTTCCACTTGAGAGTCACTACAGAGTGATAGGCAACTCTAGATGAAGGTTCATTTGAATATTTAATAGTTTTTGAATGGTGGATTTACAGAATACTACAGGATTAATTAAAGTCGTAATAAAATATATAATTAATTATAGCAGATAGGAAGGAAGGAATTTCTAAGATTTAAATTGAATCAAGAATGTTAATCAATATTTAACATATATTCACTGATATAATATATAATAGACAGTTAGCTTTTTGAATCAATACAAAATAGAATGTTCAAATTCATGAGTTTACAAAAAACTTCATAGACACCCAATTCAGATACACTATGAAGAATGTAACAACTGATAACAATGGTATGGCAAAGCCTACCACTGAATCTTGAATCAGAGATATAGCCATCACGAGCATGAGTAGGATGACGGCTATAATGAGGATCCATCCAATCACCTCATTTATTTTAGTATTTGAGAAATTGACTGAGTTGAACCTTTATTCATAAATGTTTATGGGGCCATGAGGAAACTCTTTTTTTTGTAGTGAATAAGTATTTTTGGCTTTCTCCTACTGTAAGATCAGCTGGTATTGATTTAGGTTGATATGCACATTGAGGGTAGCCATGATTGGTATTCAATAAATTTATTTATTAATTTTAAAACTGCTTTGAATTCCAATCAAATTGCTTATGAATTATATAAATACATATTTAAAATTCCTCAAAATTATTATCTGATCAATTATCTTAGATGATGATCTATCTAGTGAAATCTCACGCAATGAATTTAATTGATGTTTATATCTTATTAATTTAAGAGAATGTTTAAAATAAATTCAATCTTATTCAACATTTTATAAATTTAAGAATTCACTATGAAAATAAAATATCATTATTTTCCTGAATATTTTTTACTCGTATTCATTTATATCTTCGAACTTCGATGCCAACTTATATTGGTTATACTGTATGATATTGTTGAGTTCCCTACTAATCGAAATGCGCTTGCTTTGACTCAAAGCCATGATGTTTATGAAATGCTGAAATTCATTCACATTTAATCCTTCATCCTGTTCAGCACAATAACAATAATGATGTCTTATGAATTGTTTGCTGAACTTTTGTGGAAACACCTTTATTTGCATAAACACCAAAATAATCTTGTCCAAATTAAGTCTTTGATCATGGAAGTTGTAATTCTATATTGATTGACCATACATAAGAAACAGTTTTTGTATCAGCGGAAAGAATAGACCATTGAACACTTAATAAGATTTAATTGTGAGTACTCGAATTTCATTTTAATCAAGCACTTGATTATAAATTTCCAAAAGGTATTCCTCCACCAATCTACACTTATAAATTAAGAGAGTTACCTATGTAGCTTTTCCTCTTTGCTGGGCAATAAAGAAATGCAATTTGCAACATCAATTAGAGAATCTCTGAAAAAAGTAAAATTCATTCCTCGATCCTTATCCGAATTTTAAATCTTCACATTGTTCTCATAAACAGTGATCAATTCTTTGTCTTCAATGTCCAGATGGGACAGACGAAAACATTCAAGATAACCTGACAAATTTATATACTTGTACAGTTCATTTAAATCATCACACTCTTAATTGGAGAATTTGAAGAAAATCTTCCTCAAATACAATTCAATTTTCATTGAAAATTAACCATTGATTTCAATTATTTAACTAAATACTTAATTATTTTCTCGATCAACTTTTGAATACAATTCTAAGAACCTAAGTACTTCTTCTGCTTTTTGGGATTTTTGATCATGTCCTGATTTAAATAAATTTTAGATAACAACTATTTTATTTCTATTAATTTTTTCTGTTACTTATTGAATTCTCTTCCTATTTTTTGCACTTTTAGATCCCTTATTTCTATCTTAACCATACTTATGATCGATAAGTGTTTTTTGATCAGAGTCTATTAATCTATCCTTTAATCTCATGTGTTCTAATTGAAATTTTTTCATGTAATATTCCTAAGCTTAGATGCTCTTTTAATTCATTTCATTTCTATATTGGAACTTAGCCCTCTCCCTTCTGGTTTTAAAATTGTTGGGATCCAATAAACTTAGATTTTGATTAAGCTTTTCACTACAGTCCTTGTGGAAGGAATGTAGAAGCAAGGCTTATTCCATAATTTATCCGAATTTAGAAGTGTCATGCAAATGACAATTGATAGCTAATTCTTGGTTCAATTCTTTATCAGCCAGTTCCTTTTATGGTAGTACGGCAGCAATTCGATCAGAAAAGATGCTAGCAGTTCTGATTCCAGATTCTCTATCTAGTTGTTATTAATCGTAATCTATTTAGCCCATTTTATTGAGACACGATTGTAGTCTCTATTATTTGGTGTTGGGAAAGGAAGTGCAATCAATGGATTTGCTCAGAGGTTCTCTTTTCCTTTTCTCAATAATGTCACTAATGGAATTTATTACATTATCCACATTATTAAAATCCTTCAGTGCCTTCTTTTTAAATTGGTTGATTTCTTGGAATCGTCTCTTAACTTCTTTCATTCCCTTATGGTATTCTTTATCACATGCAAAGCCAATAGTCTAAAATTAATATAGTAAATTATTCATTATTTATAATAATCACTTTTTATCATCAATGAAATTGACAGTTTCTAAATCCGATGTCAACATGTTGTGAAATTTATTGAATTCAGCTTAGATGTATCCAACCTATTAACTTGCATGTTAAATCTGATTTCTTTCATCTTGTTTAACCTCTGCATGATAGTTGGAGGCTATGGAACATATCTCTCTGATTTCTTTGAGGTATTACAATTGACTATTGGCTTTTGTGTTCAGAATCTTAGAAACTGGAGAAGGAGAACGATTTTGAGAATTCGTTGAATAAGTACTTTTGTCTTTCTTCTTTTGAGGTGCCATTGGAATGGACATCATCCTTTATAGTCTCAATTTAATGGGACTATCGGTGGGAATGCCAATTCTTTAATAATATTTTTTGAATCGAGCATAAGTGGGGTCTACTGAAGGATTGACATTGGATTGAGTAGTCAATTTCAGAGGTGAGACTGAAGTGTGATTGCTGGTAGAAGTAGTAATTTCACGTAATCGATATTCAATTGACTATCTTCTTGTAATGAATTACATCTTACGTGGTTCCTTATTATGGAATAGACTCTAACCACTCTCATTATGTCTTTAAACGCTTTAACGAGATCTCTCTATGAGTGATTTATAATTATTGGTCATGATTGTCCATTTTTCTTCATTGATTTCATCCAATTTTATATGCGGATCTATTGTCACCTTTTGGAAGTTCTTAAAGTACAGCACGTTTTTCCTTTCTGGTTGATTGTTGTATTCGACATCATGCAATGGTACCTGAATTTCGTCAGCACTCTTTCTTCTCACCAGGTATTTAATCACAGTGGGACTCTGATCAGCCTTCACATCATTCATTTTCTTGCGTATCAGCATCAGTTTTTTAAACTAAAATAAACAAGATTCCATTACATATTCTTAGTTAGTTTTAGTATTTTGTTCCATTAATTAATTAAATGGATTACAATACATAAGTGTTAATAGAACAATTATATCATGCGGATTAAAATATTCGCATCAACGCTTTGCTTGAACTCAAAACAATCTTCAAGGATATTCGAAAAATCGAATAAGGTTTTGAATAATTACTTTTACCTTGGAACGATTAAAATCTGAGATTGCAATACTTTATATTTTTGAAGAGTAACATTACAGAGAATTATGAATGCTCCCCCAATTATATTCAAAATTAGATATAGATTATCATCTAGAATTTCATGAATGTGGTTGACTCATATCTACTTCCATTTTATTGCGATTTACTAAACTTTATAATCGAAATGTCATTGCCATCGTTAAGCATTATCTAATCCATCATCAACTAAACTACTTATAGTAGTATTCACATCAAAATTATTACAGAAATGATGAACAATCGTTTCATCAAAGTTAAAATCCTACCTGCAGATTTCAAAACTATCACTTAAGTAATGACTTCCTATTACGATTTGGTGGATATTCAAAAACTGAATCTTTTAGCTGATCTCTATGTTTCATTGATTTAACCAATTAATAAATTTGATGAAATTACAAAGAATACAATCAATTAACAATTTTGTGAAATCCTGACTTATCATTGTCTTGAATACGAATTACTGAGAAAGTTTGCTAAAGTCGTTTACAAATCAAACAAGTATGGAGTCCCTCCATTAGACATTCAAACAATGCTATTCGATATATTGATGTCTACTTATATGTAGAATGAAAACCAAAGAATCACTGATAAATATCTGGCTTACCAAATAATGAAGGTCTTCAAGCAATTGTTATCAGATAGGAAAATTGAAGACTGGAAATAAGAATCTATCATTTTTTATGCGATGGTCAATTTGATTATGTTAGATTATAGATAATATGAAAATCAATTCAATAGAATCGGAGAAGATGATTCAGACGATTATCTATTAATAAAAGTGAGGTAATTTGGTGCTGACTTTATCCATCACGTGGCTGGCTATTTCTCAGAGGACATGATGTTGAAACAACTCTTTCGTTTGAAAGATCTAATCAACGATGACCAAAAACATGAAGAATTCAATTGCATTAAACTTGAAGCTCATTATTTTGTAATTTGCGAGAACATTTCTTCAATCCCCATGTATATGTTTGATGAAAAGTTCCTATCCGAAATAATATAAATACTGAAAATCCCAAATAGTATTTACATTCCTTTGAAAATGTAAATACTTAACTTGTTGAGAAAGTTGCTAGAGAAAAATGCAATAAGTGAAAAAGGTGTTAATAAGGTGATCTCAACCCTAAAAGAGTAACTGACCCTAGATGTAATTGCTATCCCCCTATACATCTGCAAAATTGTAAACAATCTTATTTATCTGCACTCTTTGTACCCAGCCAAATAATTAATTACACATCAAACATTTGCTGATCTCAAGGTATTATATCAAAACCAAACTAAACTTATACACAAAGAAAACATCTTAATGACTCTTTGTGAAATATTCAGAATAGAATAAGGAGATTCTTCTGTTTTTGGTTTAATTGAGAGTGAATGGAATCTAGCACAGTAAGAGTAACATTAATATAAATATCGAGAAAGTATTCAAATTTATTATTTTAGAAATGATATTGAATGTATTTGAATTCATTATCTAAAATTGGCCCATTAGTCTTCAAAATATCTTATTTAATGGCATACTTAAAATTGTAAAAGATTGCTTAAATACCAATCACCATATCAACCAAAGTTTATCTGTTCTCTCTCTACTTTTGAAAAAGTATTTAGAAGCTTATCCAATCAAATATGACAGGATTTTAGCAGACTTTTAATAAATCTAAAATTAATTTGACATTATTCTTTAGAATGAACCAGATTAGTATAATCAGATATGTGAGTTGTATTATTTAATGTTGCTGCATGATGTTGCAGATTACAATTTGACATTCTAATTTCTCATCAAGAACACTAAATTGTTATAGAAAAGCCTTTAATTAACTCTACTTTGTCTGCTTTTTACTAACCTGAAGTAAGGATAATAGCAAAATAGTATAATTGAATTTTATGCTAATATCCTCTAGTCAGCGTAATAATTATATTATATAATTAATAGAATATATGATGAAGGTAGAACTTATAGCGAATTAGTTTGTGGATTATCAATCCTTGATTTAAATCAATACGATATTAAGGACCTATTAATGCAAATCTAGGCAAAAGTACCTAACAGTAAGAATATGCATTTTGACTTTAGAAATGATTTTCACTATGATTAGCAACGTTACAAAATGTATCCAATTAAAAATGCCCAACTATATGAATTATTTGATAAACTTCTTTAAGACTATATTAACCAAATAACATCTTCTATTTGATATGGAATATATTTCAATAGAATCCAATAATACATAAAATATGAAGCAATACATCTCCAAAATGAAATCCTATCTAATTCCTAATGCTTTTTCATTAGAATCATAAATTTTAAGAATTTTTGAGACAAAATTCTCTACTAAACTTAATTTATGCTAAGAAATTGCTCTAAAATGTAAATCTTATCCCAACATTATTTTAGTGAGAATTGATGTCACCAAATTGCAAATTTAAACTGAGGAACAAATCGCTATGGAGAATATTCATATTAGTTGATTAAATGAAAAATATTTATTTAAGTTAAATATCAATTTAAGAATTAATTGGTTCAAATTATCTCTATTACTTCCAATTTTAACTTTCTAAGTAGAACACTCACTCTCTTACCTAATTAAATGATAATCCAAAATTCATTGTTGCTCTTAATTTAAATAATAGATCACATCACCAAAGCAAAAGTTCATTACTATTAACAAACTTTGTACTGTAATCATTTTTTCCAACAATTTCTCATATATATTCTTTTTTATTCAAGAATTCCTAAAAGACATTCTGATTTCATCACTATACCCTTCCCATCTGATAAGTAGTTTTCCACAATTGCATTAGGACGATGAGGTGGATCAAACAATCATAATTTTGTTTTGGCCTCATTAATAAATTTAGGAATTTCAATTACTTACCCTGTGTTGTTAAGATAGTTACTTTTCAGATTGATTAGCCTAAAAACTTCATTCGTCTATTTCAACAGATTCTCCTCTTCCTTTTATCATTAGCAATAATTAATTTCCTGCAAAGACTTAAGAGAGTTCGTATGTTATAATGTCTGATCTGGATTCATCGCAAATATTTGCCAAAGAACTACTATTTTATTGAGAATATTCAAAATAGACATCCGAAGGACAATTAAAAATTAATGATTCATGTTAATTATTATATTTATATTTGTTCTTTCAATATTTAGAATACAACTCTTTTCTTTTTTCTCTATGCAAATTTAAATTCCTTTACGACCAAAAAAGACTTCCTGTGGCTATTAAATCCAAAACAAGTATTTAATATACAATTGCAAAAGTCCAAAATGGAGCAGTCCCCATATTCGTTGAGTGTGAGTATGCTATCATTGTTGAAATGATATTTACGAGAGTAGGTACTACCCACCATTGTGATAAAGTTTCGATACATGAATATGAACACAAACCCAAAAGGATGGGGAGAGAGTAATATGTGTAGTTGAATGGCACTTTTGATCTTAATTTATTTTTAGCTTTGAAATCATCAAATTTCATCATGTTCAAACCAATTAAAGAGCCACATAATAAGCCATATTTTAAATTTAACCAATCTATGCACAATCTTACATTGTAAAAATATGAAATGTCTTCAAATCTAATACTAAGAGCATTGTAAAAATAGTAAAATGTGGGGACTGTCATGACCCCAAATAAAATTGAAACAATTCTTGGAGTATTACTTTCAATGTTGGAAGTTTATTATAATAGTTTTTCTTACATCAATCTAGCCTTTTATTTTTGAGCATTAATTTGTATTTCATTTTTACTAAACCTTTTGGGAGCCTCGTAAATTTATTATTTATATTTGAAAATACTCCTGAAAACAAGCATATAAATAAAATTATTTTTAATATAAATAATATTTGATAAATCACCAAAAAACTATTAGAACAATGAGTATCCAAACGTGTAAAATGGAACCAAATACATAAATATCGCAGGCTCTGTCATTTAATGAAGCATTCTCAATAGTAAGACACTTATTCATAGGTTTATACCAAACGCATTATTTATCACTCAGACATTATTTCTCATCCTCAGTACTACATGCAAGTTGTAATTTAAATTCCTGACAAGAGTTATTAACCCAATTACAACCAAAAATGCTATATTGATTACAGTTGCATTATTCGGTTAACTAGGAACAACTCAAACACTAATTATCTCCACCTTTAATTTGAGTGAAGAAACATTTTTCTGAATTCCTCCTAGTATTGAAACAATTTTCCTAATTTTATAATATTAAATAAATACTTTGGTTCGGATAAGATTACAGGTTTCTGTAACACATTGATTGTCCATCCAAATGCAATTTATTTCTTGAATTGAAGATCTCAAACAGTTTGATTTTTCAATAATATCAGAGCATTGTTTAATTGATGAACATTATTGATCTTAATAGATGCATTTCACCCCATTAGTTTATCTGCAATTTGATTTTGAATTGTGAGAACATTTCTTAACTATGCATGATTCTTCCCAATGGCATTCTACTCCATATGGTTTGACTTATGAGCATGATTGTTAATTGTCAATTTCTGAGCAAGATTTGATTGATTTGCACCCTTAACTACTAGTAGCACAGAGTTCACCATTGTAAGCTAATCCATCACAAGGAATTTAAGAATTTTAGCAGGATTTCAATTAACACGTATTTTCATACCAAATGCATTCATGACTTTTAAAAATAAATAAATCAATATTACATTCCATTTATTATATCCTTGCAATCTGCCATAGTCACAGCATCTGAACATATCAATGGAATTGAATTTATGATAGTGACTAAGATAAACAAAATTAGGATGGTTTTCATGAGTTTTTAATTAAAAGAATAGGAAGAGTAGAATGATATTAATTTAAATAATACACACATATAGAAAATAAGTAACCATATGAATACATTTTCAAAAATATTAAGAATATTTTTGTCTTTGACTCTTGTCGAGTGATTATTAACATAATGTTTTCACTTTTTCATTTGGATTATTGGCTAATAAAAGATCAATAATCTCAAAATGTCTCCATCGAAATGCAGCTACCAATGGATAATCATCAATTTAATTTATCTAAATATATTACCAATTATAAATTACTTATACTGAAATATTTTAATCAGCACCATATTAAATTAGGATATTACAAACATCCTCAAATCCATTCTTTGCTGCTATATATAATAGAGTAAATCCTTATGAATTCTTTTTGTTCACTAATCTCAAGGGACTTTTTGGTTCATAAAGGTATCTTCCAATTGCATAAATCTATTAAATACCTCTTAGGATCATTCATAAGAATTTTTTCAATTAGATCAATTGAGGTGCCCTTCTCCACATAATAGAAGAGTTCTCTTTCTCGCTTTATAGCTTTCATCGCATCACTTAAATCGTCATTTGCTCTCTTTTTGGCCATTTGCTCCTCCTTGTTAAGTGAACCTATTTGAGTACACGACCGGAATTTTGTTAGATTCTGATTGAAGGTCACTTCGTCCTTTTGTTTTAGTCAACTATATATACTGGTGATTAAATAGATTTGATAATAGGCATTTAGAATAATCGAATTGAATGGCAAACATTTCTTATTTTCCTCCAATAGGTTTTACTATCACTTTCATAAAATGGCACACTATGTGGAAAGCATATTATTACTCATTCACTTATTTTGGACAAGGCTATTCAAAGACTACTTTTTATTACATTTTTAGGAATTTTATATAATATTTAGTGTAGAATGCAACTATCACATAATAATAATAAAGGATTATTATATCACTCTTTATTATCAAATGGATAAAATAGAGGCAGCAATTATAAGTAACAAACCTGACTAATCTGAAATCAATTGGAATGATTTTAACTGGCCTCCTCTCATTAAGATTTTCCACTTCAATTTGAGTGAATTGCAAGATCCGTAGAAATCATTCGTACGCCTTCTTTACATTTCCTATCTTTTCATCTTAGGAACTACATGTTTGAACCTGATGGATAACTGCATTTAAGCTGGATTAGGATATCCAAAAATTAGAATATTATACGCGCTCCTCAATATCTTGATATTTAATGCACTCCAGATGTACATATTTTATTTGGGCTACAGGGGGATGTGTGCTCACTAATCCTTATTGAAATGGTACAGGATTTTACATGTAATCTATAAAATAAATGAAGTTATTGGCTGGACTCCTTTGGTTAACGTTAAGCATCATTGATACTTTGGGTTGGAACGGATTTGTAAGGGCAGCAACTTTTATAGATCAAGGCCAAGATGGATTAGTATTCCTCTCAATCGCTGAAAGTTTGGGATTTTTGTAGAGTTTCATTCTAACTCCTATTTGTATTTGCGGATCTCATAAATTTGTATTTGACACTATAGAAATTATAGAGAAATGTGATATTTTAGAAAATGACTTTATTTTTATTATAACAATTTTATCTAGTCGCTATCTTCTTTTAACTAAATATGTAAGTATAACGCACATTTTATAATTTGGAAAGCTTTCTTCTTAATAGATTGAACAATTATAGCTGAAATTAATATCTAGTATAATTAATTCAAAATGATACAAAGCTGCTCATTTTATTGATCTTTGAGGAATTTCTTATGAGGATTTAGGATACTAGGTAACTAGGTAAAGATCCATTTCTATGAATAACATTTATAATGAATTTTATAAATATTGAGAAATTAAATTGAGTCTAAAAGGTAACTGATTTTATCGATTGCAGAACTTAAATTAATGGAGATTTGTAATGAAACAGTTTATATCATTGGATCGAATAAGGATTTGAGTTGAAATCATTGACTATCTCAATTTAATGAATTCTAAGGATTCATGTACTTCATGAAATTTATTAGAATCATTTCTTTAGTTTTGTGAGATAAATCCTAATCTTTAGTGTTAGAAATAAGATTAACAATAAAGGCAGTAAGAATGTTCTTGCATAATGAATCTGAAAACAAAGTACTATATATAGATTCAATGGAGTATTAATACTCTTAGTATTATAAATCGATGATAAAAACACTAAATTCAAGTTGATTTTCTATAAGAATTCAAGATTCTTTAGAGAAGTTCATAGATATATTCCTAAGAATTATGTTCCCAAACATTTATTGAAAGATTTGATAAAGGCGAGGTTGTGAGTTTTACCTTGGATTTCTTCAATATTAATGCTTCTAGGATACCTATTATAAATATAATATGGAAATCATGTGGAATTTGGTATTTTGAAAAGTGTGATGCAGTTATAATGATTTATAAGCCATACGTGATGTTTTAGTTGATTTATAATTATTATCGATGATTTAATGAATAAATAAATATAATGAGAATCAATATCTTAAAAATTATTTTAAATTCCTTTTGCATTAAATGGCATATCACAAGAAATCTTTTACTTGGTCTCCAACAGTTTTCCAAGTGTTAACTAAGACTTGTCTCATCAATCTTAAACCTACTGTCACAGCCAAATAAGGTCCTGTGCATTTGAAAATTGATACTGAAAGAGAATTATAATTCTCAAATGATTTAAGTTGGAATTGGCATAAAAGTTGGAATATACCAAATTTATCAATTAAATTACAACTTGAAGACGAAGATACACCATAATGGATGGATTGTTAAGTAGTTATCAATTTTTAAATTAGGCTTAATTGATGGCTGTAAAACTAAATCAAGATGGAGTCTATGAGGAAGTAGGTTTGGAAGGAGTAACAACTCAAGAGCTAGTTGATGGCAAAGCATTTTTTTCTGTATTTTCATTAATCGATTTTTATTTAGGGTGTTAAATTTAACAGTACTACTTACAATCATTAAGGACATAAGTTTCACTTGATCCTTTTGTTGAAAAGTGCGAATAACATTATCACTGCACTTGAGTCTCCGCCAATTTTCGTGGATAGCAGGAAAAGTGCAAGGGATGAGCACAGACAAACCCAGTTTATTCAACCATTCGAACCAAAATATTTGGAAAGAAATTTTTGTAAGAAAGAGAAGCACTTCAACGATGTGATTTAAGCTCCTATTGAGAATAATGAGAATGGACTACATAACTATCTAACTGCTCCCAACATACGCAATAAGGTACAAGATCTAATGCTATCATATATAGATTAAACATCCATTATTTTTGGCCTTGAAATTCTCAAAATGTATGACCATCTATCATATGAGAACTATGATAACAGACAATCATTTGATTGAATTTCAAAGGCAATTAAAATAAAAATAGGAGTAATCCGAATACATCATTGCTTTTTAATCAAATAACAATAGAATTCGCAAAAAAGTATTATTATATATTATATAATAGATTGAAGAATCTTTAACCTAGTTGTTCATACAAAGTAGTGTTAAGGTTATGGAGAGGAAATAGGTTGATGAGACGCTCTATTAAAAATTAGACTATGATATCAAATCATATTACGCAGCATACAACAAATTGGTAGAAATGATGAACTCAACAAATTCTGAAAGCACAATGGAAATTCAAATAGAAGAATAGAACCAATAGTATTTCAATTCATAGTAGAGTTAATTCAAACGATAGCAATCAAATGGAGAGAAGAAGTCAGCCTTCAGAAAATTCAACAAAGACTTTGATAAATTGCCCACAAAAAACTTTTGTGAAATCCAGAATGAAGATAGTATTTAGAAGAAGGTGAAAGAGGAGGAGGAGGAGATTGACTACGGGAACAAAATGTTACCTGTTAATGTATGTATTTAGATTAACTCAATAGATTTAAAATTTGTTATTGCAAGAATAATTAATAAAGTATTACTTATTCTAATAGCAATATATGATTAATTTGTTATCTTAATAGATCTGAATGTATTAAAATATATATTATAAATAAATAATAATTTAAAAAAACCTCATGATTTGAGTTCTTTCACTGTTAATATAATTTGATATGAGTTATGGCATTATAATTAAATAAATAAATGGATCATCAATTTCCGAGAAAACAATTGGTGATATCAAATTCAACCAAAGATAAGGTGGAGGCATGCAAAAGATATATAGAGAGAAAATACACAGATCTATTGAAAGCGGAGATGGAGAGGAGAGAGGATTGGGCCAAATTATGGGAGAAAATGAAAGACATGTAATTGAAAGGTAAAAATACATATGCTTTAGTTTAGCTTAGGATTAAGAGTACTATAAATAGTTGGTTTTGAAGAAGGAAGCAGAACTGATGAGAAAAAAGTAAATAATAAATTTGAATTTCTAATCATTAGAAGAATGAAGTTTTGCACTGATGATTTCGAGCCAATAGCAATAATTGGGAGAGGAGCATTCGGTGAAGTGAGAGTTTGCAGAATAAAAAATACTAAAGAGATTGTGGCAGTCAAAAAAATGAAGAAATGTGAAATGTTGGCCAAAAATCAATTAGCACACATTAGAGCAGAAAGAGATATCTTGAGTCAAGAGAATCCTTGGGTGGTAGAATTAAAATGCAGTTTTCAAGTATTGAATACTAATAATATTGAGGATGACAAATATCTCTATTTAGTGATGGAGTACATGGCAGGTGGAGATCTAATGACATTGTTGATGAAAAAGGATATATTAACTGAAGATGAAGCCAAGTTCTATATTGCAGAATTAGTGTTGGCAGTTGATTCAATCCATAAAATGAATTATATCCATAGAGATCTCAAACCAGATAATATTTTGATTGATCGAAAAGGACATCTCAAATTATCTGACTTTGGATTATGCAAGTATCTCATTCTTTAAATCTAAGGTATTCAGAGATCAAACCGAAAGTTGAGTTGGGCAGAAAAATTCCCAATTAAAATCCAGCCCCAACTCCAATACTTAGCAAAATGTAAAAGAGAAGACAACTAGCTTTATCCACAGTTGGCACTCCTGATTATATTGCTCCGGAAGTCTTTACATAATAAGGGTACACTGAAACAGTTGATTGGTGGAGTGTGGGAGTAATGTTGTATGAAATGGTTGTTGGATATCCTCCATTCTTTTCGGATGATCCTTAAACAACCTGCTAAAATATCTTACACTGGCAATCAACATTCCAGATCCCACAAGATATCAGTCTCTCACCTTAATGCATTGATTTGATTCGCAGATTAGTGGCTGATCACAATGAAAGATTGGGCATTAATGGAGTAAGTGAAATTAAAATTCATCCATTTTTTTAAGGAGTTGATTGGAAGAAGATAAGAGAGAAGATTACTCCTTATTAACCTCAAGTGAATCATGAAATAGATACTTAAAACTTTGAGAAATTCGAAGAAGAAGAACCTTGGAATTGGAATTCTAGTAGGAGAGTCAAGAAGGATCATTTCTAAGGATACTCTTTTAATAGACAAGCTCAAAAAGAACAAAGTCCAGTGAGAGTAGCTCTGGAGAATATTGACAAAGTTGAATTTCCTAAGAAATAATAACCGACGTAGTAACCATAAAGTTAGATTCAGTAACCTGGTAGTCCATCTCACAGGAAAGTTATAGCTAAACCAATTGCTTATGCTTACAACAAATCTGCCAGGTCTAATTCTCCTGTTAATAAGAATCAATAATAAAACTCTATGAAAACTATTCCATAACAACAAACTTTACTAAATATATTATCTTAATATAAAAGAAATTCTAATAATAATAATAACAGCTCCAATAACAATTCCGCACTCAATTATTCAAGCTCAAGATTACCAAATCTTAAAAGTGTTCGCGAACAAAGTCCTAGATCCCCAAGAAACACATAAAAGTATTACTATTAATGATCTTTCATTTAATTTTGTTTAAAATCTTAGTTTTATTATCCATCTATATCAAAAGTATAAATCATTCTTTTCATTTGTATTCTTGAGTTTTCACAATCAAACAATATTCTTACTTAAGGTTGTAATAAAGCAAAAGAGAAATACAATAATAATGAAATCCACTTTATTAAATCTTCAATTTCTTTAAAAATTAGGTATCTTCATACTACTTTTATAATGTAAACGTAAAACTAATCAATATTAATGGAAATTATAATCTGATTTATGTATTAGACTGAATTTGACAGATATTGTTTGAATATTATGACTACAAAAATGATGAATATTTGTAAAATTTCACAAACAAATTTCGCTCGTTTAATTTTCCAATAATATATTTTGATAAAATATGGCAGGAGGATTAGAAAGAGTGTATGGAACTGAGGAAGACAAGGTTATCAATAAATCTTATGACGTAGGTTAATTGCTCGTTCTATATCAAAATCGGTGCTTGCAGATATGAAAATAAATGCTAAAGAATCCACAGTATACCTCCCATCTCTTAAACCATATTATTTAAAGTAACAATTCATCCATGAAATTTGTAGCATATGTACCAAAATTCTCCAATAGAAGTTGCCATCGCCTCTGGAAATGCAGTGTCTTAGGCAGGCATTGAGGAAGCATTAGAAAAATTTGAAAACTTTTATGAGGATGTATTTTTAAAGGTATGATTAAATGTTTATTGATGTATGATAGTTGGCTGAATTTGGAGAGATCGAGGATCTGATAGTATGTGAAAACATTGGTGATCATTTAGTTGGCAATGTGTATGTGAAATATACATCGGAATATTATGCTGAAGGTTGCTTTAATGCTTTGCAAAATTTGTCTTACGAAAATAGACCTTTACAGATGGAATACTCACCTGTGTTGGATTTCAGCAGTGCTAAATGCAAACAATACATTGATGGCACATGTCAAAGGTATAAAATTAACCATTTATTTAGAGGTGGAGCCTGCAATTACTTACATCTAAAGAAGATTTCTACCAAATTCAAGAAAAGCTTATTCAATCAAATGTATGAAGAGCATCCCGATTACAAAGAAAAAAAAGAAAAAGAAATTAATGAGTATTATTCATTTAGATTACTATTTATTAGAAAAAGCCCAAAAAAACATAAGAAGAAGGAAAAGAAATCTAAAAAGAAGAAGAGCAGTAGCAGTAGGGAATCCAGCAGAAGAAACTCTATTGAGAGATAAAAAATGATTAATGATTGGAATGAAACAGGAATTTAAAATGTAATACATACTTATTCAGCATTATTAAATAGGTTTCTTAAGCATAAAAAATGATGTATGGAAATAATATGCCTGCTCCAGTTTACACACCTAAAGTTTCGATGCGAACGAGTCCAGAGTTATTGCAACTATAATTATAATTGGCTGCATTAAAAGAATAATTGACTGCTATTAAAATGAGTTGAAATGTTTACATTATATTCTACAATAATATATGATTTATTTTATGAATAACTATGTATTACCTTCTAGTTTTTTAAATAATTTATAGACTTACTTGTAGATTATATCTTTGTTTTATTTTTTTTTAATTATCTTTTTAATACATACACAAAATGACATTGTAATTTCAAGGAACTCAAACATTGATATTGATGATTTATTGGATTTAAGAATATGATATTATTATTTAAAATTGAAGTTTATACTAGTTACAAGTATAATTGAATATTCATATTTAAGTACCATCCTCTTGGTCTTTCAATCCACTTTTAAATTTCTCTTTGAATGAATGAGTGCTCAAAGTTAAAGTTCTAGTCAGTTAAGTACAGAATTAAGTTGAGAACGTCATAGTAGTAACTTTTTCACACAATTAAGTGTATTTGTATTCATAATATTCTGAAAACAATTCTTTACCAATATATTCGTAAAATAATTTGCAGTTTTACAGTTCATAATCTTAATAATTAAATAGAGATACCTTCAATTTCTTTAGAGTGACATGATTGCAATTGGAACACTCCATCTGAATGCATAAATTTCGCTAAGCTATCATATTTTTGATCTAAATATTCGAATAATTTGTTTTTGCTTAATTGCACATATAATTCTAGGATGGATAAGAGATGGAAATACAATCATCTTCATGTTTAATATTGCCCAGAATATCAATATGTGTCCTAATGTATTGATTTTAGCTTAAATGTGCTTAAAAAGGATTTTGGCGGTCAAACATATCTTCATATTTGATAAATTCCTGTAAATTGTTAAGGAATTTGCCCTTCAAAACTCTGATGGCAGCTAAAAGTGGATCTATTGAGTGGATTACTATGATAGATGAATCAAAAGTAATATGAATATTATGTTACTGGTGAGACAATAATTCCCAATAAGACTTGCGGTGGGATTCTTGATTAATTTAGATTGAAATATTGGGACATCATTTTGATTGAGATTGGCTAGGTATTGGTTTTCTTAGATCAGAATGGAGGAGTATTCTTCTGAATGGTCTAAATAGTATTGATCTGCCATCAAGTATTGTAAGGGAGATTCTTACATATTAATTAAATTAAATGCAAAAGTAAATAGGAAAGTACATAACATCAACCTCAGGGTATTTAGGAAGTGGATCTTTGGGGAGAGTAAATCTTTAAATCTATTAGAGGTGGACAAAGCGAAAGACTCTGAGAAAAATATTGATGTGGTTCTTAAGGCAATTCCTAAGAGTATTTTAAAGGATGATGAGGCTATTCAGTTGGCACTGTTGGATGAAATAAAATTATTTCAGAAAATAAAGAATCCAAAAATAGTGGAATTGTTGGATGTGTTTCAACATGAAGGAACATATTACATGGTGATGGAATACAGTCAGCTCAACTTATAACAGTTAAATAATAGATGTCATATTAGGTATTTAAAGAAGGACAAGGAGAAGATGTGCATGAGTGAGTAAGAGGCTATCAAGATGTTAAATGATTTGCTTGAAGGGTTCACTGAGTTAAATAAACATGGAGTGATGCATAGAGGATTAAAATTATCAAACATTATGGTAAATGAAGGGGTCTTCAAATTAGCAGGTAATTCAATTCATAAAATGTATATAGATTGTGGATTATCTAAATGTTTGGAGTCATTTCGAAAAGAACAGCAATAACTATCTCAATATCAATATTTATCTCCATAAATTTTGTCAGGCCAAAAATATACCAACAAATGTGACATATGGTCATTGGGCATCATATTGTATTAAGTACTCTTTGGATACACTCCTTGGTTTGGTGCAAAGTTGGATGAATATCAACATTAATTGTGGCATACGTTACTCTAATTTTCAGAAGATAAAAAACAAATCAGTAATGAAATGAAATCATTCATCGAAGGCTGTTTGGCAATTGAAGAAGGTTCTAAACATTATTATTATTATTTTAGAGGAAAGATTTGATTGGGATGCAGTGTATAAGCACAAATTAGTTTGTGAGCATTTTAAGAATTACAGATCCCAAATCAAGTAGGATCAAATCAAATTTCTAATGAACGAAGTCAGGTAGAAAATTATTAAGTAGAATATCGATGTCATCAAGCTATTTAATGAACTTGATGTCAATGGAGATCATACTTTGGAATATAAAGAATTAGTTGTACTACTAAGAAAAATAGATAAAACTTTATCTAATACGGATTGCAAAATCATATTTAAGCAATTGGATTTGGATGGTGATAAGAATATTTCATTTGATGAATTTGCAAAGTGGCTGACTGATAATAACACGAAGATGACTCTATTAACTAGGAAATTTCATCGTCAATCAACTATGAAAAATACTGCATCACCAGGAGTCTAACCTTAGACCACTCCTTAAGGCATGAATGCTAACTAAAATGCTCACAGTTTATTAAACATTCAAACTCCTTAGGGTTACGAAAATAGGATTAATAATCCTATGGTTTCAGAGATAGACTTAGATGCTAATCCTTTTGAAGATATTTGCAAACAGAGATCTCCAGAATAAACCATTTTAATGATAAAGGATGGACTTAATTAATTCAGAATCAATTTGTTTGATTTGTTTAGTAGATATGATTAGAATAGGGATGGATTCATTAATTTCTAAGAGTTCTTTATGATGGCCAAATAGATTAATTAGCAATTTACAAATGAAGAATTGAGAATTGCATTCAAAGTTTTTGATTTGAATGATGATAATTTCGTTAAATTTGATGAATTTAAAGAGATACTTGCCATTACCGTTCAAAGGGTATATTTTATAGTTTATTTAAAGCCAATTAAACCAAATATGAGTTTTCCATAATTTCCTATGTAAAATTCAAGTTATGCTCCATTTTTTGGAACTCAATATCCTTAATAACCATAGTAGCCATAATAGCCATAACAATTTTAACCTTTCCAAAACAATAACTATTAAAATGCATCATATAATTAACCCTAATAAGGTGGATAATAATAATTTCCATATTAATAATAATAATAATAATAATAATATAACAATAATATTCAATAATAAAATACTGACTTAAACTTAGCATACTAACTAATGAATTATTGATTGATTTATACTTATATATAATTGCATTATTGAAAATTATTTTATATTTTATTAGTTGTATAATTGGTTATTATATAGAAGTATGTCAATAAAATTTTTATAACAATGTGACTTACTTTATTTATGCAATTTTTTGATGAAATATTTTAATAAGGAATGATTTCATATTTATTTTGATTTATATTGCAAAAAAAAAATATGCTTTTCTTTAAAAATTAAAGAGCATTTTACTCAACGAATGAATTGTAATTGAATACCCTATACATTTAAACCTTTCCAATCAGTTGTTTAATACAATTCACTTCAATATATTAATTGATAGAATGAAATAGAAGACATGGATTATATTACTTGAAGATACCAGTTTGAACAGTAGACACTATGAATTATACCTCTCTATTCATTTGTTTTATAATGTAATTATAGTTCTCAATTCAACTTTTTTTGAATTGCATCTTCGTTCTAGTAAAATCTCTGTGGTAGTTTCGACTAAAGTATGCCTTGATGATGATTATTTTATGAGTGCTATTCAAGGCAATCTCATATTTGACGTGTCATTAGGCTATAAACAGAAATTAAATGTGCTTTGTTAATCGCTGATATCATTCATATTTATTAATTATGTAATTATCACACATCATTTGGGGATTTTTTGGAATCCTCTTAGCTTACAACATCAAGCTGTACATGGACTCCAAAGTTCAATATGATATCAAGATAGATGGAAATTCAATTTCAATAAATTTATAAGGAAAGTCGATTGGAAATAGTGGATTGGAAGTGGCTTGCAAATAATTCCAAGATTATGTCAATGTGACTAAATTGGAAGCCAATTTCAATTTGAATGGACTGACAAATGTTCAGACTCTCTTGTTAACCATAAGTAGATTCAAGAGATTATAAGAATGTACATTTCTATATTCATTATCATTTTAGTGAATTTGCAATTAGGAAACAATCCAATTGGTAATTCAACAGCCTCAAATCTTTAGGCTCTTTTGATTCAATTATAAAATTTGGAGTCGCTCTCATTAGGATTAGATAACCTATTCACACACCAAGGAAGATCACAAATAATCAAGAGTATTTCAGAAATGAAGAAAATTCATACGCTCCAAATTTCACTCATCAATACAGATTTAGGTGGCAATTAGATTGACACGTTGCTTCCAATTGCTGAAATGAGATAACTAAAATCCTTAGAATTGATACTAATGGGCAGTAATCTAACAGCGCCATCCACTAAATCCTTATAGACATTATTGTACAAGCTACCAAAATTAGAACATCTAGTTTTAAATCTCTATGGTAATAGAATCATGGTTGACGGTGTTGATGATTTAAGTGCTGGTCTGTATCATTAAAGACAGGTTAAGAGTTTGGAACTAGAATTGTACTTCAATAACATAACTTCAAATGGAACAGAGACCTTGATGAGTGTGACTGGATAGATGACTAATCTCACAAAATTACATATTGGTTTAGAGTTCAATTACATTGAGGAATAGGGAGCTAAACATATTGGCAAGGCCTTGGGAAATCTTTAACATCTCAGAGACTTATCTATTAATGTGGCATCTAAGAATTTTGGATACTTGGGATATGAGGCTGTTTTGTAAGCAATTGAAAAATTGCCTATTTTGGACTCATTGCAATTAATCATTGGAGTTAATAAATGTGGTGCTCGAGGTGCTGACTTATTAAAAAAGGTGTTGTTTAAGCAAAATAAATTGAAAACTCTGATTTTGGATTATACTGAAAATTACATTGGAGATGCAGGTGCTACATTTATTGGAGAGGGTTTGGCATTCCAGAAGGCTCTAGAATATTTAAGAGTGGTGTTAAATTTTAACTCTATTTCTGACAGAGGAGCTATCGATGTGGCCAAATAAATTCATTCTCTTAAACATCAACCAAAATACATAGATCTGAGATTAAGTTAGAACAAGATCTCAGACATAGGTTCGAAGGAAGTCCTTCGCTATTTATCAAATATCACATAAGAAGTAGATTTCGTGGAATTAGAACTGCTAGGAACGGCTTTAACAAATGCCACAAGGGACGATCTTGTTCAAACTTATAAGAATGTGAAAAACTTAAATTTTATTGTAGATACAGCGCCTCCAAGTTATTGGGATGAATAATGAGTATTTATAGGTTAATTATAATAAGTTTTATTAAAGTAATAGAGTATATTTATTAACTCTCTCTAATTGAGATTATATCTACAGTTTTCATGATTATAATTTACAATTGATACGCACTTTTGAATTAAGGCTACTGTTGATTCCGAAGTCTTTATGTAAAGTTAATCGATGAAATGTAAATATTTATATTATTTAATGAATTAAGTTATGAATTTGGGTTGTGTTTCCAACAAGTTGATGGACACATATGCCGTTTAGGTTTTTTGCATGAATACTTGGGATCATTGTTGTTTAATCTATCACAAAAAAAAAATGATTATCAAATACCATTACTTAGAACAGAAGATTGTCAGATAAATATTATGGTGTAAAAAAAAATCATATAGAATATTTGATATTTCAATGTCAAAAAAGCAGCGATTATACTTTCTACTGTGCTAAGATTGGTTTATATACTTTCTGAATTTCGATTTTTAGATTGTTAACAAAGTTCAAATGGAATGCAAATAATTTACAAATCTACTATTCCTAGATCATTTAAGTACCTTTGTTATGGTTTAGTTCAATTCTGTTAGTGCATTTGAAATCCAAATGAAGGATAAATTCAGCATACTTAAGTATTAAGAACTCAGCGGATCTCTGGATTGGAATCGATAATGCAAATTAATAGATTACTTTTACATTCTCTACAACTCCCAGAACATCACAATCTACGATTTAAGGACTCTCAAACATTTGGGATCAGTTCAATTGGGTTTGACCATCTCTGACGTCTACTTCATAAACGATCTCTTGTATTTGGGCGATGTCTACGGAACTCTATGGTGTTATGACCTCAACGGCACTCTTCAATATTTCCATGAACATGCTCACGATGGCTAGATTGTGAACATGGTAGTATATAAGGAAGAACTTTTCACAGTAGCAAACGACCTCTTCATTAAAGTATGGAAATTGAATAATCTCATCTTTTGTCAATCCTATCCCATTTATCAACAGCAGATTCAGTATTTCAAATTCATCAATTACTCTAAATACTTCCTACAATCTGCTGATCAATTGTTTCTATGCGACTTACACCACATATTGTAAGCCTATTATTTGCATAATTCATCTGTCTCTGCAATGTCCGAATAATGCATAGCCTTTAAGAATCACGTGTATTACTCTAATCAAAGTCATAAGGTCATATTCGCCCCTAATTCAGTTTACTAAGTACTCCAGATCATTGACAGTCCGAATCAACCAAACACTTACTACTTGCATCTATAAAATCAAACCTTAGCCAAATGGGTCAACAATTAATAGGTTGATGTGCTCAATTTTGATAAAATCAGAACTATAAATGGAGACAAGATCAATCAAGACATCACGTTCATACAAATCATTGCTCTCTCTCCTCCTCTATATGATGTTGAGTTAACCATTGATTCAAAGGATCAGAACAAAATATCTAAGATGCTTGAAAATGCAGATCAATCACTGTACTTTGTTATGGGTTGTTCCAAAGGAGCTGTTATTTGTATCCCTTTGGAACTCTATACTATAATATACACACGAGTAAATTATAACAAAAATGCTATTTCAAGCATTATTCACTTTAATGATCAATTGATCATCAAAAGCATTGATAATGTAATCAACTTTGTTCAAATCTCATCCAATAAAGCCTTGTTGATTAAATCAATCAAAATTCTTAAATTAGGACCTATCCATTTGACTTAATCAAAATAGTTGGCTGTTGCACAATCAAATGACTTATATCTATTTAATTCAAATCTGATAGCATATGAAACTAATGCAGGACATGAAACTGAAATCCTACAGATCACCAGCAACAAAAACTTTGTAGTCAGCAATTCTTTACAATAGCTCAAAATATGGACCAACAATGGATTTTGCCTATTCACCATCAATTTTCATGTCTAAATAGATTATATCTATTATATCAAAGATGATCTCATTATTAGCTTAAATGGAGGTCTATGTCATTTGCTTATTCCCGAACATGAAGAAGTTGATTTAGATACCAACGAATATAATAAAATACAAATGATCGATTTGGCAGTGTCCAAAAAGAAATCCTCTCTGAAAGAAGAATCCTAATAACTACAATAATAATCAATTCATCAATAGAAATTTGAATTTAAAAAACCCCTAGAACTCCCAAAGATTAAACTAAAAATTTAGAGTCAAAACATTTTTGAGGCTCCATAAACTCCAATGAAAAATAAAAAACATTACAATTCTATTCAGACCACAACCAATAAAAGCACCAATATAAGTATTTCGAACTCTCAGGCTATCCCCATTAGTTAAAGCTTTGATTATAGCATTTAACATGCAATCGATAGTAGTTGTGTACTGCCAGCCATACCTAAACAAAAAGAAGATACATCGCTATTGAATCAGTATCTAAATAGAAGAGTCAAAAAGGGATAGCCGAGAAATAGAAGGGAGTGGACCTTGGACAAAAAGATTTTAGGAAACATCTTGTCATTAATTTGAACATATACAACTTAAATATTTTTACTATTTATAAATTTTTTGTTATATATATTCCATCAATGATTATAAACTCTATGGATTACACTTATCTGATCAGAATCAATATTCTTTACGACCAAAATGATAAGTTAAATAAGATTCTCTCAGATAATTCAAAAGACTTTTTTATCTATGTTCCCAAACTTCTTCAAGATGTGAAATGCTAAATTTGGAAAAACTCTCAAAATTAAGACATTAAGTTTGACATTGCATTTCAATTATTTGATAAAATTGATTAGATACAATAGTTAGATTAAATATACGTTGTTTACTCTAAACTGAAATTTATTCTAATTAGCCAAAATAAAGAGTTTGCAAATTTAGAAGAAATGACGGAATGTAATTTCGAAACCAGCATATTTCAGGCTATAGACCAATCTATAGTCTAATGCATTTAATAGGAGCATAAAACCTTAATTAAAGGATTGTTGCATTAAAACATAAGAAATCTGTATGCAAATTAACAATTAAAAGAAAGAGATTGTAAATTGTATTGATATAAAGTAAATATTTATTTATATATATTTATAAATTAAAATGACATTTCAATACGAGTTGATGTATAAAACCATGTATGTGGGCGTTGGCTTAGCTTTTATTGTTTTCTTCCCTTTGCCAAGAATAATAAGAAAGCCTTTAGTAAGAGGTTTGGAGAAAATATTCAGCAACCAAATCATTTCCAATGTTTTATATTTACTTATTAGTTGGTCACTATTTTTATTTGTGAGTGCCGTCAGTGAGAATCATGATTTGGGCAAGGAGCTTATCGGATAGAAGGCTTAAAGAGATTCATATGCTTCAGGCACCTCTCAATACGAGATGGAAAAGACTGTGAATTAAACAAGAATGAAGATGTTTTATTCTTAAAGAAATATTTATTTGACTCTGTTCAATCTTATCATATTCGGAGCTATATTTACTTATTTGAAGAGTTTGGTTAAGTATGATGAGCAATTGGATAAGGAGGAAAAACTTAAGAAATAAATAAATGTTCCAAAGGGAGCTGTAGGAAATGTAAAATAATGATCAGGGAATTGAATATTAATCAATTATAAACAATCATTATCTTTAATACCATCCAATTTCACATTTTCCTGGTTTATAGCATTAATTGTGTTCATATTCTTATTATCTTTTGGCTTCTTGAGCTTTTTGAGAAGTTTGTTTTTATTTATCTTAATCCCTCTTTTTCTGGTTTTTTTTAGCTTACTTATCTGCATTTCTCTCTTTTCTCTCACTCTCCTTTTCAAGCATCTAAGCAAATTCTTCCATATCCTTTCTGAAATTGTCCTTCAAATCCCACCAAATTGGAGTCTTGTAATCCTCTTCAGTCAATCTCAACCACAAGACTAATCAATATTAAGACGCAATTACCTGGCTCTACCTTTGTGAGATTCACATACATAGTTCCTACAGATTCCACCTTCTCATAACTAGTAGTTGGGTCGATCGGCTTATACAATTTAATGGCATATCTGTATTTGAATGGGATGTGGGAAACTATTCCGAATGCTTCAATCAAAAGAGAGTCATTCTTTATTTCAACTACTTCCAACTTTGCATTCAAACAAGCAGGGGCGTCTTGTCGGTGAGAAAACTTGATGTTGATGAAGGTAGCGTTTTTCGATTGAGCCCATTAAACAACTGGTTGGACTACCTAAACCTGATTGCTTTTTGCCATTGCCAATTTGAAAAGAGTTTACATTTCTCTCTGGTTGAGATACTTATCATTCTTCAAGAAAGCGCTAAATAAATTGAAGAACAATACACAATTCTATCAGTAATGTCAATGTGATTCAGAAGGAAATAATTCTCATAAAGACTTAAAGCAACCTTATAGTATCCTCTTGAAATTATAAACTCCAAACATTCGTACTCGATTTGGTGATTCTTCACGATATGATCCTCAAAGTAGATCTAAATTTTAACTAAAGAATTCTAAAATGCATACTACCTTCAGGATCTCCTATGGTGAATTGTTCTAAATAGCATTTCTTAAGTAAGTCCTGAGAAGCCATTGAAACACTAATCAAAAATGCAAGGAAAAGCATATTAAATTACGTGTATTTTAATAATTAAGAAATTTCTATATTAAATGAAGTAGCTGAATCGTACTTAAAATGAATTAAATCTTGTACATTCTGCAATTACCTAAAATCAGAAAACAATATCAAATGAACAAGATGAAGAAGTCCCCTAAGAGATAATGGAGAATCAATACTACATAGCACATAGTATATGAATAACTAAATAAACTTGAATTACTGACAGATACACACATCAAATATTGTACTAAGAGACTATTGAATAGTGGCTACTCTATTTTTTATTTAGATGTTGGTTAACTTTGGTGCATATATTGGCCACTCAATGCTTTAAGTATCTTATAGGATGATGTATCGAAATACGAAAATCAAATTATTCAATATTTAGAAACATTTAAAATTGGAGGCTTTACAGGAGGTCCTATATAACTTGAGCATTTAGCACCTACGTTCTCATCCTTACTCTGTAACAACTAATTCAATTTTAGCGTTGTTCATTCTCTCAACTCCAGCAGCTTTAGAATTAATTGATAGGTAGGGATTGAAAGAGTTCTTTTGGTCTGTTCAAGATCAAGCTGAAAAAGGATCCTATCTTATGCATATTAATGGAGAAGCAGATATAAGGGCTGTTTACATTGTTGTGATAATGGTGTTCATTCTTAAATTAGAGTATCTAACTCACTTATAATCCTAGTCCCAAGTTACTAGAAGGTTGCGCTGAGTATATTGCTTCATGTCAAACATATGAAGGAGGGATTGATTTTTGTTAAATAAATAACTTAATAATATTATCAATATCACTCTTCGATACTTAACATATTTTTTTAATCAAAAAAAATCATAGATTTAAACAGTAAATATGCTTACATATCCATTAAAATAACATATATTTTATTTATCAATAAATTAAAATAAATCCTAAATATATGTTAAACAAACTTCAATAAGAATTAGATGAGTTGAACAAAAAATAAAAACAAACACAAACCCGCATAAATAAATTGTTTTATTCAGTCGAAGACGTTTATATAAGACAACATAGCATCAATCACCCTATTTTACCAAATCCAAATTTAATCTGCAAAATAAGACCTGAAATAATTAATTAAATTTTCGACTTTTTGGATTACTCTTCATTCTTGTAATTCCGATTAGTTAGCTAGAATACAAATAATTAAATATTATACCTTCTATCTTTAAAATTACATAAAAAAGAGTAATTATTACAAAACAATTAAATTGAATAGAAAGAAATAATATCAAGTCATCCAGAATTAAATTAGGAATTAGAATCCTTATGCGTTGAATTTAATAAATCTTTAGAGGATATTAAGAAAATCAGGAGATAAGATATTTGTGAATTGGCCAGCTTTCGCATTCCTCCAGCAATTTTGGAAAAAGTTTTAAAATATCTAACAATATTATTAACTGAGAACTATGTTGAACAATAATATAATTGGCATTTAAGCATGAGACTTATAACTAATTGTAATTTTCTTAATTAATTACTAAACTTTGATATACTGTTAGTGCCTGATGATAAATTGAAGCTTATTCAAGATATTATTACTTTGGAGGAAAAAATGGTTTATTCATCTTCATTATTTTCATACTATATCTATAAATATATCCGCACAATTGTGATTTTAAGATAGTAACCATAGTACAAATTGATTTTCTAAGTATCCTAAATGAGATTAGAGGAAACTAAATTAAAACAATCTATTGAAAAACTATAAAAAATTATTAAATGAATTGAATCAATTTCATTATATTAACTAATACTACTATCGTTATTAATAAAGATCTACAGATTTTTTAACTTAGATTAATTTTTAAAATCACTAATTTTGTGATCGATTATTGGATTGAATTTAAAGATATTCCTTTAATTTTCCTTAAACTAAGCCAAAAGTATGGTTATGACTCATGATAATTATACATCATAAGTTTAGTAAAACCAATTAGAATGATAGAATTTTTTAAATCAATTATTCTACAATCTTATTGATTCTATTTCTATATTCATTTATATTAGTTGTATATATGGCAGAATATTTTTTTACTATCCACATAATATGAATCAAGCTATGAAAATACCATCTATTTAATTACCTTCTGAATCAATATTCCTTAATCTATCAACCATAAATCTTGATACAAAAACACCAATAAATATTATTGGCTATTCAGTAATACTACTAATACTTATTATTTTACCTTATTATTGTGTATATATTTTAAATCCTCTTTAGTTATACCTATTTGATTTTTGGAATAAAGACTTTGTAGATTATCTTTTTAATTTGAAACTGATTTAGACAGCATTAATTTTAAAGATTATAAAGATTATAGAATATGATCTTAAATTTTGTTCAAATAAAGTCACAAACACATAAGTTGCTTAAGTAAATAAAAGTATTGTGTAAATTTTATATAACTTTTTAATTTATATTATTTATTATGGATAAAAAGACTAAATATAAGTTATTAGGACTGACAGCTCTTGTAGGATTGACAAGTTATTTCTATATTTAAAAAGAAAGGAACAAGCCAATGAGTTAAAAGATGGCATAAAATTTTAAAGGATTGCAAAAGAAAATTGATTATTACTTTTCAGGGAAATCTGCAGAAGAAGTATTCTATATGATTATTGAAGATGATACAATTAGTTAGAAATAATGACGAATTTGTGGAAATGCTTTTAAAAGAGGCTGGAAATTACATTGATTTAAAAAAAATAGATGAGGAAATATCGAAAATTGATTTTATTCGCTAATTATCAACCATAAATTAATAAATAAATTAATTATTAGAAATTAGATTAGTTGTTTAATACATCTCAAAGTAAGGAATAAATTAATAATAGAAATTCATTACAATTAGTTTAAGAATAAATAATTGAAAAACTAGCATCATAGAGAGTGACTATAATGCAATCTAATACTTAATTTGGAGAAGCTACAATTAATTTTGTAAAATATGTTTAATGTTCTTTCTTGTAATTAATCTCTGAGTTAGAAAAAGTATTGTAGGATTTATAAAGCCCTCAAAGAATAGTTGCTGCTAACTTTTACTTCATGTGTATTTTAGATTACTTTAATAACATATTGACTTAATATCCAAATTTCAGAAATTTTATAGCAATCGTACTCTTAGAAAAAATAGGGTAAAATTAATTTGGCTTCGATTTTTATCATGATTGCACAGATTTATATTATGTAAATACAGTGCAGACATGCTAGAAACTCAACACTTGTGATTGTTGCATATTTGATTTACTATGCAGATACATATCCATATTGTAATCCCCTGTATAACAGAAGTTTTTTGAATTCATGAAATGTAATCAAATATTTTAGACACATGAGCACTTGAAGCAAATGGGATAAATATTATTCAAGAATACATTCTATTTAGGAGGATAGTTGAGTGAAGATTCTCTCCATTTCCTTGCCACTTTTTCTCCATTATTTGGTCTCCTATTAGAGGCAACATCTAATAAGAGTATATAAGAAGGGTTATTGAAATGTGAGGAATTTGGAATCGTTATTTAATATCTTGAAAAAGTGATAAACAATCATGAAAATCAATTTTTGAATAGATTGCTAGCAAGTTTGATTGATGTTTATTCAATTTTATATCCTCTATTTTATAATGAAAGTGCATTAAAGTAAATTGTGAATGATGAAGAAAAAATAAAATAAATTTTGAGTACATTTTTTGGGGCTTTATTGAATCTAGAGTGTAGAGAAATGTTTGATTCTAATAAATGTATTACAATATATGAAATTAGAAAATGAAATTAGTATTTTGGATTGGTTTGCTTTGAATATGGGAACAATATTCACTTAGTAATTACTTGGAAATATTTCAGTTGAATTCATTCAATAATTACTTAAGCAGAAAGAGATTGAAAAGGGACTCTTATTTACCTACATGTATTGTTTAAGAGTCTCATAAAACAAAAGAATATAGGATAGATAATAGAAAAAGAAAAATGTTGACATCAATTCTTTCATCACCAAATTAATCAGTCTAGTTGTAATTTCATAATTAAAGAATGATTTTAGTAACAAGAATATGGATTTAATTATAAATAATCTAGGTTTTGTGGATGCAGATGAAAGATCAAATATATTCTTAAATATCCTTAAAATTTAATTCGAAATCCCTTCAATGAATGTTAATTATCTTAAATATGTCTCTGCTAAGTGTCAACAACTATCTTAGGAGACATATCATTCCTTTAGTGGATTCTACACCAATGTTTTGAATCCAACTACTCTTTCATTTGATCAATATATGATTTCGATGCAATTAGGGGTCATCTACGGAAAAGCTGACTCCTTTTTGGCTTAAATTGGATAGGGTTTCTTGAGAGATCTCCAACAATTTGAATAATATAAAGACTTTTTACAGAGAGATGTATAAATAGCATATATCAATATTAGCTAATTCTTATAGTGGATTTGATGGAAAATCCATACTATTTTGCTAATGTTCTCATCCATAATAAAAATTGCCCTCAAGATATTTATCAATAATTGCTAGTAAAAGTTGCAATTTCTATTTACCAATTGAATCCTAAAGTAACATTTTTACAATTACTACAACAAATGTCTTTGTTTATAAAGGTTGAAGTTTTGCCTCAATTTATAAAAGATTTATTTATTGTAAACAAGGACAATACAATTAAACTAAAAGAGCAACAATAGGAAGTATGGCCATTCCAGTGTTTATAAAGGGATTGTTCCTCAGTTCAAATTTACATGAATTTAGTTAAAGACGAATTCTTATTCAATGAAGTATAAGATTTTCTTAATTTATCAGTTGTTGTAAGACTTAGAGAGTTTTGAATTCCTAAGTAGAATCCAGGAAATCATGTTCAATTGTCCAAATTTCATTCAGATAATTTATTAATTGCTCTTGTGTGTGCAGAGATTGGAGTTGAAGATTTGGATTGGGAAGATATTATTTTATGCCAAGAAATTTAGAGATGTTAATCAAGAATGCGATACTCTATTGAAATCTAAAGAGTGTCAATCGTTTATTTTGGAGATGCCCGATAATTTTAGAACTTATATGCTATTTGATAAGAATGCTATTAAATGAGATTTAATTATAGATTGTTGAAAATTATAAAGAAAAGAATTTTTATTTTAATTGATTTTATGATATGTATTAATTTTAATATGAACGAATTCCCTGATTAAATAGATATTTCAAAATTAAGAATCGATTTAGGTGAGCAATGGAACGAAACCGAGCTGGAGGTCTTTCTTAAAAGTAGATATCCATTCATTAATATAATACAGTCTTTAGACAACAGCAATTAGCGGGAGTTGGAAGGATGCAGGAAATATTAAAGCAACTTGGATATCAAAGAACAATCACGAATCTGTTGTCAATTTATAAAAAAGTAAAGAAATCTATGAGGAGTAGAATAAAAACTTCCTAGAATCCAATCAAAATTGTACAGCTCATGATTTGTATTTGATTTTATAAGATCATTATGAATAAAGTGAGATAATCAATTACGAAAGAGCCTTGATTAAGAAGATCAAGAAAAATTAGAATTGTAATATATTAAATCTAAAACCAAGGTCGTAAGTCGATTCCTCAAAAATTTGAAGTCATTAAAAATGAAAGCGATTTGACTTATTATTTTACAGCAACTCAATGCAATACCAATAGATGCATGAGCAAAGGCTAAGAAATTAGTTAGAACGTATGTATTTTAGCGATTCCTAGTTCTGCAAATGGATTCAACATGAATATTTCTATTCTCATTTAGATTATACTTATTTTAGCCTAAACGAATTTCAGCAGATGTTGAACAAGGCTAATGTGTAATTGGGTAAGAAATCCATATCAGAATGGAGATAGATCAAAATGGTATCAATATTATATAAACAGAATAGGCAATAGGATAACCAAGAAGATTCTCATTTTACTTTTTATAATAGGAGATGAGCAAATTGGCCAAGTATAGATCAGTGATACGGAATTACTTGTTTGATCAAAACTACCCAGTTCACAGGGATATAAAAAATTTAGATTTAATTCGAGACATAGTAAGACTTGCCCCCTTTAGTAATGGACAAGTTGTATACGCCATTCATCCTGAATGTAAACATGTGCATCCAGGATAAATTGTGTCCACTAACTTACCAAGCATTACGATTAAATTCTTATAATCTGAACTGGGTGTCCACAAGATTTTTGATTAGAATATCCAGCTGTAAATATGCTAAATTATAAGAACAAAAGGGAGGAGAAGTTTCTAAACAAATAATTGAGTGATGAACGATTTGATATGTAATAGTAAATGAGTTTGAATCTCTCGAATGAAAATAAGAATACTTTGATTTCAAGTATAGTGTAAGAGTTTGATTACTTTGCTGCTTCCTTTATGATCAGGATTCTCTAGAGGTATTAAACATAATGATGTGTAAGGAAATATGCTCTGGTGGGCTATTTGAAGTAACTAAATTAAAGATTGGAATAGGATCCAGCCCTTAAAAATGATCCAGACTTTAAAGCTCAATATGGATGGACATTTTAGCAAATACGAAATTTTGATTCAGCCTCTAAACATGTCATGACTAAATTCAGAATGAGAGGTCTGAATGGCTACTGTATTTATATCTTAATGATCATTATGCTAGCTCTTAAACAGGTGAACAATAATCTTGATAAGGTGTTGAGTATGCCATTAGCCTATATGGAGAGAGAATTAGACCAAAATAATACTCGAGTTGAAGAGGAGAAGAAAAATCAAGAGATCAAATAAATTATACATAAATAATAGGATGTATGAAAATATAGTGTTACTTTTTAGGAAAAGATTAATTCACAATTGAATCAATTACTTAATTCAAAGTTTTAATTCCTAGAGAATGATCAATGTACATGATTCATAATAATTAGCATATAAATCTTTGATTTCCTCATTGTTTGGATTGCTTTTCACTTTGAATAATAATTCAGATCTGAATATGAACACGAACATCTATTGGTAGACTCTAAAATAAAACATCAAAGATTCACATCCTGAATAATTTTAAGAAATTCAAGATTCCATACTAAAAATAGTTGGTAATTAAAGTAAATGAATATATATTTTTATAATTGAATTTCAGATTTCAAAGTGAGTAATTTAATTTTTAATGCAAATTGGTTTTAATTTTAAGTGACTTAAGTATGGCCTCACATCAGGTTTAGATTTCCTCTATGTGAGAGGACTTTTAGCTAAAACTTTATTGGTTAATTATTATTCTTAATCTTTATGACTTTAATGAACAGTAATTAAATTAAGTTAGAATTATCTATTTCTCTTTGTTTGCTATATAGTTTTGTTTTAGAGATAGTATTTTAATTTTGTCTAGGCACCCTATTTAGGTTTAATGGGACTCAGTCTGGTCGGAGTCAAATTGTAAACTTGGGAGAGCTGAGTTTCTCCATAAGTATTCATTCTCGAATGATGTCTCTAAAATAATACAGATGGTCTACGAGATGTGTTACTTCAAGGGTATATGATAGAAAATTACATTAATTTCACCGATTAACAAATAGAGGTAGTTTTAATGTAGATATTGTTTTATCGAATTGATGCATTGTTATTGAGTTGTTTAAATTGAAAATTGCTTAGTTGGCCGCATTCGTTGCAACAGCAACTCTTTCTTCTTAACTAAGTAAATTTTGTTTGTACGAATTCATCTTCATTTTGATTGCGATTTTTATTTTTCAGACTGCTTCTCTTGTATTTATGAAGCGAATAGATAATTGAGTTAGATCCAGTAAGAATAGTACGAGTTACAGAATTCCGAGAATTAGATTGAGTTGTATTTGATATTAGCATAATAATGTTTAATTTTAATTATTACTTTAATGTCAAAAACTACAACATACTGAATTCAAATTTATGTTAATGATTATACTAACTATTTTATCAAAAAAAGAACTTAATAGTTATCAGAATTGAACTACTGTTTACAAGGTTTTGTGTTATTTTGTTCTGTGAAGTAATTATAATTATGAACTTTGTTTTGGTTATTAATCTAATTTTAAGGGTTTTAATAATTAGCAATCAAGTTTTCTATAATTCAAATATGAATATAATTATGGCAAACTTTTTTGAGATTTCAAGTGCTTGGGGGAACAACCAGGAGTGAGTTGATTCAGTTAATAAACTTTTATCTATTATTGCTATTGTTTATGGAAATACGAATGTAATTTTGTCATTGATCCTTAGATCACCCTCATTGTAAAAGGAGTCTTATTAGCTTCCGTAAGTTAATTCAACCTACTTTCATCATATGTGTTTATTTTCTTGAGTTACTATCTATTCCTCTAAACTGACTTAGGCTAAGCGGATTATCTGTCAATATAAACAAAAAAATACACTTGTTGATTTGAGGTCCTTCTTATGAAAATGGATCTCCTATAAGGTTTAGGTCCTTTAATATTCATGCATTTATATTCAAAAGTTCCCAATTATCCACATTCATTACAGCAGCAACTTTTTCTCCTCAAACTCTATTTGTTCGTTTTTTGCTGCAAAATAAAAGTGTGAAATTGACTCCTTGACTTTCTCCTTTTTAAAATAGGGTAAGCAGTTTTCATTAGATTTTAGGGTCTGAATGTAGTAGATTCAGCAGTGGGATTGTGTTCAAACTACTTTAGTATTTCAAGTGATAATTTATTCATGTTATTAAAAATATTGTTTACAATATATCTTTCTAATTGAAAGATTAAATAATAGCCCTTAATTAATATTAGATTAATATCAAATTATAAATATCAAACGATTTATTTTAATCAGAATTTATTGATTCACTAATATTTTATAAACTCAAAATCGATAAGCCCTCTTATTTCAATTAAAATCCTTGTTCTTAATGTAAAAATACCATCAAATTGATGTGATTAATAATTTTGAATACATCTCTTAATGTTAATTTAGAAGCAATATAATCTTTGTTGTAACTATATTGTAACAAATTGAAGTTTGAATAATATCTGTTAATTATTAAGACATGATTCAAGAATCTTTTAATAAAGTCCATCCTTAAAGTAAAAAATTGATTCAATTTAAGATTATAGTAAGGATGCTTTTGAGCATTAAGAATTTACAACAAGAATTGCTTAGATAAAATCCTTTAAATGGAAATAATAGTCAAATAGTCCAATTTATGATTTGATTACGTTATTGGAAATTGATTTAAAGTAATAATAATAATAACAATTTCTTCTAATTTAATACAGGTATATCAGTAAGCAGAATATATTTAGATGTTTCAAAGAATTGATTTAAAATAAATCAATAGCTTCAATTTAATCCAATTTATATCATCTACTATAAATAGTAATTATCTTTTTTCATTCATTTAGAGTTCAACTGCAAATTATTATTCATTATATATGCTTTATTAATTAACCAATTATGATAGTTGCTTTAATATTACTAATCGTTTTCTAGGTGTGTTTTATTACATCGAATGTATTTTTAATTAAGAAAAGAGTAAGTGAATCGTTTTTAAGATAATTTATTCCATTTACACTTTAAGTTTCAATTTTCTTCATTATATTATTTTCCAAAACATTAGACGAATGAATTTATTCGATTTCGTAATGAGATTTAGATGATCAATTGAACATTTTATATAAATTATAATTATTTATTAAATATACGTTTTTGTTGTATGAATTAAGATGTTTTGAAGCAGATTAGATAGCATTTCCCAATGATTGACAATATTGTTTTTCGAAATATTCTGTCTCAATAGAAAGACTAAAACCTATTGATTACATTAGTTTATATATTGAAGAGAGTCAGGGAGATTGTGGGCCATATGGAGGACGTCACCAAGTTTGCATTGTCACTATGGGAGAAGGAGGAGATTTAGATTTCAAAAGAATGTACTGATAAATTGTTTATGATTTTAGTGCATGATGAGATAATATTGAATTTGGTTGAATCAAAGTTTTATTACTAAGCACTTCTGGCAAATAAGAATAGCCAATTTTTGAGTAATATTGGAGTTTAACATTAGATAAGAACAAGATTTACACTGAAGTTTCAGAATTGTCAGAGCAGAGTAAGAGAGTGAATGACATATTGATCCAAAACTTTAGCGTATAGAGACCATATCAATTATTCGTTGAAGAGCAACAAGAATTGTAATCAAAGAAAACTGCTTAGACTCCAAAAATACCATAAGTATAAAAGGGATAGAAACTATGTTCTCTGACTTTGAATATTTAGGACAGAGATCAAGTAGATAAATTGTATAGAAACAACAAACAATATTTGCAATAGTTGGGGATAAAGATGGAATATCCAAAAAACACAACAGCAACACAAACAGAATAGGTTGATGGGTTGATACCTCTGAGTAGCAAAAAGAATAAGAATCAGCAGAAGGATCAAAGCAAAGAGATGAAGTTCTATGAATATTAATTAGAAATGGGACAATGTACTCAATATTTGCCCACTTATGATACAGTAGAACAATTGACGTAAGATATCAAATTGTTTGTTGCTGAAATCGATTAATACAATAAGAAGAATAGGAACGCGTTCTAAAAACTTATTGATGAAATATCTGCTGTTGTAAGTGCCACTTATGCAGGTGCCCAAATAGATGTGTATGGTTCCTATGCAACAGAGTTATGTTTGCCACACTCAGACATTGATCTGGTCATTAAGATATCAAACTAACATGAGAAGTTTGTGACTGATATTTTGTAAAGAATCGAAGTTGAATTAAAGAAATGCAAATTTATAGAAGAAACAAAATGTGTCACATAGTCAACTACTCCTGTACTTAGAGCAAAATGCAATAAACAGTATATGAATAAGAGACTCGATATTTCAATTTAAGAGACCAAGCATAATGGTTTGCAATGTGTTTAGTTGATTCGTAAGTATATCAAAAATTATGAACCCCTCAAACCGTTGACTCTAATTATGAAACAGTTTCTGCATAAGAGTGATCTCTCAGACACTTACAGTGGTGGATTGAGTTCATATGGATTGATTTTGATGATTGTATCATTTCTACAGAGCTACCAAAACCAGGATAAGAATTGGCCAACCATAGGTACATTACTAATTGAATTCTTGAATGTATATGGATGCGAATTGGATTATGCAGGGAAAACAATCTGTCCAGATCAACCTGAGGTGTTTGAATAGGAGACCACGATTATTTTTGATCCTCACAATTTCGCTTATTGTCAATAACAAAGTTTGGTCATTATCGATCCACTCAATCCATAAAATAATGTTGGACGTCCATCTTATAATGTTGCGAAGATCAAAGTAAATCATCTTTCTCTCCATTTAGCTTGCGTTTACGGTAGCCTTTTCTAAATTGCTAACCTTTGACTCTTCAAGCCAACAATACCCACTCAAGTTTTTTTTCAATTCGGCTCAAAATATACAGTGTTCCCTGCATTCTGTGCTTGTCAATCAATACAAAGCTTATGCCGATCAGATCATGTTTGGAACATCTACACGCTATTGAGTATATAAAATAAAAATCTAGTTAAGGTTTAATCATACATATTCGACAATTCGACTATATATCCAATTATTATGCAATTTATTATTTTATATGAATTGGGATTTTATAAATAGAAAGTTAAAGGAATTCTTTGAGCAACGTCGATAACAATCTATAGATAAGATATTTACACTCAATACTGTCACTGATCAGAACGTCCCCAAGAAATAATTCCTTGAATTGGAAACTTAAGTTACAGAAGATCCGAAAATCACCTATATGCAACAGACTATCCCACCCACATTATCAACTCCTAAGAAAATAAAGACCAACCCAAAATCCTTCAGCTAAATCTCACATCTATTCTCGCCTCATGGACCTGCCAGATCTACTGCCTCCATGCAAATGAGGTAAATTGTAGCAAGCACTCTAAAGAATGAAAGTAACAGTTACAACAGTGTTCGAACTAAGGATATCAAAAAAGTATAAGAGTTAGTTGGTTAAAGTAGTAAAACCTCCAATAAGCCTAATTTCAGAAAGCTAAGAAAATAATAAACTGTCGTTTCCCAAAAAATACTAAGAGAATTTGACAATTAATTTGATCAAGAACCAAACTTCAATATTAAATAATCAGATTCACTTAAATGCTTTATTACTTAAACCAAAAACATTAATACTCTAGCCATGCGTGCTCAATTAAAGATGAAATCCTACGGGAATATCAGACAACTCAATCAACCAAGTCCCACCATTGACAATTTCACCAAAATGAACTTTGGAAAGAGCACTGATCCAAGAGTAGGCTTGGATCGCTTTCTTAGCAATAAGTGGTTATAATTTGTCATTGAATAGAAATCTATGAGGAAAGATGATTAATTTAACGAATATCTCAAATCATACACTGAATCCCCCCAAAAAGTATTGAACATTCAGAAACTCAAGTAAAAACAGGAAGTCAGATAACAATTCAATAAAGAATTGCCACTTTAACATTTCAAGCCTCATAGACATACACCATAATCAGCAAAAACTAAGTAGATTAAGAGAGAAGCTCAAGGCTTAGTAAAATCATATTCCTAAACCGTTTTCGATATTGAAAAAAGAAAGGATGATGAGGAATTGATTGAATTCTATCCTATTTATTATGATAAAAAAGTAAAAAGACGAAGAATCATAAGGAAATTAAAAGTTTTGGCTAAAATTGCAGTCATCAAACAGATGTTTGTTCATTAAGTATAATTAATTGCTTATACTATTTTAGTTGTTGGAATAATAATAATAACTAGTCCCATACTAATCCCCAGGTTCAGTGGCTTTTCTAAGATTTGTTAAATACAACAATATTCATGCTGCTAAGTAAATGCTGGATCAAGAGAAAAAACTGATAGGTTCATTTGATGAATTAGGCCAATATGCTATACATCTTGCTGTCATGATCTAATCAACTGAGATGCTCAAGTTACTACTGTGCTATGGGGCAGATGTCAACTCTAATGATTTCTTTCTTCAAAAACCTTTATATTTTGCTCTTGTAAACAATAATTTAGAAATTGCCAAAATACTTCTTGCGTGCAGAGCCACTCCTTGGGATCAAAATTTAAGAGATTACTTTGGGTGCTGCAGAAGCCAGGAAGCAAAAGATTTAATTAAATTAGCATAATATTTGAAAATATATAATCGTGACCCAGAGTGCTTACTAAATATAGACAATATTAAATAACAATTGAGCTTATATTGATTAATAATATAATATATTTATGTGTATTGGGCTTTAACATATGGATAATTTTATATATATTTAAAGGAGAAAATAAAATATAATATATTTTAATTTTTTATGTTTAGTGCAACAATTAAATTAAAATGACTTTTCATTATAAAATATATATCTATAAGTTAATTATCATTAATAATATTATCAATTTACTAAAACAGATCTAGATGTTAATCTTATTTTTTTATCCCAACTTCCACTTATTATCAATTATCTACTAGAAAGATATTCAATACTACTAATTTAGTTTGTATGTCTTTTAAAAATAAAAACTTATCTACCCTTCTCAATATCCCAACATCTTATTGTCTAATCAGCTCCACCAGACCATAGTTGATTATTTTCACTATCAAAAGTTAAACAGGTAACATAATCTTAATGACCAACCAATATATATAATTTCTAAGCTCTATCCAGATTCCACAAAATTATTTTTTAATCCTACCCTCCAGATGATACCAAAGAAATATACTCTCCATTGACAACTTCTTTTAAGTACTTCACACATAGAACATTTCCTGCATGTCCTTCTAATTTATCCCTACAATACCCATTGATCATATTAAACACACTTAATATACCCTCTCCTCCACTCACAATTAATCCTTTAGATTATACATAACATAAAGCAAAGATTTTTTGATGATCTTGAATGTTTAATCTCATTTTAGGTCTTTTGAGAGACCAAATTTTGATTGTGTGATCTAAACTACCTGAAGCCAATTAGTCCGAGTCTTATAAATGTATTAGAGCGTTGACTGGTTTTTCATGTCCAACAAGTACATACTCACATATCTTTCTTTAATAGTTCCACATACGAACAGTTTAATCAGAACTTGCACTACAAAAATTAGTATCATTAATTTTTATTAATGCCAACACATCCCCTTAGTGATCATTCAATTTAGTTTAGGTTAACGCATTATCGATATAAAAGATTCTTATAGTTCCTCCTGCACTCCCTGATAAAATAGAAGTATTAGAAAAAGCACAAATACATAAAATAATATCAGTGTGTCCAGTAAGTACTGTATTGATAGACTTTTATTAAAGAAATCTAGATCCACTCAATTCAACCATGCTATCATTATAGAATGCCTACTAATCGCTTGTTCTATCAGATTATTATTTTTAAGAAAATAACTATGATGCATTTTTCTTAAGATCTATTTTTGGAATTAAAGGGGATTTGATCCGATTTTATTTAGGATTTAGCTTTGGTGTTTATGCTTGGAGTGCTTCACTTGTGAAAAGTAAATTGGTCAATTAAAAGCTTTTAGAAATGTTATTATTTAATATTGAATGAAAGTTTTCAGTTTTCATGATCAGTTAATTGTTTGATATTTGCTGGACAAACATTTACACTTATTGGTTTAGCTTTGGTAGAATAATATCAAACATTTTCTCTTGTTATTGGATCAACTGCGTGAATTAAAACTCATTTATTGGTCTACCTGTCTATGGAGTGAAAATATTGGAATGTTCAGACATGGTGTTGAATAAAGCAGTAATATCATTTTCAAACTATTTATAATAAACAGTGGTATAATCTATTGCTGATGAACAGAAATTGTTGATTTCAAGATCAAGTTTAGCCTTAAGTAAATCTGAAAGTTTGATGATCTGTTTTTTTAGTGAATCTTTATTCAATGTGATTTGGAGTTACGCAGAACTTAATTGAGAGCTAAGGAGAATTAGATTTTATTAAATGGATTTGGGTATTTAGTTAATTTAAGAATCAAGGTCATTTAGAGATTGAATCATTTAGAAATGTTGAGGGTCATGTTTTTACATACATTGATTGCATAGAAATTTCTTATTGCATCCTTTTACCCAACAAAGAAGCGTGTAGGGAGTATTGTGTTCAAAACAATTCATAAATAATAATTGTTTTACAGTTTTATAAAATAAACATTATGTATGTTTAGCGAATACATAATTAAATCAGAGTAACTTCTTAGCTAATTTAATTTTAAAATTGTATATAGATTGAATGAATATCTCAATTCAAAAGACCTAGATTTTTACTCTATTAATGTTAAATTTAATAGTTAATTTAGTTTATTCAAAAGATGAATATTGGAGAAATGAGGAATTATTAATAGTCTACCTTTAATTCAGTATAATTATAGATTCTATTGTATTTCGTAATGTTAATGAGTAGGTTTTTCAAAGTTAGATTTCATATTTCATATTTAAAATTTAGATATTATCTTCATTTATATTTCGAAATTATATCATATTTTGAACTAGTTTCAAGCATTTTGGATCTGACTTTTACCATTTATTCATTAGAATCATCTATTTCTTTTTGTTTATTTTGGATCATTTGAATCTCCAAATTGCATCTCATACATATTCTTTTCTTGTCTTCACTTGTATAATATATTCATATATACATTTATATGCAATTCTAATGATATTGATGTCCACATATGAAATGAAAAGAGGGATTAACTAAGGCATTATCACAGGCAGTACACTTTCCGAATGAAAATATTTATGCTTGAGTTTTTAATTATTAAAATTCTGTTCTAGTTTCACTTGTTTATTACATGTTCTCTTTTATAACATTCAAATTATCTTTGATTTCTGTATAATCTCTTTGTAATTATTACTTTAAGAAATCTCTCATCTGACCAAACTTCACATTACTGTTTTCTTTCATAATGTCTAAGATCAAAAATGAAGAAATAGACTCCAACTTACTTAATTCTTTCAGTATATTTGGAATATAATGAGTAGCCTTGTTTTCTGGCTTAGCAAAATACTTCAAGGCTAAAACCCATAAGTTTTACTCTTATTCACCATATTCAGTACATAAATTTAATATTTCTTCATTATCCTTTTTTGTAATATAAAAATTCAAGAGTTCCTCTCTCATTTACAATTTCTTCAATAAACATATGATTCCTTCTGTAAAATTGTAAATTTTGAATTGCACCAACAAGTGATTTTTATCATATTTTGACTCATTCTTATCATCCAACAATAAACTCATAATCCTTTTTTCACTTTCCTTTACTTCTTCCTTTCTTTCGAATCTCTCCAAGTGATAACTAAAATATCTATGAAATATGGCCATTTCATTTGGAAGATTCTTGCATTCTTCTATTAGAAATCTCAAATATCTTTCTAAATAACTATTATATCCTCCAAATATGTGTAAAAATTCATCAGGCTTGCAAAATGTTATTGAATAAATATTCGCTAATTGATCATTAGTCAAATTGAAGTATTTCCAAACCTTCTATTATTCTTAAGTTAACCTGTCTAATGAATCAATGCCCTTTCTTGATTCAAATTGTTTTTTTAGGTTTTATACAATATTGATTAACAAGATTAAATTCTAGATTACTTCTAATGTAAATTAAGGTTCACTCCTCATTAACTCAAGACCGAATTCCTTCAAATAATTAGCCTAGACTATATGAAAATGTGTGAATTACTTTCTCTTCTAATATTATTGTATCTCTAATATATTCTAGTGCAGCTCCGCATTCTGCTTTGTCAAAAATATATATTTAGAGACAAGCCTAATAGATATTTTTCTTCGATGCCATTTTTAATGCAATATCAAGATAATTGGATGATCGACATTCTCTTATTGCTGTTTCAATATCAAATAGTTCACTTTCGAATCCATACTTTTCTATTTTCTCTATAAAATTGTCGAATTGCCTTAGTTTAATGTAGCAATTTAGTAGTAAGGCTGTATGATGTTTTTCCACTTTGGGTTATTAGTGCAGTTTCTCTAAGTACTAAACTAATTGTTCAATATTGGAGATATCAAGAAAATGAGTGGCTATAGCTTGAGTGGGTTCTAAATTGTCAATTTTTTACATTATTAATGAGAATATAAGAGAGAACTTATAATTCTATATTTTAATTTTGCAATTATTAGAGTATAAGACATATGTTGTTAAAGGATATAGATTCAACGTTGATGATGACGCTGATTTAGTATGGCTTTAAGAAGGACTTGGGGAAGAATATTGGAGAGTGACGATTTTATGGAAATTGAATTGGTCTAATTATTTTTTTAATTATTAATTTAAATGGAAGAATAACAGCAAATTGAAAATACTATAATAGAAGAAAGATATTAGAAGGCTGATGGCGAGACTGCATATCGTAGATACCAGAAGGGAAAGGTGTTAGGGAAGGGTGGCTTTGCTAAATGCTATGAAGTAACTTCCATAGAAAGCAAGAAAGTGTTGGCTGCCAAGATTATTGCTAAAAGCACTTTAAAGAAGGGGAGAACAAGGGCAAAGGTATGATAGTGGAATAATTCGTAGTTAATTACTGAAATTAAGCTTCATAAATCACTTCACCATTAGAATATAGTGTAATTCGAAGATGTATTCGAGGACAATGAAAATGTATACATTCTTTTAGAACTGTGCTAAAATCAAGTGATTGAATTTATTGTAATTATTTTAGACTCTGAATGAGTTGTTAAAGAGAAGGAGGAGAATCACTCAAATAGAAGTGCAATGTTACTTGAAATAATTGATAGGGGCATTGAAATACATTCATTCTCATAGAGTGCTTCATCGAGATCTGAAGTTAGGCAACCTATTTATAAATGATAAGATGGAATTGAAACTGGGGGATTTTGGTTTGGCCACCAAATTAGATTATGATGGATAGAGAAGACATACTATATGCGGGACACCAAATTACATAGCACCTGAGATATTGGATGAAAGGATGGGACATTCATACCAAGCAGACATCTGGTCAGTTGGTGTGATAATCTATACACTCTTAATAGGGAAACCCCCCTTTGAGACATCAGATGTTAAGACTACTTATACTAAAATATCTCAATGTCAATTCAATTTTCCAGATCATATTCAGATATCTGAAAATGCTAGAAATTTGATCTCCAGAATACTTATTCTGGATCCCTCCAAAAGATTAACATTGGATGAAATTCTCGCTCATCCTTTTATGACATCGAATCCCATTCCTAAAACTACTCATATTTCGCAACTGCTTAGTCCACCAACTGCAGCATGGTTGTCTCAATACTCGTAGGCATCTATGCTCAACTCCAAGCAATTACAACCTGAGTTAGTTTCAGTCAAATCCACTTCCTAAATTCCCAAGATGAATAACCTATTTTCTACTCAATTCAAAATGACTCAAGCTGAACGCATCAAGAGTAATTGCTTATTTAAATCTTAGCCTTGACTGAAGGGATTAACTACTTGAGTGAAAAACAATAGACTAAGAAACAATAAGAACAAACTTTGGAGAATAATGAGTAACAGGAGTTAGTAAGTGTTCTATTATAACTTAGAGTAAAGAGAATGATGTCGTATATGTTATCAAATGTTGTGATTATCAAAGCAAATATGGTATTGGCTATGTGCTATCGAATCATCATTCTGGAGTTCTATTTAATGATTCCACCAAAATTATTCAATGCAATAGATTGGAATTCAATTATTTCGATAGCTGTAATCAGAAGTCAAGTTATGAATTTGAAAATTATCCACAAGATTTAAACAAAAAAGTCACTTTACTCCAAAAGTTTACTCAGTATTTAGGTGTTGATGAGAATAATACCATTTCCAATTCACAAATCTCAACAATTTTCGTTCATAAATTCCTTAAAACAAGAAATGCTCTTCTTTTGAAACTGTCAAATGGGGTGATCCAGGCAGATTTTATCGATAAAACTGTCATTGTCATATCACCGAATGAAAACATCCTTTTCGTCAATGAGAAAGGAGACAAATTTAGTTATAATTTGGAATAAATTAGGGACAAGGAGAAAATTCAAAGAAGGTAACTAGTAATTGAATTTTAGGTACAATTATGTATAGCAATTAAGAGGTGATTGTTAATGATGAATGTTTACTTTATTAATAATTAATTTATAAATATTCTGGAAATTTAAATGGACAATCCAAAGAAGGAGCATTCATATACTTATTGGGTTAAACATGATCCCAATCATCCTAAAATTGATTGTCAACCTAAAAAGGTAGAAGATCCCTCCTAAGTTTAATAACCTTAAACAATAGGATCACAATGGAATGTCTCAGGAACTTGGGAAGAGAAGAAAGTCCCCATGAGTGACATTAAAAAATCATTAGAGAACATTATCGGAGTATTATAGCTAATTAAGGTTTTTAGATGAAAATTGGATAAACCAAGATTTCAGCCGTAGAGTCAGTTGAAGGAGAAGCTCATTTATACTTGAGTCGAGGAAAAAAGAGAATGGGTTATCATCTCAAAATCACATATGCTCTTGAAGACGATGGATAAATCAAATATACAGACTTTACAGATGATGGAGATAGAGATGTAATAAAACAATATAATAATCAAGTATGTACTAGAAGATGTCAATGATGAAACAGTCAAACATCAAATTGAAGAATTGCATGATCAAACTAAGCAATTTGTAGAAGTGTTTAAAAATTGATATATATATATATTTTTAAAGTTAAATACCTGTTTAAAAGTAATCATTTACAAAAAATAATTTAAATAAGTTTAATTGCAAATGCGGAGACATCATTAACAGCTAATTAAGCTTTCATAATCAATAAATTTAACAGACTTTACAGGTCTACAATATCCCTCTTAAAATTGTAACTCCCTATTATCACTTGACGTATGGTTTACATAATAAAACCAATAAATTTGACCATCTTAATTTATCTAATCTTCATCTTTAATGTTGCAATATACTTAAATATTATAGAGTTCATACAACTTGTTTTCTTAACACTTCTTCATTCTGAATCATAGTTACTATACATATTATTTTGTTTTTAGATATTTCAAACTTCACTATCTATCCTGAAGTTGTTATAATAATTTTACTACCTCCAAAGTACTTTACAGACTTTACATGTTAAGAATTCCACCTTCACCTTCAAATATTATTTTTTTGTTTATTTACTTTAAACCTCACACATTTTTAACTGTTCTTTGATTAATATCAAATTTAAGCCTATACTATTATTTTAAAGGTTCTTTCCCATTAATTTTTTTAATGTTCATGGGTATTTTTAATGAAAAACACTTTATATTATTGATCTATTTCCTTAATAAATATATTTTTTTTGATTAACAAAAACGAATTAATTCTAAATGTCCAGATAACGTATGCTATAATGCAGAATAAAGTAATTATTAAGCAAATGATATAAATATGATAGAGATGCAAAGCACGGAAGATTTTTCTAATTAATAATTTTATATAATTTTATGGTGATTCATGAATTTCTTTATTTTATAAATAGAAATTGATACCTTAAAAGAATGAGCCCTATTATAGTACAACTTCATATTGTGATTATGTTGTGGGTCCAATTCGAATTGAATTAGAATTAATTTAGGATCGAGTCCAATTAGGAATCTTTTATTTGAGATGGTGATTTGTGTTGCTGTATCGATCATGTCACTCTAATATCGAGGAGGAGGAAGGAGGGATGAGCATAAGGATTTGGAGTGAAATGGATATTGCATTTGGTTGAAGGGAAGGAGAGAGTCTAATGGATATTTTGGATATCTAGAATACATAAAATAAAATAATTAAAACACATGTCGCAAGAATAGCCTGTGGATCTTTAAATCCTAAACAAAGTTCGCCATCTGATACCTGAAAGTTTTAAGATAGAGAGATAAAAGAAATGGGAGGTGTTGAAAAGAAAGGGGTATTGCTTTGCGAATAACCGCATATTATAGTTTAGTGTAAAGAATACTGCTGAAGTCATCCAATAGATTTAAATTGGAGCAGACAGCCAAGTACGATGAGTTCTGCGATGCTTTGGATTAAGCCACTTATGGTAACAATATGGATGTGATTAAACAATTCGAGAACTTTAAGGAGAGCATTAAGCCTAAGATCAAGGCAGGATTCTAATTTGGAACAATAAATGGAGTAGAAAGTTTGGATTTGAACACTTTCGAGACAAAGAAAGGAAGCTTCAAAACTAAACAAGGGTCAACAGATTTAATTGTTTTTTGGGTAAGAATGACACCATTATTGTTTAGTCATCTGAGAATGAGAAGTCAACAAGAAGTTTGAATGAACTCAATAATTGGTTAAGTTTGAATTAAAATCTGAAATTGCAAATAAACCCTATAGCTGTATCTTTGGATGATGATGCCAACAATTTCAAGAATCACCTTAAGAACAATCAATTGACTCAGTTTCAACACTATCGCTATTCTTTGGGTTGGGATTCCTCGAATGCTTTTCAGAGAGCCATGGAATTGAATTACCTTCCAAAGATTGCAGTGGTAGGAAAGGAGAATGAAGTGATTGAAGTGACTCGTAAGGCCAGGGAAGTGGAGAACATCATTAAGACTTATTGGGAAGCAGGATCAGAAAGTGAGGATGATGGAAAATACAGAGAACTTCTTGATTAATAAACCTTCAGATTCATCAAGAAGGCATTGACTTAATAAATTGCAGATCTATTGTCTTAAAATAAAAGTTTTGCTAAAAGTGATTTTATCAGACTATCTTTAACTAAATGTTATAAGATTGCTTAAGATGGTTCTAAAGAAATTGTAGAGAGAAGTCATCTTAAAGTATCTTATGAGGTTTCAGTGCAATCTACATAAGCTATTAAATTGTTCTTAAATAATGTGACAGCTGTATTAGGAAAAGACAATGTTCAGGTGAAGAGATCCATAGTTAAGGATCCAACAGGAATGTTAGACATGATTACAAGTGGATTTTAGGATGTTCTTAAGAAGAATTATAAAGTTATTTAGGAATATACAATAAGATCTGAATATTTCAATTACGTTCATGATAAGGAAGAATTCCAACCTGATGTCAAAGTAGTGTCAAAGAAAGCAATTCAGAATCTAACATTTAAGGAATATCAGACGATCTACACTTAGGTGTTGCCTATCTTCAAGAAATATTAATAAGAAATAGATGATAGTGATGATGATTCTGATAATGATGAGGAGTAGGAGGAAGACAAGAGATTGATTTTTGATAGAGTCAATGAGTTGACAGATTGTTTGAAATCTGGTTTGGAATTGAGTTTAGGATAACCATTCCAAACAATACAAAACTATCATCCCTTCGGTAAAGATCAAGTGGTTGATATTGAACATAAAGATGATTAAGTTTTGATTGTGATGTATTGGGATGACAACCAATAATGCAATAGATAGTTCACTTAAATTCTTAAGGTGTTATTAGTTAATGAGGAGAAATTTAAGGACAAAGTCAGGTTGGTTGCTTTGAGTAAACATAAATAGGAAGCTTATGAACTCTTCCTCTTGAAGAACCAAGGCATCGAAGAGGTTGTTGAATTCTATTTCCCAAGAGATGAGAATCAAGCTGATTAGGTTTAATACAATGTGAAATCATTCCCACATTTCATTGTAGTAGACAAAGTTGGATCGATCAGAATTCAATCATAGGTTGAGGATATAGAATCAGTCATCACATCCTATATTGAAGAATCAATTGAAAGTCTAAATTAGAAGGGACCATTGAATGATGACGAATATAGTGAGATCACTCAATTCTTGTATTCAGATGCTAGAAAGAAATTGTCATAACTCAGCAACAAGCGATAATTCTCACTTAGTTTCATCTTCAAAGAAATCGATCAAGGAGAGAAAGTAGTTAGATTTGCTCCCATCATTGAGTACACAATTAGAGAAGGCAAGTAGAAGTATCTTGATGCATTTCTTGCTTTATTGAATAAGGTTGTTCCCTTATCCAACTTCTAAGTCAACCAAACTGTTCAAAGAACATTGAATCTGTTATTCCCTGGAAAGGCATGCAAACTATGTCAAAATGAACTCAATGATCAAACCTAACAATATTACAGTCCGTTCTCTGATGAATTCTATTGTGTCAAATGTGCAGAGGTTGTCGATCCTAAAGCTGCTGGCTATAAGAAATTCAGAGTTCAAGACAATCTGATCTTCTTCAATGCTCCCCTTGTTGACAAGTCTGTGTTAAATGATATTGATGTGTATAGAGTGGGAAACAACCAAAAAGTCAAAAGAGGAGATCAATACACTCAAAATCATGCCTTGGATTGCAATGGATGTGACGGAGATGTTAAAGGCTTCAGATACATCGTCTTAAATTGTTTACCAGGAAAACTCACTGATTTGGTAATGAATATTGAATTTATGGTTAGGCTTTGGTAGATTTTTGTTAGGATTGCTTCAATGAAATCAGAACTGGAGGACCTAGACTTGAGAAAATCGTGAAGAGAACCAAGATTTATGGCTACAATCCTTCTATGCTGATGTTGAGAGTGCCATTTTATATGGGATATTATGATTATTGAGTGGTATGATTCATTACAAAAAAATTACAATCTTAATCATGAAAACTCCGAATCTAAATCATCATATTCCTATTCTCTTTTGCCTGTCTTCTTGTCTTGAAATATCTATACTTTATTATTCAATCATTTACTATGTAGAGTCCCATTAGCCATTGCAAAATGAAGAACAATATACAAAACACAAACAAAGTTCTGTTTCTAGGATCAGAGTATATCCAAATCCATAAGGGAAAAAACACAAATTATTAAATAATCTCTTTCTTATCTGATTATTGTTTCATAGTTATTTTGTTGTCCATGTAACTAATGGCTGAACTCACTAATATCAAAATCACAAATACTATAACTGGATAGGTCTTGTCAATATAAATATTTGGTTACAATATTCGTGTGATTGTTTTCTGTCTCATATTGCTATGAAAAGGTTTCCTCGAAGAATCCCTTAATATTGCCTAAAGAGCTTTGACATTTCTTATTATTAAAACTTACAGTTTCATAACAAGGTATAAAGTTCACTATCACCAGAACAACACACCATATCAAGAACTAAACTACACCAGAGTAGGCAATGTATTTGGGATGCTGAAACACATATCTACAATTTTATTAAGAATTCTCTTTTACTAACACATAAACTCTTCCTTCAATTTGATTGCGTAAATGTTGGTCCCTATCTGAAGCAGAGTAGCTATCAACCCTATGTAACACTCGTGATTCCCGTCCGTATCCAATGCAAGGGAGAAAATACCTGTCAATAGCACAACACCTGCATATATTATTTTTAGCTAATCATGCTTATTCATGTATATGGTGTAGAATACAAACACAATCCCTTAACACTACTTTAATCATTTTAACTTACTATTATGAACAATCCGAAGTTCATATAGAATAATTCAATACATATCAGAAATATGTCTGCTGCTTGTATTGATGCATTTATTGCGTATAGCTTGAATGGTATATATGTCTATTTGTGCTCACTAATCTCTTTTTCAAGCAGCTATTCCCTCTCTTCTTCGTCGATTGATCCCTCATTTATTAAAAATACAATCGATAAAATCTTCCCAAAAAACAATAACCAAACCCACTCAAACAAATAGAACATCCCATTGTACTCGTACAAGCCTATCATTAATAAGCTCATGGCCAAAAAGCTCTTAATAAATAAATTTCAATACATGACACCATATAAGAGTAAAAAAAACATTTCTTTTTTTATTATTTATAATCCCATAAATATATTAATAAAATATTGAAATTAAACTCAAGAAAACAAAAATAATAATTATGGAATGAGCTATTAATCGGTAGCCTCAATAATCCATATGTTTTTATCTACCATCACCACTTTTATGTACTCGTTATTCCCATAAGCCGCCCCTATTTAGTATCAATCCATTACCATAATAATTACTCACTTCTGCAAATCGAAGTTTCTTCAACGTCTCCAAACCAACCTGCAATCTAAAACGCTGACTTTTATAGAACTGAACATCCTTCACTTTTATCTGCATAATCTCTGGCCTCAAATCAAGTAAATCTATAAAATTAAACTGATTTGTTGGTAACAACACATTAAAGAACTTATTCTCAATCTGTATCTTACAATTAATAGGCTCTTTGCATTCATCAACCATTATTAAGTACTGCAACTCTCGTTCCAGAACCTTTCTATTGTCCTACTTTATCCAGAATTTCGTTGCTGATTGTAATAAATTCATAATTACATCTATCCCCTTGAAACTTGATATTTATGGGCCAATTCTGCTCTGACTTATTGAAAATAAACAATGATATTTTTAGATAATTTTTACCATTTAAGACTTGATACTAAAACTCAAATGTACAATACACTCTAATTAACTCATTCTCAAATAAATTGCCCTACCCCGATAAGCAAGTCCTCTTCCAAATATCAATCATTTGTAATGAATATCCTGATCTACTTAATTTTTGGTAGAGTTCAAGTGATTGAGAATTCAATTGCTAACCTGAATAATCATTTTGATATTGTTAGTATTTTTACTCTTCCGAATGTCTGATCTCCTTAAATTACACTTAACTCGATCCCTTATCCATCTAATCTTATTCTAAATCAGTTCCATTTCCAAAAGTTAATTTCATTCCAATTGGTTTCTAATTGAACTAATCCTAATACTATTCCATATTACTTGAACCCCATTCCTATTTTATAGGTTATTAATAATAATCTTAAGAAAAGTAATTTTAGTGTTATTATGGAATTTTGTGCTCAAATTGCTAATAATCAGTTTCTAATTAATGAGGGTTATTTTAGTTTACTGGTTAAAATGAGTTTTATTAGGGTTTCTCCTAGAAGTATTAATAATCCTATTGTTGTTATTATTAATTCAATTAAAATTGTTAGTCATACTGTTATTATTCAAATTAATTTTACTGATTGAAGCTATCATAATCATCATATTAATTATATTAAGACTATGAAGGGCCTTTCAATTTATCAACTTATTTAGAATTATCTTACATAATTTATTAATCATGTTATTTTTATAAATCTGACTAGGCTTAAAAATTAATTTGAGATACAACTTTTTCTTTTGCGTGAATTTAAGTGAGATCATTCGATTTGGCTACATCTTGAGTATCATCTTGACCAATTTATCTGGTAGAGGAAAGAGGTTGTATCTTTGATTTTTGATAGGCATCAGATGGAGTGTAATTTTTTTTTGTAATTTTGCTAGCCTCTGTTAAAACGGCATGTTGAAATTCCAAGAACCCATTCTTAGTTTTGTTTCTTTCAAAATGATTAAACTTCAAATTAAAAATCTTTATGAAATTGCACAATATTTCAATCTAGTCTTTTTGTTATTGATTCAATTTGTCGGATAATTCATATTCCAATTATTGTAATTTGGCATCACTCTCCTTAAAAGTATCACAATAGAACTGCAACACTAAAATCATAATTTTTATGTACTGTCTTTTGCTCCTTCTGGATTACAATTTTAATCGTAAAGCATATCCCAAATCGTTTCAATTTACTCAGTCATTTCGAGTTATAATTCCTCCAATTGTTTGATGCCACTTTCCCTACTCGGTTCCATTTACTATACTTGATGTCTTTTAACAGGTTAGCTCTCTTCAGCTGCCTCTTCTATTTCATTAACATCCGCTGTTAATTCCCGGTTATATTTAGGAAAGATTATTCTCTATTGAATCAATCTGTCGTACAGAATTTTAAACTTAGTAGGTTTTTTGCTTTACGAGACAGGGTATTTTTCAGCCAAGTATTTAATGAGTTCCAATATCAAATTGAAGTATTTAATAGCTATTTATGGAACTAACAAGTTAATAGTAATGTCAATTACTATCATTTTCAAATCGATAAATGCCTTTGTATTCATCATCAGAACCTGGTTGAAACATAACTACCTCCTATAAATAGTTCAAAAGGGAATTATTGCTAGCTAATTTATTTGTCACAGAACCAATTGGATTCGAATAAACTGCATCCCTAATTATCTATGATTTTATATGCGCTAAATCATACCATTAACAGAAGATATTTCTTCAATAAGCTTTCATTACTTTGAAATATTTCATCAGCAAATTAAAGGAAAGTAATAGCAAGATCACTTTAAAATTTTAGAATATCTATACTTCTCGTTTTTCAGTTTATCCAATACTTTATGCAGATTAAACTAAAATTCCTAGAGACTTGAAATACAAATTTTGATTTATTCCATTGAAACTTATTATATATAATATTATTCTGTTATGAAATATTTATCAATCATGTCTGTTAAATAGATTATCTTTGATGAGTTCTGTCATCTTCAAAAATAACAATACAATATCCCAATATATAGTTACACTACCACTCACATCATCTGCTGTATTGATATCATAAGAATCTTCAGAACTATAAAATAAATGCTATATAATTACTTCAAATTAGAATACGTATCGTAAAGCAACATAAATGCAAACAAAAATGAGGACAAAGAGATGACCATGATCCAAAATAATGAGATTTAGCTAAAGATTGTAAACATCTCAAACACAATCAATATCCCCGCAGATACAAAAAGGACTGCTCCAGAATAAGTAATCTTTCTTCTTACAGTCGATGAATACAAAAATAAAAAGAATATTAGACCTATTCATTATGTTAGATTCATACTTGCAAAATTCACGAAAATTAATAATCCAACTTATGAGTTACCAAATGCCACTAAGCATCCACATACTGAGGCCAAAGATAGAGTAAATAATAAGAACACTAACCAATTTGTTGGGGCAGTCTTAATGTGATTCCTGTAAATAAAGGCTAGTATTGATATTCCTATACAAATCCCTAAACTTAACCAAAATATCCATTAGGTATTTTCTAAGAAGTGATCTAGATCTGGCAAAGCATGCACTATCCACACATAAATGCCTAGTCTATTGTCTACAAATACAAACAATAACTAATTGAAGGAATAACTTAGAGAATAGGTTTCTGGCATAGATTACTCTGCCATTAAATGAATTGTCATAGGCATTCGATACTTCGGTGGCCAATCCTTATTTATTCCTATTGGTAAGACGAGGATCTCCAGACCTAATGGAACTTTCAAATAACATAATAATTTTAACAATAAATTATTATCAGACTCTTTCGTAAAATAAAATATAAGCTTGATTGCTGAGAGCCTATTTAAGAGAGACCTCTTTGAAATTGCTATCACTAAAATAGAACCAATGATCTTGATTGTTTTCTTTGTGCTTCACGTAGGATATGTAATGTCCACCTGTCATAGTACCTTGATGAACGACCACTCCGTACAATCGATATGGAAACTTCTAGGTCTTTATTTCTTCAACCGTCTGGCTTGGTTCTCCCTTTAAAATAGTATAGTCCTCTAGATAGATGGTTTCTGGAATATCAACTTACTCCGAGACCTTCTCAAATCTACCTGCTGATTTCTATTGGAATCTCTTCAAAATGATTGTGGCCACTTAAGGTAAATCGTATAAGAAGAACTTTCTTAAAGCTCTTCCTGACTTTTTCCCTTGCTTTGCACACTACTCACATTTAAAGAAATTGTTCTTTTGGTTCAATTCCTCATATTCAGTAAAAGCATCCAGACAATCAATAACACTTAGATTATTTTACTTTTATTGATCGATCTTTGGTGGGTTATTGTTTTTTTGAACCAAAATTGAGTTATGCAAATAGGGAACATTGACATCCTTTAATTCTTCACTGGTGATCTCTTAGTATTCCTCTTGAAATCTCTAATTAATAAGACCCTTAGGTTTTCTAATTTGAACAGTGTAATCAAGACAGAAATCAAATGTCCTACTGATGAATCCACAATCCAAGCATTCCACTAATAATAATGAGCTGAATTCTTACAGTAATTGCACAAATAGCTTCCAAATACATTTTCAACAATCGTCCTCTTGGGTTTACCATTAGTTTTAGCTTTATTGATTCTCCCTATATGAGTGTTTTCCTCTCCTGTTGACAAAGCATCCAATAAACACCTAAGTAATTCTGATGCATCTTATTGAGCCATCGATCTGAATCTCCCCTATCTATCGATAATTAGAATAATTTTACACTGCCTATATCGATTTGAATAAGTCCACAGGATCCACTAATCCTTTACTCTTCCTACTATTTAATAGGAAATTCTAATATATCTAATTGATAGATAATTTTGAACTCTTGGGTCTCACTTATTATTTAACTTATTTATTGTTCTCAACTGTGGTCCAATCATCATCCTCGTCGTTATCTACATTTTAACTATAAGAAGAGAAGTTAAACTTCTTATGGTCCAAATAGAATGAATTTAAACTCTCCGTTGCATTTAAACATTACATAACAGAATTGAAAAAGCAAGTATTCCCCAAATTCCTCAATCCAAACACTTGCTTGGGTGTGTAATTCAATGGTTAAGTGGTTTGCTGTTTAATTTCTTGACTCAGAGTTTAGGGTTATTATTATTATTATTGTTAGACTTGCTAGAATTATTAAATTGTTTGAGTTGGTTTGTTTTGTTTAATTTTTTTGAACAGGAGATTTTTCATGCTATCAACAAATTTAGAGATTTTCTCTTTCTACCCCTTGTTTTCAGTTTCCTCCTATATTGTTTCTAAATCATTATCACAAACATAACACCAAATAGCGAATGAATTGACTGATATAGAAAGTGGATGATTAGATTATTGATTGTGTTTAAATGAACATTGGTTATCACTATTTCTGCTACATCCAAAAAATCCGCATTCTATGCACAACCATTTTTCAATATCGCTCTCACATTATTACCTCTTAGCATTATCACAATATGTAAAATTAGTCTTGATTAAATTCCCAATTTATTCAAGCCTGTACTTTGAAAAATGCGAACATGAACCTTATTTTTACATGAATTAAATAATTAATTAAAGAATTTGAGCCTCTATAATATAATTAAATACTATTATCAATTAATATATAATTGGCTATTTAAAAACATAATGAAAGCCAATCTTTCATGCTATTTCTTGACAACATTTGAATTCAATTGATCAAACAGATTATTTAGTATAAAAACTATAACTTTATATTGGCTTTCTTAATTTCATTGCATTCAACCTATTAAAATGATAATATATTGTCAATATGAACTTAGTGATATTTGTTTATAGAAATAATTAATTTAATATATTAAAATAAATAATATTAAAATGAGTTAAATGGAACCTTATCGTGAAGAATTTCTTGAAGAATTGGATAAAATCAGACAGCAATACAGTTTTGGACAGTCTCAACAGATGTCTCAGAGTCAATAGAAGAAGGTGAACTTGCAATTCAAGGTTACTGATACGAATGACATTTGGAATACTAGTAAATATTCTGATGTATTTTGTGTCTAATGATTTTAGAATAAATGGAGAGGCAACCTAACTACCACATTCTACAATAAGGAGCACAATGCTAGTCATTATGAGGTGAACTCACTTTTGAATCCGGAAGTTACGAGAAAGAATTTCAATATGAGAGCTACTCAGATATCTGAATATTCAAATGCAAAGCATAACAATACAGTGTTTGTGAATCCCAAGTTTACAAGTTGCTGATTTTATTATATATATCACATTATGAAATCAAGACTCAACCTTATTGACAATTTCAACAGTATCCCCTGGACTGCATAAGTTGGCACAGGGATACAAGTCTAAGTTCGTATCCAAGTTCATGGACTAAAAAATAGAATGTGTATTCTCTTACAAACTTCAATTGGGTTTTCTTCTTCCACCAAGTAATTTTCTTCTTCGGGATGTCAACCTCAATAACAATAACGTCGCCCACTCCAAAATCGAAGGACTTGTGTGCTGAATTCAAGTCTTTCTGCAAGTGAGACCAAGAGTAGGCATTGTTGGATATCAAATACGATCTGCATGTTAATGATAAAAGTGTACCCATGGCCTATGTTGGTGTAGTTGAATTTGTAATTGGCACTCGCAATGATGTCTCTGTGACAAACCCCCACTCCAATCCATCCTGCATATTTGATGATCTTAAATCCAAATTTGTAAACTCCATTTTTGGGTACACAAGGTTCACAAATGATGAATCGCTATCCATTGGATTCCGAAGTCTTTTATTCAGCAATCATGTTCTGGCCACTCAAACCAATATTGGCTCCTTTGAATTTTTATGAGAATTGAAACGCAATTGATTACACTACTTCTGCAGCAGTAACAGGCTGTGCTCTGAAAATGCTACTCAGAATTCCAACTTTACTATCGATATCAATTTAAATGTCCTGCAATTAATCGTTGAGCTGAGTAATCTGCGACTTGCAAGCAACCATAATTGCTGAATTTATACTTTGTCTTACAGCAATGCCATTTCCAAAGGAATATTACTCTAAAATTTAGCTAGTGATGATTATTTGAAACTTACTCGATATTCTTTTTGAATTCTGGCAAATCTGATGGGATGTTGAGAGAATCAAGCAAGAAATGAATAGGAGTCTTGGAAAGTGAAAAATTCCGTATTTGATTTTTTAGATCAAGATAATAGGTTTCTACTCTCTTCGACAACTGCTTTGAAATATTTTGTATTTATTCATTGAATCGATTCACCTATCAATTTATAACTTTGTTTTACTATTCGAACACATTCATTATAGGATTTATCCAAGAAAATGGAAACATCCATCACACTCTATTGAGTGGCATCGGAGTTGTTGTTGGCAGCCTCGTCTACTTGTTAGAGCATAAGTTTGATGGGCAAGGTGTTATGAGATTGATGATCAGCATGTTCACAAAGAGCTAGAAGATCACAAGCATTCTTACGGCAAATTAATGATTCGATGCAAGACTTGTCAGTGCAAACTAGTGATAGAAAGTGTCCATCATGAAGAGGGCAAGCGAAATAATTCATATAAATATATATAAAAAATGAATTAATTGTACAAGCTTACACCTCAAGAGTTGGCAACAAGAAAGGATATCGTAGTGCTCAGCGATAAGGGATTGCGATTCAGGGAAGAGATTAAATCTAAGGATCAATTTGATTTGGATGATTTTCATTTGCCTCAAAGTAATTCTGCCATTTTACCATCAAGTCAATCAGTAAAAAGATAAACCATATACAAGAAGGTAAGTGCTCTAAGGAGAGAAACCAGTTGAATTGCTAGTGGCTGATTTGAAGAAAGAATTGAATATCAGTAGACCGTATATGGAGAAGGCCCTCGAGAAGATGACAGTCAAGATAACCTAAGAAAAACCGTCTGCAGCCATTAATAACAAGTTACAAAAACTATATCAAGAATTAGACAAACATACCCGCTTGTTGGAAGCAAGGAAGGTGAAATTTCAAAAGAAACCTATCGAATAATAGAAGTAGGATCAAACTTCAATTTTGGAAGAATCAGAATTCCAAGACAAAGTGGCATCTCTTAACGCATTGGAAGCCAGAATTTGGAGAATGCAACAGAACTATTAAAATGAAATCAGAATCAGGGAAGATACCTTGAAAGTAGCTATAACTATCTTACTTGTAGAAAGTTAAGCAAAATCTAAATGTGATGAGAATTTAAAAGGAAGCTGAAATCGAATAGGTTCCAGTCCCTGTTTAGGTGGAACAACTTCAATAATCTCAATATCTGGACAGGAAATAAGTCAGGCTTAAGGATTATTAGAAATACAAATTTGAAGTATTCCATGTCAATATTCATAGAAAGGGTGGAGTAGACAGCCTCCTCCATCCTATACTTCCAAGCAAGTCTTAATCGAAGAGGAAAGAAAGAAGCAACTCCAATTAATAAAAGAATAATAGGAGTATGAGTAGGAGTTGCTGAGAAGAAATGGACATTCAAACTTCAACAATACAGTCAATCAGGAAACACATGAATAATGAATTAAATATCTATTTATCAATTAAATCCGTAATTACTCAATCTCTATTTCAATTATTATTGTTTGGTAGGACAATTTACATATCTGGATGATGACACAGATCTCTTAAAAGGAGTGTAAGGTGAAAAAGGCCTTTGTGAAATCTAAGATTTGTCTAAGGATTTATCTTAACTTCGTGGTTTTCGATCAGATACGAATGATTTTCTGCATTCAATTTCCTGTCTTAATTAAGACTACCTAGGCTATTGAAATTTTCGAATTAAGGTTTTCCTCTTTTTTACCTCTTCTTCACTACTCTCACTTTCTAACAACTCATCTTCATCTTGCACTTGATGTTCTTCTTCATCCTTTTGTATTTGTTATAGCAAACTAGTATATGGATTTATTCTCTTCTTCTTACGGTTCTTTAGTCTATCCTTCTAATATTCAATATATTTGATTTCCTTTTCAAGTAATATCTGAACTTACTTTCCCAATTCTTGACCCAGCTGATGAAAATCAGGAATGCCAAACTCTTTAGTAATTTATTGAGATCCCAAGTAATATAATCCATTTGAACATTCAACCGTAAAACAGTTAACTATCTTAAACTCTTAATTCAATATGGCTCTGGCTGTATTTCTTTTATTAGGTTGCACTCTCCAAATTCCACTCCAATAACGAAAGACTTCTGTTGCCTCAGACATCAATTTGGCCAACACTCGACACTTCAAGTAGTTTAAACTGAAAATCGGATATTCGGGTCCATAAATGAATAAGTTTTTTTTGAGGGAATGTCCATGCATGTCCATATACACAAATGGAGGACTCTTCATGTTCTCGATCAACTTTTTGATTTGATAGATTTAAGGAGCAGTATTCTAATCAGGGTTGGAAAATTGCCTGTTCAGATCCATTCCTTGTAAGCAAGTTCTAAAATTGCCAGCAATCACTCCATCAGGGTTGAGCATCGGGATTGCTATAACTTATGAACTCTTGATATGGATATGGTTATTTACTTCTATAAGAGGTACTCACCATCTGGAGAGATGAGATACTTCAAAAAACCTTCCATCATGTGAGAACTATTTGATTCTCCAGGGTGAACACGAGCAGTTACTATTATCGTTCTTCTCTTCGCCTCGCCAAACTGGAGGATTGGAATATCTACACCTGCAGGTGTCCTAGTAAAAACACTAAATCCCAATGGCTATATAAATTGCATCATTTAAGAATAGGTATATGGCACTCCATATGCTACATATATTTTCTACCCTTTCACAAGAGTCAAATCAAAACTCAGTCTTGATGATCGTTGATTCTTCTGATCAAACACTATGTTATCACCGCCCTACTTCCAAACCCCATTGATTCCTATATAAGGTCTCATGCCTCTTTAATAAAGGCTGCGATGTTTGCTGAAATTGCAAATACATATCTTTATTGTCTGTGTTGTCTCCGAAACCATGCTGAAATGATACCAACTATGACTGCTACGCGAATTTGAATCACATCTCATATAGCAATTATACTCGTTTGGACGAACTTAGAATGCGAAATCTAGGTTCCCAGACTCGAAATCAGAATCAAACTATATAAAATGTTTTTGCGCTTAAGGTCTATTGATAAATAGTCTTAGCTAGCGCTACTTTTTTTGAATTGCCTCCATCATGTCTGTTTAATTCTTAGTCGGTTGGTCTTCAATATATGGTAATGCTTACAATTTGTCAAGTATTTCTAGAACATCTCCATGGAATCAACGTATCTCGGTCCCACATAAACTAGCTAATCTCTTTACACTGACCACAACATGTCGTCATTCATTTCAAATTTCAGTCTTATGGGGTATTGTATGTTGGGCATCCATCTAATGATGAAATAGATAATACCCGTTAAGCATGTCCATTTCAAGGGAAAGCTCTTTTAAAATTGGAAGTGATTCAGGCAGCATCGTTATTAATTAATATGCTAATCTCAAAAGCAATCATAAGAAACTTAAAACTCTCATTACTAAGCTCGTGACAAAGATTGCATTACATCCACCTTACTTCTATCCTTTATGGACTCTACTATATCATACAATAAATGCGTATTATAATGAAATATATAAAATTGCCATCACATGATTGAACAATCCTTTTACTACTTAATCGAAATCGACAAAGACTACGCTTATAAATAGATTAATTTACTTTAAATCCTCCCTTTAAAATAGAAACATGCTTAACTCCATCAAGAACCAGCTAATTTGCCACTTTAACAGCATCATCTAGAGTTTGATTAGAATCCGTAATTAAGCAAGTATGGAAATTCCCATCAGCTTTCTTTGTTATAAATTATTTGGGCAGGAATTCACTTAACTTAGGTTTCTTTACCTTTCTGATATCAAGTAATTGTAGCTATATATTTTTTGTTGGCTGCTTTTTTGATTTTCCAAACAAAGATTTCATTTCAGAAACTTCTATGAATAGACATTAGGAGTAGTAAGATTAACTTAGATTGGTTAATTCTGTAATGTCTTCAACGCTTAGTACTAAAATATGAGTAAGTTTTATATACCGCTTTTGTCATTGAAGGATGTAGATGCAATCAGTTACTCGTAAGATTCTGGGGTTTGAGAATACAATTCATCAGCTCTGTCAAATAATTTCTAAACGTCAGACTCGTATTGTATTTGCTTCAACTTCTTGTTCAGATAGGTAAATAGCTCTTCAGAATCCTCAATCGATAAAATTTCCTCTATTATTATCTACTTTCTATACTTATTTTTGGGTCATGAATAGAGCTGCTACCATGAAAAAGATGTAATTGGGATTGTGTCTCTTCATGTACTCGTCAAAAATCAGAAACACAAGTTGGATCGATGTACCTTTGGCAAACAGCGTCATTATTAATGGTGTAACTACCATCGATAGGTTGAAGTCGTCTAACTTGAGAATTCGATTATAGAAGTCGGCGCAATGATATTTAAGCAAAATTTCACAGAATTGAATGGCAGATAGAACATGAGCGAGTTGCTTTTGTCCTTTGAGAATCTAAGATAGATGTGAGGTTTATACATTCCATTCGAGAACTTTGGGGAAATACTTATTCATGAAGGAATTAAAATAGGCATAGCATTTTTATATTGGAAAGTCTCTATTTTTCATGACCAAGAACGGGGCAACAACTTCAAGCATTCCTTATTAATAATTGACACTGTTTTGTTAGCAATAAAATGTGGCTAGTAGCATAAGATATCGTTGGGTGGACTCCTTTTTGAAGTAAGGGTCATCGTTTCTGGTGCGTGTAAGATCTTTAATCAAAGTTTCCTTCTCGGGGATTTCAAGGTTTTATTAATTCCAGTCTCTGAATTTGTAAGCATCAGTGAGCAGATTTTCATTCATAAAGAACTCTTTCCAGTTGAGAACGGCTTTATTTTATGTAATCATTAATAATTTCAATCATATTATTTAACATTTGGTAAATCCCATGGGCCACGAATAGTACTAGAAGTTTGATAATATATTGATACTTCTTGTATTAATATAACCAGATGATTTGCAGAGGGGAAACAAAAGTAATGAAGAAGACACTAGTTAAAGATATTAAAATAATATTACCATCCAAAAAATAGAAGAGCCAAGAAATATGAAAAAAATAGTAATGACAATCCCAATCCAATAGTGGAAATCAAGTTGATGACTCTGAACACAGAGTTGTACTTCTATTTAATGCTTCTCTGGAGTATGGGAACAAAAATGAACAAGAGGTTGGATGCAAATATCATCAAAAACACTTAGAGTTCATTGTGCAATCTCGAGGCCAACAAACTGGAAAACACCAATGATGCCCATTATGAGACATCCAATTCTGTGAAATCCTTTTCGTAATCATAATCCTTTAAAAATATGTAAATTAGGATTGCCACACTTGTAAGTACATATATAGTATTATCAGCATAGGTTTGATTGACTGTTTGCATTACAGGTGCAAATAGTAACAAAATCGAAATATAAATTCCAATACTCTTAAAATTGCTTAATATTTCCAAGGTCTTCATTTTCTTGACTACAGAAAACATGATCAAACAAGTGATTGCAGCGGCTAGCCAAAAGTAGAGTTATAACTAATCATTGACCATATCATGTAGCATTAAGAAATAACTCAAAAGATAGAATACAACACAATTGACTGCAAAAATTAAATCTGAAGTCTTGCTGATGAGTTGTTTGTAATCAGGTCCATTGTTAGTGTTGTCTTGTTTTTATACGCTTTGAAGAAATGTTTCATCAATATAATTGTCATCATAAGGTTGTTTTTCATACAATATTTTTTCCCATTTCTTTTGTTCTTATTCTTCCTAGATGTAAGACTTAGGTTAAATATAAGCACATTACAGTCAGCTAATACTTGGGTCGTCTACAAATGAAACATTGAACATCATTTTCTGAGAAGCGATATCCATCCCATGGACAGTATTTGAAATAATCCATAAAAATTAAAATAATACTCATTTTTTTGATGGTACTCTTTTTTATTAATGAGTGAGTTTGGCAGAATTTCATTGTACGTGGATGATGTTATACCTTATTATGATCGTTTTGGTTTGTCTAGAGAATGCAAATTGTAAATTACCAGATTCAGATCATCATCATTATAATCACTGATTTTATCGAGATCCAAAATCTTAATTCTTCGTCGTAATCATCCTCTTCCTTAGAGACAATTTTTGTAATGTACTAATTATTCATGTGAGAATTCACCCTCAAATTAATGGATCATCATCCTCTCCTTCCTTGCTCTCAATCAAAATATTGGTCCAATCTCCCTCCTATACATAACCTGGTATATCTTTAAAAATATTGGCAAGTACATTTGTTCAGACTAGATCATAAGCTACTTCCAAATTCAACTATAATTACATATTAAAGAATACGTTATCCAACTAAATTTTTAACTTCCTCTTAGTCTTTCATATCGACACTCTCAATTCTCAAAACCTATCTCTCATAATTCTTAAATACAAAAACTAAATCAAAAGATTTAATTCCTGCAATTATACCTTCAAAACAACATATTTCAACTTCAGATAATGTCAAGATATAGACTAGACTTTCAATTACTTTCATCAATGTATTATGAGTAGGCTATAAAAATAATCTTCTCCATTCCAATATCCTTTCCAATATTAGATTTCTAAAAGGTTTTCTAATTATTATATCTTAAAATCTACTCCCATCTCCTCAATTGTTTAATGAGCAATTTAAATTCTCTTCCTATTTACACAATATCTCTTCTTCTTCTATTTCATCACTATCATCATCATAATTTCAATTATTCTTCATTCTCCCTTCCACGTTTTCTACTGCTCCTCCTAACTCAAGATAGAACTACACACCTTGCTTCTTTGTTCTACCCATAGCTATATGAGAATGAAGATTGAAATGTAAAGGAGCTATTATATCCTGTTCAAGTCTTCAATAAATACATTGCTTAATATTCTTGAATACAATATACAACTATTTATTATTTGAATGAAGATATCTAAACCCATTAGAATGAACTTCGAAAACACCTGTTACCTTATAACATCTAAAAGTAAGTCTTGGTATTACATCCTTAAATTGATTTTCTTCCAGATTTACTGACCAACAATGTATCTAATTCACTAACATTTTGTTTTTCTCCCTCCGCTTATTATTCTTTCTTTACTTTTTTCTATAAATATTTTCTCTAAAATATTACATTCTTAGGATGGTCGATCTGTTCTTTAATTTTTTAATAAAGACAGTTAGAAGTAAATAATTAAATCTTGCAGGTGAACTCATTTACCTGCTGATAATTGCCACCACACAATTAAGGCCACAGTTGTGGTTTTAAGGGAACCATCTTCTTTCCACAGAGTGCTGGAAGGTTCTACCTCCTAATTTATTAAAACATTTTTTAATGAGACGATTTGTCAATTAATCTAAATGATTTTGGAATACATCTGCTATTATCTTTTTATCCATTATTAAATAATATATATGTTCATAATTATCTATTGATGTTTTTGATACATCTTTACTTAACTATGCGTTAATAATAATCAAATTATTTGACCCTTCCTTGACCAAATTCTTTGAAATATAAATGTTCATAAAAAACAAATAATATATATAAGTAAAAACAAGCCGCGAAAATTTAATCCAACATTCTATATAATATATATCTACCCCCTAAGAAAGATCATTCCATATAATAATTTATTCGGTTAGCGATCACAATCTATATCGGTATCAATCAGATCCCGAGGTGCAATATAATTTATAATAAATCTAAATTTCTTATTATAACAATAATTAATATGAAAATCAAAGTAGTTCACGATAACGAAATCCATCTCTTGAAATTGCAAAACCCAACCCTCCAAGCAATTAGGGAGCACATCTAAAAAATATATCCAAACATTGATTCCAACTACACACTTGCCTATAATGACTCAGAAAATGACTAAATAACTCTAAGTTGTTAGGAGGATTTACAGGTTCTTGTCGATGAAGGAATACAAACGATCAAAGTTTTTGTGGTAACAGCCTAAAAACCAAAGCCAGTTACTCAAGATAAAATGGTTCACAAACACCATACTTGTGATGGATGCTAAAACCATCCAATCGTTGGACCAAGATTCAAATGTCTTGAATGTCCTGATTATGACTTGTGTGAAGGGTGTCAAGCCAAGGATCTTCATAATCATCATAAGTTCTTCAAGATAAGTACAGAGGAAGAATTAGAATAATTCAGAAAAGAACATTGGGGTAAATTTGGACATTGGGGTCAACGACCTCATGGACATGGATTCCATGGCCACGGACCTCATGGACAAGGTTTCCATGGTCATGGTCATGGATTCCATGGTCACGGATTCCAAGGAAACGAAGCTTTTAAGCAATTCAAAGAATTGTTCCAAGATCCTGCTTTTAAAGATATCAAGCAAACTGTCTTCTCTCTAGCCAAAGATGTCTTTGGAGCCGTGAAGACAGAGATTGAGAAGCACAAGAACTCCTAGTAATAACAATAATAGGAGAAACCTGAAGAAGACTTATACGAAGATGAAAAATTAGAAACATAATAAGAAACCTAATAGGAAACTCAATAAGAAAAATAATAAGAATGTACTACTTAATAAACTGACTGTAAGGCACAAGAAGAAATTGAAGAGAAAATTAAAAACTTGATTTCAATTGTGTAGTGTGATGAGAAATAAGCAAGAGAATATGTTGAATGCTTTAAGGATTTATCGTTGGATGAAATTGTTGATATCATGTTAGAGAAACAATGATTATTATTATTATTATTAAATAATTGAATTATTCTAAATCAAACACCAGTATGAATCAAATTTACATATATGATGATGAATATTTAACTCAATCAAAATTTAGCAGGGTTAGCGAATTCACCAAATTATCTGTAATCTATATGAGATATTCTAAATCACTTGTGTATCTTAAATTGTATTTTTAAAATATTGAGAGTTTGATCATATGATAAGAATTGTAATGAGAGGATATAATTATATTTTAAGTAGCCATAATAAGCCAAAAAATGATATCAACCAAACTTTAGTTATTGATGTTTACAAAATTTAATAAATTTATTTTGATATAAAATGAAAATTTTGTAAAATAATAATTAATCAATCTAATTATTATGAAAAAATTCAAACATAATGTTTATTGGATGATTGGAATAAATAAATATGCATAAATATTATCTTTATGAAACACAAATAAATAAAAACGAATAACTTTGAAATAATACATTAAATAAATTATTTTATAAGTCATAAAAATATTAATACATTTGATTAGACATACCTGAACGAATTGTAATATATATAATTTTTTTATATTTTTATAGAATTCAATTAAATCGACAGGTCATTTATTAATGGATTAAAAAATTGAATGAATTACTATGATTAATTTTGATTACAAATCTGAAAATAGAATAAAAATTCAGAACCCCCATTTTTAGGAAGATAAGTAAATAGTTATATGTTAAAGTAATAATAAGATAAGGAAATTAGCACTACTGAGTAATAAGATATTAAATTAATAGGTTTTTAGTCACTTTGAATACAGTCTTAAGATATACAAAACATTGAAGCAACAACAAAAAAGATTTAATGAGGGAACATAGTCTAAATTTCGTATTGAAAAGACTAAGGTATACAGTTTAACATTTCTTACTAAGGTTAAGGATAGAGCCATTCGCTTTTCAATATAATAATATCTACCAATTCGTGAAGTTGAGATTTAATTGTATGTGTCAAGTTGAAGATTAAAATTAGCTTTGTCTCATCCTACAATGACCTAAATCTATTTGGATTATAAATTATAATTTGAATCACAAAATTTAGAAAAATATAAAGATAGAGTTTAACTGTAGGTTGTGATGTGTAATACTCCCTTTTTAGACTAATGGAATTGAGGGCATAGAATTTAATAATATTACAAAAAGGTAATGGTCTTGCTGAAACTAAGATTTGAAGGGAAGTAGAATGAGTAAGAGTTAAAGCAAACGAAATTGCTTAGGACGGAAATAGTGGATAGATGTAGTAACTAATTGGAAGATGAGTTATTTTTAAATTATTGAAATAATTATATAATGAACGATTCGAAAGGACCTAAAATAATGAGTTCTCACTCATTCAACAGTATTAAGAATGAGGAGCCTAAGAAGGCAGAAGTGATCGATGAACAATCCTTATAGACAACGCAAAAGAGGGGATAGCCAAAAATCAATATTAGTCGTTTGCCTCCAGCATTTGCAAATAAGAAGTATTAAAAAGGGTGTAATTCAGGCCACAGAAGAAATAGATAGAACCTCTGGCGTAGAAGAAAGAGTAGAAACAATAAGTGCAACAGAATCTGCAGAACATAGAAGCAATACAAGAGTACAAGTAGGTGAGCCAAATGTTAAGTCCCTTGAAGGCATAAATTATAAATCAAACTCTAGCGCGAACACAACTAGCAATCCAAGAATCCATTAGCACCTTTTCGTTAGTTCATGAAAGACCAAAAGAAAATTCATGAGGAATTAGGCCTTAGCATCAGTACACTCGTCCAAGGTTAGATGCGCATAGAAGACATGATAACAACTGGCACATTGCGATGTTAAAATCACTTAAATCTTATTAGCCTATGGTGATCAGAGTCCTGTCAAGAAAATGTTACATGCTCCAACAATGAAACTCTATGTTGTAAAAGAAGTAATTCTTCACTTTGACATTTAGGAACCATTGCACAACAAGGAAATTCGTAAAAACTTAAAGGACTGGATCTCCTTTTGGTAGAACAAATTCGCCAATTCAAATTTGCATGTCCAAGTATACGCTACCTTTTGGAATACACCTGAAGGTTACGTGTCTATCGTCATGGAATACATGAATGGTGGTTCATTATAAGTGAATATTAATTCTCATTTTAGAATCTTCTTGAGAGCATGGGTTTCCTCCCAGAGAGAAGTATCAAATAGCTAGTACCACCTATCCTCTAAGGATTACAAAAAATTCATTAACAAGGAGCCTAATGTCATGGTGCCCTTGGACCGTCACAAATTTTATTCCTTAGGGATGGCACTGTTAAATTAGGGCAAGGTTTGCAATACAGAGTTTAAGTCCAAGGAAATTAATTATTCAATTCCTACATTCTTGGTAAACCCAAAGATGTTCAAAGGTATTTTATTCAACCAATTAGTCTTTATGATCCAACGATCCTAGAAACCCCATCGTTATGGAGCAAGGCTTCAAGTGAAAAGGTTCATTTCCCTGCTCAAGAAGATTTCATTTTGGAGAGAGCCAATGACATTTGGAAATTAGGTTGGCTGGTTTTAAATTGTGCTATTGGAACTCTAGAGTTCCATCCCAAAGCCTAATAGATTTATGAGGGCTCAAGAATCATCATTGAGGAAATTGCTAAATATACCGATCATCTCAAAGACACTTGCTGTCTCCTCCACAGTGAAGCCAAAGTCATTTCATTAGTTGAATAGAATCAAAAGACAGCATCTGAACCTACCAAAATAACTATACTAGAATTACTCCCATCTGATAAATTTAGCCCTGAATTTATTCAATTTTTATGTTCAACACTTAAAATAGATCCAAGACAAAGGGTATACACTGAATAATTATTGCAACATCCCTGGCTAGTAAGTGGTAGAGATCCTAAAGGTAGGCTTCACATTTTATTCTAATAGGACCCAATGTACAACTAAAGGAACTGCTTAATATATCAAATGCTTGGAATGCATTTCTGCCGGAAGAATTTTAAGGTTAAGGAGCCCAAAAATTGGAAAGACTTTGTGATGCTCTCTATTTGGTCTTGTAAAACTCAGAAAGACCAACAGTCAATAAGTATCCAATCGATTTATATTATCTAGGATGTAATTACAAGAAAACAGTCCAATAATAAAAGAACTATCTTATGATATGGGTCTAAATGCCAAAGCTGTAAGTGATCGAATTATGTCAATTTTCCAATCCTTAATCTGATCTGGCATTGCACTATTATCTATATATTTCTAATTATTTAGCCTAATTATAATAATAATAATTAATTAAGGGTTCTGCTAACTTATCTTTATGCAATTTTAAATAAACTTGTTGAATTTAAATAAGGTTATGAATTCAAATGGCTGTAATTAATTTCTTTATCATCATAATAAGTTATTCATATCTACTTTAAGACTCTATTTAGCCCCATCCCTTTTATATGAATTTGGTAATAAATTGAGCACTGTACTATATATTAAGAATATCTAATCTATTTTACACATACAATCATGAAATTAATAATTTAATTAAGTGAAAATATAATCAATATGTTGGATTAATTTTATTAAATAAATCTACTCTTGATTCCTACAAATGATAGTTATTTTCTTTCTCTTTTTCCTTTAATTTTCTCAATAATTCTTACACAGTCAGAAATTATGGTTAAATAATTTCTTATTCATCTTAATGATTTAATAATTTTGAGACCTTTCTACCTTCATAAAACTAAATTCTTAATTTTAATTTCGATCATTCAAAATTATACTCAGATATTTATTAAAAATTTATAAACATTCTTTTTAAAAAAATCAAGAAATTAAAAGTCTAAATTTCATACCTAAAGGCATTTTAGATTTTATTACATTTCTTATATACCTGTTTATAAATGTGTCCAATAATAATTAAATCTTGATATCAAAATATAAAATGGCATATAAGTTGTCAGTTAAGTGTAATAGTGGTCATAACTACTCACTTCATGATTAGAAAAATTAATCCAATTTGAATATCCGATTAGAAGAAAGTCTTGCTATTGTAAGTTATGTGGAAATCTCGGCTAATTTCAATAGCAAAATTCAAATTTACCAACATAAAAGAATATATAATTTAGTAAATAGAAGAGAATCAAAAGAAAGCTAAGTTTTGGAGATGAAATTAAAACTGACTTTCCTAGCGAATAGAGTTAAAATGAGAGTGAGAATGGAAGACGAATTAGATAAAATAATAGGTCAATTTCATTACCCCTTAAATACCAACAAGGATCCTCAAAAAATGATTGCACCTATCAAGAAAGCAGTACTAAAACAAAGAGAAAAAGCTGTGAATGTAGTGAATGTGGAAAACTTAATCCATTTTAAATAAAGAGTCAAGAAATATCAATCCCTTCAAAATAGAGAAAGATCAAGTAGTTTTAAATTAAAAGGTAACCTAAGTTCTAGTAATATGGATCAGCAGACTTTTAGATATAAAGCAAGAAGGTTGTTCAAAAGACAATAATGTTTTCACCTAAGAGTTCAAGATCCTTTTAGGTGAAATAAATCAATGAAATGAGAAGGACTAAAGATGTCAATACTCTAGTAAGTAATCGTATATCCACAAGGGATTTAGACTAACATCAGAAATACAATAACAGCAAGGTTTCAATAATTAATTCATGTCGATAATTAGATTCTTAGAAAATTCTACAAGGAAAATCTCAATTACAAAATATCCATAAGGCAGTTTTACCGTTTTCTAATTTAAAATGGAAGAGTTAATGAGTTATCATTCTCAAAGTGTTTTATTTTATACTACAGAAAATATTAAGTCAATCTTTTCTACACATAAAAACAGATGCATTAATTATATTAATAAAATTATTGATATAAAATTCATTAAGTTTGTAGTGTGCCTTTAACTTGAGTAATTCTTTCAAATTGCTTATGATTTTCAACTTTGATTTTATTATAGTTTTCTTCTCTAAGAGATTTAGTAGACAAGCGTATTGGAGCATCACTTAAATTGAATAATTGATATTACATGAACTTGGATTGCCTTCTCTTTTCTATTTCTTAAAGCTTCTTAGAGAGTATGAGGTTGGAGGCTGTGATTCTGGAGAGCACTTCTTTTTGTTTGAAATTCTGACTATTTTAAACCTTTTTGTTTGCGTCCTTTTCTTGATTAGGAAGTTATATTTTTACATCTTTATATAATTTCTTCAACCTGATCGGGGAATTTGTAGTTTCTGTGTTCAATTAGCTCTACAGACCTTTTGTGCTTGGCATACTGTTATTCCCATTATCTGGTTTAGAATTAATTGTTATTCATTAATTAATAATAATCGAATAGTTACGAGATAGATTTCACTATTTTTCAAGTTATTAACAATAAATAATATAAATTAATGAATTCCAACAATAATTATAACAATGACAGTTCGAGTGAGGATGATCTATAAGTGTATGAGACACTCACCAAATTGGCACCCCCCAATGAATTATTGCCTCGTAAATTAACCATTGACATTGATGTGAAATCATTATATCCTCTCAAGTAATTAATTGTTTATCTTTTAAGGCCACTGCCCCAATTCTGTAAGACCTACACCACCTTCATTGAGGAAAGCTCGTAACGAGAATGCTCAATTCCTGACGTTTAGGTGACTGATGAGAATAGGACACTCCTTGATTATTACGAAGAGAATAAGCAAAATTTAGTATACAAACGATTCGACCAGTTAGATTTAGGCAAAAGGACTTCAAATGACCGAACATATTTTGCAAGTCTCTTAGCCAATTTTAAGAGGTATGGACGATTCTAAATGAAGAGCACACCCAAGAGTCTTCTTCAGAGGGGAAGCACTTTTTGATTAAAAATTAACACCCTGTCCTTCTAATTCAATATAATTTGATTCCAATTTTGAATCAGGCAACCTATTTTGTGCATTCAAGAAAGCAGAAAATGTTTATGATCTCATAATTCAAAATGATATTAATACAAGAGGCAACACATAATGGTTCTTTTTTAGTGTAACTGGAGCCAAAGCAGGTTAAACAATTTAGTTCAATATCCTCAATCATGTATTTTGATCAGTAATTAATTAATAGCTCAAAACTGGGAGTCTCTTTAATGAAGGCTTACAACCAGCTGTCTATTCTGTAAAAGAAAACCAATTAGTAGGCACTGAATGGTGTAGAGATGGATTTAACATCAGCTACTTTAAAAGTGTATTCATGAAGGAATATCCCCTCTCATTGAAGAAGAAATACTACCAATTAAGATTTCATTATACATTTAAGCATGAAGGAGACAAAGTTTACTTTGCTCATTCGTACCCTTATACCTATACAAATCTGTTGGAATTTCTGAACACCTAATTGGAAGATCAAGAAAGAAATTAGTAATATATTGAAACTTTATATATTCAGATACTTATCTCGAAAAGTATTGTGTACAACACTTGGTGGAAACACTTGCGAAGTCCTTACTATCACTTCGAATTCGTTGTAAAGGAGGGCTTTTCGAAAAGGAGTAGTGTTTTTAGCCAGATAACATCCTGGAGAACCTCAAGGATCCTATGTTATGCAAGGCATAATAGACTTTCTAACCTCCAATAATCCTTAAGCAGAGTATTTGAGGCAGAATTGCATATTCAAAATATTCCCAATGATGAATTCGGATGGAGTGGTGAATGGAAATTATAGATGTGGTCTTGAAGGGAGTGATCTAAATAGAAGATGGAAGAAGCCCAACAAATATTTGCATCCGAGTGTTTATTATGCTAAAAAATATGTTAAAGGATTTAGTAAGGAGAGACAGATATTACTGGTGGTTGATTTGCATGGTCATTCAAGAAAGTAATGAGGGTTTATATTTTAGACAATCATCATTTGTATATGGTTGTGCTTACTCATCTTAAGTCAAGACTATTGAAAGGGTGTTTGCGCTTTTGATGTCAAAAGTAAATCCTTTCATGGATTATTCCTCTTGCACATTCAGGGTTGAGAGTGCCAAGGATAAAACAGCCAGGATTTAGTTGTGGAGAGAACTCAAAATCAATTGGGTTTATACTTATGAATGCAGTTTCTATGGTCAATAGAAAAGACATTACTAAATAAAGGATTATTTGAATTGTGGTGTGAGTATATGCAATGCCTTGTCCCAAATAGTTAAAGATACTACTAAAGAGTTCACGAATTAAGCTAATTAGCCAGATATTCAGTAGTAGATGTTGGAAGAATTGGGCAAGATGCCTCAGACTGATGACCTAGACATAGGATCAGATTCGAGTCAATCGGAGGCAGAATTATCAGATGATGAATTGGTTCAATTGTTTCAACCTAAGACCTATTCAATCAAATAGAAAAATCGATCAAAACAACAGGAAACTAATAATAAGAAGAAATTTTAATAGCCCAATAGTAATTTAAAATCAACAATAGCCTCACAAAAAGCGTCAATCTTGTAGGAGTCCCCTTCTAAGAATTCAGACCAAAAGCCGCCTATGAGTAGCCAAAAGCCTAAGAACCCTTTGTATAGAATCCAAGCTCCTTAGAGAGTGAGACAGCCGGATTAAGTCAAATAAGTAGAGCCTCCCCTTATGGTTGACAAATCGGTATAGACTGATGATTGGATGTATCGTTAATGGCTGATTCAGATGGGGAAGTTAAAGAAGTAGCAAGAGTTCCAGAGCATTACACCAACTCGAAATATTTACAAGTCATCATCTCAATCAGTGACTAGATTTGTTGTCAAGAATTCCACAATGAAGAATGACAGAGGCCGAGTTGATTCCATTTCCCTCATGGCGTCTGGTTTGCAAAATAAATTAAGTAATATGTAATTAACAAATAAGTTTCTTCTAGCCGATAGCGCTAAATGATGAGATACTCTGGTAGTAATTTTATGTCTTGAAATTGTTATTTATTAAATGATAATCCAAGTCTATCTTCCTAAAAATCTTGAGACACTATTTTCTGTCAATTTCTTATTAATTGTTTAATATAGAATACATAGTATTTTTAAATTCAATTTATTATACAATTTTATTAATAACAATTTACAAAATATAAATGACAGATCGTCTTTTAGACTTCTCTATTTCCTAAGATTCAATTACGTTAATTAACACAAGAAATAAGCATTACAATTATATCATGGGTAGCATAATACTCAATTCAATCACCCTCTTAGCATTTAGCGTAGTATAGGGATACATATTAAGGAGTCATTAAGATTGGGATTCTATTGCAGTGTTGATTTTTGCATGTTTTTATAATCTTCATTTTAGGCCTTACAATAATTTTAGAAGGACTTAGTTTGCTACAAGTATTCCACATGCAGACATAAAAATTAGTAATAACTACTTCTGTGTAAGTATTATAATGAAAATTATTTTAGAATAATTGTGAATGAGACTTTTATCTTAGCCATATCAATATTTTAGACTACTACTGAATAATTTGAACAGGATTCCAAGTTTGAAGTTCTTGTTTAAGTTGTTGCAATAATCTTATTTTTTGTGATAGCCATAATCAAATTAATTTTGGTTATCCAATTACGAAAAGTGTTAGAGTTAACTAGAGCAACCAATTAAATTAAAGAAGGCATGAGAAGCAAGTAAGCATATGAAAACTTCTCTAAAACCTTAAAATGAACAATTATCACATTTTTTTTATTTTCTTCAACAAAAAATGTAAATATCAATTCTGTATTTTATTAATAATATATCATTCCAAATGAGCCCATAAATCTTCAAGATATGGCAATTGTCTTCCCCACATGAAAGAACAATGTCCAGCATCGTAGAATTTAAGTTCCTTATTTGGAGCATTTACTAAAGCTGAGAATAGGTGATTCACATCTTTAGGAGCAGCCAACAAGTCATCATATCCTGCAATGTAGAATATTCTAATCTATAAAACTCAAGAGTTACTTGACATCAATATTTGATAAATCATACAAGGGAGCCTTCTTGGTGCCATATTTCTTCAAGTTCTCCTTGTCTCCATAATCATATCTCTTGAATTCTCCAGTTCTAGTAAATTATTACCAATGCTTAAGATTCTTAACACTAGTACCAGCTGGAGAATGTCCGGCTAGAACATCGTAACGATCATAGTTATCTAATACTGGATCTGCTGAAACAAATGATCCAATCAAATCTCCACACAGGTTCTCCATGAGTCCACAAACTACTCTACCTACTTCAGATGTGAGGAATGAATCTCCAGGCATGAATTCATGTAATCCAAATGTTGCCAAAACTTCCAAGAAATTGGTGTCAAGTAGACGAACTAAAGGAGAATACTTGGTAGTCACCCAAGCAACAGGTCCCATTCCAATGAATTATATTAGATTGTCTCTGACAATACTTTATTTGAAGAGAGATAAATGAATGTGCATTTAAGCCGTTCCTTAAGAATGTCCGATGTATTGAATTTTTTGACCAGTCTTATTGACTATGTATTTAAATCCTGCTGGAAGATCATAGATAGCGAAATCTTCTAATGTGAAATCCCAGAATGACCAAAAGAAGGGATTCTTTTTGACGTGAGCTCTGCCATGTTTGTTTCCTCTGTTATTTCCTAAGATAAAAGATAAATCTAAAAAGTACCAAGCCATACATCATAACCTTTATTGGCGATCAAAAAGGCAGGTGCCTTGTCTTCATCGTTAATAATGAATGTATCACTACTATCTAAGAGTCCATGTTGAAGAAGAACGACCTTTTTGCCTGATACCATTTTTGTTCCTTTTGCTTAGACTCTGAAATAGGTAAGAAGATAGCCATCCTCTGTTTAGATAACATGCTCCTCTACAGGGTAATTGAAGTATTTGCAATACTTAACAAAGTCCAAATTACCTTCAGGATGTATTGTGCTTAATGCAAGATACGGTAGCAATAATAAAATAATCTTCATTAATAATATTATTCAATTGCGTTCCCTCACCAAGTAATCTTTAATAAGTTCATTCATTTTCAAGAAAAGCAAGATCACATCCCAATAGATGATCACACTTCCTGACACTTCATCGGCTTAATTGACATCGTATTGATCTCCTGAACTAGAAAATTCAAATGATATTTTTACTTAACATTTGTGTAAGTGTCATAGATAAGAAGGAATGCCAAAAGGAAAGCAAAGAGTGAAACACTAGATAACCAAAAGAGGGAAACCTCAGTGAAGATTGTGAAGATTTCAAAAATGAGGAGGATGCTAGCTGATATAAATAGTATTGAGCCCTAATAGGTGAGTCTTCTTTTGACTGTCAATGAATACATAAACAAGAAAAACACCATGCCTATATAGTAATTCTGAATTGACTACTTGCAAGACTGCTGAAAACTAAAAGACCAATAACTGAGTCTCCCAAAGCCACCAATGTACCGCAGACGACTGAAACAGAGAGAGTGAAGGTGACAAACACAACCCAATTCCAGGGGACTACTGCAACATCCTTTCTGAATATCAATGCCAATGTAGCAGTGCCTATTGAAATGAAGAGACAAAGCCAAAATAGCCATGGCTTACCTTCTAAGTAGGAATCGAGAGAAGGTGAAGCATATACCCAATATATGAATAATGCTAGCGATTTAATTCAAATAGTGTACATATAACGATCATTTGGATTAAGAGGTATTAGTATAATTTCCTTGAATACACCACTCTTGAATTGAATTGGTTTTCAAAATTACATACTTCCCCCACCACATTCTATTACATTTGGGATGTCTTCCCAGCCTGCTCGAATTGACTTTGAAACATATTAAATTATATATATTTATGTAATGTATCAATTTTTTTTGTAAACAATGTAACTACTCCTAAATATGAACAGAATCTCTTCATCATTGATGCGCAGCACTTTATTAGGAGTATCGCAATTGAACACTCTTCTCTTCTTGTTTATCAAATCGTACAGCACAACCTTCTCACCAATCAACACCACTTAGGGAGTGTCATTCAGGAGATCCATAGAAACCATCTTAGAAACATTGAAGTCAATTTCATAAGTAGATTTGATCTATCCAAATTCAACATCCCATATATTGAGAGTCTAAGATGTCAGTGTGATTAAATAATTGGCATTTTGTGAAGAGCACCAACAAAATTACAAAATTTTCTGATCATCAGTTATTTCGAACACATACTCATCATTTTACAATGTCCATATCTTTATGACATTTAAGGTACTTGAGAACGAAGCTAATAGGGTTTTCCTTTTGTTGAATTCGATCAAAGTGGTCTCTAATTCTGCTTTTAATTATAATTGTGGTTTGTCAATATCAATCTGCATTAAATTTATGTAATAATTAAGGTCCATAACGATGAAGTGATCAAAATGTCTCCACTCAAAATGAATCACATTTTCTAGGTACTTCAAAGTTTGGCATTTGTATATGTCCACTATCTAAAAATATCTATTTATATATATACTTCGACATCCTTCTCAAAAATGAGAGCAACCAAATTCGGCCAATTGAGGTTCCAATGGAAGTCAATTAATTTGCTTGCATTTTTGATGTTGAACATTTTAATGATTTGAATTGTAGTGTCTATCACTTTTGCAGCGCCATTTTCATATACTATTAACATATTGTTGCCGCTCGATCTATCAAACTTCATTAATTTGACTCTGGAAAAGCATTCACCTACAACTGTTGGCATTATTTGTATGATTTAATGGTTTTGGATCAATTTAATGCAATTGAGTTGACATATTGCCAAAATGTTTTTTTGTGCATTCCAATCACTCAACAAGATCTCGTCCTATAATTGTATTATGTCCTATTATAATTCCACATTCAAATCCATTGTTTGACCATTGCGAGACACAAATTCTTGACTCCTCATCAATGCATTCTGAATCATTAATTCACGATCTCGTCTCTCCTACTTCTCAGCCTACTGCTTTTTCTCTGTGAATTAACAAACATGCTTTTGTATTAGTAATTGGGGCACTTTGCATTCATAATATTAATTGATCTGAATATGGTCTTGCAATTGCTAAAATAACAAAGCCTTCTCTAATAAATTGATCAGTTGACCTGGTTTAACATCATCACGATAAAGTTGCTAATCTATTTTCACTTCATTAATCAAAGCAAAAGCACTGTGCGAATAACCTTGTTCCAAAAAGTAGGTATAAATTAGATAATTAAGTTCTTCTGTCTTAATTACAATCATTAATAAATAAAATAAAATTCATTTTTTCTTTGCAATCTCATGTAATATCTCTCTTCTCGTTACTGGATTCTCCCTATCATAATCAGTATTAAAGTATTCCTCAGCCTCATAATAAGTTTAGACTTCATCCTTCTATTCAAGTGGAAATAACACACTAGAAATGTCCTCCATTGGCAGTAAAATGTACACAATTCCAATTATGATTATAATAAAGTCTTACCACTTGACTTCCCCAAACAAGATACTTGAAACCACAGTATTGCCAATCCCTGTGAATATTATAATCAACTCCAACATCTCTATCATCTCTATACTCAGATGCTTTGATAACGATTCCTTGATTGTCCTTCTCCTCAGAACATTATACTTATCAACAAAATAGTACAATGTTAAACCCATAATACTGAATAATATGCCTAAAGGTATGATATCTCCATAAAAAAATGTGAACCACATTGTCTTCATTATGTCGCCATATCTTTTGGCCTAAGAATAATCCGGCATTTCCATTATTTCATTTGCCTCTTATTAAGTCAATACACAATTCTTTACATTCTTCTATTATTTCTGCCTTTGATAATCCTTCTAGATACTCCAAGGATCCACAAACCAAACAATAGGAGGAATGAATGCATTAAGCAAGAACACATTAGATTCATTATAAATAAAACCACCTTTGCCAATTACATTCCCTGTCAAATAGAAGTCAATCACCAATGATATTAAAGCAGTATTAATAAATAAAGCAACTGACTGTTTTCTAGCAAAACTGATATTGAATTTAGTCTTATTTGATATTTTCTCCAAATCAACTATCAAATGATACACCTTTCCAATAACAAACTTATTAAAAAACACCACAGTCCAAGAAATAGACTAACTAGTTAAAAAGGCTATAGTCTAAGTCAATGAGTCCTTAATACCCTTTTTCTCTTACTCTTCCACTTACTCATTCATTCTCTCTGCCAACTCACTCAAAAACCATATCAAAAAGAAACAACCAGCCATAAAACTTATAGATATCGACCATGCAATAACACGTGCCTTCACCTTCTATCCAGTTTAGATATGGATGAATTCCCAATCAACATCATTAGGTTCTGGTGCTTCCTCTACATATAGTTTATGTCCCTCAAAAATCAAACCCTTTTCTTTAACATCCCCTGTCAACCCATTATTAAAGAACGCCTTGATTCTCTCCCATGATGTATGAGGATTATGTTACAACACCAACTACTTCATTTCTTCAGTCAAAAAACTTATAAAAGCTATTCCTGCAAATTTTTCTTTATTAATGAAAAGCTCGTGTTCTTTCTAATGGATCTTTTATTCCAAAGACTCTAATTTTTCATCCAACTGTTTGACTTTGAAATCTGTGAAATTCATCCCATTCTCCAATAAATACTCCTATTTCTCTCTTATCATTTCCTTTAAAGATTCCTCCAATTCTATTACCTCATCTAAATTATACACCAATACAATCTTAGTTACCGATAATTCCCTTCCATCTGCAGCATAATTCTAAAATATATTCTTCAACACCTCCTTGTAATCCTGATTCAAATTTGGAATATTCTTAACGCAAATAGTATAATCTGATGGAGTCAGCTAAGATTCATCGACCTCGATATCTATGCTTCTTTGTGCCTTCCTGAAGAACAGAAATGAAACCATATTGGCGAATACAACAACAAGAGATAAGTTAGATTATAAATTTCTAATATCCTCTCTATCATATACATTTGCCAAACTCACAAAATGCCACAATGACCCACCACATATTTAATTATCCGATTTATGTTTATGATGATGCTGCAAGTTCAAATGATCATGAATAGAGTGGTGTGCTTGCTCCTATACTTTTATTTTTTCTTAATTATAACAATAATCCCCCATCAAATCTGTAGCCAAACAAAACATCCCTTTCAATAACCAAAATTCTACTAAGATGAATATACAGTATTTTATAAACATATAAAACAATGGAAATCCAGATCCCAAGAATTTCATCTCTAATGGATCGCAATCATATTCTAAATCAGTTCTCTCTATAGAATACCCACAACAAGGGCATGTTGATTAATACTCAACCTCCAATTCTCTTGCCACCCTTCTTGCTTTAGCATGATTCTCTGCCAAGACCCAATCACAAGGTATAACCAAAGGATTATAGTGATGAGATGCATGACTCTTATGATGTACTTTTTGACCCCCTTTTTCACTTTTACTTTTTTAGTGTTCTGACAAAGCTCTACTTGGCCTTTGAGATTCTTGTTAGTGAAATGAATTTTGAATAAAACGACTTGCCATTTCAAAAATTAACTTATTATATAATATAAAATATACTAATCCACTTTAATTCTAATTATTCTAACAATTTTCATTGTATCAAAGTTCCAATCAATTATGCAAATTCTAGTTGAAGACAACACAAGTATATTATAAAATTACACAGAACAAATAAATTTAATTTATTTAATTTTGAAGTTTTAAATTTCTCATTAATGAATAATTGATATCAAATTTACAAATAATTTATTATAACCTTATTATAAACATTCAATATAATAATTTTTACAAAGGATATTTGAAATGATTACATTTTTTATATATAATATTTTTTGTCTTTTATTTAACATCTCTGAATTTGCACTACTTAGTAATTATTTTTTCAATTTGATTTAAAATGAATCAATTTTATTAAATAATCAATTTACATTTATGATTACCTTAGAATAATAAAATAGTTAATTAATTATTGGGTCCATATGACCTATTATAGTTATTTTAATGCTTTATAAATTTCATGATAGGTTTTGACATATAATTAACAACCAACATCATAAATGTAATAAAAAAGGACCTGACCTAAAGAAATACCCAATCAAATTTATATGATAGAAAAATATATTCAATTTATGCGAAACCTCTTATCAATAAGTTATTATTCTTCAAGAAGTATAAATGTTTTTGAATCAAAAGAATCTATTAATCAATAATAATTTTATTTAAATATCTTGAATCATTTAATTTTTTGTTGATTTTCTTTTATAAGTTATAGTCCATCTTATATATATTCATTAATGTCTTGATCATTATCAAAAAAATCAAAAATATCCGATATTGTAAATTAAGAAGGCTCAATAAGCATTCCTAATTTATAAAATAAGATATCTACCTACGATATGTCTTGCAACATCTTTGTCCTGAACCTTATCATAAACTTTATAAAATAATAAGTTCCCCAATATGTGTCTTTAATCAGAAATAGTTAGTTTTGAGAAATCACTCATCTAATCCTTTATTATTTCAATTGCATAATATTTTTTTATTAATGTGAAGAAATTGTCTATAGGTTCTTTATTAAGAGGTTGGCTTAAACTTTATGATTTTTAAGGTTAGAAAAATGGTGATTGATGTATTTAAATCATCATAGGCTTATAAATCAACCGCTATTTTTTTTTTTTAACTTATTGATATTCCTATCTCAAATTCTTTCCTAAGAATATACTTATTTTTATTATTCCATTTTTAAAAATATGATTTACACTTTAAGAAATTCTTCTATCGTATATTTCAGATAATGCACGTTTGGCGTCATGAATTGTTTAATACATAACAATACAGTTTTAAAGTTGTGAATACGGTTTTGTGCTTTACTTCATCGTAACAGAAATAACGTTTCCAAATTATGATAAAAATGCTTAAATATCATCTTTGTGTAAATTGCCATTGATATTTTATATGTAGAGTTATCTTTCATCTATGCTTTGCGATTTGTCATACTTTAAGTTATAAAAGAAGTTATCACTCACTCCACTGAACATATCAAATACATTATTGGCAAGATTTTCATAGATGGAGACTATTTCTTATAAGGAGAGTTTCAATTCAGAAAAACTAGCTTATGTAATATCACATTGTTGAATAAGTTGAATTACATAAGAAATACTCGATTGTACACATGGATGAGTTCTTTAATCATCGCATATTACACACTGAGCTTTTGCCTAGTCAGAGAGTTCAAACTTTATCATCGCCCAAGGTTATCTAGTGTTCTTATCTATTTTCACAAAACAACTTTAGATTTGAATATTTTGTTATTTTAGAAAGTAATCTTTTATAACCATTTACCATCCATACTCTATTGCAGCAATAGTTTTATCTTGTTATATAATATTTTGAGGGAGAGGATTTGAAAATCCTCTTAAGAACAATTCATTTGATTCTTAAGCTCTCTCTGATTAGGACTTGAATAATTCAAAGTGTATTTCATTACCTTAATAAATAAAGGAGTTTTAATTTATTTATTCTAGGAATAGTTGAGCATCATCCTTCTTTTAAAATTAGACATATCCATAACTAGAGAATACTTGAATTAGCCTTACTTTAACTAATTTCCTTAGGCGTCCTTGCGAACTTCAATTGAAAGGATGTTACCATATTTAGATAATTCTTATTCTAGTTCTTGTACATTTACCTACTTCGGAAGATTCCTCATGTATATATTAGCTTCTTTCTCATTATCATTAAGGTTAAAATATGGTTTAACTTTGATTATATTATTGATTAGTTTTTAATTGTTTAAAGTTTATCTTGCTTTTTCAGCTGATGCTGCATCTGAAAATGTGATCAAGGCCTATCCACATGGAATATTTTTATGTTTATCCTTCTTCAATTTGATAATACTTATGTCTCCGAATTGCTTGAATTAGTGAAATAAAAAGTCCTCTGTAATAGCCTTATTAAATTAACATAATTTACGTTATCCAAATTCTCTATAAAAATGATGTTTTTTTATTATTCAGTTGTTAAATGTTTCTGATTAGGTAAATCTTTTTGACCAATTTTCATATAATTATAATTATAAATAAAAAAATTTATGAGTAGAGCATATTATGATTCTAAAATAAGTTTCTTTTGAATTTTGAAAGCCTAAAATTGCATCCACTTAAGATTTTCATATCAATTACTTAACAATTGATTTAAGAATCAATGTATTTAATAAGTTTTTTTTTTCTTAAGAAACAAAGATAAATACTAAAATACTTAAATAATTAATTACTCTCTTTATAGTTTATAGGATTTCTTTCCTCAATTTTATATTATGAATTCATAAACCAGTTTTGGATTCATAAACTAGGCAAGATTCCTCAGGGAATGAAATAGCTTGGACTGAGCAAATGAATATAACAACAAAAATCATATGATTATAAAAATTTATGCTTTTTATAATTTAGTGCTATGCTAAAGAATAAAATGAAGAAAAATTAATATATTATGGATTTATATTAAAGAAATTATTAATACATTATTTCCAAATTTAAATGAAATGCTATAAAAATGACAAGGGAAATGAGCAAATGAAACATTAATATCAAATAATAAGTTATCAAACCTCTGAATCATAAATTGAATTATTTATGCATTAAAGAATTAAGAGATTGAATTATTAAGCAAATAAACAATTCTTTGAATATATTATTAAATATTATTGGATTCAACCTTTTTTATCTAAATTTTCAAATTTACACCAGGATGATCCTGTTTCAATTGATTCTAACTAAACGATCAATAAATTAAATACTTCATCAGATATTTCTTCTTCAGTATGTCCACTTCTTAATACTGAGGTCCAAAAATTTAACCATTCTTCTTCAGAGATAGTACCACTATTATCTGTGTCAACTGATTTGAATAGCTCTTCAGTATTAAGCTTTGCAAAATTGCTCTTCCTGAAGGCTTAGTTTAATAATGTTACCAATATTTGATTGTTTCTGTTTTCTCTATCGATTTTGAACCATCAACATCAAATTTGGCAAATAGCTTAAGGACTCTTTCTCTCATTTATGGAGATAACTAATATATTAATTGACTTGTACTTCTTTTCCTTAGGTGTTACCCATTTAATATGCACGATATTTTTATTATTAATAATATTTTAGTCCTAATCAAACCGGATAAATTATCCTGATCTTCTATATAATTGAGCAATAATATACATAAAAATAAATAATAGCCAAAGTTATGAATTATGTATGCTTTGAGATAATCTAATAGATGGGTTTAAATAAGTAATCATCTATTCCATAAGGTATTGCTTTTAGGTTTTCCTCTTATATGAGGACGTCGAGCAACCAATTTTTTGTGTAGATTTTAGTGCTTATTATTAGTTTTATAGATTAAATTCTATCCATATTTGACAAGCTATTAAAGTTTAGATCTCATCTATCACAAACTTTTTATCTATTTCATTTTAACCATCTAATTAAATGATATCAATTAAGAAATCAATCGTATTTGATAGAAGGGCTGTTTTCATGAGTTTAAATACTATTTAATTTTTAAATTTTACATCTCCTATAAATATTATCAATTCATAAAACTACTGTTGTAAGTAGTATTATTAGGACTAATTTTAAATATTTAGAAGAATCTCTTATTTGGTTGAATATCGTTTTTAATCTCTTTAGTTAGTTAAGAGGGATAATTTTAGAATCATTTATTTATTTTTATTCTAAGATAATGAAAAATATCTGTCAAATATATCTAAAAAACCCAACTTATTACACTCAGTAATCTTTAATTATGTTGAAAATATGGAAGCATTCCTAAAAAGAAATAGTGGAAAAATGAAATATTATTATCTCCAAATTTATGGCGTTGGAGCTATAATTTAAATTGATTTTGAAAGATGATATAATTTGAATGATTATTAATTAACCTCAGTATTAAGATTTAAAGTAAAAGATGGAGCCTATTACCAAAATTAATAGAGCTACATTTATTGATTCTTAATTGATCATTACTACACATAATTAATATCTTTATCATTGTATTTCATCTGCAATCTAAAATGCTTACATCTCCAATTTGAATGTATGAATATACAATAATTGATGTCAATTACTATTCAGATCTTAATATCGAAGGTTAGAATTCAAGATAAGTACTTTCATAAGAGAATTATAAAAAACTTATGTAACATACTGTAAGAAAAATATAGTTTCTTCTAATTCCAATAAACAAGATGAATAAAAGAACCTAAAGAATTATCATTACACATATAGGATAATCATCAGAAGTAAGTGAAAATTAGATTTGAATTACGATTTATGTAGCAATCTTAAAATAGAAGCTCTATAATTTTATAATAAACTTATAAATATAGTAAGTTTCAATCTTCTACTTAGATCAGAAACTACATTCTATTTATTTTGAAACCTAAATTAATAATTGGTTATATTTCAACTTTTGACATCTTACTCTATTGAATGATCAAAATTGAATCTCTATTTTAGGTATCAATATATGTATATTTATATACCTTAAATTAATTAAATTTATAAACTTTAATCCTAATTTTTAGTCAGATCTTAAGATAGTTGTGTCTATAATTTATATTGATTCTCGAAATTTGTTAGATTTGCGAGTATCAAAAAGAATTAAATAAAAATGGAATAAAGCAATACATCTCCCGCTGATTAAATACGATTACTTTTGATTGTAATGTATTGCTTATATAATATTAAGACAAGAATATAGATGTGATTCAATTTATATATAATTAAGGTATTTCCAAACAGGATGTATTAGATTTTATCATACTACCATTATTTTTTAATTAATTCATCAATTTCCAAAGTTCAGTTATTTTATGGGATAAAAGAATATTAGATAACTTAAAACTTGATTAATTGAACTTGATTTAAAATTAGAAAGGTAGTATTTCATTTTTAAAGCATTTACTTCAATATTTGAGTAAGGGAAGTGTAATCAAAGCGGTTATTTCGGTGTTATTTAAGATTCATTCAGATTGATGGAATTGTATAATCTCTAAGAGTTCTGATTAGAATAATATTAATAAAAAATAAAATCTAACGTATATGAGTTAGACAGAACAATAAGTATTGAATTATGATAGCTAATATCTGGATGTGTTTGGTTGCATGCATAACACAAGGATCGCATATTCTGGGAAGTTGATTTGTTAACAATGTGGCATATTTATTAGCAATGTAAATTATTCGATTAAAGAGTCAAGTCATAGGCAAGAGTGTACAAGACTATCAAAATGAGATACAATGCATTTTTCAATCCGATAAACATATTGAATAATGCATTGGCTCCTCAGATAATTTAAAAGCATCAAATAAATCGATAACCAGTTATTGATTTCATTGAATAAGCATCAGAGAGATTGAATCTGAGTGCTAACACATAATTTTTGGCCATTACATACTTAGATCACTATTTCAATAAGCAGGGAGTAAATGAGGAACAAATATATTTATATGCTGCAACTGCTTTGATGTTGGCAGCCAAAGCCTAGGAACTAGATGAGAAGATTCCTTTCATAAGTAAATTGAAGAGGTACTCATCAATGACATCCCATCCAGAAATAAACAACTATACAACTCAAGATTTCAGAAATGCAGAGAAGAGTATAATACAATCACTTGATTGGAAACTGCAAAGAATCACTTTGTTAGATCGCATAGAAACATTGCTCTCTTTTGGAGTAATTGACGACGATGACAGTCTTGCATAACCATCGGCATCCCAATAGAAGGAGAACAAAGAATAATAATAAGTCCATATTAAGTTAAAAGATCTAAATGAGACTCAGATTTGTAATTATGTCAAAGAAGTAGAAAATAAATACGTAGAGACTGCTTTCACAGTACTTAGGGGTATGATATATACATGTTATATTCAGATGATTCAATTTACTTCTCAAATGACTAATCGATTTTGGCCTTATCCTGCGTGGCTTACTTAAGAAAGAAGGCTGGATTATTGAATATCTGGTCCTAATAATTATATGCTTTAACTGGAGAATCAGCCTAGAAAATATCGTCAACTGTTTCATAAATACTGACTCTTACACCCAGGAGCAAGGTTACCAATGTCTCTAAACCTTTGGTCACTGCTTAGTCTAGTTCGTATTTATAAAACTTTTAGAATCCTTCTTCTTAAATAAAGAATTCGTAAGCCAATAATAGGCAATACTTGTTCGAGACTAATAAGCAATCAACTGGAGACATTTTCCAATAATACAATACAACTAAAGCTTCAGTGAAGGTTCCTCTATTCTAATCTCAATCGACTATGTAATTGTCCAAGAATGACATAATGAAACCACATCAATTAAATTAAAGCAAATACACAAGTAGGAATACAAATTTTACCACAAATACTACTACTACCAATTATACTTATTTGAATGACCAAATTTTCCATCCGAATTCCTACATTAAACATGTAGAAATGGATAAAAAGTATGAATAAGTTCATAAGGTGAGTGAAACAAAATTTAGAACCAAATTGTTCAATCAATGAAATCTAATACATTTATTAAAATACTATTTGGTTAATTAAATAATAACTTTATTTTTCATTTCATATGTTAAACATAGATCTAATAGCCTCATCAATAAATTTATATAGATATATGTATTGCTCTGAAGTATGGACCATTCCCCATCTTTGTTCTCTCAATCGGCGAACAATTCCAAAGATAGAGATTCTGTAAAGTTCAGAATTCTCTTCAAGTTCTAGTCCATATTAACTAAATAAATACTTGACTTGTCCTCTCCGATATGTGATTTGTAGGCTCTTAATAGGATCATCAAATTAGCCAAGGCAATTAATGTACCTGTACGACCTACTCCAGCACTATAAAATCAAAGATAGAATAACCTGCAATGAAAAACTACTTTTTAATCTGAGAGCAGTTTCTCATTAATCATATTCAAGAGTTCTCTCATGACTTCAAAGTCACTTGGCGAAGGTACTCCTTGATCTGGCCACCCACACCATTAAATTTGAATAACTGTCTTCTCTTCCAATTCTTGGGTAACTTTAACAACTCTTTTGATGATGTTATTTCCCAAATCATCTTAACTAAGTAAGTTAACTTGAACGTTTCCGCATAGCATGGATTCTCCAACATTCTTTGGCCAATATTACTCGCATTAAGCCTAAATGATAATAAGGTGAAATTACTCTTTGGTTCTCTCTTAGATTACAGAGCATCATAATCATGGTCATGTCTTCTTAAATCACCATTCTCCAGAAATGTGAAAAGGTTTGAGTCAAGGGACCCTGGGTGGCGATAATCATTTTCTCTTTACCATTAATAAGCTAATCGAGATATGAATGTGGAGGGATACATTGATAAAATTGGCGTTAATATAGGTGTCCTTGAGATTCTCTTCGTCTTCGGCCTCCTATTTGAGTTTGACAATAGAATGTTTGACTATTGATTAAATTTTATTTACATGGTATGATATTGTTATACCTATTCAATTTCTAGATGTCGGGATTAAAATCATGCAAGTTTTCATTGTGATATTAGGTTTCTGTCAATCTGCGTAACAACTTCTTAGAAACTTAAACATACTCTGAATTCCATCTCTAAATCTCTTTTTTGTATTTCGGAATTGAAATGTACTATTGGTATTCCCTTCTCAATCGCCACCAAATCTGGGTTGCCCTTTAACCATTCATAAGAATAATCGTTGTTGGTTTCTTTGCCCTCAACCAAGTAACCTTGCATTATTTTTATTTATTAAATTTCTTCCAATGAGACCAGGGGAAATTTTTGAAAAGTACATCAGTCAAGCCCCAGATTTCGTGCCACAAAAGAATCAGTCGTACACTCTTTAGGAGGATCTCAAAATCATGCTGGCCCTCAAAGACATCAGCATAGTTCAGTCTAAGAATTTCAGGGACATTGAGGAAAGCCAAGTAGTCAAAAGAACTTACAATTCAATCAAAAATAGGTTGTTTAAATCACTTAACTTAGATATATGGATTATCTCCAATATCTAACCCAAGAGAATATGGATCAAATTGCTTAACATTTAAATGAGCATGGATTGGTGGGATATTTGTTATTTAGCAATACGCAGCCCAGAGAATTGTTGAAGGTGGTTAATTTGGATCCCAAAATCATGGACAAGGAAAAAAAGAAGTTGGAAGAAGAACTCGACATCAATAAGTAGCAAAAGGTGAAAGTTGAACACAAAAAACAATTGGATCCTACCTTCCCCAGAAACGATTTCGATAAATTCACTATCGAGGACATGGATCAAGTTCTGAATCTCTTGTCCAATTACAAGGGGGTTCCCAAAGCCTATTTGGTTGAAAGACTGCATTAGTTGAGTGGGAGTCTGGAAGACCTGGATGGGTTTTTGAAGACCAATGATGACACCTATTGCTTTTTGGAGGAGGAGGATCACCTATTGAGGGAGGATCAGAACAAGGAGAGTCCAGCCATAAGGGTTTTGATTAGGAAGAAGGGCATTTCAAGAGTTTAAAGAAGATTAAAATACTTGGGCAATTGATTATTAAAATTATAAAGATAAAATATTGTCATTTAAATTTTAAATTTATTAATAAGGTGGCATTTCATTTTATGTATATTTTCTAATAAATTAACAACAATAATTGCTAACCAATTATAATTTATATAAATTAAAATATGCAATAAAAGCGAAATCAGGAATAATTGAGAAATGCCTTATAATAACAACTGTTCCCAAAGATGCAGAAGAAAATCGAATACTCGAAAGTGAAACCAAAAAGGTATACGTCTATTTATAAATGAACAAGGGCAATTAGAATTGAGGATGCCAACAATAGACTTCCTTAGACATTTCCTCAAATCGAATCGATGGAGATAGACTTCCAAGCAAAATATAGATTGGGAGAGAGAATAGGGTAGGGAGCACACGGCGTGGTGAAATAAGCAATTAAGGAAGATACAGGGGAGATTGTGGCAGTCAAGATTTCTAGTAGTGGAGATCCTGAGTTGGTGAAGACTTTTACTGAAGCCTACAAAAATGCAAGAATGCTCAACCATTAATACATAATTAAAGTGTATGAATGCTACATCGATGAACAATCAGAAGCTCTATTTTTAGTGATGGAGTACTCAAATCTACGCTCATTGGAAGAAGTAATGCGTCATACCAAATTAACGTATTTGTATAAACGTCAATTAGCGAAGAATAGACCAAGATTCTCATCAGACACATACTTCTGGCATTGTAACATATCCACGAAAGAGGAGTCGCTCATAGAGATCTCAAACCAGATAACATTTTGATCGATCAAAATTCATTAGATATTAAAATTATAGATTTTGGAGTTAGTAGAAGATTTAAGAAATATAATGGCAGAGAATTCATTGATGTAGACATGTGGACCAGAACTGGAAATGTATACTATACAGCTCCTGAAATTCTCATAGGAGGTGGGTACAATGAGAAAGTTGATCTATGGTCCTTGGGAGTATGTTTATTTCGTATCCTCTCTGGAAATCTTCCCTTCTTTAAGGATAGTGTCTTGGGCACCACTAAGATGATATTAAAAGGGAAATTTGAGTTGGATCATAGCGTATCACACTTGGCACGAGATTTCATAACGAGACTTTTAAACCCTAATCCCCTATAGAGATTATCTGCCTAATGTATATTTAGAGATTCACATCTTAGTGGCCTTGCAGCATCCTTGGTTGTATTGTCAAAACTCTGAACGATTATCTCTCGAGAGTTCTTAACATCCTAAATCTAGTTACAGAACTAATGATGATATTAAGGACTTTAATTAATTTGAAAAGAAGAATTCCTATTACAGTAGAAATTTGCATATGAGAAGTAATACAATGTCTAAGAGTCCGATTGTGCAACATGATCGCCAAATATCGCCTAAATCTCCTCTTGAAATTTTGCAAAATGATATTGATGGAGAGATTCAATAATCCCCCTTGATTAAATTGAAAAAAATTTAACATTAAATGAACAAAGAAATCAATATTATAAGGAGAAGCCAGCAAAATGAATTGGGGTTTTTTAGGTTCAGAATGCCAAACCAATTTGGAAATCGAAATCTTCTACAAGATTATTAATGATTTTGTAACTCTTCAAAATTAAAATATATGAAAATATATTCTGCCAACTTTATAAAATATTAAATCCAAACCAAATTTCTAACATATTTATATACATTGAACTGATGAAGATGCCAGAATAGAAGGAGAAGGCTTTGATCTAAGAAATTTTAACACTTTTACCATAAAGTATTGGTGTTACTTAAATTAAGCAGCACAAAATAAATAATGTTAAAAATTAGTACATTTAATTTATCGATTGTAGATTCTAAGTTTCATATCTCTACCAGAGTTCCCAAAGAATACCAATTAATCAAGCATTTGTATTTTAGGAAGTCTCCAACAAATTAAAAAAGTTTTCCATGGATAAAAAAGTCTCCAATTATTTGATTGAATCCCTACATCCATACTATGAGAAAGATGACAGCTTCATAGGTTTTCCTAATCTAACACTTTATGAAGACGGAGAATTTAAGTCAAATCAAAAGCTAGAAGTCACAAATGATATTCTTAATGTCATGATTTTTTGGGTATAAGTTTGATAATATAGTAGTCAATAAATAATTGCTAAAGCGTGTAATTGATGAAAGATTTGAATACTTAAATCATGAACGAATTGAGGGAAGCTAGAGTGCTATCAATCAATATAGACTCCGATTAAGAAGCTTGGTCGCAATTTATTTTAGAATTGGAAAACTATAATAGTTATCATTTCAACCCTGCTCACATTGCTTTTGATTTGCAAATGAAGACATTGCGATTTACTAGATTTCCACATGTGGTCATTCTGGACAAGGAATAAAAGGTTATTGTAGTGGAAAACACTAGTCTTAAAAACATTTAAGACATATTATAATAATAGTCAAACTCTTAAAGCAATTCTTAGACTATTGATCAGTCATTTCAACAATTAGAATAATAAAATTAAATTACTTTATAGTATTCCAAGGAAGATTATAAAGAAATGAAAGAGAAAATTCAAACTTAAGTTATGGAGATGGTGAATGCTTTTTTTGCAGAACAAGATATTGTAGAACTTAGAGTAGTACAGAAAAAAAATTACTTTAAAGATGGATCAAAGGTAGTGATAGATAGAAGCAAAATACTGGTTTGCATTGAATAAAACATTAAAAATAGGTCAAAGGAATTGCTTCAGGAATTTAAGAACTATCTAACAAATTTGCTTGGAGAATAACATTATTAAATTGTTAGAAAATCACTTCGAATAGATGAAACAGAAGAGCAAGTTGTAATCAGGGAGATATTAAATGATTTTGTCTCATAATTTGAAGTGCAAATTATTCCATATTAGTCTGAAAAACATACAATTTAATGGGATCATCCTTAAGAATCATTTGTTTTTGGATCAATTTATGAACAAAAAGTGAAGTTTAATAAAGAGTTATCAATTAAAGAGTACAAGGAAATAATAGAAGGTATAGCTCCACTTTTAGAAGCATAGGAGGAAGAAAATTCAAAAAAATATTTAAAATATTTGATTGAATAATTAAAATCCAAACGATCTTTGGGAGATAAGTTTTTCCCTATTGACGGTTTCTATAATAAAGAGGAAAAAGAAATTCTAATCGAACATTAGCCTTAATAAATGCTTGTTTTGATTTGGGTAATTCCTTGTGTGTTCATCATCATGAAATTAGATAATTTTTATCAGTAATTGAAAGAGCAATATGGAGATAAACTAAGATTTGTATATTTAGGAATAGAATATAATAAGGAGGATATTGATTTGATTTATAAATTTAAACCAACAAGTGAATTTTACTATTCAAAAGAAATACCTATTCTAGCAAGAGAAAAATATCAAGCCAATCTCTTTCCTTATTAGATGATTATAGATCAAAATGGAATAATTAGGTAAAAGGGTTTATTTCACAAATTAGAACATAAAATTGCAGCCGAATTTGCAATTCATCCTTACAAAAAATAGTAAACTAACCAATCTATAGATTTTGATTAATTGGAAGAATTCCTTTTCAATCAAAAAATAATAACAAAATCAATGGGAACCAAGTAATTATGTTGATAAATAAGTTTTAGCCGATAATTTTTTTATGAATTAGATGTACACACTAATGAGTGCCAAGAACTTATAGCAAATTGTGAGCATGCAATCAGATAAAGATCCTTGCTCACTTTAGAAAAATTTCATCAATCACTCTTTTTTCACATTCCTGTTGATAAATTATCAATTGAACAGCGATTAATGTAGTCAATAGATATTAAATATCCTGCAATGATATGTAATTATTGTGGGGAAAGGTTGAGTGCAAATGATCCATAATATTATAATTACTTTAAAAATTAATTTTACTGTTGTAAATGTGCTGAAAGAAAAGATAAATTGGGTTTTGAATATGAAATAAAAGATAATCTTGCCTTTATTAACGCTCCAATCACTGATGTGAATGAATTAAAAGATATAGATGTGTTTAGATTTGGAAAGAATATTCAACCGATAGATAATCATAAAAATCCTCATGAATTTGATTGTAATGGTTGTAAGAAATCGACCGATCTTGGCCGAGACAGATACATAGTCCTTAATAATAAACGAGGTCTTTACAAACAAGATGGATATACTGATTTTTGTTCGCACTGCTTTGCCAAGATAAGAAACAAAGCCCCAGAGTGGAAATAATTCACTGACATTAATGAAAACTCAGTGTTCCTTAGAATTAGCTACTTCTTTGGATATAATAATTTTTGATTATTGTGATGTGTAAGGAGAGTTTAAATGAAATAATTATATAAAATATTATAGAGCTTTTAGTCCTTGAAATAGAATAAATTATTGTCCACGAATTAAACAATACTTACAATAAATGAAGTTTCTCAATCTTATGATGCAAAACGACCTTCTTATTTTATAATTGGCAATTGAGTCATCTTGTTATATATTCTACAAATACTTGTAGAATGCATTAAATTTTAAGGCTCTATGTATTCATAACAAAATATTTATTAATTAAAATGGGCAACAATTAACCTAAACCCCAAGAACCTAAACCTACAATTGATGATGCTATTTTGGATATGAAGATGGCTTCTAAACGATTTGCCAATGAGTCTAAGAGATGCGAGAAGGAAAAGGAAAAATTAATGAACCAGGCAAAAGTAGCTTTGTAGAAAAACAACGAGGAAGGTATGAATTCAATCAAATACTTCTAGGCGCTAGACTGTTCTTGACTTCAGCCATGAATAAACAAAAGGAAGCTGAGAATTTGCAGAAGATGGCTCACAAAATGGATTATATGTAAGGTTTCATTAAAACAAATACAAACAGCACAAAATTAGTGGATGCTCTTGCAAAGATCAGTCCAATCATGAACTAATAAGTATGAACAGTAATAATAGTAGATTTAAAATATGCCATTGGAGATGGTTTATCAGAATATGAATTCATTTGAAAAGGCTATGGATGAAATGTAAGTGTAAGGAAATATAATGACAGGAATGATGAACCAAAATAACAATATTGGATAGGATTTGGCTATTGATTAAATGATGGGACAATTGAAACAAGAAATACACAGTGAGGTATGCTCTTACTTTAAATCTAGGTGTCCAATGATTTAAATGCAAATCCTAATGTTCTTTTTAAGGAGTTGAACCAATAGAATCCACAATAAAATGCACAAGCGATTAGTAATAACTAAATTAAATGATTTTATGAAGATTTCTATATTGAATATATTGGACTTCATAATCAAAAGACCTCTTCTCTGATTTGGAGGAATTCTGATGCAGCGCTCAACTTTTGAGTGAGAACTTCTTATAATCTTTCAACAACTTCCAATTATTGTTCTCTTTCGAAGGTTTAGGCTTCATATTGGGATTCTTATTCAGCAGCCCATCTCTCTTAAATAGACAATGAATCTTCAGCATCTTCAAGGAATAACTATTCGAAATAAATCATAATATTTACAGTTTGATCTTCTAAGTCCTCAACAGCCTCTTGGATGGTCACTTTGAATTAGACAATTGAGTTTTCTAAGAAGGCCTTTCTTTCGACTAATCTCTTGTGTTCTTCTTACAAGTGGGAGCTTTGGACTTCCCAGTTGGCAGCTTGTCTCTCTTCTGTGGCGAGTAAGGATGCTCTGCTGGCAACCAATTGTTATCTGATTTGAGCCAAGAGTTCTAAGATCTTGATGATGCTCTTGTTGTCAACCTTTGAGGCTAATTATGTCAAGGCGTTGATGAGTGGCTAGAATTGAGATCAAAGGGAGTACCTTGAAGAGTGCGTGTTTGGATTCCATCAATTTGGCTTAGACCTTTTCGAATCTACTTTTGAGTTGAGCGAAGGCAACACCAGCTTATAAATGTTAAACGATCTTGGAGGCTTCATCAATGGCATCGATTTAATCAACGTGTTCTGCATCCTTTCTAACCCAGGTGTCGTGTTATGATTGTCTTGTAGCAGATTCATCAGCAAAACTTTTCTCGTTATTGGCAATGTCTGAGGTAACAACTCTGACTTCAGCTTCAGCTTCACCCAAGGCTTCGGTTGTTGAATCTCTCAAATTTGAAAGAGCAACGATTTGGGTTTAGTGATAAGCAATTTCTTGTTCTAAGTCAGCAATAATCTAAACAAGATTAATTCAATTATACTAACCTTTTCGAAAGCAACTGTATCACTTTCATGAACTTTGTCAGCTTTCTTTTAGTCTCCATTGAGTTGGGAAGCAATATTGTTTAAGAGAATTTGAATTTCACCTACAGGTCCACCTGTTGCCAATTAAAGTTAAAGGACTGACAACACTGAATTTCCGAATGAATCCTTGTTAATTTAAGCCAACACTTCCTTTGGGCTCTCTGTCTTTGTCACTCTAGCAGTTGCGACTGCCAAGATAAGAGTCAATACAGGGACGATTCTCATGTTATTAATAATAATGAAATGAAATCACAATCACTCTCCAAGACATTAAAAAATACCCGTTTTTAAATTTATTTCCACATCCTCATTAATACGTTTTTGTTTTTAATTAAAAACACATTCATTATATTATCTCTAATCAAATTCAACTCTTGAAGATAACCTCAACAATTGCCATCGCTATTCCCTTGCTTTCAACTATTCTGAGTCATAACTTATACTCAAAAACAGAACTATATATTAAATCATCGCCCAAATTTCCATCCTCCAAACCCAAACTCTCTCTTCAACTCCCCTCTAGCAATGTGTTTTTCCATCTCAATCAAAGTAACATAACTTGATTTCTGAAATTGATAAAAAATCCATAATATTGTTACAATTGACTTAGATCCTTAAATGCCTAATTGGTTCAGTGTTGAAATCAATAAATCTTTGTGTATCTTATACGTTACAAGAAATAAAAAGATTTATCAAGATATGGAGACTTCAATCTCAATCATACAATCGATTAACATCTCCATAAGTATACAATTAATCAATTTATCAAGTCTGATGATATACTAGCAGTTCTTAATCATTTTATCTAAATTACAGACATTTTATACTTATTTTCAATATTATTTAACATCAAGCTATCTATTAAATTTAAGTCTAATTTTCTATAAATTTACAAAAACATTCACACTTTAATCAGAATTCAAAGTAATTGTTAAGTAATTGGCAATTTATTATTTATAATTTAAAAACTATATATATAATGTTGTAATTTGATATCGAAGTGATAAATGGGAAAATGCTTTAATTATATCAAGATAATCAAGGAATCAAGTTTAATTCGTAACTCCACAGGTCGTCAATAAGAGATACTTATTTCTAATAAAATAACAACTAAGATATACCCAAATATAGAGGTGCTAACTCGAACTATTATTAATTTGCTAAATTTCATTAAACAAAAGGTAATGAGATTACCCACTATCAATTGAGAAAATGTTTAGTCTACAATCAATATTCTAATTAGCTTATACATTGTAATTACAATAAACTATGTTTTTATAATCCATGTAGCTACAAATAACATATTTAAATAATAGAAGATAATTTTAATAGTGTAAGCATTAGTCAATGTGACGATCAAATTTTATTGTAAGTATTTATATATAAACAAAAGAGCAGGCTTAAATTCAAACATTCTTTTTTTTTCATTGAGAAATGGTTAAAGATCAGAATACAAATTGGCGGAGAATGGTGAATGCATCATAAATTAAGCAGATTTTATAAACAATCATGAGATCATAGTAAGCGACAATGATAATCAAATTCGTATTTTCGATCCTGAAAATTTAAATTAGGAAAAATACCTAGCAACTTGTAAGTAATCCCAATAACAAAGGCTCTCATTGTGTAAATCATTGCGCAATTTAAAACCACCTTATTATTGCTTGTCTAGACAAACCCTAGATACATGGTTTTGATAGAAGAGACTCAAGATCTTCCTTAACTTTAAAAGGCCATGTTAGTAATAACTTTGTTGCTCGATTCGATCCGACGAACGAGATGAAAGTTGCTACTTCTGGTGAGGATAAAAAATGTTTAATATGGGATTTGAGAAATTATCAAGTACCTTTTGATTAAGTAGATGCAATCTCAAAAACCTTCTATAACATTTTATATAATAATCAGGGTCAGTTGATATGCATCGAAAGCAATGATTTTGTTTAGATTGTTAACTTGGAGAATTCAAAACTATATTAAGTGATTGATTTCTTTGGGTAATGCGGTGGATGCACCATCTACAAAGATAAAATGTACTTCAATTTGTAGTCTCATCGAAAAATGGGCTTATTTGAGTATAATTTAATTAATAATAATAACTTTTGACAAATTTTACAATGTATTAAAATGATGAGGAAAGACTTCCAGAATTGCAAAGGGAGATTTAAGAATGTTTGGATGCACTTGAACATATAGGCAAGACTCCCTATCCATACCCACATTCGATCCTATAACTTTATCAGGATCTCAATAAATCACTAAAAAAATTATTCATAAAATCAGCGAAATTGAAAGAGCAAAGTATAGTTCCAAATAGTTAAGCGACATTAAAATATTGTGATGGCTCATTGGAACTCTAATCGATCATTTACAACAATGAAGTGCAATAAATTTGCAAACTCAGTCACAAGGATATTGAGAAGAAACAATTAAATTTGAAATCTATGTACTCTTTTGCAAAAGAACACCCCTATTTGGATGATAAAAAGAAAAAAAGAAGAAGATGATCGTGAAATTCATATAGCAGTTTATAAAATTATTAATATAATTTCTAATGCAAATTTTTGAAGTTTTAAAATGGAAACCTTTCAAAATCAAATGCAAATTATCCTTAACTATTAGAACATAAGAGAAATAGGTTTCGATCATTCTGTTATCTACATTAACACCCTACAACGTTCATCACAATCCATTAACTGTTATTCATACCTATTCAACTTATATATTGCAGAAATTTGTTATTTGGAACAACTCGATAATTAATGATTAAATTAATGGTACTACTAGTAATACTTTCATTGGATCTAAAGTATTGGTTAATTACTTATTCCATATTTGAATGAAAATTGTCTATCTAAATAATTAGTTAATTAATTGACTATTGAATAAAATTTATGATGCTTGTATTTTCAAGCTTAATTCCATCACTTATACACATTTGATTAATTTTCAATATTCAAATCAGCAAACTTACTAATCTCTTTTAAACTCTGGTGAATAGATATTCTAAAACTCATAGATATATTAAATGATAACCTAAAAACAATGATCTTTAATTTTTTTTGATTAACCAAACACTTTAGGATTAAGAGATTGATTTATTTGAATTTTAATCTAATAGCTAATACAGATAATATTAGAATTTTATGTAATTAAATGAGATTTATTATAAACAAGAATAATTTAATTTTCCTTATTTCTCTCTATGTATTGATTATCTTAAATCGATTATAGAATTAATTAAAATCATAATAAAAAAGATAAAATAAATATGTAAACACAAGATATCAATAGACTTCACTATAATCTTATCGTTAACAAAGTGTAGGCAATAAAGAAAAGAATCAATAATCAATCAATAAAACTAAATCAAGTCAATCTATATCGAGGATGAAATAAACCCTTAAGCAAGGGGGAAATAGAAGATAATTAAAAACACAGAGATATCAATCAATTAAAATTTGCCAAACAATGCTAATAATATATATTGTTAATGTGATCATTAATAAATTAAAGAGAAAACAGAAAAAAGACTTCAAAAAATTCTTAATCGCAAAAAGAGAATAAAATAAAGTATGACAAGAAAAAATGTAGTAGTATCTGTAGAGAGTATTTGGGCAAAAAAAAAGGGAATATTATCGAAAAGAGAGATAAATGATGATAAGCCAACTTTTAGAATAAATTAACATCCTCGTAGAAAATAATTTTGATTCTACTTTTCATAATTTAACCTCTAAATCCTAAATCTTAAGGGTATAAATATATAGTATATATTTTCAACTTTTCTTTTTAGTATTAATATTAATCTAATTTTTGATGGCATGTATAAGTTCAGAATAACAAAAAGATTAAAATATGACATAATATAATTCAATTATTTTGGGTATTTTAGAAAATATTGAGTTACTTTCAATTCTCATAGATGAATGTTAAATAGTTTTACTCTAGTTAATTAACAATAAAATTATTAAAGATGAAATAAAGAAAAGTGCAGACACCCTAAGAGATTATCGCTTTTCTTAGATCATTTAAGAATTATATAAAACAACCGCATTCAATGAGTCCTCAGAGTCGATGTTAAACGAATGTTTAGACAGCCAAGAAGATGATGAATGATGATCATCTACTGAAATCTCCGACTGAACGAAAGCAGAATAATGAGTTTCTTTGTGAGGGTATTGAGAAGAAGATTGAGAGTTTGGCTAATTAGATCAAAGATTTATAGACAAAGTAGGAACAATTAGAAAATTAGCATTATTAATTGAGCAAGAGTGTCAAGAAATTAAATTTAGATAAAAAGCACTAATTACAAGTAAGAGGGAGCAAACTTAATTTTAGGAGCGAAGTTAGATGATCAAGAAATTAGATCAAATGATTGATATCTAACTAAAATAGGAAGAAAACTTAAATTAATTTAAGTAATTATTTGCTTCTCGAAAATTAAATAATTGACTTTGGTTTTTCATTTTTATATCACATAAATTGACATTGTATTTCAAACTCAATTGTTGAAATATGTATATGTATATTTTTAATAAATGATTATATATTGAGGAATTTGATAATTTCATCATTTATTATTCTCAACAAACAAATTTACAATGAAAAAATAAAGTGAGAATGAGAAGATTGCTATTTATGCATCATAGATGATGAAATTACATGGGAAGATCCTAGAGAAGAAATTGACTAAAGTGTCTTCAAAACAGTAATTTGAAAGTCAATCCCAAAATATCTCGAATAATAATAGTCCTGCAGTTGGAAGACAAAAGTCATATGAAAATCTATTGAAAGTGAACAGAACTTTCATAAACCCTTCAATTTAGGTGTCCTAACAAAAATTAAGCAGCATTTTAAATGTGATGGCAGGCTAACAGACGAAACCTAAAAATTAAAGTTTATTTAACAATGAATTAATTGATACAGTCAAGATAACTCATAAATTACGAAAGAATCAATCCATGATATAAATAGAGCAATAATCCCCTTAACTTACTAAAAACTCTTCTTTTCATAGACCCAATTCAAGCGTGAAAATAAAGAATGGTAATAGTGTGTCAGGTGATTAGACTCAAATCCAAAAGATTAAGGAAAAGATCAAATCCCTTTTACAAGACAGAGAGAATTATTTGTAATAGGATTAAAAAGAAACTACATTTATGATCAATTTTAACTAAGCTCTAAATCAACTATTAGCAATCATATTTCGAGATTAGCAGAATATGTAGCCTAGTACAAATTAGGATGGAACTCATGCACATTAAATAGACCATTTCTTTAAAAGATAAATATAGATTCTATAACAATCCTTATAATAATAAATGGAGAAGAAGAAAGTGGAGAGCATTCTTATTTCAATCAAAAAGAAGCATGAAAGTCTTTTATTGGAGCACAAATAGTTATTAGAAATTAAAAAGTCTCAAGATCAAATAATTGTTAATTTATAACAACAAATAAATGGGCTATCAGCTTAGATCAGAGAACATGATCATGTAGGTTAAAATGATACAGGTAGAGATTTCTAATACATATAGAAATTTAAGAGTTGAAAAATTTAGTACAAGGATAATTTGAAGCAATATAAAAGTTACTCCAAAGAGAACAATTAACCAAGATATTCTTAAAAAGAGTAGGTGATAGTTCGATAATAGAGTAATTATTTCCAATTTAATGTTAGAATGTTCGAATCATTTATATCTAATGCAGAATAAGCAGATCAAAATGACACAGAAGGAAACTTAAACATTGATGTAAATCCTATCAATTAACCTAACTCTCTTAATAAATTACAAACTCCAAAACAAAAAATGAATTCTTAAGATTAAGTCAATTATCCTCTCCAAATCTTGTCAAAATACGAGGATAATTATAAATAATAGCTAAACTTATGTGATTCTGTATTAGCAGATGATTCAAGTATTAATTCTTATATTTTATGTAGGAATAAACGATTCTGAAGAGAGCAGTTTTGATTATAAAGGGAAAGAATAAGCAACTGAAATAAGTTGTTACTTCAACCCAGCATCTCAATTTGTTTAGCCTAAGATGAAGAACACACGCAGTTAGATGATTTCCAAAGAGAAACTAAGAATAAATATGATGGATGTGTTATAAGCTTAAATTGCGTATTTAAATTTTATCGAATTTTTATATAGACAAAACTAGCAAGAAATTTTAGAACAGTAATAATTGTAATAGTAGAAGATTTTGCCTGACGATCTATTGGATGAAGATTAAATGGATGCCTACTAATCTAATGAGGAGGTATTTAAATCTAAAAAATTAGTATTGAAAATTTGAATAAGATCTATTTTTCCTCGTTCTATTTTTATATTATTAATACTTATTATTATATTATTAGAAGAGATTGAAAATCAAAATTCGTTTTAAACTCAGATCCACTTTTTTAATTTACCTTTAACCCAAAATCCTTTTTTTGCAATCCCTTCTTTGTCTAAAAATTAGCCTATACCATCCTAAACGCCTTGTTTCCATAATCCTTTGTAAACACGACCATCTGTATAATACATCTCTCCATATCCATGCTTAATATCGTCCAAATATTGACCACTATATACACGACCTAATTTAGAGATATCAAATTATAATAATACCATCTCCCCATTTCATGGTTCCATCGCCATTCTTTAAGCCATTCCTCCAGTAACCTTCAAAAACTTTGAGTTTATCAGGCCAAGTCTACTTAATAAATAGTATTTACAAATGAACCATATCCGTGAAATAAATCATTTTCAAATTCTCCTTAATATACTGAGCCATCAGACAATTGGAAAATGCCCAAACCACATTTCATTCCATTCTTAAATTTTCCTTCATAAACAGACTTATCCTTATATATTTCCTTGCCTGTTCCATGTTAAAGTCCTTGTTTCCATTAGCCTAAATGTAAGAATTTGGATACCTGTATAAATTCGACCATCAAAATACCTAAATTCCCCTTGGCCGTGAAACATGTTATCTCGCCATTATCCACGATAGGATTCATTGGAGTTCACGTAGACTCCTTCACCTTGAAGTTCATTGGCAATCCACTAAATATATTGAATAAATTACAGTTCCTTCGATGTAACTAGAAAATAACAAATAGTAACTACCTATCATGGAATTAATATTTTCCCTTTCCATTAGCTTGGCCATCTTTCCAGGTCCCAGTGTAGATGGCACCATTTTTCATAAATATAGATTAATCGTTCTCTTGGATGAGAGAAGGATCGAAGCAAAGTTTTGGATTGTCAGGTTAAGTTGGAGCAGAGGGTTCTGGAGATGAGATAGTGGGCATAAGCGATTTGCGAACTTTGTGCCCTCTATAATAAGCCTGTATTATAATGATTTTGTTCTCATCATATTGGGGTAGGTTTTCTTCCTTGATGGGGTTATCTGTTTATTTGCAAGCACTTGAATCCATCGTCAGTAAATCATCTGCAACCTAAGGAGCACTTTAACAACTGCCCATAAATTAGAATAGTTTTTATCAAATTATTTTATATTTATGCATACCAATTAGTTAGTTATTCTAAACAATTATCAGTATAAATAATAATAAATTAATGAACCAATAATATGACGATTGGCCATAATGGTGGAATGAAGTCAGAAGATAAAAATTCGGGTATAAATTATGAATTCATAATTTTTAGAAGTGAAACACCACCAAGAAGATGTAAGAAAGTTCAAATAATTTAGATGAAATTACGGTTCCTTCCATTACTGCACACACATGGGTGATCCTGGATTCTTAGACTGGTAGATTGATTTGGGGGAAGAATGAGCATTCTAACAGAGAAATAGCCTCCATCACCAAGACTATGACTGCTTATGTTACTATTAAAATTTGTGAATAACTCAAAATAGATCCAACCCAAGTTACTGTTTCTGTCTCAGAATACGCAACACAAATAGGTGGAACATCCTCCAATCTACAAGAAGGAGATAGTCTCACTTTATTGGATCTCTTGCATGGATTGATGTTACCATCAGGAAATGATTCTGCCTAAGCCATCGCTGAGAATTTTGGAGTCTATCTTTATTTTCAATCCAAATACTTCCAACAAAAAATCGACTCCATTGATAACGACAACAATACCATACATGTCAATAATCCTGCATAGTATTTTGTAGCTGAAATGAACACAACTGCTTAAAAACTGGGACTCTCTAATACTTATTTCACTAATCCCCACGGACTTGCCAATAGACTAAATAGATCCACTGCTTACGATGTCGCTAAATTATGTTACTATGCTATGAAATTACCATTATTCGCTTAAATCGTCAGAACCAAAGAATACTCCTGCACTGTTACCAATCTAGGATAAACTCGTGTCTTGAAATGGGAAAACACCAATAAACTCCTAGAACAAGGCTTCTCAGGGATTAAAACTGGAGTCACCAATGATGCCGGTCCATGTTTGGCTAGTCACTTCATTAGTAGAAAGCACAGCTACATACTTGTGGTTCTTAATTGCAATTCAAAAGAATAAAGATGGATTGATAGTTGTCGTCTTATTGACTGGGTAACTGACATATATGAAAAATAATGATTTATATCACTTTAAACCATAATTGTTCTTGGAGTTTTAATACGTTTAGAAAATAGTTAATTCAATATTAATTCAATAATCTCCATTCAGATATTCCTTAATAATATTTTAGAACTTAAAAATTCAAAGAAACTTGAATAAATTATAGAGTCTTTCTAAATAGAAATTTAGTAAATTAATCTAATTTAATTATTAATTTTGTATGGTGATTATCATCAATCTGAATTTTCTTGCCAATTTTTTTAAATTGAACCTTTAAATTTTATAATCCTTCAATTAATTTAGTTTATTTGATTTGTATAGAATATATATAGAAATTTATTATGTAAATTAATAATTATAGAATTTAATCCAATAAATCATAAAGTAGAATTAAATATTGCTGATACATCAATTAATTTGATTTGATTAATAAAAAACAAAATTGCAATAATCAAAATAGCGGATGTACTGATTCAATCTCCATATAATCAAGTGCTTACTCTGTGAAGTAAGCAAAGTAATGTCCACAAGTTTTTTTAAGTAATTTAAATTTATTTTTTAAAAGATTCCAAAATTACGAAATTGGTTGATGTTATTAATTTATCCTCAAACATCAATTTTTAACTGACTAAATTCACAAATTCATTCAAAAATACAGGTAAACTTTATAAATTATATATTTTAATCTCATTCTCAACGTCAGTCAAATTAAATATGCATTTGAGATTTAAAAACAATATTGTAAGTTCCTATTATACGCGATTCATAATATTTTAGTAACGAGTCATCTGGAGCTAAAAATTTGGCTTGTCAATTTATAAGCTTGGATGGAGAAGTGATTGGATTCATAAGCACCCTTTTCCATTCTTTTATATATTTTGGTCATTAACAGATTTACATTCTTATTAAATTATGGTTCCAAAGATTTAATTATAAGTTATTATAGTTTCAGAATTGCTTATAATGCTTGCTATTTATTCTTATTTTCTAAAGTACAAAAGCTATAAAGAGTTAAGGCAGATTCATAAATTTAAGAGAAGATTCCTCCGATACTAACTTATTATTTAAACAACAGAGTTTCTAAAAGAAAAGATGATTTTTGTGTGTAGTGCTAGCAGATGAACTTTAGCTTTTGTGACGCAATTGATCTTAATCTGATAGGTTATTTCTAAATTAATTCATACCCATATATTGGAGATGGTGCAAACCACTTGATCCCAGAGCTGAAGATATTAAATGATTAATTGAGTGCTGGGAAACTAATTGTTAGTCATAAATTCATATCCCATATCTGCTAATTCTGTAACTATTGTTTGGTATCCTTTAGAGAAATCAGATACAGAGATGGATTGGAGATGGTTAGTGATATCCTGGAGCAACTCTTCTGAGAAGTCATCAACTTCAAGGGAGTTGAGTATTTAAGCATACCACATATTTTAAATAATATCATATTTTAGAAGTATTTTTGGGGATTTTCTTGGGATGAAGACTGCATGCCTACAATTAATGATATTTTTTGGATAGTTTTTATGAGTCCTCATCTCCACTGAATTCATTCATGCACTATTAAAATCCCCAAGTTGAATCAATAGTTTTATGTCTCTACAAAATAATTAATCTTTGGTTACTCTAAGTTAATCTTTAGGTTCAATAATTTAAACTCCACTATGAAAGATGACTGATTAACGTTTAGAGGACTTGGCACTCTTTCTACTTCGTTTGCTCTTTTTGCTTTTGGATCGTTTATCATCTTGATTGCACATGCTTGTGTTTTCTACTTAAGATGGGATGTATTTAATCATCATGGAAGACAAAGAGCCTTAAATTGAGGTACTGGTGAGATGTTTCGACTCCATCCGAATAGGAGATCCTCCTGTGGCTCTCATAGCTTCAGGAGGTTTGAGGAGATTATTGGAACCCATAATTTATTACGAACTATTCATTTGCGGTTATTTCTATTTCTCTTCTGACAAAGCCCAAATCATTTGATCTTTAATTTTGGTTTACCGATCTGTCCATTCGAATAACTTATCTAGAATTATATGGTTGTTAGTGGCTGCCTTAAGTAACAGAGATAACATGTATTTATAATCCGGTTCAGATTTGAATTCTAATTTTTTTAAATAACTAATCGATAAACAAAAGATACTTAAATATTTCAGCAAATTCAGGTGGAACATCTTTGCATAATTCTGATACTTCTGTTTTCTATTTGACTTCGCCTACAACATCAGTTCGATCTCTATCTCCAATATTTTGTAAATTTTACCAAGGCAATTTACTAATATAAAGAAAGTTCTCTCTACCCTCTTAAGAGATATATCATAACATAAAACATTGATTCCACATCATCTTTTCTTCCTAATTCGTAACCTCGATGTGCTGCTATCGATGCATATCTTGTTGTCCCGATAAATGATTTCTTGTCTTTGAGTGGGCTTTGCCTTAGGTAAATTCAGTACATGTGCTTGCCATGATTATCTAAATAGACTTTTGACACTCCATAATCCACCAAATAAATAGTGCCATTCTCTTGTTGATAGCCTGTCAAAATGTTTTCTGGTTTGAAATCTCTGTGGATTACTCCCCTCTCATGCACTTACTGCAACGTAGACAGCAATTGATATGAAATCTGTAGTACGCTTTTCAAACTAAACTTCTTAAATTGTTTGATATATTGACTCAGGTCCTTGCCCAAAATTTGGATTACAATCACATTGTAGTCTTACTCGAATCCACTCCAATAGAGTTTGGGTGTTCCAGGCACTCCATTCAAGCGATTAAGGATGGATATTTCTCTATCCAGAGAACTGACGTCTTCGTTTTCCTCCTTCTCTATTTTTACAGCCACTTCCTCTCTTGTGTGCTTGTCAAATGCCAAATACACTATACCGAATGAACCTGACGAGATCTATTATTTGATAATATATTTGTTGTTGAAAATCTTCGGATCCCTGTAACTAGGAGGAAGCTTCATCATATTTTATTTATTATAATTTTATATTTCTCTCATGTTCATTTTTATATTATATTACTCCTATCGCATTTATTAATTTAATATTTTGTAATTACTCTACACATTTACATTGGAAATTACATGTCTCGTCCCCTCCACTCAAGAATACACAATATTAAAATAATTGATTTTCAAATAATTTCATCAAATGTTCACAATGAATCCCAACTTCTTAAGCTCCTCAACCTTTTTCTTAGATTTAGTAGCATTTATTAAAGTTTATGATAAATAGATGCTCTTCGGAAGCTAAGCCGATTTACTTAATTATAGGATCTAATCCAGAGTTCGTTCAGTAATCATATTCGAAGATAAATGCAATGAAACTACATTCCCACTTTACGCTAAAGCTTGCAATACGATTGCCGCGCCATCATCACTAATCTTGTTCCTAGCCAATTTCAACTGCTTCACCTTCTTGCAAATCTTCAATTAATCTGCAATTATCTAACATCCCTCATCCCCCAATTCTTAAAATATTTAAGAGCAAATTCATACCCGCATTAGAGAAGTCTACAATCTCTAAGTTGTCGTTCTTGAAGGCCTACCAAACTTAATCAAACTTTTCGTTCATTTTAAATGTTTTCTTTCTACGTTCTTGCAATTTCGGAGTTGGAGATATGCCTTAACGTAAAATTGACACAGGAGCTGGAGGTTAAAGTGAGTTGTTTGGTTATTCCTTGCTTGGACTTTTTTATTTAATGCTTTTGAGAGGAGTGATTGAATGGTGAGATTGAGTTAGATTCTCAGTTCTTAAAGGACTCTTAGCCTAAACGACTGAAATATGACTTTAATTCTAAGTGACTTGAGTGATCAAACTCTCATCATTATCAGTCCAATCAGCTATTGAGTTATCCCTCAGTAGAAGAGGGTCTTCTTAATCAATTTTTGTAAAACTAGTATCAACGTGACTATTTTCAGTATGATTTAACTATAGTGTTAAAGAGCACATTGTATCAAAACACTTTTCTATTTCTGCTTTTTTGAAGTCTACTCTTATTTTTCTGATTCTAATATTGTTAATTCTTTGCTCCAATATTTTTATGGTTCTATCCATTTCTTCAATTATGGCAGTGCCCTTAAATTCCTAATTGTAAAGTAAATCCAAAGGTAGCTCCCCATTATCCGTTTTAGTCGAGAAATAAAGCAAGCGATCTTTGGCTCCAATCTTCCATAATTCAGCTTATTATAAACTCTATTAAATTTGATCTTTGATCTATTTCTTAGTCTATTATTCAAGAGTTGAAGCAAGACCACTCAATTATTCCAATAGTTTATTCTCCTTTGACTCTAATTATTGATGCAATTCTTTAAATTTCTCTTTAACGGCCATCTAACTATCGGATAGCATTGTTTAAAATTTATCTGTAAGTGGTTCATAAAACTTAGACTCACTCATTTCTTATTACTTATCCAAGATTTTTTAATAAGTCTACATGATATTTTCAGCCTTAAGAGTAACTTCTCTAACTACATCATCAACAGATTTCACTTCATGATGTCTGTGATTTCCAAATAATGCGCATTTAGTACAAATTCGAATTTTATCTGTTAAGCAAACAATCTCTAACTTTTCTAGATGTTCAGCACATAATTCGAATCGTTCCTTGGCAAAATTGTTTAGATTTAACTAATATTCGGGTTATTCAATGGATGATCTCTATTTTAAAATCATTTTCAAAAGCTAGCAATTTTTAGGAAATTCCGAGATGTTTATCTTGCCCTTGGCCAAAATACTAATGTTAGAGTGGAATTATAATACTTGTCTTCTGGACAAGAGATCTACTATCCATCAGCATTGGACAACATGAATTGGATGCATTGTTGACAGATGGTATGGCCACAATCTGGGAGCATGAGAGGAGTATTCTCGAATTCATTGAATATATTATGACATTATGGACATATAAGTTCTTCCATTTTAATTAAAATAACGATATATCACTGTTAAAGGTATTGTACTAATTTGTTACATCCTTCCTTATCCGACAACTCTTGAATAAAGGACTTGCACTCTTCCAAAGCAAACAATTATTCCATCTTGGTTTAGCCCTTCTTCATCAACAATTATTTTGCGTAGTAGAGTAATTTGCCAATCCAAACATACAATTTCATTCTATCTTTTGATTACAAAGCCAATTCAATGATCTTGACAAACGATTCACAAGCATACATCTGTTGTCTGATTTCAAACAAAAAGGGGAACGAATCTGGTGCATACATTAACTATCTATTACAATCGTAGTATTACTTCATCAAATGGATCTGAAGCCTTGCTCAAAAAGTACTTGACTGATTCCATATCCTTTTGTAAGTTCAAGTATGGCCAATTTTGAGAGTATTGATACTTCAACTTCACCTTGCCATCCTAAGTATCTTCCAATAGATCCTTAATATATTGAGGCAATTCTTGAATGTGAATGAATAATTGTAATGTGTCCAACAATTGAAGCAATGTCATCTAATCATTTAATTTCAAAATTGATATCGCTGCATATTGGTACAATTAGGTCATGATCTCTTGTTTCTAAGGGAATTCGGATCCTGTTTGCATTAGAATATTCATACAATAATATGGGTTTTCTAATAAATCTACCAATAATATGATCTATATTAATTCAAATTAAATAATACATCTCTCGTAAGAAAATCTTCATATCTCTCAAAATTAGTAAAGTCGTTCTTCATTCTATTGCTAATTTCGCCTATTAATGTTTCAGGTCTTCCAAATAGCAATGACAACTGAATCGAGAACATATAGGAGTCAAATGAAACTGTTTGTGCAGTCAAAATATGTGAATAATAGCCATTGTAACTCAATATTGATTCTTTTGATATTTTCTCGCATTTATCCAACACAAACTTTAGAAAATGGAAGTTAATAGTGGGAAGATCAAATACGATGCGGAGTATGTTCGAAAATATATTGGATTGTTCGTTCTGATCTTGAAATGGAATCAAACTGATTAACTTAGTGAAAGACTCTTTTGATGGCAACTCTGACACCTGAATGGCTGTTAAGTACCCAATCATTTATTAGAGAATTGCATTAACATCGAATTGTTTCTTCTAAGCCATTTTTTATTGAATCCTCTTATTATGAGTTACTCGTAGACATTGCAAATATTGTTTCATTAACAATGGTATATCACTGGCCTTATTCCTAAATATTTTCAAAATGAATTATTTCTGTAAATAAGACAACACTTCAACTGCAAGCATGAAGTCCATATTTTATGCCAGCCAATCCAACATCTAAACATTCGGATTCTCTTTAACATCTATTGTATCTTTGGTTTCCAATATCAATAACATCCCTAGAAAGTGAACGACAATTAATGTTTGCTGTTTTTCATTATTAAGAAGTTAGGATAGAATCTCTTCATCTCCAAAGATAGGATAAGTCATAACGTGAGATGCTATAAGACTAGTTAATATTTTGGCTATGAATTTAGGGTTGTTCTATGCAACAACTCTTTCGGTGTACAAAAAATATAGATCTAGCAATTCAGGTTTGATTAATTCCTATCTCACTTCCTTATAAGCAGTTGCTTGTATCAACATGTGATTAAAGACACTCACATCAGTAGCGTAATACATTTCTACTTTACTTATCTGACTATTCAAAAAGAATTGGTTCTTCAATAGGATTTAACCCAACTTAACCAAATGATCCTTAGTGGATACTATTTGATGATCAATTAATATGGTGATGAATTTCTTCTATAAGGTTGGAGTGATTAATGAAACGTAACGGATTAGTGCATCAAAGATCAAGCATTTACAATTTTGATTAGAATTTGTGTCTTCTATCTTAACATTAAAGAAATTGTCCTCGCATTAATGTCCAAAGCCAACTTAGGGATCATTCAATTACAATTAACCTAGGAGTGCTATTCCAAAGAGATTTGCTAATAATGGATATTACTTTAAAATTAATTCTATTTAATCTAGCAAACCTGCTAAGAAAAAATTCATTTATATTAAAGCATAGTTATCATCCAAATCCAAAAGGGTCTCCTCGATTAATCTTACCAAATAAATGAGCACAAGGTAAAAGAAGTTAATAAACTTTGAAGTGTTCTCCGACAATTAGGGTTGTTCCTAATTAATTAGTCTGTGTTTGCTAACAATGAAGTTGATACTATTTTAGACTGCATCAAGTGAGTTTCTAGAGTGATAATTGGCAATAGGTACTTTCTTAAATAGAATGAAGTGTATTCCTGATTGAACAGATGAGCCTATTGATTGACTCCTGCAAATTTCTTGAAATAGGGATGTCGACTAATTTCATCGTTTACTCTGTCAATGTCAAAAAAATTGCTGGCAACTTCGCCAAAGAGATTGACGAAATCCTTTCTGTCCTCTAACTTTTGGGATAACTATATTTGATTATGAATAATCTAACATTTTCTTTGGAGCATTCATAGAAATGATTTTCGATGTAGTTCTTCAGTTTATTGATCTAGTCTAACATCTTCTAGTTTAGAGATTTGTTGTTTTCCTTGAAAAATAGATATATGGCTGATGCTGCAAATGTCGCTGCAAGACCTCCAAAAAGCTTTACTTTCATATCCATAATTTAATTAAATGAAGACACCAATTAAATAAGAGTAATTAGACCAATATGTTGGAATGGGATTTTCCAAAGAATTGATCACCATGGCATGGGAAGAGAGCAACACAGAAGCTGATGTCATCAATACTTTACTCACTTTGTCAGACAAAAATAATGCTCTCTCCAATACACCTACAGTAATTGCATATTGAATAAATCTATTAGAAACAAGACGAGGATATTCAACTAAATCAAGCATTAATAGACTCTTACAAAACCAATCCTTAAGCGTCTACATCCACCTTTGAAATCGTATCACCTGAATAAAGATAGAGAAGTAATGGTGTTCCATGTGGTCTTAAGAATGTGGGAAATACTTGTTACTTCAATGGATTACTCTAAACATACTTCTTCAATAGTGATTTTGTTAAAATCATTATCAAATTTCAACCACCTGCTTAGATTGACCAAGGGAAATAAGGGAAATCCATTTAATTGGTGCTTAATCTTTAGCATTTATTCCTTAGCATGATAGGAAGTGATAAAAAATATGTAGATCCCTCAGATGTGGTCAAGAGTATCTGTGATGATTTTGGGAATGTTCTTCCCATTGGCGATTAAAAGGATGTCGGAGAATTCAATAATTATTTTTTGAGCAGGATTGGAGAAGGTCTGGCATATAATGAACATTAACCTAGCAAAATTGAAGATCAACCTCATGATGGATCTTCGTCTATTTTGAGATTGAAATCATCCACCATCCATGATGAGGATGTTGTTTCCAAATTATTCTTTTGCAAAGTACACAATCACTTGTAATTCGATCAAGCTGGTGTACCTTAAAGCAGAGACAGCAATGTACTTTATAATTTCATCCCCATTGTTTTGAAAGATGGCAATCTCTATGATGGTTTTGACAATTTCGTCTTCAATTCCATCGAGGACTTCAAAAATGATTTAAGTGAAATTGTTTGTGCTACCAAGTACAATTGGATTCAAGGTGCTCCTCAGACATTGTCGTTTTAAATTCAAAGAGTTGCTTATAGTAAAGAGAAAAGTAATTCGCACATTTAATTTAGATGATCTTATCAAACAAAATGATGAATTCTATTTTGATGAAGAAATCTATTTGGATCGTTTCCTTAATGAAAATAGCAAGAGATATTTGGACATTAGAACTCAAATCAAGGAGTAGAAGGATAAACAAAAAAAAATTAAATAAGAATAATAGTCATTCTCAAAATTTGATGACAAATACGACCTTTAAGATATTCTCTAAACTGTAGTTAAATTTTTAGAAATCCAAAACAAAGGCAATATTGACCATCCTGCCAATTTTGGTTACTCTGATTAAAAACACACTATAGAATAACTCTAAAAATATTCTTAACATGTTCAAAAGAGGAAAGAAGTCTTGTAATTTTCATACAACGAAGTTGAAGGAAAGATCTAGGAGTCTTACAACAACTTTAAAAAGTATAAATATCATTTACAATCCATTTTGATTCATGAAGGAATGGCAAGTATGTTAAATGCATGATAATTCTTAGATTCTGGACATTATTACACCTACATCAAGGATTTCAGATTAAACAAATGGTTTAAGTTTAATGATATTCATGTGACAGAGGAAACAAGAGAAAAAGTGTTTCAAGATGCTATTGGTGTCAAACCAGGAATCAATGCTTACCTACTCGTATATGTGAAAAACGAATTTGTATAAGATGAACTGAAATATCCAAAGCGGTTGTATCAAACTAGCACTGGGAAGGACTACTTAAAGGATGGTTATGGGGATTTCCTGAATCCACAATAGAAGGACAGCATTATCAGAGAAAACTAATTGTTTTAGAATGAAATTGAGGATTACAAATAAGCTAGAATAATCGATAGGATTGTGGAGTCCTATCAAAGTAGGTTTGAGTTTGTGAATGAACACTTTCGTACTATTGCTAATAAGTATTAAAGTGTCAAATTTAAACCTCTCTTTACCTTAAACTTCCCAATTTACATAAAATGCAAGGCCACCTAATTATCAAATCAGAATACACAACATGACAACTTAATAAAGTGGATTATCTTAGATTCTGCTTTGAGGGAAGTGCAGGAACACAAAGAAGGAATTTTCGGTGGATAATTAAGTGAGAATGTATAATTTAGATATATCATTTTAGTTTAAGAACAAGATAATAAACAAATTTACAGCGCAATTCAATGAATTCAAAAGACCATCAGCTAGATTGACTCTATCTGAGTAGAATGATTTGAATAAATTCGAATAGGAATATTTGAATTATGTGAACTTAGGAGCTTGGGCTACGCTAGTGTTAGACTATTTATCGAGGGCTGAATTTATCAAGGCTCTTTAGGTTTTACAGTGTCTGACTAAGAAAGTGAAGCCTTTGGAGTAGTAGAATTACTTTTTTAAGTTTACTAAGAATTTGAAGACTTTGTTACCCATAATAATAATTTGCAGGATGATTCCCAAGGAGTCTGAGGTCATTCTGAAGGAGCTATAGTTGTTGCAAGCATATTTGGTGCACAATCACTTTTAGTATGACGATCCGAAGTTTTGGTAAGCAGAGATATCGATTATGTTGTATTCCATAGTAGAGAATCATGATGAGTAGTATTAGGGCATTAGGGAGATAATCGTGAATTTTGAGGCTGGGAACAAGATCAAGGAGCAAATGGAATTGTTGGAATTCGTTTCGGAGGTACTTTGTTTTTTGAAAAACCTTAGGAAATTCAAAATTAATAAATGATTATATCTACTTCATACGAGATCTATTTTTGGAGTGCGTATCCGAAACCGGATATAATTTTTGATAAGTTGGTTGAGGGAATGAATATGCTCAAATAATTATTCGATGTAAGATTGATAGTATGTATGTAGCCCTATATAAAAATTCAATAGGCTTTGATAAAGGAGGTAAATCAACCCCTTATGAAAGAAGAATTAGAAAAAATGATAAAATGATATATTATATATATTATGATCCTTATTGCTGCGTCGATGCATATCAGAGAGCATCGTTCATTTTCACTTAGAACTTCATCAGTACACATACGTGATGAGGATCCCAAAGACGTTGTCAAGAGCAGCATCTGCGGAGTTATGATGGGAGTGTTATTTATGATAATATTTGCAATAATAGGCATAGTGGGAGTCTTCACAAACATAGAGAAAGAGAGTGAGTACATCTGGATGCTCGTCGTATTGTCGATTACCTACATTCTATTCATTCCTTACTTCATCCTCATTCTGAAGGACTTGAAGAGAATCTCGGTTGAGTTGGAGAAGCATCAAGATGAATCCATAGTAATGAATCCCTTTGCGTTTGCATCAGGCATGAATACGATTAACGCAATCACGAGCAATGAAAAATATAACCCGTTTAGACTGTTAAATATCTAGTTCTCCATAATATCTCTTATACTTAGTGCATACTTAATAAATTCGAAGATTGTAATAGGATCCTTATTAGCAATTGTGAATTACATCGTTGCAGCGACCATATTGATCTACGCCTGTCGAAAGTGTTGGTTGGGTTGTTGCAACATTAGAGTGGTTACGAAAAAACCCAAACGATACATTTATTAGCGCTATCCTTGTAATCAAATTTATTCTACCCTTTAGCTCCAAGGGAGGTTCAGAAGACCGCATTTGCCTTTGGGATTCTACTACTGGCATATTATGTATTCAAGGGAATCCTGTACATCATATTTTTATTCATACAGTAAGAGGATTACAAATATACGCTACTCACCAGTCTCTTTTATTCATTCATCATTTGCACTCAAATAGTGTATGTTCTCTATTTGATCAAAAAGATCAACATCACCTTGCATTCCAAGAAGTACTTCAGATGCTATATGACTTTGTTCCAATCAGTCTACCTCTCATACACTACTTAGAATTGTGTATTAAAGGGTCTTTACTTCTTTTCCCTCCTATGCACTTACATCGCCTTCTTTCTTGAAAAACCCTATAAAACAATCGCCAAAGATTCATTATTTGGCATATAGTAATTTTGCTCTTATGAACACTTTATCTACCTCTTTACTATCATGCAACTAGTCTACTTCTTCCTTTTTCGAAGTTACTGTGTCAATAAGGAAGAAGAACAGATCCAAATATTTGACTTTAACCTGGCTCAGCCCTAAGAGTAGAGATTGCAATGGGTTCAAAACTATCAGGACTACCCTATTTACAAATAGAAATCGTTGTCCAACATCTACCAAATCCATGACTTGGAAGCTCTGCAGGAAATCTACGACAATATAGTGTTTCAGAATTCTTAGTTAGAATTGAAAGTCAAACCCAGAAGTGGACAATTAATCTCCTTATTGTAATGGATAGAAGACAAGAAGTTTTAATTTCAACTAGAAGGAAAAAAGGTAGATGAAGATTATTTCAACAACCTCAAACAATTCATAGAACAAAATGTTGGTCAGAAACAAGACAATCCAGAGAAACAAAAACAAGATTAAGACAGAATGGAGTGTGCCATTTGCTTGTAAAACCTTGATTACAAAGAAAATATCACTTAACTTGAGTGCCATTTCACCCATAGATTCCACACTGAATGCATTGAAAGATGGATTCTTGCAGTCCATAAATGCCCCTTATGCAATTAGCCCACTTGATTATTCTATTTGCTGACTATAATGATATAAATAACTATTCATCCTTAATGTGATATATACTAATTCTTCACATCATCCATATGCAATACATAGAGAATCATGTCTTCTTTATCAAGAATTTAAATTTATGCTCAATATTTCATACCAACATCCACCAAGTTTGATTAGATCTATGATAATTAATCACAGAATACTTCTAGAATATATGTAATCTTTAAGATGTCATAATACTATTGGAATTGATTAAAATTTTGATAAAATTGCAAAAATAAGAATAAAAGATGCAAAAATAAGAAAAATAATAAACAAAGGAATCTACTTTTCTGGGAAAGATTGTGTGGGTACTTATAGGAATTCTTGTTGCATATGGGATTAGATTATACCTAAGTGAATCCTAAAATGTTAATTGCATAATAAATGGAGATTGTAAATAACTCTTATTTTATTAGAAATTATCATGGAAAATAGTGGAATGTTTATTAGAGACGCTGGTGTTGCCCATTTATCATCTTAATTAAATCAGAATGTTTAAGCAACCAAATTGATAGCAGATCTAGCGATCAATTAAATTTCTGATCTAACAAATTTCTTTGAGTCTCTGGGTTATTTAACCAAATTACAAGAATGTAAGGTCTATGTTAAATACTTTAGTGAAGTTGTCTTTTGGAAATAATCCCATTATCAATTAAGAATCCTAAGTTCTTAAGTTGGTTGACACTCTCTCTAAACTCAAGGAATTACAGCATCTTAATCTTGGGATGGACTCAATTCTTAATAATTAAAGCAGACTCAAGATTATTTAATAGGTATCTAGGATTCCAGAATTAACTACTCTTCGTATTTCTCTCATCGCTTGTGATTTGTCAGAAGATGGCATTAAATCACTTGCTCCTCTTGCAGAAATGAAAAACCTTAAAGCTCTTGATCTTATACTTGTTGGAAGTAAATTAAAAGAGAATGAGATGGATTCTCTGTAATCGATACTGTCAAAGCTTCCTAAATTAGAGAAACTCAATCTAAACTTATATGCAAATAAAATCTAATATGATGGAGTGAAGACTCTCAGTGTTGGATTATAATAATAGATCTAAGTAAGGGAATTTGGAATTGATTTGTATTTCAATAACATTACATAGAATGGAACAGAAAGCTTAATGAATGTAGTAGAGTAGATGGATAATGTAACCAAGTTAAATTTGGGTTTGGAATTCAATTATATAAAAGATGAAGGTGGAATATAGGTTGGAAATACATTAACCTAATTAAAATAGCTGAAAGATTTATCAATTAACGTAGCTACAAAGAATTTTGGATGGGTTGGCTTTGAAGCTATATTGGTAGCCATTGAGAAATTGCCTCCTTTGGATAAACTAGAATTGATTATTGGTGTTAATAAATGTGGTCCAAAAGGCGCAGAACTATTAAAGAGTGCTCTCTACAAACATAATAAATTAAGATCATTAAAGATCAATTATTTAGAAAACTACGTTGGAGATGCTGGAGCTACATTTATTGCCGATGGAATTCAATATCAAAGTTAATTAGAGGATTTGCATGTCAATATGAATTTCAACTCCTTGTCAGACAGAGGAGCATTAGAATTGGCTAGAGCTGTTAAGAATGCAAAATCTCCAAAAGTATTATTAGAGTTAATATAAGGTTGTATCATTAAAAGTAAGTTAAAATTAACTGACCGATAAAGGAATCAAAGACATGTTGTTACTTTTAGAATAATCACTCTCTAAACTTGATTCTTTAAATGTAGAACTTTTGAACACTGCATTAACAAATGCAACTAGAGATGATATTGAAACTAAATATGGAAATGTAGAAAAGCTAAGTCTAAAATTAAACACTATTCCACCAAGTAATTGGGATTGATAGATTGAGATTCATCATTTTAAAAACATAAAATCAAATAATCATTTTATTTAAACATCAAAAACAACTATATAATTTCAACTATGTTACTAATATTTGTAATTAATTGATTGGAATACTATATAAATATGATACAATAAATTCTAATAAATATGTGTAAAAAAGTAATTTTAAAATCCTTAATTCTAATTAATGAATTAAAAACTATTTAATTAAGTTTTAAGATTCTTTTAGCTTATTATTTTTAAATAAGAAGTTTATTTATAAATAACTTCTTTTAAGGTTTTATGATACTTCCAACATTGTAATGATAAACCTATTTTTTAAATACTTATTCAAGTGAATAAAGTGATAATTAAAATCTAAAATCAACCGAATATTTTTAATACTTCTCATTCAAATACAGATTATAATATTATAATGGGAAATAATTTTTGTTTGGGAAAACGCTCTTATAAGAAAAAAAATGAATTAGAACATCAAATGTTTGTATAAGAGATCGATTATTAACTTGACAAATTAAAGGAAATACCTTATAGATAATATAAACCACCCGAATATGAGAAAAAAACGATTATTGATTTACTATAGGTGATCGACATAAAGAGCACTCGCTAATCAATTATTGAGCCAGAATAAGAAAACGAGGTTGTGAAGAATGATGAAATAAAACCAGATGAATTTAACCAATACTAGGAACTTGGGAAAGAGATTATAACATAAATTTAATAGAAAATCTAAGAGTTTCCATAAGATGAGAAAAATTGGAGTTTATTGTTAGACGATACTAAAAGCCCTCATTTTTTGAAGTTGTACATTAGACAAGTGCAATTACCAGACGGGAATAAAATCAATGTTACTTTTAGCTAGTTTATAGTTCCTTGTAAAAGTGAAAGGTTCATATAATTTATGGGAGATTTTAAAGACTAAATAAAACTTGATAATAGGATCGATTAGTTCAAGTGTATAAAAAAGCATCCAGAGAAGCAAGAACAATTGATATATTTAAGTTATAAGAGTGTTTCGATTGTATCGGCAAGGGATTTCGTATACTTTAAAAAAACGGAATAAATTGATAAGGATAATGATATCTGGTGTGATGCCAGCAGATCTATTATTGACAATTCAATTTGTCCAATTCAAAATAAAATTGTGAGAGGAAACATCCAGTTAAGTGGATATGTAATCTAACCTCTAAAAAATGTAATGAAATAGGAGTACTTTTCTTAGAGGTTATATTAAACATAAGTTTTTAAGGTTCGCAACAATAGTCTTCAAAGTTGAAAGTTACTCGCTGGTGTAATTGTGGTCAGAATGTGATTTTAAGTTATCTGTACCCTTGTATCTAGCGAAGGGACAAGTGAAATAAGAAATGGCAAATTACATAAATCTAGTTTATCGTAGTTTATTATGATAATAATTATTCAAAAATCTTAAAATGATTCTCTTCTATCTATTGAGAACTCAGCCAATTTGGTTAATCTGAGCAACCTCAAATAATCTCTATGAACATAAAACATCATGATTTTTTTATATGTGGCTATGGTGTCATTGGAAATCCCATTTTTTTACTCAAAAATATACGTATAATATTAAATCACATTTGAAGTTTCCTTGCTGCTGATGATCTTCCTAGTTTATTGCAAAGCCAGCAAGTTCAAGAAATTATGAAATTATTATAAAGTAAGTCCTTCATCTTCGATTTAGCTGTAATAAAAATAATACCTAATGGTGGCTTTGGTAATTTTCGATGGACATAATTTGATTTTCATAAAAACCTTAACCACATCATCGAAATTAATAAATTATGATTATTCGTTCTTGGAATTCTCAAAAAACTCTGCAATTAAAGGTTTAAAGGCATCTAGAAAGTCCGAATAATATTAACAATTTTATAATTAGAGATCAATAGGTTCATAAAAGAAAGCTTTGTTTGGAAATATATAAATCTATAAGAATCTAACAGATAAAGATATGCTTACTTATTAATTTTCTATTGAGGATCAGAGTTTTACTCGATTTCCTTTTTGCTAAATTTGAATCTCACTTAGTTGGCTTCCCTTTGAAATTCTGGATTATTAGTATCAATCTCACTTGTAATTGAAGCTAAGTTTCGAATAGCATCAAGAAAAAATGAGTACGTCAACCCCTTATCTAGAAAAAACGATTGATCCTCAAGACATTTATGAAATATTCTCAGTCCCTCATCACTTGTGATTTAGGTTTTCAAATCCTTACAAAGAGTAATGAAATTTTGTGCATTGATAAATTAGAATGTTTAACTTGAATCCTCTTCATACTTATTGGAGTATTTAAAGAATAGCTTATGCAATAAATCTGATGATATATCCTTCTCTTCATTTGAATTTTGATGGATTATAAAGTTCTATAAAGTTTTGGGCACTTTTTTATAATTATAATTGACTAAGAAATCAATGACCTCTTTATTTTCTTATCTTTTGATTTCTGGATCGTTTTTGAAGAATTATTGAATAGTATTAATTCTCCTTTTATTGATCTTGTCTGTAACTTCAATTATTCTAGATTTATTATTTTCACTTTTGATTCTTTACTCTCTGGTTTAGTAGTATCGGTTTGAATAGTCCGTTTTGTTTAATTCACCTATATGCTTTTTAGTCATTCTCAGTTAATTCACTTTGTAATTACTGATAAAATGTTCCAAATCTTACTTACTATATTTTTATGATTGCACTTTGAACTTTCTTTATTTTTAATGATTATGATAGGATTGATTAGTCAGTAGTTTATCACAATAAAATGAATCAAATAGGAGTGCCTCTTCTAGTACCTTTCCATATTACTCATCATTACTAAGTGCACAAAACACATTGATTTCTTTATTTTCATATCCCAATTCGTGATTGTTAGGTTCTGGTAGTTGTTACTTGAGTTTTTAAGTAATGAGTGAATTTTAATCTTTAGTGTTATTATTTAATATTTTTTTTTTCTATTCTTATATTTTCATAGTATAATCCTCAGTTTATTATTTCAGAATGTAGTCCTCATAAAAGAGTTCCAGGATAGCTTCTTATATTTAATTTACATAGTATTCAAGAGTTCGTTATTAATTCACTATTTTCCTTAAATAATCAATATTTAATGATTTAAAGTATTTGATTGTTATTTCAAATAAATATTTTCTAGTATCGATTTCTTGTTCTTAGTATTTTGAATCAGAGTCTTGCACATACTGGAATTTGTCTAGAATGGATTATAAGTAATCATCACCTGACTTACAATTGATTAGAAAATCTTGAAACTTATTGTTTAGCATAATGTTCGTAATTTATTTGAGTAATTGTTTTGCAAGTAATAAACTAAATTCATATTACATTTATTTCGTGGAGTCAGTATAAAAAAATTCATCAGATTTTTGTTTGCCATCATCTAATCTTGCAATTCTTTATAAACAATCGTCCAGTCTTTTTTGTCCATTAACCCATCTTTATTGTTAATCTAAGAAACCATTAAAGTTGTTGAGTTTAAGATTGTTATCTGCTTTATCTTCTGAAAAGTTACGTTTTAATTGTAGAATTTCTTTAATTTATTTTATCAACATTAATAATAATATTTATATCACATTTTAACATATTCAAAATGAGTCAGACTAATTTAATAACTTATGGAACTTGTCAAAATCTGACTATATGTTATTGACCTTTTGACTAGTTTCTTCAATATTTTCTGATTGGTCCTTTTTTAAACTGACTTAAAATCTGTAAGCGTTGGAGGACACTTTTAAGAGTTCTTAAAGAAAATACGCATTCTTTGGTTTCTTTTGAGAGAAATTCAAGCTTGATTATTATGGAGAGACATGCAAACTTCTGTGTTTCTTATGAGTTTATTTTTCAGAACTCTGTAAAGTTTATCTATCATCTTGATTGAGATTAAATTTATTAGGCTCCTTAACTTGCAACCCAATTTTTTGATAAAATTTCTTAAATTTGGCATAGAAGGGATCTTACAGTATTTTTGGAGCTGGTTTAGGTTGTGATGGAGGCGGAGTAGTGATATCTCCTAAACGAAGTTCAATAGAATGTCTTTTGGAAAGAAATTTAATTTTAGGATTCGATGCTGGTTTCGAAGGTTAAGGTGTTGGCGAAACAAACTTAAATTCACTCAGTTTATCAAGGGCAATCCTACTTAATTCTAATAAATTCTGGCAATTTTTGGATAATACACGCCATCTTAATTCCTTAACTTCATCGATCCTAACTTCAGGTTCGACTTGGACTTTCTGGAGAGTGCGATAAAGTACCATTTTTGGTTTGTCTTTATTACTATAGTATTGAACATTATGAACGGGAGACTACAGTTAATCCGAACTTTTGTGTTTCATGAAATACTTAACGACACCATTTTGTTGATCATCTTTAACATTTTGCATCTTCATGTCAAGTTTCTCCCTTCTTATCTGATAAATAAACTACAAATACTTATTCTGGACTCTTATGAAAATATCTCTCCTTATCAAATTTCTACATAATATTAATTAAAAATAATGAGTACTAAGACACCCAAAAAGTTGAACCAAAATTCCCAAACTTTTATAATTGAAGATACATAAAAATTACCAAAACAATCTCCTACATAAACTTGATCAATCATACCTACTGACAAACAGAGACTCTTAATTAATAGAGTCTCCCTCCTTATGATGACGTAGTCTTGAGTTTCATTCTACCTCTGAACACTTCTAATTGATAACTGCCACCCTAGCTCATCACCTACCCTCAAGAACCAAAAGAAAATAACCATAAGCATATGAAAGTAAAGTTGACCAGAAATTAGCAGAAAAGTATAATTTTAGACGAACTTAAAAGCTTAAATAAAAAAAGCAAGAGAGAGAAGGTATTTTTGAAATAGTATGAATTTAGAAAAGGAAATTGGGAAAATTAAGATAGGA